AAAGATCCCCGAACAGGGACCGGAACTTCCGATTAAATTCTATTGGTTATATACTTAAAGACTAACCACGAACGCATTGCTCACTGAATATTTACTTGTTAGATTTAAATAGTAAATCATTTCTCCAACTGAAAAGCTAAGTTAAAAATTAAAATATGCTTAATACAAACATTCTCGGTTGCTTTCCAAAGCCCTATACATTAAATTAACTGTTATACTTTCGTTGAATGGATTTGGAACTTGTCCTTTAATTATGATTTGATCTCCTTTTACAAACTTCTTGTCCGTTCTAATCATATTTGATGGCAATTTATATTCTTTAACTTTTAGGCACTTTTCAGAAGTAGATTCCAAAAATTTCACGTCTTGTATATTGCCTGTTATCTGAAAATTATATCAAATCTGATTTGATTCCCTTCCAACTCGTTCATTCTTACGTCAGCAATATATACTGCGGAAGTAAGAAGGAACGAGTTGTGGGAAGCGAGTCAAATAAGGCTAAGACACAAGGAAAGTCCTCCGTTATTCAACCGGTATTAGAACCCTGTTGATACAGGCGGATCCTCTTGGATCATTGAGTGTATTGAATTGAAGGTATCGCACAAAAATAGTGAGGCATAGAGGTCCGTTTTGTAAAAAACAACCTACCATAGCATAATTTATAGCCCATGCAGGAATTCGATGACTGTAGTGAATGAAATCCGTAGCTCCATTAATGCTTATATCGAAATAATTGTCGTTAGCAATTATTTGAATAGTTACAGGCACATCAGTATGTCCAATCGGGTTTTCGTGAGTTTGATTCTTTCCCCAACCTTCTTTCTGGGCACTCTCATTCCTTCCCCAACATTCAATACGGACATAACTGACATTTTCTCCAGAACTTTTCTTTTCCCAACATTCTTTATGATTTATATAACTGTTGATGTATAAAGCCGAATTCTTTCCCTGAGTATAACTAATATTCTCTCCAAGTTCTGGGTACTCCTCTGGGTCAAACACAAAATTCAACATTAATGCCGTGTTACCATCTTTAAAATAAACGGATTTTTCATTGCGGATATTTTTATACAATCAAATTTCATTATTGGACCAATACTAGGTTATAAGGTAGATTTCTCAGCTTCAATGAAGTGTCATGTAGAGTTGATCAAGACGAGACCGATACCGAGACCGATACCGAGATTCTCGGCTTTTTTCCAATATCGGTCTCGGTTTTTTCATTCTCGGTCTCGAAACCGATACCGATATTCTCGGTCCATTTCTCGGCGAGAAACGATACTGACTCAAAGAACCAAAATTATCAATATTATCCAAGTTTTTGTCCATAATTTTTTTCGGATATCCGTCCATAACAGAGAAAGTGAATTTTTTTCGAATAAGGTCTTCTAAAATTCAAAAATTCCTTTGCCAAGCCAGATCGGATCCAGATGATGAAGAGTATTTATCTGATGATTTGGATGATGAAAATAATGAATAAATTATTTTTACACGTATTTTTTGACGTAAAATAAAATTTTCTCTTAGTCTCGGTCAGTATCGTTTCTCGGTATCGGTCTCGGCTCAAAATGATGGTATCGGTCTCGGTATCGGGTTCTTGAGTATCGGTCAATCTCGGTCTCGGGTTGGCCGATACCAGTATCGTTTTGATCAACTCTAGTGTCATGTAATGAGGTTCGAGTATTATTGAACATGTTTATAAAATTTGGTATTCCTAATGGTGGGAGAGCTTCCTAAACTGGCCCTCCAAGTAATAACAGCAGGTGTGTGTCAGTTTCGCGTTTTGCCTTTCGCGGTTTTTGGACTTTCGCCTTTCGTGTTTCGTTTTTTAAAATCTGTTTCGGCACACCCCGGATACACAGCTCATTATAATACTATAAAACTTTCAGCCCCAAAGTGATATCTTGTGTAAGGTTAAAATGAGTAATCTCTCACATTTCTCACTAAAGTCATTCACATCGTTGAAAAGGTATACTTTAAAGCTCTTTTCTCCAATCATATTCTCTGCCTTTGGAACTTTTCCCTCAAAACAGACAATATTTCCAAATCTTTTCAGATCAGGCAAATACTTTTTAAATTTTTTGTTTGGCATTTTTAATGATTCTTCAGTTGTACTATAGTCGAATAATTCAAGATCTTTATTTACCTTAATTGTAAATATTAGAATTCGGAACACAGCAGAGACATTACCAGCGTCTCCGAGGCCCTTACTAGAGTTTTCAATGCCCTAGCCCTTGGCTCTATAACAAACTCTACCTTACGGTAGCTTGGGTCTTACAGATCGGGTGCCGTGTACAGACACTAGGATTAGGAATAAACTTTATTTCCCATGCTTATTGTAAGGCAGGCCGAAACTTGCGGACCGACTTTTGCGGACCGAAACTTGCAGACCCGACGAATTTCTCAAAACATAGCTCATTCGAACGAGCTCGACGAGCTGAGTCGAATGACATCAAAATCATCGTTATTGTACAAGCTTGGACAAAGTTACGATAGAAAAACAAAAACTTAAACGTCTGGTCCGCAAAAGTCGGTCCGCAAGTTTCGCAATACTTATTGTAATAGATTTATGCCCTTCCCGCCTTCCCCTCTAGCCTTATAGCCGCTACACTGGGGCCAGGTTATGCTTATTATTCTCATTGCCCCCCTGTCATTTTGAAGAACATCTGTTTTAGCCCTAAACATCAGTCCTGTGAAATGTATCCCAATAAAATCCACCATAATTTGATCAATCTTCCAAGTTGGTACTGGTGATATTAATGTATTATGAGGATATGTTTTTCCATTAATTTCGAATACATATTTTGTCATATTGCCTGTTTTGTTTGCAATAATGTTTAATTCGAAAACTTTTGGCTTTCCAGATTGAAAAAATGTAGTGCTGGTTTTTCTTTTTTCTTTAGTCTAAAATTTGGTTTGGAAAATTATAAGGAAAATTTATGTATTATGATTTTAGGATGCCATCTTGAGGCCAGAAAAACATCCTTTCATTAGGGTTAGCCTCGAAACTTGGGTCGAAAAACGACGTTCGAGTCATTTTTCGAGCTTCATTTTTATCGGGCCAGCCCAGCCGAGTCTTTTCGGGCCAAAATTCGATGCCCAACACGATCTTTCCGACCGGACCGGGCTGGTAACCCTACTCACAGTGTAATCTTGTGTTTCTATTCCTGATTCGACATTGTGCCATAACAATACAGGTTTGCTATTAGAAATTAATCGTAGCTCAATTGTCAATCCAGGGTATTTGCAACGAAAACGAAATGTAACATTTTCATTGTAAATTGCTTCAATATCAAATTTCTGTCCAGTAACAACATGTTTATATGCTTTAGACAACTAGAACAGAAAAATTTATAGATGTTATAAGAAAGGGTAAAGCTTAGTATGTATCGAACACGGACAGATTACGGTGCTTGTGTAGTTCCCCCCCCCCCCATAAACCCCGCCCAATTTTCTTGTCACTTTATACTCTTAAAATTGACATTTAGGCGATGGCACAAGTACCGAGATTACTAACTGAGTTACCGAAGTACTGCTTCACCTCTATTAAACCCCTTCCTAGTTAAAGTTACTCCCCTCTACCATAGTAAGGGCTGGGTTGAAACTTTCGGGGTCTGAACTTTCGGGGTCTAGCCAAAAAATGTTAGGGGTCGGAGTTAGAAGTGTTCTGGCAAACACTGGTTATTAGGTATACATATTTATTTCTTACATTTTTTATATCTTCATTATTAAGCGTTCGAATAATGACTGGAGTGACCGTAACAAAATCTCCAAAAAGTTTCAATGAGTTGCTTCCCTTTCCTTTAAATAAGTCTCCATTCCACCATTTATCTGACCAATATTTGAAAACTAAATGCTCAGATCCCCGCTGATTACTTGAAAACATGCACCAAACATAATACTTTGTAAGGCGAAGAGTTGCGGTAAACGATGCTCCAATTCCGAGTAAATTCACTGGTTGTCGGATTGCTCTTACAAGTTTACCCTAAAATAGTTCGATATAACAACTCAAATCCCCCTTAATCCAGCTTAATTCCCCGATATTGCCCCTAATCCACCTAAATCACACGATAATCCTTCCAAATCCTGCTTAATCCATTGATACCCCCTTAATCCTCTGATATCACTCGATATACTCCTTTGTCTACCCAAATCCCTCAATGAAATATATTTATTGATTTTCCTCCCGGAGCCCGGAGCCATCATGGAGCGTCTCCGAAAATCGCCGGCTTCGGAGCTGGAGCCGGAGCTAAGATTTTGAAACCCCCGGAGCTGGAGCCTGAGCCAACAAAAGGCAAATACCAGCACTGGTCATGATCTTAAGTTTAGATACCACTTAATCGTTGCTACCTTGTATTCCATTACCATTCAAATCCAGATACCCCCTTAATCCTCCGATATCCTTTTCCGCCCGCCCCTGTTATAGGACACAATATACCTTAAAAGTGTGAGTAATCATTGTCTCACTTGTATATAATTTAATAATACTCTCCTCTCCATTAAACACTTCAACAGTTGCACTCTTTCCCGTTGTCCCAGTCCACAGTGTAAATTGAATTAATAACTCCCCATCTGTAATGTTTCCCAGAGGGTATGTTGTCTTAGGAGTGTGCCGGATTTTGCAATCTTTATCGTTGTAAAGTTTTCCCCAGTCATCTCCCTGAAGCTCTTTCGGCTTTCTGTATATAATTTCTGGCACTAACGATGGAGGAGTTGTTGGCATTTTGAACTAAATTTGTAGTAGAATTAAATATACGGTCTTATAACACTTTTAAATATCCCTCGAAGCCTACAATGCCGTACCTTATAAAAGGTGTGTCTTAAATAGAGGACATCTCTTTAATCGTTCAAATCCTCAATATCCCTTAAACACCCCCACCCCTTCACATCCCCCGATATCCACTAAATCCGTATTAATCCATCCAACCCCATCTTAAATCCACCAACCCCCTTAATCAGCCCAAATCCTCTTAATCCACCCAGATTCTCAGCTATCCCCTTTAATACACCCGAATCCCCTTAATCAGACCAAATCCCATCCCACATATCCAAATCCCACACCAACACCCAGCAGACGCAGGTACCAAGCTATCTTTAAAACCCACCCATGCCTCCATTCCACAAGCACAACCCTTATACACAAACAAATTTAAAATTCGTTGCCCAGTTGTTGGCAACATGTCCAATCCCAGAGTCCAAATCCCCGTGTAATTATGCAAGTATGCCCCGATGTTCACATGTTCGTAAAATTTTTCACTAAGCTTCCTTCCATCGCCCATTCTAATTATATCTCCAGGGACAAGTTTTGCTTTACCATTTTTGACTTCTTTGGACATTTCGCGAACACGTGTAGCGAAATGGTCCTTAGCTCCAAGTTCAATTGCGAAGAGCGATGTTTTGTTCAGGACATATCTAAATTTTAAACTAGGATAGCAACCCGAACCCGTAACCCCAACGAATTTTTTCACAAAAACCTCGACCAGACCTTAGAAGGATCTAGCCCGACAAGTCCCAATCCACCGCACTCCTGATCCACCCAAATCCCCCGATTGGGGTGGATTAACTACGGAGCCAACATGGAGCAGATGCGAAAATAGCAGCTCCAGAGCTGGAGTCGGAACCAAGACTTTAAAAAGTCCGGAGCCAATAATGCCAAATACCCAGCACCGTTCTGAATTGATAAGGAGCATTAGGAAATTTACAACCCCCCCCCCTTCCCCCCCCCCCAACCCGATTACCCCTCGGATTTATGTTAGTTGGGAAATTTACTCTTCTATGGAATGCCTCACAGATTATTAATAAAAAATCTCCAACGTTCTCTTTGTGAACGACAATTTAATTGTCGTCGTGAAGATTGATTCGTTAAAACCAGCCGGTTTTTCATATTTCGAACTGAGCATAATTCCGTGCCAGATATAGAAGGGAGGTTCAGTAGCTTTACAAGCACCATCTATTTTGCAATATTCTTGGCGCTTTTCTGCACACAATTGGCTTATTGGATTTGCCTGGAGAATAGTGTTTTAATATAATTGGACATCATAAGATACAGGGCTGTGCGTCATAAAGATTTGAAATATTGGCGTTTGGCGCACAGCCCTGATAAGATACCCATTGAGAGGAAAATGACCCTATAATGAGGTGTCTATTAAATAGAGGTATCGTTTAGGAATTTTCTCCCTACGATAAGTTCAGCCCCACCTATTGACCCATGTGGTCAATTTTTCAACTATCCTCCTAGGTGGGTCTCTAGCACTGGATGGAGCTCTATTATAGGAAATGCATTATTTTAGATATTGTATCTGGTTTGATTGTACACTGAGCCCCTCGTTAGATACCTAATTTAAAATAGAAGATCCCCTTTTGGACTGAAAAAATTAAATATTTGACCTGTGCGCAAACATTTTTGCGCTGCGCACAGGCCATTTTTTAAATTTAAAAATAACGCCAAGACGAATGCCAAATTGAAAATTCACCTCATGTTTCGACATCCGGTATGGAATTGATGTTATCAATCCATTTAATGTGTTGTTTCCGCTTAACTGGCCAGGGTAGCAAATTAAGAGCCTTGAAAAAATTTTGAAAATTTTTTGAATTTGGAAAAATTTCTTTAAAAATTTTTCGAAAATTTCTATCAACATACATGTCGCACAACATATTTCCTGGCCTTTCAAAAATAAATCCATAACTGCCTTGATGTTCTTGTCCGGGGCGAAGCATACACTGATCATATGCTAGGTAGGGGATCATGTGGCGTGTGTTTACCATATCCGTCAGGTAAGCACTAAAAAATTTTAGAAGCTCGAAAATTCGTTATATTTGTTTATTTAAAATTTTGAATAGATAAAAAGCAAACACAAATCAGTTATCGACAACCGGGCTCGAACCTAAGACCTCAAATTTGTTACAAACCCACTTAACCACAGCAAACAACTTTATCAGAAAAGTGTTTTGCTGGCTATTTCCAACGGGCCCAAGGGTTAAAAATTAAGTTTGTACCCCCGACATGTCTAACCCCTAACCCGAACGATTTTTTGGACCCCGTACAGACCGTGAACTTTTCGACTCCGATGGGTAGGGGTTGTGCGCCAAAACATTCCTAGTTTCCATCCTTGTTTCCTACGGATTCCCAAGTTTAAAATTAGGGGTAGTTAGACTGCGACTTCATCTAATTCTGACCCCGAAGGATCTTGTAAAAACCCGGGACTCGAACTTTTCAACACCGACGAGTCAAGGGTTACAGTAGTTCTATTCTAAGCCTTTTAATAAATTGTATTTAATTTACTAATTTTTCTCATCCTTATGATATTGTAATTTTCCAACAACTTTATTTTTAAAATATTCAGAAATAAAAATTAAAAAAATTTCAATATAGAGAATAACTTCTTTCTTGAACATTTTTAAGAAAAATTTCTGAAATTTAAAAAATAGACAAACTTCGATATAAAATACATTCAATATTAGGTACTATTTTAAAAATTATTACTATTTTAAAGACGATTCGCCTAGCAGCATTTCAAAACTTAGGCGGGGTTAAACGATCTAGAGGGAAAAGAGTCGATGCCCCTTCGATGCATCGGTGGCTCAGTGGTAGGCACCTACATTTCTCTGAGCAAAGCCGAGCGAGCACTGTAAGCGTTTCGCAGGCTCAATCCTTCACGGAGGCTAAACTTTCGCTAAAGCTTTCTTAAGATACACCCTTAAACTTACACCTCTTTAGAAATATCCCCAATAATAGATTCTATTTTAAGCCTTAATTGGTTTTAGCTGTCTTTGGATAGGCGTAGTTGCTTAAGCAACACTTGTAATAATAGATATTTCCAATTTTAGATACTAGTTATGTAGGATCAAGGTCCGAATTAAGACCAAGATCAAGTCCGATCAAGATCCGAACAAGGCTGGATATCCGGAAATTTTTGCTTCGGATATCCCGGATCTGAATATCCGAAGCTTTCCCATTATCAGACAACCCTACATTTTTACAGCCCCATTGGTGTCCCCTATAGAGAACTTCATTAAAAAATATATTTTTTTAATTAGAGAATCAACTCCCAATATTTATTTTAAAAAATAAAATGATTGGACGATTAAAGCGTTATAGGACTTTATAAAACTAAATGATTAAAAAATTTTTATTTAAAAAAATGACTGTTTTGGGAAAATAAATTTTTTATATTTAATAATTCTAAATGATTCACCCAATTAGAATATTTTTTAACTACTAAATTAATTTTACTTTTTTTGGTTAATCATCAAAAAATTAAATTTAAAAAAAATTATTCTTACAGTCAAATAAAAAAATAACGTAATGAAAATCCGAAGGTCTTATAGTACTATTGACAAGCAGAGGTTAGGCAGAAATCCTGAGAAGTATCGAAAAGTTGAATTGGAAATCTAAGTTTGACCACAGAACGAGTATCTGAATCTAGGACGTATTCGGGTGTCGGATTGGGCTATAATGGGTGTGCGCCAAGGATGAGTCGGGTCGAATTTCGGATCGGGTCTCTGAAAAGAAAAATTCTCGTTCGGATTTTCAAAATTTTGTTCGGATCGCGGGTCGAAAAAAGACCGGGTCTCGGCTCTCGGGTAACCCGACCCATCCTTGGTGTGCGCCAAAGGCTCCCTCCCCCTTTACAAAAATTAAGGTAAATGGTAAAAGCTTGAGACAGATAATCTAAAAGGATGTGTCAAATACCTAAATTCCTATGGCCACTAACCCAGAAATGTTCAGGAACCCAAAAGTAGCCATTAATCCCCAATAATAATATGAAATATGGAGGGAGGAGGACGGTCGAACGACACTAAAAAAGACCTCTCTTATCAGCCTAACCTCTTACTAGCAATAAATAAAAAATATATAAACCTCCTCATATCCATAATTAAAATTTGAAAACCCTTCAGAATTCTTTCACGATCCTTTCAAATATTTTTCAATTTTCATTGACTTCCAGCAACCCCAACACTCGTTGCATTCTGTTGATGACGACTCTTCTCCAGTTCGGCCATACACTCCCGGACCATTAATCGGGCTTGAACAATTCCACGTTTTAAACGTTCCTGGCAGTTACGATTTCCATTGTAGGTTGGGCCTGAAGAAAAAAATTTTTTTTGAAAAATTTTTGAAATTTTAGGGTGAATAGAAAAGTCCGCAAGTTTTGTCCGCAAATTAATATGGAGTGAGGGGGGCCATAAATTGGCGAAATGGAGTTCGAAAAAATTAGAAATCAGCAGGATTAGGCTTAAGAAACTATTTTTGAGCTTTTAAATATTTTTAGGAATTGTCAAAAAATAAAGGGACCCGAGCGGGCTCGAACCTTGCCCATATTCCTCGAGTTAGTCTAACAGTAGTAGATGAAATAAAATTCAGAAAAAATTGGAAACCAGTAGGATTAGGCTTCAGAACCTATTTTTAAGCTTTTAAACATTTTTAGGAACTGTCAAAAAATATAGGGACTCGAACGGACTCGAACCTTGCCCATCTTTTTTAAAAGACTTACACATTTACCACTTAACCAAAAAATTAAAAAATATCGTGGAAAATAGCCCCTAAACGTGATTTGAGATTTTCGACATTTTTAGAGCCTTTTAAAAATAAGGGGACTCGAACGGGTTCGAACCCTGACCATTTTATAGAACAAATTCTAACACGGTACCACTTAACCAAAAAAATTTTTCGGGAAGATAAGCCCAAAAGTGAAATCCTTAATTTAGCTGAACTACCACCCCCTCCTAAAAACATCCTAAAAATTCCCAAAATTAAATAAACAAACGAATATCTTTTCCAAGTTCATCAATCATAGCAACTAATTGTTGATAACGAGATCCTTGGGAAGCAGCTGCCCCGCCCGGCAAGTTTTGCGTATTTACTTGATATTGAGGTAATTGATTGGTGTTGACGTTCTGCTGTTGCTGTGAACCTAAAAGGGGCTTTTAAAAATTCTTTAAATTATAAACGAACCCTAAGATGCCCTTGGGGCAGAAAACCTGTACCTCATAATGAGGCATCTTGAATAGAGGGCATTAGAGATCGGCCTGGGTATGGACCAAGGTTTCGGTTTTTCCTGTACCCCAGAGTCCAGGCCCAGGCATCTTTTGACCTTCCTGGAGTTTTTCCGGCCTAACTACAGTTTCCGTACCAGGCTCAGAATTGGACGATTTATATGTCATTCGAAAGAGCTCGTCGAGCTGAGTCGAACGACACCAAAATTATTTAGCGGAAAAAATTCTGAGCCGAGATATAGGGCTCGAAATGGTCAAATTTCTGGGGGGATTTTTGGGGTGAAAAATTCGAATATACAAATAATAGCTCATTCGAAAGGGCTCGACGAGCTGAGTTGAATGACACCAAAATCAGCTCGATTGGACGATTATGAACAAAGTTATGACCAACAGAATCTTCGCAGGAAAAACTGTTTTTGTGCTGCTACGGAGGGTAGGCCGGGCATGGTCTTCGCTACACGATGGCCGTGCTTCGCTGCGGTCGTGCTCGCTTCGCTCGCGGCGACCGTAGCGAAGCGGCGGCCGTCGTTCCGCTCGACATGCCCGGCTTCCTCCGCAGCGGCAAAAACTTTTTTCCGCGAAAACCTTGTGGAAGGGGTAAAAACAAACGGTCATAACTTTGTCAAATCAAGTCGGATTTCGTTGATTTTGGTGTCATTCGACTCAGCTCGACGAGCTCTTTCGAATGAGTTATAATTTGCATATTCGAATTTTTCACCCCCAAAAAACAGCTTGGTCCCCCCTATGGTTTTTTGAAATTTAGGGGTCTGTAACTCGGCTCAGAGTTTTTTCCGCTGAATAATTTTGGTGTCGTTCGACTCAGCTCGACGAGCTCTTTCGAATACATATAAATCGTCCAATTCTGAGCCTGGTACGGAAACTGTAGTTTAGCCGTTTTTCCTAGGCCTGGGTTTTCCCTGGACTACAGGCCCAGGATCCGGCCCAAGGAAATAAATCAAACCAGGAACAGGCCAGGCTTTTCAAAAATACCGATCTCTAGAGAGAACTCTCAGGCACTAACCCTTATCCAATTGACCACCAAATTTTAAGAAAACGTCTCTTATACGGGAGTGTATCTAGCATAGGGGGTATCTCATACACCTGAACCTCCCTATAAGATAGCCCATCTATTTAAGAAACGTTTTCTAAAATATGGCTGGCCACCATTGGGTAGGGGAGGCAACCCAAGGCGATACCCCCTATTTAGGATACCCTCATTATAAGACCCTATTTTTAACACAAAGGGCCGTATCCTATACTAAGGTACCCCCAAAAATCAAGCAAAAAACCTGAAGCAGCCATTGCTCCACTATTATTTCCACTACAATTCCCTCCCTGCCCCGACATTTCCACTTCTTGTTTAATATTTAAATCAATTTGTTGTTTATTCATTAATAAATTTTCTTCTTCTTTCCCTTCCTTTTCAGACAATTTTATTAATGACGTTGTTATTAATGATGTGGCAATTTTAGTAGAGTTTAAAAAAATTTTTTGGGCTTTTTCTTCTTCCTCCCCTTCCTCTACCTTTGCACTTAGAACATTTTTATTAATATTATTTTCATCCCCTTCCCCTTCCTCCCCACCGCTTTTTGTAGTTGTTCTTGTTAACGATGACGACGCCAATAATGGCTGCTCCTCCTTGCCGTCATGCTCTTCGACCACCAACTTAAAGTCATAGTTATCCTCCATCATTTCTTCTTCCTCCTCCTCGCATTCCATCCTTTCTTGCTTTCCTTCGTCTTCTTTAACCATTTTTTTTCTCAAATTTTAAGTAAATATATTTTTTTTATTTTTATTCGCGTGCGTGGAAAGGATTGAAATACACACACAATCAATTTTCAATCAATAAACTTTTTTTAAAAGCTTTGAGGGGCGTCCGGCCGAGTCACACTTTTTACTTTTTCATGAAAATCCACTCTAAAAATAAAATTGGGATGAAATGTCATTTTCTTAAAAAATTTGGACAGAATGCCAAAATGGCGATTTTTGAATTTTTTTCCATTTTCTTGCAGTTTTCCCGTCTTATTGATAAAATTAAATTTCTTATCATTCCAGACGATAGACTATCTAATTTATTTTTATCAGTTTTGTGTAGAAAATTAAATTTATTTTATTCTATTTATTTTCTTTGGTCATTTAGTGTTGCTATTTTTGTAAATTTTCTTTGAGGAAGTTTAATGTCTTCGAAACCGGTAAATTTTTTTATTCTAAAAATTTTTAGAACGTTTAAAATTTATTAAGAACCCTAGCTAAATAAATTTTCCCAAGATTTGGTGTATTTTGCTGGAAAAGTTTTTTTTGGTTAAGTGGGACAGTGTTAGCCTATTTTCAGAAATATGGGCGAGGTTCGAACCCGCTCGGGTCCCCTTATTTTTTAATTATTTTAAAAATGCCTAAAAGCTCAAAATTCATATAAAGATTATTCTCCCCTCAAAATTTTTTGGTTAAGTGGGACCGTGTTAGCCTATTTTCAGAAATATGGGCAAGGTTCGAGTCCGCTCGGGTCCCCTTTATTTTTTAGCCCTTTAAAATTTAAAATTAAATAAAGTTCTCCTTTTATCCATTCAAATTCAACCCCCTATTATTTTTTAGATCCACAAATTCCACGTCGAAATGACTTGTTCTGGCTGTTCAGGTCAAGTTCAGCGTGTACTTGGCAAACTTGGGGGTATTCCAAAAATTTTTTAAACCCCAAAAAATTTTTTTAAAAATTTTTAGACAAGGTTTCCAATGTCCAAATCGATTTGCCTTCAAAATCGGTTCAATTGGAAAGTGAGGAATTATCGTCAGAACAATTATTGGAGATTTTAAAGAAGACTGGGAAGGAAGTTAGATTGATGTAAAAATGTTTAATGATTTTTAAAAATATTTATGTATTTAAATATATAATTTAACTTGTATGTATGTTTAAAAATTGAAATTGTTCGATTAAAATTTAAAAAAATTTTTTTCGACTTTTTGGTGTTTCAAATTAAGTCAAACCTAGCTATGCGATACACCCTTAAGGGTTAAAATATTATGTCTTATAATGAGGTACCTTAAATAGAGGGTATCGATTAAAGTGAGGCATGACTCTCCTCCACACAGTAGCCAGCCAAATTTAAAAAACGTCCCTCTATTTAGCGACGTTTCTTAAAATTTGAGGGTAGGCGATACCCAAGCCAACCCTCTATTTAAGATACTCTCATTATTAGGTGTGATCTTTCCTCCCTAAGGGTTTATCTTATATCGAGGTCTAACTAAATGTTAACAACCTTCAAATTTATTCTAATTTTAAATTTTGTATCGCATCCCCAGATAGTAGCCTTTGCGTCGCTTTAAGGCCAAAAATATTTTCTAGTCGAAGTATATCAAAACGGCAATAGAGCATTAATGAATTAACGTGTTTTATGGAATTTTGTTGTTGTTGTTGAGAGGATTTTTGCTGAAATTAAAAAATATTTTTAAGAGGTTGTTAGGCCCCTAGAATTTAAAAAAAATATTTTAAAAATTTCTTAAATTTAATTTCCTTACCATAGGACTCATTTCCCCTCAAAAAATTTTTTGTGGTTAAGTGGGACCGTGTTAGTCTAATTAAAAAAATGGGCACGGTTCGGACCCGGTCGTGGACCTTTATTTTTTAACAAGCTGTAAAAATGTTTAAAAGCTCAAAAACTCATATAAGATTTATCCTTCCTTAAAAAATTTTTGGTTAAGTGGGAAAGTGTTAGGCTACACTCAAATAATGGGCCGGGTTCGAGTCCGCTTGGGTCCCTTTATTTTTTAACAATTCCTAAAAATATTTAAGATCCCAAAAATAGTTCCTAAAGACAAATTTCATTGTTTTTAAATTTTTAAAAATTTTATTTTTACCAATTTATCATTTTCTTGATTATCAAAATCCTTCTTTTGCAAAGTTGCCGACATTTGTAAAAATTCAGGATAAAATTCTGGATTAATTGGAGGTTGGTAAAACAATAAGGAACGAATTCCTTTAATTTGGTAACGAAAGAAGAAGTGTAATCTAAAAATAATTTAAAAATAATTTTAATTTAAAAAATTATTTTTTAGCTCTTTTCCCCCACAAAGTCAAGAGATGACATTTTGTCCCAATATTATAATTTTCTTAAAAGTCATCCAAAAATTCTAAAAATTAGGGGACGTATAGCTAACCCTATAATCTATTCCTATACAAAATTTCATAGCTCTAGCTATCCTTATCGCAAAGTTACAAGTCCACAAATTACCCAGGCCTACCCCATACCTACCACCTCCCTCCCAAAATTTTAAATTCTATTTTTAAAATTAAAAATTAGTCCCTATAAAAAATCTGCAAACCTTTCAGTAAATAACATCAATTTTCTTTCTCCTTTGAAAAATAATAGTCTAGCTTTAGCTATTTTTCCCTGTTCTGCATATTCATGTAGTTGAACAAATGTTTCATTATTTCGTTTTTTCAAAAAGTTTCGAATTCGAACAAAATCAAAATAGGAAGGAATAAATATTAGAGTGCCTGTTTCACCTAAAAAATGAAAAAAAATTTAATAAAAAATTTTGGAAAAAATTTCAGAAATTTGTCCTGAAAAATCTGTCCGCAAATAAATTTTGTCCGCAAAAATTGATCTGAAAAATTTTGTGAGCAAAAAATTTTCCGCAAAAAAATATCCGCAAATTATGTCCGCAGAAATCTGTCCCAATAATTTGTCAGAAAAATTTTAGTTTGTCCGCAAAAAATTTATGTCCGCAAATTTTTGTCCGCAAAAATTTCCAAAAAAAAAATAAAAAAAAATACATTTTGGAAGTATTTGTTCAACAAAATATTTGAAGCGTTCATTTGCCTGTTCTGTTGGGGAAATTGCCTCAAACCGATGAAAATATTGAATACTTGGATAGAAAAACTTAAAATTTAAATTTAAAAATTTTTTAATTAATTTAAAATTAAACTTTTTTAATTGGAAGAGGTTCTGAAAGGTTTTGTTTTATTGTAGCTATACCGGCAAAATTAGAACAATGTTGGGCAAATCTAAAAAATTTTTAAAAAAAATTAATTTAAAAAGGGAAGTAGTCGAGGCCGGGTACACCCCGTTATACCGCGAGCCCAGTATACCGCCGAGTTATAATTTCGTTCAATATTGTCGAATCAGGGAGGCCCTGGTTAGTTCGATGCGCCTCATCGAGCTGAATCGAAACATACCAGGGCGTCCCGGATTCGACAATTTTTACGAAGTTATAGCTCGACGGTATACTGGGCTCGCGGTATATTGGCCTGCTCCCGTCGAGGCCAAAGGACAAATTTGAGGACAAAAAATCCGCAAATATTTGCGGATTTTTCTTACAAATAGAGTTGTCGCCAATTTGGCGACTTTCATTGAATTGTCTTTTAGTTAATTGTCCCCCGTTCACTTCTCGTTAATTTTTTAGCCGTTCACCCCTAATTTTTTGTTGTCCACTCAATCCTTTTTCCCGCCAAAAATTCCTTTCTTTATTTTTTAGTGACAGCTTGTTCCTGTCACCTCATTACTCTTTCTTTTGTTTTTTCTGCTTGTTTTCTCTGCCCCATTCTTTCTACACATTTTGTTTTCTATAATTCTGTAGGAATTATTTTCAATTTCGCAATTTTTTGAGTTTTTTGTCAAACCCCGCCCCTTTTTAATCTCTATTTAAGTCGGCGGGCAAGCCTTAAAATTTATCCTTCATCCTTCCATTCTACATCTATTTTACGGATCAACTTAGTGGCTTGCCTGTGGACTTCTCATTGGCCTTATCGTGTTCAATTGTTGGATTTTTTATTTGTGGAATAAATTTTACTTGCTTGGACTGTGCGTGGTTCCTGTGGTGTTTTTAAGAGTGAACCAACCGTGCCCTGGTTCACTACTTGGTCCACTGAGTCGACTGTTCTAAATCAGTGCTCAGTGTGAATTCTCGTTCTTGGTGGATTTTACTCGTCGTGTTCAACTGGTCTTTCTTCGTGTTTTTGGTTGTAAAAAAGTGAACGGCACTACTGTTCACCACGTCTACTCCTTGGCTAAAGTGACTCGTGCTCCGAGTCACTCTACTGCCCTTCTCCTTTGACTGTTGGCACTACCAACAGTCTGGTGCCAGTGCCACTCTACACTGGCTGGTGCCACGACTCTCTTTTTCTTCAAAACCAATTTGTCGGGAACTCCCGACTCCCGACAAACTGGTGCCACGACCCGGGACCGCCGTCGTGGAACAACATCTACTACTACAACAACTACACCAACTACTAGTGTGTGAGCTGCACTACAGCCACCACCACCACTACAACAACTTCAATCTTGCGTGTGAACTGAACAACAGTCACAACAACAACCACTACTACAACTACCATTACAACCACCACTGAACCACCGCAATGTCAGGAGTAATTCGTCTACAACTATCAACCGTGTTGGCAACAGTGAAGGAAAAAGGCCGTGTTGTTCTTACTGGATTGGATGCTCTGGACACCACTGCGGAAGAAGATGACCGTCTCGAACTGGAAGCAATCCAACTGAGAGAAGCTGCTGGACGAGCACAAGCACTGGTGGATAAATGGTCTGATTATATTGCCCGACTCCCCCCAATGCAGCAACAAGCGGAAATGGATGTTCTCCAAGCCTTCCCTCCGCCGAGAGGCGAGGTGAGAGAGAACGATGAACTCACGGTGCTGGCGCAAGTCGAGCGCTCTCGTGAACTGGTGGTCCTGGTCAACGGATGCTTGCAGCAACGAAGAAACGGCGGTCGTGGTTCAGTCTCCTCCCAACGAACTGGAAAGTCTGCTACAGAGGTGGAGGACCAAACTGGCAATGAACGACAACAGACGCAACCCACAATAGTTAATGGTCAACAAAGTTACTCACCTGAACATCCTGATGGATTTACACGACGTCCAACTCAAACTCGAGCTAATGAACAACAAGCGTGTGGTAACGGAACAAGTGCCCATCACACCAACTTTGCTTGCCAGGCTGGTTTCTCACCATACCAGCAGCAGGGAACGTACAACGGCGCGCCTATCTATTCAACATTCAGGCCATTCCGACTAGAGCCAATGAAGTTTGCTGGTGACCCTAAAGAGTGGACTGCATTCTGGATGGCCTTTGATCGTGCCGTGAATAGTCAACCACTCCCACTGTTTGAAAAACATCTATGTCTCCTGCAAAGTTTGGTACCTGGTTCGGCTGCTCGTCGTGCCATTGATGGTTACCCACCGTCTGATGAGAATTACCCGATGGTGGTCAGCATACTGCGACGTCAATTTGGGGATGTAAAGGCACTGCGTGAAGGTCTTATTGCTGAGTTGCTACACCTGCCGCTGGCCAACAATTCACTGTTCTCCATGCGCAATCTCCGCGAACATGTTGAGCGAATTTGTCTCCAGCTTGAATCACCTGAGGGGTCTAATGTAACGCAGGACGAAATCGTGTGTGGAATAATCAGATCCAAATTGCCCCGAGAAGTTTTGGAAACTTTGATTGATTGGGAACAGGACGAAGACGAATGGACTTTGGCTCACCTCCGTGCTGGCCTTGGGCGAATTGTGCAACGTAAAGAGCGTTTGGAACGAACAATTACGAACTTACGACCTGCTATGCCTGAGCGACGACCCCGTGAAGAAGAACAACGTCAACGAAGTCAACCACAAGACCGGTACCCTCAACACCGTCCAGCACAAATTTCGCGTTCTTTTGTGACTGTCCAACCAGCCGGCAACCGTTACGAACGACGACCACTATCACCACCACCTATTACTGGCAAGGGATGTTCTTTGTGTAGTGCAGGCCCTGAACACCTACTCAGTCAATGTACGACATGGAACACTCCGAAGAAGCGTCAAATGCGTTTATGGGAACAACACAGATGCCTGAATTGTCTTAGAGACGACCATCTCCTCAACCAATGTCAAAGTGTGAAAAGATGCCGTGTATGTAAAGGCCGCCATCATTTTATCGTGTGTATGCGACAAGGAACTATTGGACGTGAAGCATCACGAAGTGAACGCCAACCTATGGTTACATCGAACACCGGACGACCAACAGGAGCTAACTCACAACCGCTTGGTCAATCAACTCGTGAGGTGTCACCACTCAAACAAGCATCGACTACTCATACTGGAATGGCATCAGATCCCACTATTATTGATGAAGCAACAGAGCTCAAGGCGCAACCGACAGGCAGACCAAGAGCGCTACTCATGGTTACTGAAGTGGTTGTTCGGCCTATTGGAGCACGCAATCGACAAGCCACGGCAGTCGTCTTCTTCGACCCTGGCAGTCAAACTAGCTTTATCTCTGGATCTCTGGTGCGTCAACTTGGACTTAAAAGTGGACATTCTGAAAAGATGCGAGTTCATGTACTTGGTGGTGAAAAGAACGAACCTTTATGTTTTGACTCTGCACGATACAAATTACAACTCAAGCGATATGATGACCAATGGGAAGGAATCGAACTCAATTACATTGAAGAAATTGCGGCTCAAATGGAAACTCCGAAGTGCATAGGCAACGACGACTCTTACAACTACGTTCTGAGAATGGACATTGGAAAACCGCATATACTCATTGGGACACGGGAATTTTGGAAGTACTTTATTGATTGTAGAATGACCAACCAGGGATATACAATCATTCGGACTGTTCTTGGACCAGTACTTGGAGGAGAAGCTAGCTTACCTGGACTGAATAAGACTCCCTCATCGTTAATGGCAGTCAACTCAATTAATCAAGAGCAGATGCCTTCGGCAACAACAATCGAAGAATTTTGGTCTTTGGAAACAATTGGAATAAAGGACGACCCAGCACAAGACGACGACCAACTGGCGGAGAAAATGGTTGAACAATCAATTCGGCAATTGGAGGATGGACGTTATTGCGTGAAATGGCCGTGGCGGGATCCGTGCCCTGAGTTACCATCTAATTTTGCTATGGCGTATCGACGACTGGTGGCTACACTCAATCGACTACGAAACGAACCAGACCAGCTTAAGAAATACAACGAAGTTATTTGTGAACAGCAACAACAAGGAATTATCGAGCTAACCAGTTGCAACCCGGATAATCGCGAACACTACTTACCCCACCATGCCGTTATTACTCCGAAGAAACTAAGAGTGGTTTACGATGCCAGTGCCCATCCGAAGGGTCAAGCTTGTCTAAACGACTGTCTCTACCGCGGACCTGTTTTGTTACGCGATCTGGCTGGTGTACTCCTCCGCTTTCGTAACTGTGCTATACCAGTCCTTGCCGACGTCGAAAAGGCTTTTCTGATGATTGAGCTCGAACCAGAGGACCGAGAGGTGTGCAAATTCCTGTGGGCGAAGGAGCCGTTGCAACCACCAACTGGCGAGAACCTGGCTGTTTATAGATTTTGCCGTGTGGCTTTTGGAGTTGTTTCATCTCCGTTTATGTTGGCTTCCGTCATCCGTGCTCATCTGGCTAAATTTGGACCGGAACAAGATGCGGTGCTGTTCAGAAACGTGTACGTGGACAATCTGCTTATTGAGTGTGAAAGCGAGGAAGAAGCAAGAACTAAAGCCATAGCTGCTAAAGAAGTGTTTAAACAAGCAAAGATGAACTTACGTGAATATATCTCAAGCTCAACTGATGTCATGAGTGCACTGCCGGAGGAAGACCGACTCGATCAAAAACAAGCTAAAGTTCTTGGAATTACATGGGATGTCCAATCTGACGAGGTTCTCTTTGAGCTTCCCACAACGAAGAGCAACTCGCCTATCACTCGTCGTACTGTTTTGAGCGTTCTAGCTGGAATTTTTGATCCTTTGGGACTCGTTGGACCGTGCACCTTGGAGGCAAAGAAGTTCTTTCAAAAGTTATGGGATGAATCTCATGGATGGGATACCGAATTATCTATTGGAGAATCTGAACATTGGAAAAGAATTTGTGCTGATTGGAATGGATCCATCATCCGACAGGAACGTTTTGTACTTGGCCAGAACACCGACATACAAATACACGTGTTTACTGATGCTTCTGAGGCTTCTTATGCTGCTGCCGTCTATTTGAGATCTGAATCGAAGACGAGACTTGTATTTTCTAAAGTGAGGCTTACACCTAGAAAAGCGCGTGAAAAAATGACTATACCGAGAATGGAACTTATGGGAGTGCTTTTGGGTGTGCGAGCAACGGCCTTTGTTATTGCGCAGATACATCGTTCAATTACTGCAACTCACTTATGGTGCGACTCCCAGATAGTCCTGGCCTGGATAAAGAGCAAAGAGACTCAACCTGTTTTTGTGGAGAATCGCCTGCGGGAAATTAGAAAGCAAGAGAACATGACCTTCCATTATGTGAACACTAGTTTCAACCCTGCTGATATAGCGACACGCGGAACCACCGCAGCTCAATTGATGAACACCAAACTCTGGTGGAACGGACCAATCTGGATTAACGCCCCCTCTGACCAATGGCCTAGCGAAATGGAGTTCAACTTACCTGTTAAGAGTGAAATAATACACGACAAGAATTCGGACGAACAATTTGTTGGTGTGGTGAACGAAGTGCCGGCTGAACCTATCTTTGACGCAAAACGATTTAGCTCACTGCTTACCTTGCTTGGAACAGTTATATTGGTGTTACGTTTCATCAAACTCCGTTGTGTACAGTTTCCAACTCGTGTGTCTACAAACGGCATTTTTACTGCAAATGATTACAGAATTGCTCGTTCTTTGCTCATACGACTGGCGCAACGTGAACACAGATTGGAAATGAAAAGCATACATATCGTGGTCGACCCAGAAGGAATAATTCGAATGAGAACGAGAATTGATAAGAACGCCGAGTCATGTGCTCCTGTCAATCCCATTTGGTTACCACGTCAGGCTGGGATTACTTCTCTAATTATTTTGGACGTGCATCAACGACTCAAACATGCTGGAGTGGACTGGACTCTTACTGAAGTATTGCGAGAATTCTTCCTACCTCAAGCGCGAAGAACGACTAAGCAGATACTTTCCCAGTGCTCCAGATGTCGATTGATGAATAAGCCAAAATATGCCTTACCTATCATGCCACCACTTCCTGCTGATAGAGTCCAACGAAGACGACCTTTTGAATCTGTTGGTCTCGATTATCTTGGTCCTACACTCGCCCGACAAGCCGGAGTGGTTGTCAAAGTTTGGATTGTTATCATTACTTGTTTGTCCGTCAGAGCGGTCTATTTGGAACCAACATATGATTTGAGTGCACCTTCGTTTATTAATGTTCTTAGACGATTCATCAGCCGACGAGGAAAGCCTAGAAGAATTCTCTCAGACAACGCGCCGACATTTGTGCAAACAGTAAAAGCTCTAAAGACACTAGCGATGTCAGACGATCCAGCAGAATTTTCAGCACGTTCTGGAATTGATTGGCACTTTATACCGCAGCTTAGCCTTTGGGCAGGTGGAATATACGAGCGCCTAGTGGCTTTGGTCAAACATTCAATTCAACGGACACTTGGACGACGAATCTTACCGTGTGACGACTTAAGTGCCTTTCTGACTGAAGCAGAAGCTAGTATAAACTCACGACCTCTCACTACTGTCTCTGATGCTGAAGGAGCCCCAATACCACTACGACCGATGGATTTTTTGTTACCTGGAGCAGACATGCACTTGGCTACTACCCAATTGGAGGACGACGAGGATAAGCGTTTACCTTCGCATGAAAAGTTAGCAATTCACTGGCGTGCCACTCAGGAAGCTGTTGAATATTACTGGACTCGGTGGACCAAAGAATACCTGCTTGTATTACGAGAAAGATCAGGATGGACGCACCGTGGACCTCGATCTCTGGATAAATCTATACCCATGGTTGGCGACGTAGTGCTAATCGAAGAGGATCTTCGTCCTCGCAATCTTTGGTCCTTGGGACGAATTACCGAATTAAATGGTCAAGAACCCAACATTAGAAGCGCCAAGGTTTTGATGGCAAATGGCAAAATATTAACCAGACCGATCAATCGTTTGTGTCCACTAGAAACGAGTAAAAATGTTGAAATTGTCATACCAACCACGCCTGACCCCGTCAAGGAACCATCACCTCAACGAACTAAACTAAAAGAGAAAAAAGATAATCCACCAAAACCACCATGTCACAACATGATTACTAGAGCTCGAGCAAGAATGGATGCAACTACCGCCGCTGCCGACTACTCGACAACGAGCTTGTTTGCCGCTGAAAAAGTCCTACCTACTTACCAAGCTGGAACGACCGCGGCTGTCACATCGACGAGCTTTTTGGACGCTGGAAAATCATTGAGTGTTAGTCAAGCTGGAATTACCGGGGCTGCCACTGCTCAACTGAATACGAAGTGTTCTTCAGTCCGAAAAATTAGCACGAATGCACGACAACAAGAAGGCCAGGTAGCGGAGTGCCGCCCCTCACCAAAAGCTCGAAAAAGGGGAATTAGCGAAAGCGCACTTCACCACCATCGTCATCGACTTGGACGCAATCAGATGTTTCGACGCAACATGCCGTCAACTGTCTCTGGAATGCGGCGTAACGTCAACACTGGTTGTGATTAATCATGAAGAAGGCAGAAGAATTCGACGGAACTTTTGTTTTCTTGCGCGGGGGGAGTGTCGCCAATTTGGCGACTTTCATTGAATTGTCTTTTAGTTAATTGTCCCCCGTTCACTTCTCGTTAATTTTTTAGCCGTTCACCCCTAATTTTTTGTTGTCCACTCAATCCTTTTTCCCGCCAAAAATTCCTTTCTTTATTTTTTAGTGACAGCTTGTTCCTGTCACCTCATTACTCTTTCTTTTGTTTTTTCTGCTTGTTTTCTCTGCCCCATTCTTTCTACACATTTTGTTTTCTATAATTCTGTAGGAATTATTTTCAATTTCGCAATTTTTTGAGTTTTTTGTCAAACCCCGCCCCTTTTTAATCTCTATTTAAGTCGGCGGGCAAGCCTTAAAATTTATCCTTCATCCTTCCATTCTACATCTATTTTACGGATCAACTTAGTGGCTTGCCTGTGGACTTCTCATTGGCCTTATCGTGTTCAATTGTTGGATTTTTTATTTGTGGAATAAATTTTACTTGCTTGGACTGTGCGTGGTTCCTGTGGTGTTTTTAAGAGTGAACCAACCGTGCCCTGGTTCACTACTTGGTCCACTGAGTCGACTGTTCTAAATCAGTGCTCAGTGTGAATTCTCGTTCTTGGTGGATTTTACTCGTCGTGTTCAACTGGTCTTTCTTCGTGTTTTTGGTTGTAAAAAAGTGAACGGCACTACTGTTCACCACGTCTACTCCTTGGCTAAAGTGACTCGTGCTCCGAGTCACTCTACTGCCCTTCTCCTTTGACTGTTGGCACTACCAACAGTCTGGTGCCAGTGCCACTCTACACTGGCTGGTGCCACGACTCTCTTTTTCTTCAAAACCAATTTGTCGGGAACTCCCGACTCCCGACAAGAGTTGTCGGTTATTGAAAAAATTCAGATATCCAGAACATAATCAGGAGGTCTATCCACCATGATTACCGAAAATCAAGAGTTACTGACGTTTTCTGCATCTCGATTCTACGCTTCGTTTTCTATAAGATGGGTCAGTTCTCTCGAAACCCTGACAAATTTTTTTAAATTTTCGACCCAAACCAGGAAAAAATCCGAAGAAAATTTTGAAAACCCAGACCCAAATCAATTTTTCTCAACCTGACCCATTCCCAGTTCATAAATGACATCCCTACTTAAAACCCTTAAAAATAAGGTACTTTGTTCATAAGCCACCCGCCACTCCTAATTGAGTCTCAGGTTAATTTTCCCTCTTTGCTGTCAATCATTTATTTTCCACCTTTCTTAATGCCAATCATTTTCTTCCCTCGAATATAGGTCACCCAAAAGGGCGTCGGCCCGAACGGCGCAAAGCCATAACTTGCTTCAAGATTTTCTAACCTTACCAAATCTAATATTAAACGATTCCTCACATCGAGCTAAAGAGATTGGTACCAAAAATGACAAAGGTCAAAAATATTCCTGCAAGTTATGGCTTTGCGCCGTTCGGGCCGACGCCCTTTTGGGTGTCCTATTTGAGGGAAGAAAATGATTGGCATTAAGAAAGAAGGAAAATAAATGATTGACAGCAAAGAGGGAAAATTAATCTGCGACTCAAATAGGAGTGGGGGGTGGCTTATGAACAAAGTACCAAAAATAAAAAAAACCCTCACAAAGAATGCATTTCAACAAAATTAATTTGAGAAAAACAGATTGTTTGTCTATAATGTTTTGCCAAACCATCAATTGAAGACCAACGCCTAATTCTTGTAATATCAGTAGAAACTTTTGACGGCATTTTATTTAGAGCGGAAATTGTGTTTATTAAATGCTCCCAATTTTGCATTATTAAAATATCTGCCTAAAAATTTTTTAAAAATTAATTTTAGAAATATTAAGACTTAAAAGTGGAGTTTACAACAAAAAAAATTTTTATGGTTAAGTGGGTTAGTTCCATGTTAGAGGTCGACGGTTCGAACCCTTTTAGGGCAAAACATTTTTTAATGGACCAAAATTTTGATTTTTAAAGCTGGATCGAAAAAAACAAAAAAATCCACTTCAAAAATTTTTTGGTTAAGTGGGTTAATTTTATGATTGAGGTTGAAGGTTCGAACCCTCTAAGGTAAAAACTGTTGATTCGAGAAATTTATAGGGAAGGGAATTTTCCTAATTTTCGGGTAACCCGTCATAAATCTAAAATGCATATTCGGGCCCGAAAGGGTTGGGGGTCAACAAAATTTCACTGTTGCCTCCTATTACTTATGTTTAGGGCTCGGATTTATATTGAAGTAGGGCACTACCTGGTCATGCTCAAGCCTTGACTGACCAGTGTCTGACTATTGAGTTGGAATAGAAGAAAGACAGTTATGACCAGTGATAGATTTGATAAAAAAATAGAAAGACAGTGGTCAGTTCGCTGGCAGGGTCGCTTCAGTGATTTATTTAAATATAAATCCGAGCCCTACTTGTGTTAGAAGTCATGAATCCCCCTAAATAAATTCCAAAAAAAGAAAAGAAAAACAAACCCTTTCAATTATCACAATTTCAATCGACGCCAAAAAATCACTTGAACCAACATCTTTTTTACTTGAATCTCCTTCTTTACTCTCCCCCTCATTTTCACCAATTATCATTTTAATTCCCAAAGGGGAACACAACAAAATATCCGACTAAAAAAATTTTTTTGAATTAAAAAAATTAAAAAAAACCTCATCAAAATTTGTGTATAATTTTAAGCATTTTTTAGCCAATCCAATACCTAATCGAAAACAATCGTCTACATTTCCTGACATTAATTCCTAAAATTAGAATAATTTTTTATTAGGCAAAATAAAAAAATAATTTTTAAGTCCGCAAAAAAATTTTTTTGCAAAAAAAACAAAAATTTCCGCAAAAAATTTTTTTGTCCGCAAATTTTTTGCGGACAAAATCTTTTTTTTAAATTTAAACAAGTCAATCCTCACTTTAAGATAGTCCCATGGGTTCAAAAGCCCTTCCCTTTATAAACGAGCTAATTAGGGATTTTTGGTTAAGTGGGTTAATTTTATGTTTGAGGTTGGCGGTTCGACTCCTTTCCCGGAAAAACTTTTTAATTTGAACTTTTAAATAAAAAAACCTTAAAATCATCCGAAACTTGTCGTTTCTCGTTAATTTTATTTCCATCCTCATTTCCATATTCTTCATCAAATTTTGCCCAATTTTGAAGGAAAGGTTTTTCTTCAGGTGTAAACAACAAATCTTTCATTGTACAAACTATTTTATGAGCAAATTTTCGAAAAGGACACAAAATGAGAATTTTGGGTCGCGACAAGCCTTGATCACGACATTTTTCAATTAAGGAGTCGGTTAGTTCAAGACCCTAAATAAAGTAATATTTTGGTTAAGTGGGTTAATTTTATGTTTTCGAGGTCGAAGGTTCGAACCCTTTAAGGGCAAATCTTTTTGATAAACTAAATTTTTGATTTTTAAAACGGAGTGGAAGTAAGGCAAAAAAATTCAATAAAAATTTTTCTTGGTTAAGTGGGTTAATTTTCATTTTAAGGTCCCCGGTTCGAACCCTTTGCGGGTTAATCATTTTATTTTGCACGCCCAAACGAATTAAATAATTTTAGGGTCATTTTAAAGTCCCAGTTTAATCAGAAAAATTTTTTCCGACCCAAAAACACCTAGAAAAACATAAAAAACCTCAAAAATACCTCATCCTTCACCTTCTGTAATCTTTGTTTATTTCCAATAATTAAATTTCTAGTTCTCATTAAATGATTTAAGGAATGCAGACAAATTAGCTCCTAAAAATTATTTATTTTCCCATTTATTAAAATTAAAAAAACCGTGCAGTCTTCTCTAGTAGAGCAACAAACATCCAAATAACGCCCCATAAAATTTGTAAACAGATTTTCTTGGAAATTTTGTTCTTTTTCTTTACTAACTAGCTTGTTTTTGTAGAGACGCAGAAGGCGTTTAAAAGTGATTATATCGTCCATTTTTAATTGTTTTGTTAAATTCTGAAAAAAATTTTTTTGGTTAAGTGGGTTAATTTTGGGTAATCCTGCAGAATCTGGGAGACACCTTAAAAACACCTTGAAAATTATTATTTTTTTCTGAAAATAATTTTATATAAGGTAATCGACCATGCTGATCACGAATCTGAGCTTAGAATTTGTTTATTTCGAGTCCCGGACTCGATTTCGACCAAGTCGAAATTCGGGATAAAAATTCGACATTAAAAATTTAGGGCTAATCTGATACGCGTTTTCGAACTGAGTCGAATGTCACCGAAATTACCGCGATCAGACTCCATAGGGCCGAGTTACAGACTTTCGAAATTTGAAAATTTTTGGGGTCAAAAAATCGAAAATCCAAATAATAGCTCATTCGAGAGAACTCGACGAGCTGAGTTGAATGACACCAGAATCAACTAGATTGAATGATTCTGAACAAAGTTATGACCAACGGAATCTTCGGTGGAAAACCTGTGGGAATATACTAAAGCGCCCCAACATCAAGTATCTGGTAAAAAATCATAGATAAAATGTCACATTTGATGAAATCTGATATCAGATTCGTGATCAGCATGGTCGATTACCTATATAAAATTATTTTCAGAAAAAAAATAATAATTTTCGAGGTGTTTTTAAGGTGTCTCCCAGATTCTGCAGGATTACCTAATTTTGTGTTTGAGGGTCGAAGGTTCGAGCCCTTTACGCGTAGAAATTTTTAAATGGGCTAAAATTTCGATTTTTAAAATGGGACGGAAAACAGAGAAAAGAAATTCTGAAAAAATTTTTTTGGTTAAGTGGGTTAATTTTAGGTTAGAGGGTCGATGGTTCGAACCCTTCAAGGGTAAAAAATTTTTATTTGAACGTTTAGCTAACTTAAATAATTTCTGGGCAATTTTAGAACCTCTATAAATCCCAAAGAAAGCCAAAACTTAGATATTAAAATTAAAAAAACCAACAGAAGTAGAATGCCCCCAAGTAGAAATTGAAGCAGAATGTTCTTCAAAGAGGTTATCAATATCTTCTTTTTGAGCATATGCATGGCCAGCGAGTAAACGTTTAAGTAAAGGAGAACTGTTTTCATCATCCAATTGTTCTTTGCAAAAATGGGCACTGAAATTTTTAATTATTGAACAAAAACATAAAATTTAGGGAAACGTCTGCAAATCTTTGCGGACAAATTTTGTGAACAAAAAAATCCGCAAATAACTTGCGGACAAAATTTAGGGATAAAAAGTCTGCGAAGAATTTGCGGATAAATTTTGAGCAGAAAAAGCCCGACATTTACTTGCAGACAAGTTTTGGCGACGAAAAGTCCGCAAATATTTTGCGCACGAAGTTTGCGGACAAAAAATTTTAAAAAACCTGAAAAAATCCGAATTTATTTGCTCTTCTTTTTCTCTTAAATTTGAAGTCCCAGTCATCCCATTTTGATCAATTTTTTGCTGTGATGCTTCCTTCTTAGTTCTTTTTTTATTTTCAGGTTCTTTAGTTTCTTTAGGCCTTTTTCTTTTAAAAATTTTAATTTTCATTTTTCTTCTAAAATTAAAAAAAAATTTTTTTTATAAAGTAAATAAAAAAGTAGAAAATTAACAGGAAACTCAATTAGAAAATCGAAAAAAAAAATAAAAAATTTTATACAAAAATAAAAAAAAATTTTCAAAAAAAATTTGTAGGGTAAGGGGACGTTTCAGTATCGCCGTATCAGTCTCGATTCATATTTTGGCCGATAACTTTTTTCATTTTCGTCTGATAGAAATAATTTTCATACCATTCGAAAGCTCTCGAGATTCTGCATCTTTTTTATAATTAGACTGTTCTGATCGTATCATTCTCCAAAAAGTTAGAGCCTAGTAAACACCAAAAATCACGATTTCGCGCACTTATCCGGCTCTAACTTTTAGTAGAGTGATCTGATCAAATTAGTCCTGCTAGATAAAATAATCCTCAAATCGAGAGCTTTCGAATGGTATAAAAATTATCCAAATCGGTCAAGTATCAAAAAAGTTATGACCCAAAATATGGCTTGAGATGGAATCGTTCATACTGAAACGTCCCTTACCAATAGAGCCTTAAGGGAGACACAAATGACCTAAAAATCAATTTGAGTCTTCATTATAATTTCTAAGAAATTCAAAAAAGCTTTAAAATATTTTTAGAAAAAATTTAAGTTAATATTCCTTTCTCATAAAGTTCAGCACAGTCGGGGTAAGAAGCTTGGGCACCGTGTCTTTGTACAGAAATAGCAGCAATCTGTAAATTTTTCTTTAAATTTTTAAAAAATTGCCTTGGCATTCTGACATTAAAAATTTTTTTAATTTACCTCAACAGCTTTCTGTACAGCCTGATTTACTTTTGAATAAATGTCTTTTTGAGTAGTATTAAACCCTGATTCCAAGAGAAAGTGGGCTAGAGAACCACAAAAACAGTCTCCGGCTCCCTGAAATTTTTTTTTGAAATTTTTGAAAAATTTTAAAATTAAATTTCAAACCCCAAAAAATTTTAAAATCGCCTAAAAATCAATTTCCCCCCAAGGGGACTCGAACCCACGACCTCTCTTACCCAAGTCTAACACACTAACCACTACACCAAAACCTCATTAATTAAATTTGTTTAATTTTATTATAAATAAAGCTAGATTACGGTAGTATCCACTGCAGAAACTTTGGGGGCTTTAATCCAACACCAATGGGGCTCTTCTGAAATTTCGTACCTTTGGGCTACTAGAGCACCTAAAAAATTTATTTAAAAATTTAATTTTCAAAATTTTAACCTCTAGGTCCCAACGTAATAATTACAATTTTTGGGCCTTTTTCTAATATTATACGAGCACATTCTTGAGCATCTTCGTCACTTAACATTTGGCGATTTGCGAGAAATTCTGCCTTTAAAGTTTTTGAAAAATTGAAAATTTTTTCCAAAAAATTTTCAAAAAATAATTTTCCCCCAAGCGGACTCGAACCCACGACCCTTTTTTACTCGAGTCAAACACACTAACCACTACACCAAACCTTCACATTTTCAAATTTCAAAAAATTTTCAAAATTTTTTAAAAATATTCCCATACCTCATTCTCATTTGCACATATTACATCACAAAATCTCAACAATTCTGGATTCATATTGGCATTTCCAGGTGCAGGGTTGTAAAATGTGGTGACTATAAAAATTAATTTTTAAGGGTTTTTGCATTTTAAAATTTTCTAAAAATCAAAAAAATATTTTTATAATTAAATTTCTACCTCAAAATAATTTTTAAATTCAATAAAAAATTAATTTCCCCTCAAGCAGGCTCGAACCCGCGACCCCTTCTTACCCAAGTCTAACACACTACCACTACACCAAACTTTAATTTTTTTAAATTTCAATTTCTAGAAAGATTCGTAACACAAAAAGATTTTAAAATTCAATAAAAAATTAATTTCCCCCAAGCGGACTCGAACCCGCGACCTTTTTTTACCGAGTCTAACACACTAACCACTACACCAAAACATCAAGTTTTTAAATTTTAATTTCTAAAAAATCCGAACCCTAAAAGATTTTTAAATACTATAAAAAAAATTAATTCCCCCAATCGGACTCGAACCCACGACCCCTTTTCTACCAAGCCTAACACACTACCACTACACCAAAACATGAAGTTTTTAAATTTTGTTATTAAAATATTCCCAATTACCCCCATTCTCTCTGGCAAGTCTAAGAGCCTCATAATTTCCATCTTCATCAATTTCTTGTTGGCACAAAATCATTTTAGCATTACAAATAACTGATTTGTAGTTTCTGGCATTTTTGGCTCCCAAAAGTTTGTTTGCTCCGAGATTGACAATTATCGAATTTTCTCCTTGAAAAAAATTTTTTTCAAAAAATTTTCAAAATTTTTAAAATTAAATTTCACATCCCAAACGTTTAAAAATCATAAAAAAATTAATTTTACCCGGAGCGGATTCGAACCCACGAATCCATCACTACCCGAGTCTAACACACAACCACTACATCAAAAAAATTTTTTTTAATTTTCAAAAATTTTTATTTCACATCCCAAACGTTTTAGAATCATATAAAAATTAATTTTACCCGGAGCGGATTCGAACCCACGACCCTTCTCCACCCGAGTCTAACACACTAACCATTACACCAAAAAATCAAATTTTTAAAATTTTCAAAAAATTTTTTTAGAAATTTTTTCTAACCATCAGACGTAACAGTTATACAGGCAACACCAGTATTCGAATCTTTTAATTTTTCTATCATTGAAGTATCCACCCCATTTTGAGATATAGAGGATATATTTGTCTCTGCGAAGATATCCTCTCCGACACATCCAATCATTGCTGTCCTTGTTCCGAGCTTCGACGCCATCACAGCCTGATTCGCACCCTTCCCTCCACAAAAATTTTTAAATAAATTTCCGCGGACGGATTCTCCCGGTTTTGGCGTTCTGTCAACGTAGGAGACCTAAGAAAATTTTGAAAAATTTTCAAAAAAAATTTTTCAAAAAATTTTTTCAAAAATTTTTATTATCAAAAAATTTTATTTTCAAAAAAATTTTCAAAGTTTTTTAAAATTAAATTTCACCGCCCAAAAGGTTTAAAATCACATAAAAATGAATTTTACCCGGAGCGGATTCGAACCCACGACCCATCTCTACCCGAGTCTAACCCACTAACCACTACACCAAAAAATTAAGAAGAAATTTTTTCGAAAATTAAAAAAAAAACAATTTTTTTAATTTCAAAAAATTTCAAAAAATTTTTTTCTGTCCTACCAAATCTTGTACAATACTCCCAAAAACAATTAATTCAAAATTTTTATTGTTGTGCCCATTAATTTGCAAGTATTTTTGATTTTCATAAATTTGGTTGTTTTGATTAGTAAATCCATTAATTGTATTTAATAATATTGTGTTTACATTTCCCATGATTTTTTTGAATTTTTAAATTAAAAATTCTCTTAAAATCAGAATTAGAAATATATGGAGGGAAAATATTTTTTTAATTTTAAGGGTAAAAGGTAGGTTCAGTTCCGGCTATATACTCTTCAACGGATTAACCGCTAAAAACTTTTTTGATATCATTCGATAGAGAATTAAATTCTGTACAAGATAAGACTAAAACAAAAATTTTAGGTCAAGTTCCAAAAAGGTTATAGTCAAAAAACTGACAAGAACTCTTGTAAAGGGTAAAAGGTAGGTTCAGTTCAGACTTTATAACTCTTCAACGGATTGACCTATAATAATTATCTTGGTACCATTCGATAGAGAATTAAATTCTGTACAAGATAAGACTAAAATAAAAATTCTAGGTTGAGTCTTAGAAAAGTTATAGTCAAAAACTGACTAACTCTTCCAAGGAGTAAAAGGATAGGTTCATTCCCGACTTTATAACTTTCAACGGACTGACCTCTGAAAACTGTTTTAGTATCATTCGATAGAGAATTAAATTTGCTACAAGATAAGACTAAAATAAAAAGTTTACGCTGAGTTTAAAAAAAAGTTATAGTCAAAAAACTGACAATAACTCTTCCAAAAAGTTAAAGGTAGGTTCAATTCAGAGTTTATAACTCTTCAACGGATTAACCGCTAAAAACTAATTTGGTATCATTCGATAGAGAATTAAATTTGCTACAAAATGAGATCAAAGCAAAAAATCGAGGTTTAATTTCAAAAAAAAGTTATAGTCAAAAAACTCCCAAAAATTGTCCCAAAAATGACATTTGATCCCACTTCCACCACTTGTTTTTTTAATTTTTAAAAATTCTTTTCTTAAAATAACCTAAAATTAACTTTAAAATAATAAAAATATATTCAATAAAATAAAAGTTTAAAGGAGAGAAAATAAAAACAAAAATAAAAAATAAAGTCATGGGTGATATTAAGTACATAGTCCAACAGGAACAAAATAAAGTTTAATGTGATCTGTCTTCATTTAATTTTTTTATTTTATTTTATTTTTTTTTATCAGCCTAAAGGTAGTGGAAAAACAATCAGATAATTAATTTAAAAAACATAAGTAATAAAAAATTTTTTTTCGAAAGGATGACAAAAAATCCCAATTCCGCAAATTAATTAATTTTTAAATTTTTAATTTTAACACTTTTTTAGTTAAAACTGCTTGTGATTTAACACCAAAAAAGTTTTATATATTTATTTTTATTAAGAAAAAACGTGACAACCTTTTATTCCAACGTGATTTTTAACCAAAAAAATTTTAAACGATCAAGGGAACTCCTCTCATAAAAATAATATTAAAAAAATAATAAAAACAAAATTGTCAGTCAGCAAAAATGAAGGGAGAGGAGTGATTTGAGGACGATGGAACCTTCCCATTTTTTACTTTTTTCCTTCACCGATTAGTGTCGTTCACCCAAAAATGTGCTTGTATGTCAGTCAGTTCTCTGCAATAAACACGCCCTAATTTATCAGTTTTACTTGAAAATATTTTCTGCAATTAATTCCATTCTAAAAATAAAAATTTTATCAGAAAAAAAGGTTATCAGAAAGAAAAAAAAGAAAATATGGAGAAAGAAAAAAATATTTTTAAATTTTGGAGGTAAGAGGTAGGTTCAGTTCTGGCTATATAACTCCTCGAAGGATTGATGGTTGAAAAATTATTTTAATGTCGTTCGATAGAGAATTAAATTAGCTACAAGATAAGACTAAAAGAAAAAGTTTATGTTGAGTTCCAAAAAAAGTTAAAGTCAAAAAACTGGCAACAACTCTTCTAAAGAGTAAGAGGTAGGTTCAGTTACGGCTATATAACTCCTCGAAGGATTGATCGTTGAAAAACATTTTGGTACCATTCGATAGAGAATTAAATTTGCTACAAAATGAGACTAGAAGAAGAATTTTAGGTTGAGTTCCAAAAAAGTTATAGTCAAAAAACTGACAATAACCCTTCTAAAGAGTTAAAGGTAGGTTCAGTTCCGACTTTATAACTCCTCAATGGACTGACTTCTAATAACTATTTTGGTATCATTCGATAGAGAATTAAATTCTGTACAAGATAAGACTAAAATAAAAATTTTAAGATTGATCTTAAAAAAAGTTATAGTCAAAAAACTGAAAATAACTCTTCCAAAGAGTAAAAGGTAGGTTCAGTTACGGCTAAATAACTCCACGATGAATTAATCGTTGAAAAATATTTCGGTACCATTCGATAGAGAATTAAATTTGCTACAAAATGAGACTAAAAAGAAAATTTTAAGTAAAGTCTTAAAAAAGTTATAGTCAAAAAACTGACAATAACTCTTCTAAAGAGTGAAAGGTAGGTTTATTTCCGACCTTATAACTCCTTGATGGATCGGCCTTTAAAAATAATTTTGGTATCATTCGATGGGGAATTAAATTTGCTACAATATGAGACTAAAAACAAATTCTATTTAAAGTCTTAAATAAGGTTATAGTCAAAAAACTACCAAAAAATCTGAATGGTAGATAAACAGGTTATTTCAGTTTTAATAACTCTTGTATGGATCTATCGCTAAAAATTATTTTGGTATCATTCCACAGAGAATTAAATTTGTTACAAGATAAGTCTAAAAAGAAAGTTGTAGGTAGAGTCTAAAAAAAGTTATGGTCAAAAAAACTGACAGAGATTTTCCAAGGATAACATGACGATTATTTCCGTCCTAATAACTTCCCAATGGATTGATGGTTAAGAACAATTTTGGCACCTTTCGATAGAGAATTAAATTTACTACAAAATAAGACCATAATAAAAATTTTAGGTCAAATTTAAAAAAAGTTATAGGCGAAAAACAGGCAAAAGATAAAATTTTTCCGAAAAATGACAAAAGATCCCAAAATGACAAAAAATCCAAAATTGGCGGAAAATTAATTTTTTAAATTTAAATTTAATAACACAATTTTAAATCACAATATTTAGGAAATAATAAATTATAAAAAAATATAAAATATCAAAATTATTTTTAAAAGATTTGTTTATATCATCCCTCACAAGTAAATAATTTCCCCCTACTCGATTAATTCCTCCCAAAACATTTTTGCGTTGATTTTCAAATTCTTTAAGTATAGGGTCATTTGGCAATAAAAATCTGGAATTTAGAGATTTTAAAATTAAATAAAAAAATTTCGAAAATTTTTTTTTTCAACCTAAAATGTGCCAATTCATCAAAATCAATCCCAGTAAAAATATTATCAGAGAATTCAATATAAGGCTCAACCACTGATACATTATTACATAAATGACGGTTTGTACAAATACAAGTATTTACATTCAGGCCGACCTTGAAATCAAAAAATTTTTAAAAATAAAAAAAAATTTTTAAAATTTCGAAAATTAATTTGAACAAGAGTGCTTGGGTTCGAACCGGGTGAGCGCCATCCTCTATATCTCCTCAAAAGCTAAATCATTTTGGAAACTTTTGGTATCATTTAATAGAGGAGAAAATTAGCTACTAAAATCGGGAAAATAATAAAATAAAAACTTGCTATAGAAAAAAGTTATGGTCAAAAAACCACCCTCAACCCTTCACTTATACCAAAAATCGTCAGTTTTTCGACTACAACTTTTTTGTCAGTGAACTTAAAATTTTTCTTTTAGTCTCATTTTGTAGCAAATTTAATTCTCTATCGAATGACACCAATTTTTTTCTAATCCAAATTTCCTTCACTAAGTTATAGTGAATAATCCCCACCCGGTCACGCAGTCCAAATATCCCCTAAAAATCATTACCTCACACAATTGTGTCGTTTTTCCATTTTTCTTATCATTTTTAAATAAATTTTGTTGTTGTTTTTGATATTTTTGTTTTTTATTTAAAAGTCTTAAACGCTTTTTTCTATTTAATTCTAAATTTCCTTCTTCGTCTTCACTTGTTAAGGACACAGCTATATTATTTCTGATTGCGGCCATTCCATTCGACGTTAAATTTATGCACCCACTAGTATAGAGAAAGTACTCTGGACGTTTGTGCTGTCCTATTTAAGGAAGATTTTAAAAAAAATTTTTTAAATTTTCAATCAAAACTTGGTTAATAGGCTTTATAAAATTAATAGGCTTTTTTGCTTTAAAATTATGGATTCACATTAGAGTAGGGCTATTTTAGAAGGAAGGGGGGGGGGGTATTTTAGAGGGAGGAGCTATTTTACAGGTAATACGGTATTCAATAATGAGAATTTTCCCTTGATATCTCTCCTTAATCTCTCTCTATATCTCCATTATCATTCTTAATCACGACCATCTCCAATATCACCCTTAATCTCCTATATCTCCCTTAATCCATCTAGAACCCAGTCCGGGCTCTAAATACTAACTAGGGTAGTGCTCCGTCCCCCGAAACCCCAACGAATTTTTAGGCAAAAACCCCAATCCGAACCCCGAAGGCTTTACCCCAGCAAACCATGAAGCCCGACACTCCCGCCCCGAGGCCCAGGTGCTACCTATTTAAAGCTAAAATTCTATAAAAAATTTTCTTCAAATTATTATTAACCTACGCATATAACAAAAGTTGCCCAAACAGGTCTGCACCCTTTGTTCCCCCAATTCACAACCAAAAGTACTCAAATTGTTGTAATCATCGTAATTTATGCAAAAAATACACCTTTAATATTTTTTAAATTTTTTTCTGATAAAATGATAAAAATTTTTTTTATCATTTTTCTATTTTTAATCACCTTATCATTCTTTTTTCATGCCAAAACCGAAAGGGCCCGTCATCCAAAATTGGCGGTATAGAGGTGTCTACATAAAAAACATTTTTATTATCAGCTATAGCAGATGATGCTGAGGCCATTTCTGATAATAAAAGGCCTTGTTTTACTACCGAAAGGGGTTCGGTTAGGGTGGCTGATGATGTTAGTGTGATTTTTAAGGAAAATATAAAAAATAAAAAAATATTTAAAAATGGAAAAGTAATGGGAATAAATAAGTGATTTTGTTGTTGATAGGATGTTAATTGGAGTAGTCTATATATTTGGTGCATTGAGTGATTAACTTTAAAATTTTTGTAAAATTAGAAATATGTATAGTATAAAAGCTTTTAGGTTTAATCATTGTTTTCATTCACTTGTTGTAATTCATTAATCCAGTTCGCTACGCTTTTAATCGGTCGCTTTTCTTCTGTTTTGTTCAGGTATAAAGGTTTACTTAAGTGTAAATGGTTAGGTATAAATAAATTTTTATTTCAGAATAAATTGGCTTAACATTGTCTGATAACCGCATTGTTTACCGCGTTGACTGATAACATTTTCGCTGTGTATCGGATACTTATCTTAGTACTAAGGTTATTTAAAAAGGGTCAGTAAGAAATTTTTTTCAGATGAATCTGGGCAGTGAGACAATCAACTTAAATGCAATTTGTCAATGTGGTAGATGAATGAATTTTATTACAAATCAATGCAGAGAAATGAGATAAGATTTTAAATGTGATATACGAATTTGTCAATAAGCTCTATTACATTCGTATTATACGACTTTTACTGCTTCACTTATTGTACATTCTATATACCTAATTATAAAGCACGATTCTTAATTATTGTCTCATTCTGGTATTTTTCAGACACCAGAACCTATCAGAACCCCCTTTATTACATTTAAATAATAAGTGGTTAAAATATACATGTACTAAATTAAAAAGAAAAAAAGTGAGAAGAAGCGCTCTTCCTCCCTTTTTTTATTTTCACATTCAGAATAACATTATTACTTGTTCACGCAATTGCCCCACCCTTTGGCATTTTTATTCTTTTCTTTTTTGTCAAAATTCATGAATGCTATGGCGTATATCCCAAATTGAATGAATGGGAAAATGGGTAAAAAAGAAAGGAAGAGGGGGGGGACAAGGGGTTGAAGTTGTTTCGGCGCCGGGCCGTTTTGGCGCGAAAACAAAAATGTGGCACTTAGGCGAGACCTAACTTGATAAAAATTTTCTAGAATTTCTTTAACATCCTCAACTACCTCCTCCAGAAATTTCAGAATTTTTCATCAAATATGTCTGAAGTTATAGTCGATAAACTTCGAAAAATTAGGCATTTTTCAGAAAATCACCATTTTTGGCCATAATTTCTAAAACTCTTGCTCAAAAATTCTGAAATTTTTGGACAACTTAGATAAAGGTACGAGAGTTATTATTGCAAAATTTTATCATTTTTGATAACCAACTTGCTATCTTATAAGCTAGCGCCAAAACGGCCCAGCGCCAAAACGGCCCTGCGCCAAAACAACTCAGTCCCGAGAACAAAGCAAAAAATGTAAAAAACGGGAAAAAATAAAATTACGATTCTCTCACATTTTCTTTTGTTTACTAAAAAGTATAAATTGATGTGCCAAAGGGAAAAAACTAGCCACTTAGGGAGGAAATGTTTTGGTGAGAAAACAACACAAATGAGCATTAATTATTTAAAAGGAAGGCTAATTTTGAAGAAATTTTAATTAAGATTGTAGTAAACTATTAAATAAAAGACGAGAAAGAAATGTTGTAGGTTTAGTAAGAGTTCATCCATATCTGATTAAATTTCGTTAAGAAATGCCTCTGAAATAGTGTACATCGGTTACTGAGTAATTGGGAAAAACCGAGTTCAAGTACGAGTTCAACTTTGTAAAGCATATAGCTATTAATTTCCTAAGGCTGAGCAGTAGACGGCGTGGTGCAATGGCTAACACATCAGTCCGGTCTACCGAAGATGATAATTCGCACCCAGCCGCCGATTAACCTTTTGCACTAGCTAAAGGAGAGAAATAACCATAGCCCAGCTGCTTTACTACTTTTTAGGTCGAGTTTGATGGAATCGAGTAGTTCTTCCTTTGGAGGATCCTTAATTTGGAAGATCCTTAAATTATACAGTTTGGTGCTTGCCAAACTGGATCCTAAAGTAGAGGTGGGACCCCCGGAATAAGATATTGCCAATGAGGTGGGCCCCAGATAATGGAATAGGGAGGGAATATGCCCGGGACTTCCTAGAATGAACTCAAGGGTTGATCAGGCCCCCAGTTGATCTCCTGCACCAGGCATACACAATTGAACACACAATTTATATATTTATTAAATCCAAATATTAAAACATTTATTTCAGGGCTCTCATCGACAAAATGCCAATCAAAAGTACAAAAATCTTGATTTTAAAGTACATAGGGACAAAATTTTCAAATTTAAAGTACACTCAAAATTAAATTCGAAAATATTTATTCGTGCTCAAATCTTTTATATTTCTCTCCTAAATGAATCTTTTCTAATAATTTCTTGCTTCCACTGAGCATTTTGTGCATTTCAATGCATGACATGTCAAAATTCGCTGACACAAGAAGTAAAGCCTGACAGTCTTAACCTCAAGCAAGCTACTTTCTTTCGTCCATTTTCAGCGCCGCAGGCGAAAATTTTGAGAATTTTAGAGCTCAAGAAGCCATATTTCTTCCATTTTTAGCGCCGCAGGCGAAAATTTTTAAAATTTTAGAAGGCCGTAGGCAAAAAAATTCACTTTTTCAGCAGCGCAGGCGAAAATTTTTTGAAATTTGGAGCCCAAGAAGCCAGATTTCTTCCTTTTTCAGCGCCGCAGGCGAAAATTTTGAGAATTTCGAAGGCCATAGGCCAAATAAATTACTTTTTTGCCCAATCCCTTCCCCAATTTCATTTTCAATCTAAAATGTTGATTTTAAAGTACATACTTTCAATAAAGTACAAATTCAATTTTGTAAGTACGGAGGTCGATTTTAAAGTACTGTACTTTCAAATAAAGTACGAATGAGAGCCCTGATTTATTTAATTCTTTTATTGAAGTGAAAGAACAATAAGACCATTATAGGTTGATTACCCATTTCTAATATCAAGTTTTAAATACAGTTTTTAATACTCTTTCAATTGATGTATAGATCATCTAATTCTGATAAGAATTCACCGAGATACAACTCTTGAAAGCAGACACACTAACAAACTTTTCAATTTTTTAATTTCCGCTTTTCGTTTCAAAACATTTTTAAAATGGCGCCCTTTCATTTTGTCAACTTTTAAATTTTTAAAAATAAAAGCAAAATTTTGTGATTTTTCCTTAGAGGTCGGTAAAATCTCATTTCCGGGATCCCGTAACGGGATTATTTTCACCATTTTTGACGGGACAGGATCCCGCGGGATTAATCCCGTAAATCCCGTTTTTCGTTGAAAACTGGGTCTTCAGGACGGGAACCCGAAAAAATTCCGTACGGGGTCCCTTCCATTGCCGACCTCTAGTTTTCCTTGGTTTTTTCAATTGTTTTTTCTTTCTAATTGTTCCATCTTCTCTCCTTTTTCAGTTAAATGCCAAAATCACCAAAAACATCCTCGGCAAAGTCTTCAAGGTCTTCCAAATCCCTCAAATCCCCCAAAACTTCAAAAACCTCAAAAAAGAAGGAAGAAAATAATGACGTGATTTTTATCGATCCTCAAAAAGAAAATGAACAGAAAAACGAGCAGAAGAAACCAAAACAGCCAAACTTGACGAGCTTCTTCAAACCTCTCGAAAAACCGGCTCCGCCGCCAACTCTGCCCCAATGCATGCCTGACACTTCACGGTTTACGTCTCTTTTTCAGCTGAAACAAGGAATGACTATTGCGCCGATTCTGGCTAGGAAGGTTTGTGAGAATGTTTTAAAAAATTTTTGGAACTTTGGGAAATAAATTTAGGGGTTTTTTTTCATTTAGGGGTTTTTGGTTAAGTTGGATAGTTTCTAAATTTGTCCCTTCAACAGGTCGTTGGTTCGAGTCCCTCCTGGGCAATCTTTTTAATTTTTTTTGAGTTTGTTAAGATCTGCATGACCTAAAGGTACGGGATCTGAAATAGGAATGAATTTTGACTCTGTCTGGTTAAGTTGGATAGTTTCAAATTCGGTCCCCTCATAGGTCATGGGTTCGAACCCTCTTGCGGACCTCTTGCCTGGGTTCGAGTATCATTGAGAGATTATTTAAATTTTTTGCTGAATTGTTAACTTTCAATTCGTATAATCTCAAATAACCAATTTACGTGTGATTTGGTTAAATTTGATAGTTTTTTAATTTCGTCTTATAGGTCATGGGTTCGAATCCTCTTGGGGAAATTAATTTTTTATTTTGATTTTTTCAGTATAATTACTTAATATCAGTCTAAGAGAAGCAAATTTACCATGTTTAAAATTTTTTCTACACTTTTTAAGACTTATTTTCTTTTTTCAGCCTTTATCAACTGAAGAACGAGAAAATTTGCTCAAAGTTTATTGCGAGGTTTCTTCTAATTTTTTCAAAATTTCTAAAAATTTATTTTTTTAGTTTCCCGATTATTTGTCTCAATGTAAAAATAAACGTGTTAAAACTCCAGCACGAGTCACCAACAAATTGAAGGCAAAATATTACCATTTTCATGATAATTATCGTCCTGCTTACTATGGCACTTGGCGTCGCAGAAGTAAAGCAATTACTGGACGAAGGCCTTTTTCTAAAGGTGAAAAGGTTTGGGAATTTTTTGAAACGTTTTTACATTTGTGGTACTTTCGGCTTTTTGTCCGCCAAAAATTTTTGAAAAAATTAAAGTCTCATTTTGCTAATTTTTGCGTCATTTGACTCGACTAGAAAAGCTTGAGAATCTAATAAGGCAACTTTTTGTATATTTTTGGTGAACCGTCAAGTACCAAAATTTTTGGATTTTTAATTCATTTTCTTTTTTGGACATTCCATCCCCTCCCGAAAATTTTCCAAGTAACTTAGTGCTCGTTTCAGCATTTTCTTTGTCGTTGGGCGATCTGGATTTGACTCAAATCAATTATGATTTATCGCATTTTTGTAAAAATTTTATAAAATTATCTGAATTTTCCTTTTGTATTTTATTTTGTGCTTTATTCAAATTTTATATTTGTTATTTTTTTGCGTATCGCATCGTGGTGCCAAACGCCGAAATACCAAATTATCAGAAGCACCTAAATGGCAAGCCAAGGGCGTAGCAGGGAGTCGATTTCAGGGGGGCTAAAATTGGGTGTGCGCCAAAATTTTGGCGTTTACTATCTCTTCTCCATTTTTGGGGGGGGGGGGGGGGTAGTCTCAGAAGCTCTCCCCCTGGCTTCTTTTTTGTGGAAAACTGGGCAAGGTGTTCCAAGAATGAAAGAGATTATTCCTAGAATAGGGGAAGGTTTCTAGCAATTGGACTGTTTGTTCCAACAGCTAGAATGTCTCGGTGGTATTACGGCATAATTTAAAAAAATTTGTTTTTAGACCCTCAATTATGAATACGATTCTGATGATGATTGGGAAGAAGAACCAGCAGATGCAGATGAATGCAAATCTGATGAAGAGGAAGAGGTTTAAATTTTAAAATAATTTTTTGTTTATTTTGGTTTTTAGAAAGACGTCCCAATGGACTCTGACGAGGAGGATGATGGTTTCTTTGTGGATCATGGATATTTGTCGTCAGATGAAGGCTCTCAGGGAGGGGATGATTTGGATGAAAATTGTGATGTTGAAGGTTAACATTTTTAGATTATGGGGTTAAATGAGTTTGGACTTGTTTTGGTACAAAAACCAATTTAAGAAATTTTTCTAAAACTGATCGATCTGATGCGAATTTTTAGAAACAATCGACCCAAAATATGCCTGAATTTTTTACAAACTGGAATATCCTTGGTTTGTGGCCTGTGTGTATTCTTGATTTGTAGTCCAAAAAATCCCCGGACCGTGGGTACTTTCTAGGATATAAAAAAGTTTGCTAGACTGAATTTATGTCCAAAACTATCGGTACTTGGAAAACCCGTTAGGAAATGAAAAATGTGTCTTGATAATTCAGGGCATGACCCAGATTAGAATGTCGATTTCACCATCTTTCGGATTAAATGAACATATGAATATAAATTTTTATCTTTTCGATTTGAAACCGACTATCCTTGTCCAGACTTTTTTCAATTTCTTATTTTAGGCGAACCTAAAAGACCAATGAAAATATCAGATGATGAAAAAAATGAAGCAAATCAAACTGAAAAGCGAAAGTCTTCTGGAAATGAAAAAGAACATGAGCAACGCCGTCAACGTTTGGAACAGAAAGCGGAGGAATACAAAGCTGAAATTAAAAGGAAGGAGCGTCTTTTTAAGATTTGTTTTTTTATTCTATTTGGGTTCATCCTGTGGGTCCACTCCTGAAGTTTTAGATTACCCAGGATATCAAGGCTTTGAAAGTCAAAGGCCCCTTCTATAGTAATGGGCCTTTGATATCAAGGCCCCTCCCCAAAAAGATAAAGTCAACTTCAAATATTTGGCCGAATAAAAGGGTCTCATGGCCAATAATACGTTGGTCGCTCTCCTTTTGCCTTATCTGACAGTTGGACGAGAGAATTTACGTCTTTGCCTTCTAATCACCCCCTAATCCCACCTAATCATCTTAATCCGTCCAAATTCCTCTTTATCCACATAAATATTTGGCTGGATGAATCCTTGGTAATCATGAACAATTGGGGAGACACCTTAAAAATTATTATTATTTCTTCTAGAAATAATTTTATGTAGGTAATCGACCACGCTCATCACGAATCTGAGCTTAAAATTTACTTATTTCGAACCCCGGACCCGAATTCGACCAAGTCGAATTCGGGGTAAAAAGTTCGAAATTAAGATTCGGACTCAGCATGGTCGATTACCTAAGTAAAATTATTTTCAGAAAAAAATATTAATTTAAAATGTGTTTTTAAGGTGTCTCCCCAATTGTTCATGATTACCGAATCCTTTGCGTGGATTAGGATGGATTTGTTGGGATTAAGGAACATAAAGCGGAAATTCTCTCGTCAGCTTCATAGGGCAAGAGGGAGGATGTCAACTTACTTGATCTAGGGTTTCTACTTGATCTTGAGAATATTTAGAGTTGGCTTTGTGAGTCGACTTTTAAGGTTTATTCAATATTGAGTTGTCCTTCTTGGGGAGACAAGGACGTAGCCAGGGGGTCGATTTCAGGGGTAGAAAGAAGCAGAAGCCCCCCCCTGGCTACGCCCTTGTGTGGAGGCCTTTTGGGGGTTATCCTCATCCCCCTTATTTTAAAATTCATTTAAATATTTTTTCTAATTTTAAAAGCGACAATTGATCCCAACCGTCTATTTGCCTGATGAGTCTGTTCATCCAGAATTTTCACGGTTTGTTTTGCCTGGAGTTCGCTTTGATTATTCCAAAATTGTTGCAAAAAGTGTGGAAAATGATGAGGAAAAAATTGAAAAGATGTCTGTAGAAACTGTTACTGTTGAGTGATTTCAAGTTTTATTTTTTTTAAATTTATTTTGGGGTTTCTTTAAATAATTTTTTGGGGGTTTTATAGGAAAAAAATTTTTGTCGTTGAGCTAACCAAGAGTGTATCCTCTCCCCTCCCCTGAAATTTCTTCCCCCAATTCCCTGTCTGAAATTTTGTTTTTAAAAAAACTCGATGAACTAGACAAGCTGGATCCAGCGGTTTCACATCTCCCTTACCTTATGAAATGGGTGAAAATAAAATAAATATATTGTTAGGTTGACAATTAGCAATTGAAAATGTGACTGGACTGCTAAAAGTTTTTTTTTTATTTTTTTCTGATTTCTTAACTGTGGAAAATTAATTCAAAACACCTAAAATTGTATACTCTCCCTCCCCCTGGGTTAAAAAATTTTTTTTGATGGATACACTCTTTGTTTTTTAAGTTGGGTGTCTTTAAGTTTGTTTTGAGTATCTCTTTAAACTTCACTTTTCAAAAAATCTCTCTCTCTTTTATTTAAAATACTTAAATATATTCTTTCAAAGTTTGGCCAAGTTTTTCATTATAATTTTTTGATTTTTGATTTATTTTAAATTAAATTATTTTTTCAAAAATTTTTTTTTAAAAATTTTGTGTTTATTATCACTTTATTTGTCAAAATATTTTTTATTTATATTTTTTTCCGGGTTCACCTCAAGGCACCGCCAGCAGCGCCTCGACAATAGTGATCGAGCTGGATCTGAACCAAAGGCCTGGGCTCCCCCGGATTCGATAATTTTGAACGAGGTTATAGTTCGATGGTTTGTTAGCCTCGCGGTACCCTGAGGTGAACCCATTTTTCAATTAAAAAATTTTTTTCTCATCAGTTTTAGCTTAAAAAATGGTGACGGATCGTTCTTACACTCCTTTTGAATATGGCTATTTAATTTTGAAGTACAGACATCCCGGAAGTGTTAAAAAATTTGGAACCGATTTTGCGGCTGGTGCTGCTGCTGCGTGCATTTCTAAGACAATTATGGCCCCTATTGAGAGGGTCAAATTAATTTTGCAGGTTTCTTTTATTTTTTATATGGATGAGGGATGATAAGGACAATGAATATAGAATGAAGATTTAAAATGGTCAGGGAAATAGTAAAACAGTTACAGATAGCAAGGGTGTAGCCAAAGGGGGGGCTTCTTGGGCTATAGCCTCCCCCCCTGAAATCGACCTCTGGCTACGCCCTCGACAAAGAGGGTCCCGGATCCGGATAGGCAAAGATTTCCATGAACCGCAATCCTATGTCCGAGGTTTAGCATTTGTCTCAAAATTTTTAGGGTCCGACTTTGGAGGCCTTTCTATTCTTTCGGTCCTCGTGACCATTTCTTTCTAATTTTTTTTTGATTTTTAAAGTTACAAACATCCCAACACACAATTCAAATAAGCAAGCGTTACAAAGGAATGATTGATTGCCTAATTCGCTTGCCCAAAGAACAAGGATTTTTATCATTTTGGCGTGGTAATGTATCAAATATGGCAAGAGCAGCAAGTCAGGTTTCTTAAGAATTTTTTTGTGAAAGGAAAGTCTAATTTTGTTATTTTGATAGGAATCGGTTGGTATTGCTTTTAAAGAAATGCTAAGAAAAATTTTGGTAAATGATGAACATCGAACAACTGATTATAAGAAGTTTCTGGGAGGTAACTTGTTAAATTCGAAATGGTGTTTTTGCGGATTTGGACTACTTTTTTGCGGATTTTTTTCGGACTACTTTTTGCGGATTTCCTCCCTATTTTTCTCTCACAAGGGGCCATCGTTTACTATAACTACGAATTTGATACATTTTTCAGTTCCATTCGATAAAGGACCCTCAACTTCCTATTGCGAAGTGATTTGCGTTTTCCGGCAAAATGACTTTGGGTCGAGGTATGGCTATCCAAAGTATCTGATTTTCCAAGGAGGAAATTGGGGATCCTCTATTAAATGGTACAAAAAATATATTGAATTTGCAGTCGTATTAAACTATGTTTTCTTGTCATTTACCCTTCTTACTCATTTTCAATATTGTCTAACAATATTGTCTAATAATGCGGAAAGTCCGCAAAAATTGATCCGCAAAAACAAGCTTCAAATGAAAATTTAAAAAATTCCCGCTTTTAAGCCAATATGCTCGCTGGAGGTTTAGCCGGAATGGGAACATTTTTCTTCATTTATCCACTCGATTTTTCTCGTACAAGGTTGGCCGTTGATATCGGGAAGGATAAAGCTTCAAGAGAATTTCGTGGTTTAGTTGATTGTTTTATTAAAATTGCAAAAAAGGATGGATTGGAAGGACTTTATAGGTTTCTTTTTAATTATTTAGGACCTCACTTCTAGGTACACTCTTGGAGTTAAGGCCCATCCATCTTCTATGACTTATAGGTCGAAAATTTACGGGTCGGTGTTGCGAAGGTTCGGAGTTGGGATTTGTCTAAGTGCGAGTTTTGGACTCGGGTTAGACAGAATCATTCAAGGGGTATGTGGCAAGGGCGTATCCAGGGGTCGGTTTCGAGGGGGGGGGCTAACATTGGGTGTGCGCCAAAATTTTGGCGTTCCGAACGCAAATTTTTTAGTACATAAATTTTCATCACTTCAGCGCCGCAGGCGAAAATTTGTTTAAGTTTAGAAGGCCGTAGGCCAAAAAAATTCACTTTTTTTTACCCAGACCCTTCCCCAAATTTTTTCCTTTTCCCCATTTCGGGGGGGGGGGGCCTGGATACGCCCTTGGTATGTGGTCCAACCCCAATAACCCCAATAATTTTTGGCACTTTCCCCCTTGCCCCTCCCCCAAATAAAATCCTGGCTACGGGCTTGATCCCAATTTGTATAAATATTTTTCAATAAAATTTTTTTCTTCAGAGGCTTTCGGTCTTCAATGGTTTACATTTTCTTGTATCGTTCTTCATATTATGGAATATTTGATTCTTTAAAAGTTTTTGCATCAAAATCTGGTTCTAGTTCTGGTAAAGATGTGCATTTTTTTGCAGCTTTTGCTTTTGGACAGGTTTTTTTTGAAAAAAAATTTTGTAAATTTTTTTTTCAAATTTTTTAAGGTCTCCGCACTTGTTGCCGCCTTAGTTTCATATCCATTGGATACAGTTAGACGACGATTAATGATGCAGTCTGGAAGGGATAAACATGAATATACAGGGGCTACGGATTGTATTAAGGTTTTCCTAATTTAAATTTTAAATAAAAAATTTTTACCCGGGCGGGGTTCGAACCTTGGACCCCTTTTCCTGTGTAAACCTAACATTTTCCAACTAAACCATGTAATTTTATTTTTTTTTCCATTTTTGTTATGTAAGGGATTTTTTTAGTTGACTTTCACTTTTTGAGTAAATTAGGTTTTCTAAATAAAAAAATTCTCTTCCGTGAATGAGGTTCGAACCTTGGGCCTTTTGTTTATGTAAACCAAACATTTTCCCACTACACTAAAAAATTTATTTTTTCTATTTTTGTTATTTTGGGGATTTTTTGGGTGTCTTTTATCTTTGCTAATTAAAATAAAATTGTTTTCTCCGAGTGAGGTTCGAACCTTGGACCTTTTCCTTATGTAAACCAAACATTTTCCCACTACACTAAAAAATTTTATTTTTTGTTTTTCCGCTTTTTTGGCTTTTTTGAAGGTTATTTCCATTTGGGAATTTAAAAAAATTTTAATTATAAAATTTTATTTTTGCAGCAAATTTATCAAAAAGAAGGTGGTCGTGCATTTTTTAGCGGGTTCTTTGTTAATGCTATTCGTAGTTTTGGCGCAGCTTTAGTTTTGGCTATTTATAATGAGCTGAATAAACATTTGTCTTGATATATATTTTGGTTGTTTTAATTTTAAGTCATTTTTCCTTTCTTTTCTAGTTGAAATTTGTTACTTTAGTTTTGAGAATTTTAGATTTTTTGTTTTAACCCTCCCAGAAAATTTTTTAACTTAGAGTTTGAACTAGAGTCGAGATCGTGTTTTCTGGGATAACATCCAATAGGCTGTTATGCATGAACCTGAATTTTTTCATAAAATTCGGTCTTTTAGGGCTTCCGGTTTATCCTGGATCTAAATTTAAAAGGGAACCCCCTCCCAAGATACCGGGCCAGCAAGTTGAAAGTTCAAGCTAGGGTAGCACCCCGAGCCTTGGGGGCGGGATCGTGTAGATAGGGATTTGACAGGGTAGAGTCTTCCGTGTTTGGGTCTTGATTTTTGACCAAAAATTTGTCGGGTGTCTGTTCGGGGGACGGGGTGCTATTTTAGTTTTTACCCTCCCAGAGAATTTTTTAATTAGAGTTCGAAACATGGTCGAGACCGGATTTTTTGGGATAACATCAGCGAGTCTTTCAGGGTCCCGGATGTCAATTTAAAAGTGAATCCACTCCCAGTATACCGGGCCAGCAATTTAAAAATTCAAACTCTATTTTAATTATCCCTTAAAAATTTTTTTTGTATTTATTAATTTATAAATATTTAAAATTACGAAAATATATTTTTCAAAAATATCCATTGCTTAACTTGGATATTTTATTTTAATTTTTATTTAATTTTTTTTTAAATTTATTTCTAGGTTATAAAATTAATTTTAGAGAATTTTTATTTCAAAGAATTTGTTATATTTTTTAAAAATGGATTTTCATCGAGGTTTTTTTAAATGATGACATTTGGTCCCACTAATTAAAACTCAATTTCAGCAATGCAGCAGCAACAACAACTTCCACCTCATTTAATGACTTCTACATCCTTAAATATTGCTGCCTCAATGCCTGGAACGTCAACCAATATCAATCAATTCCCAAGCCATTTACAAACTCATTTGGATCAAATGTCTTCTATTCCATCGACAACAGCAGCAACAGGAATGAGGTCACAAGAGACTGCTGAAGAGGCTAGAAAACGTTTTGAAATTGAATGTGAATTTGTTCAAGCATTGGCGAATCCAGCTTATTTAAATTGTGAGGTGTTTCGTTGATATTTGGGATGTTCGGTGTAGTGGGATAATTTTCTGTTTACCCCCAAGGTGGACTAGGGTTCGAATCCTATAGCTGCTAAAAATTTTTATTTTGCCTAAAATGGTTTGTTTATGATAAACTAGAAAATTTTTTGATGTTTGGTGTAGTGGGATAATTTTTTAGTTTTTCTCCAATGATGTGCCGGGTTCGAATCCCAATAAAGCTAACAATTTTTGTTTTGATTAAAAATTATTTTTTACCATTTAATATTTATTTAGAAAGCATTTAATAAATTTTAAGCTTTTAGATTTGGCTCAGAAAGGTTATTTCAAAGCTGATTACTTTGTCAACTATCTCAAGTACCTTCTCTATTTTAAATGGCCAGCATATTCGAGGTTTTTTAATTTATTGTTAGTAAAATTGGAAGCCTTTTTGGGAGAAAAATTACTGATTTTTTTAGCCTATAAGGCGGTGACTTTTTTTATGTTTCTCTCCTCTTTCTTTGGGTTCCATTTGACATTTAAACGAAAAAATATTTTTAGTCGGGCAAAATGAAGAGGTTTAAGAAATAAAAGATATAATGTCAAAAGGGAAACATTGAAATAGGAATAGATTCCGAAAAGGAAAACTGTGACTTGTATCTTGTAAGGCGGCAGGTCTCATTGTCAGTTTTCCGAATTTCGTGAAGCTATAGCATCAACCGTAAAGAATTGGGAGGAATATAAAAATCCGCAAAATTTTTGCGGAATCCACAAAAAAAATTTCTAAAAAAATGTGCAAAAAAGTCCGTAAAAAAGTCCGTAAAAAGTTTGCAAAAATTCTCCGTTGGAAGAATCCGTAAAATTTTACTCTTTACAAATTCATCTTTTTCAATTTTTAAGAACTCTCAAATACCCTCAATGCCTATATTTACTCGAATGTTTACAACATGCCGAGTTTCGTGAAGCTATAGCATCGACTGACAATGCTCGTTATATTGAAGATCAACTTTTGCTTCAATGGCATTTTTATATGCGTGTTAGGCAACGCTTACAGGTTTAATCTTAAAAAAGATTTTCTGAATTTTTAAAACTAATTTAGCAACATTCACAGCCTGTTCAACAACAGCAATAAAGAATTGAAAGAATGGAAAAATTCGAAATTTGTTTCCGCGAAATCCGCAAATTTTTTTGCAGAATCCGCAAAAACTTTACGGACGAAATGAAAAGTCCGCAGATTTTTTGCGGATTTTAAAATGATTTTTTGATCCAAAAATACTTTTTTTTCATTTTTTTGCGATAAAAAGGAAGATTAACATTTTATCCCAACTTTTGCTTTATGCGTTTTTTAACGCTTATATTTTTTTATTTTTATTCTACTCTTTAAATTTTAGTTTTAGATCTTTAGAATTTTGTTAAGAAAAATGGCGACATCATCAAATACAACTGCTGCTGTGGCAGATGAAGGAATGGAAGAACGCATAATTAATGAAGAATATAAAATTTGGAAGAAAAATTGCCCGTTTCTTTATGACATGGTTATTTTTAATATATAATTTTTGGGGTTAGATAAGGAGGGGTATGTCTTATTTTCGAGCGTGACTGGTTTTCTATCTTTTGGAGTGCACCAGGGATGGGTCAAGTTACCCAAGCACGGACTTTTTTGACTCGAACCCAAATTTGAATAAAATTTTGGAAAGTAGACCGGACTTTTTTGTCTCGGAATCTGGACTTTTTTGTCCCCACTCCGACTTGTCTCAATCCAGCCAATTCCTAAAATTAACCCTATATCCTTGCGGTGCATAGGATTTTTGAAATATATTTTGCTGGTCTTGGTACTGTCATGTTAACTACCTTATTTTTTTTGTCATCCTTTTTTTCTCTAAAGGATATTTGTTCAAAAGATAGCCGATAACTAGCACTTTTCTCTTTTCTGTCAATTCCGGTGCCTTTTGATATTTTTCATTATTCAAAATTTTTTTTCTTAAGGTTATGACTCACGCTCTTGAATGGCCTAGCCTTACAGTCCAATGGTTACCTGATGTTAAACGTGTGGATGGAGATGATTATACTACACATCGTTTGATTTTGGGAACTCATACATCTGATGAACAGGTTTTTTTTTTATAATTTTTATGAAGTCGGACCTCTTTGTAAGGGTTTTTCGACACATAATTGTAAAGCATATAGCTATTCAATTCCTAAGGCTGAGCAGTAGGCGGCGTGGTGTAATGGCTAACACATCAGTCCGGTCTACTGAAGATGCTGGTTCGCTCCCAGCCGCCGAATAACCTTTTGCTCTAGCTAAAGGAGAGAAATAGCTATAGCCCAGCTGCTTTATTTAATAATTCCTGGTTTTTGTGAATCGTGATAGTTAGATATAAGAACCTCACAATGTGTGTAAAGAATTTTTTTTGGTTGACCTTGGGCTTAGGATGTGAGGGATCTGCTTGTGCCTCACTTTGTGATGCAGCTCTAAAAGATTCTTTTCCCCATCTTTTTTAATGGTTACCTGATGTTAAAAATGCAAAATCCGCAATGGAAAATTTGCTAAAAAAATTTTTTTTTAATTGGGGAGCCCACAGGAGTGTGGGAGCTACCAAAGAGATACCCCCAATTTATGAGTTACAATTTTTGTTTATCTTATAATGAGGCCCGATTTTGCAGAGGCGCTCGAATGCCAAAACGCCGTCGTTTGCCAAAAGGTTTTATGGCTGTTTGCATTAAAACGTAGCCAGGAGGTCTATTTCAGTGCAGCCCCAGAGCCCCCCCCTCCCAACTATGCCCTTGGTTTGCATTTTGACGTTTTGGCATTACGTGGACATGCTCCGACTTTTGAGACATTTTTTCTTTATTTTTAACTAAAAAATTATTTTTAAGCAAAACCATTTGGTAATTGCCAAACTTCTTTTGCCTACGGAAGATGCTCAGTTTGACGCTTCACGTTATGACACTGACAGGGTTTTTTTTATAAAAAAAAATTTTTTAATTTCCTTTCACTTTTAGGGTGAATTTGGCGGTTTTGGTTCAATTACAGGCAAAATTGACGTCGAAATAAAAATGAATCATGAAGGAGAAGTCAATCGGGCTCGTTATATGCCTCAAAATCCAGTTCTGATTGGGACTAAATCTCCAAATGCTGAAGTGTTTATTTTTGATTATACAAAGGTTTTTGTTTTTAAATTTTGGGGTTCATTTCTCGGGTAGTTCTCTTCAAAACTTTTTGCTAGTAATCGAGGGTGTATCTAGCTGGGGTGTCTCAGGTTGCCTGAAATCCAATACCTGATCCCAGGAAAATTTTGAAAACTTGACACGAAACTTGGTCCACCTTTTGCTCAATCCGTGATATTTCTGGTATTAGAAATGTGTTTTTGTGAATGGAGCTCTCCAAACTGCAAGAAAAATGGGCAAGTCGTCCTCTGGTGAAGGGCGATAAAAGTGGATTTTTCCCTACGGTTTTTCAATGATTTCTTCATTTTCATTTTTCTCATTTTGTGAAGGCTCAAGTCACACTCTTCTGGATACACTAGGGTGTCCCTTTTACCACTTTTGAGAGCCATTTGCATCCTTTCTGACCTTTTTTGTTTTTTTTGCCCCTTTTTTGAGCAGCTTTTTTTAGTAATTAAGAGGTGGTTTGGGTCATCCTTTTCGTTAGTTTTTGCTTTTCCTTATAAATATTCTTGGGGAGGTTTTGGGTTGTGGGCCTCTTTTTCGTTAGTTTTCGCCTGTCCCTCATCAAAAATTATTCTTTAAATTTTCCAGCATCCTTCAAATCCACCACAATCTGAAGTTAACATTTGTAAACCTCAACTTCGTCTTCGTGGGCATACAAAAGAGGGTTATGGTTTAAGTTGGAATACCAACTTACCTGGACATTTATTAAGTGCTTCGGATGATACAACAGTTTGTTTATGGGATATTCAAGCAACTACTGCTAACGCTAACTTTTTGGATGCAAAATCGATTTTTACTGCGCACAATGCTGTTGTTGAGGATGTTGCTTGGTTAGGGATTTTTTAATTTTTTGTATTATTTTTTTTGGAAAATTCGCAAATTTATTTTGCGTACAATCCATAAGTTTATTTTGCAGATAATCCATAAGATTTTTGTCCGCAAATTTTGAATTGCAGAAAATCTGCAATTTTTTGTCCGCAAAATTATATTGCTGAAAATCCACAATATTACTGTCCGCAAAATCATTTTTGCAGACAATCCGCAAATTGTTTGTCCGCATATTTTGATTTGCAGAAAATCCGCAATTTTTTGTCCGCAAAATTATATTGCTGAAAATCCACAATATTACTGTCCGCAAAATTATTTTTGCGGAAATCCGCAAATTTTTTGTCCGCAAACTTTTCATTTTATTTTTTAAGGCACGTTCTTCACGACGCTATTTTTGGTTCAGTAGGAGATGATCATAAATTAATGATTTGGGATACTCGTCAGAATAGCACGACAAGACCTCAACATACTGTTGAAGCACATACTGCTGAGGTTTTTTCCTTAATTAAAATTTTTTTAATTTTTATAGGTCAATTGTTTGTCGTTTAATCCATATTCTGAATTTATTTTGGCAACTGGTTCGGCTGATAAGGTTCTTTTTTATTTAAACAAATTTACAAAATCGGGGATAGTGTTCCACTCAAAGGGGTCTACAGCAGAGACTTGCTGTCCAGCGAATCCTCGGTTTACCTGGGAGTTCGGGAGGCTACGGCAAAGCTGGCATAGTCCAGCTAGTCCTCAGTCTATTGCATAGTTTGCAAAATAGTCATAGCAATTCGGTTTGGTGCCTTCAACTTTTGCGGTAGACTAACAATAAATAGTTTATTTGTGGAAGACTATGATATTATAAATAGGTGTGGACATGGAAATCCAGTTTTTCTAGAAATTTGAGTTATATTTTGAATTTTTGTTAACCCGTGACAGCCCCCAGGGCGATAAAAAAATTTCAAAAGCCCCTTTAATTGAAAAAAATTTTTTTCCAAATATTTTTTAGACTGTCGCTTTGTGGGATTTGCGCAATTTAAAATTGAAACTTCATTCATTTGAATCGCACAAAGACGAAATTTTCCAAGTTCAATGGTCTCCTCATAACGAAACAATTTTGGCTAGTTCAGGAACTGATAGACGTTTACATATTTGGGATTTGAGTAAAATTGGGGAAGAACAAACGCCTGAGGATGCTGAGGATGGACCGCCAGGTTTTTTTTTTGAAATTTTGAAAATTTTCGAAAAATTTTTTGAAATTTTTCTTGAAATTTTTCTGTTGAAATTCCGTCATAAGTCTCGGAAACCGATTCAGACAGACGAAATTTCATTTGAAATAGCTCGTCGTGCTGGTGAGTCGATTGACACCAAAATCATGCGAAGCGAGGGATTTTGAAACTTAAACCATTTCGAACCCTATATCTCAGTCCATAGGTGAGACTGGGACCTAATAATGTTGTTCTTCGACTCACAATAAGCTCAAAAGGAGTTTTCGAATGACTTATTGTTTGAATTTCTTTCAAGGACTTATAACGGAATTTTTTGAAATTTTTTTGGAAAAATTTGAATTTTTGAAAATTTTTCTAAAATTTATTTTAAAAATTTTTTGAATTTTTTTTAATTTTCAGAGCTTTTGTTCATTCATGGAGGACATACAGCCAAAATATCTGACTTTTCTTGGAATCCGAATGAGCCTTGGGTTATTTGTTCAGTTTCTGAAGACAATATTATGCAGGTTATCTTGATGATATTTTTAGTTTTTAAAAATTTTTTTTGGTTCAACCCTCGTTTTAATATACCCTCTATATAAGATACACCTTTATTTAAGCGACATTTTTTAGATTTGTTTTGACATTGGGCAAGGCATAGCAGGTCATTTTCCAGAAAATATTTTTCGATGGGGGCTGAAATTCTTCATCCATTATAGCATGAATCTGTCTTTGTAATACCATCTATTTAATGAACCCCTCATTACAAGACACATTTTGATACCTCTAAGGAGGTCTGTTACATTAGGTTGCGCCGTTCGGGCGCTGAGGTCGTTTTGGCTCCGCAGTGAAAATTAAAAATAAAGTTTAAACACGGACCGAATCCGTATTTACCGGATTTGTTGGTCTGCAATCCGGGTATTTTGATAAAACCCGGATTTTGATCCGGAACATCCGGGCCAGTTTAAAATAAAAATCCGGAAACCGGATCCGACATTTTTAATCTAAGTTATTGAAAAAAAAATTTTTTTTTCAAAAGATTTGGCAAATGGCTGATAATATTTACAATGAAGAAGAAGCAGATGCTGTTATGGAACAAGCTGCTGCTATGGCTGGAACTACAACTTAAATAAAATTAAATTGAAAAATTTGGAAAAATTAATTTCTTTGTCTTCTCTATTTAACTATTTATTTGGATATTTTTTTTGATTTTAATTTTTTTGTTCTCAATTTTGAATTTTAAAATTTTTGAAAATTTGTGTAAAAAAAGTTGTTTTTGAAGAAAAAATTTTTTCCCTTTATGTAAAAAGGATTTAATTAATTCCTTTTAATATTTTATTTTTATATTTACATATTTTAATTAAAAAATTTTCTTTTTGTTTTGTAGTTGTTTGAAAAGACTTCAAAAGCGATAATCTCCAATGACATTTTGAAAAAAAAACTACAATGTATAGAACAACAAATATTTTAAATTCAGCAAAACAATATGTCAATTAATCATGACTTGATTGTGTACAAGGACAGTGGCATTTGTGGGTTTATATTGTTTTAATTGTCTGACTTTGTTTTTTTTAATTTTCATAATTTAAATTTCTATTATTTTAATTTAAAACGCTCCCAATTTTATATTTTTTTTTGAAATTTTTCATTGACTTCTAAATTTTTAAAAAATAATAGGTGATTTTTTTTGTTTAAAGTAGGGTAAAAATTCGAATCTTGGGGTCGGGCGTGTTTGTGATCGTAGTTAGTAGTGTAGAGCCTTCGGGGTTCTGTCGTGGGTTTTACCAAAAAAATAGTCGGGGGTCGGGTTGCTACCCTTGTTTAAAGCCTTATAATTGTTAGACTTTAAATTTTTGTGTCTTTGGAATTATTGTGTATATTACCAAAGTTATTAATTATCTGTTTTGAGTTGTGAGTCCGTAATCAGGGCGATCTACCCAACATCAAAAATTGCCTATTTGAGTGCCGACTCAAAAAATGTAGGAAATTCTCAAGTTGGGAATCGGGTCGGATTGATCTGTGTTTGTTTTTGTAGTGTGTGTTAATCAATCTTCAACTAGGGATAAACTGTCCTACATTTTTAAAATGCGGCCTGACCCATTTCGACATCAAATCCTTGTTTATATTTTATTTCTCTATGCAACAAATCCTTGAGCGTGTGTTTGTTCTGGGTCTGTCAAGAGCTTCATCGAAAGCTTGGGCATCCCCAGGGTATAACCCCAAAGTGTGAAACTAATTTCATCATTTTATTAATTTTAAAATATCCAGACTTGCACTTTTATCTTTCATAATTTTATTTTTGTTTTCATGTGAATGTTTACTCTATTTTTTAATTATTTCCTGTTTAATTAACTTAAAAGGGGGCAAATATTTTTAAATTTTAATATTAATTTTTTTAATTTTAAAAATTAAAAACAGCTAATAGAGGGGGGAAAATAAAGGGAAAGTCTCAAAATTATTCGGCACTAAAGGAAGAATGAAATTGGCATTGTTTTTACTGGCATTTTTGTGTTGTTTTTCGGAGGGTGATGGTGGCGGAAGTCAACCATCGCCTCTGTCAACACACGCAATTCGTCTAACTTCAATACGTACGTTTTTAGGAGACCTAGTACAATTGGAACTCATTATAGGATACCCCCAATATTAGAGACACCTCTATTTAAGAGACTTTTTTAATTTGGTTGGCCACTGGTGTGAGGGAGTTGCATAAGCGATACTTTCTTCTTAAAGTATCCTCTAAGATACTTAACCCAGTATTAGAGACAGCTCAGTTCAACAGAAACTGATTTTAAAATTTGGTTGGCTTAGGCAAGAGGTCCTGAAAGATACACTATTTAAGATGCTTTTATTATAAGGTACAATTTTTCAACCCCATGTTTGTAGGGTTCCTTTACCGGCGAGTGGACTTAATTTATTTGACTGTTTAATAAAGATGGGTTACTTGATAAATTTTGTAAAATCAAAGTTTTCTTAGGAGCTCCAAGACTTCAATTTTTAAAACATCGAAAACTCAAACCACCAAATTCTAATCAAAGTAATCATCGACTGACAATGACTGATGAATCTAAAAGTCAACTAAGAGAAACTGAAGAGAGTTTGTCAAAAATTTGGAAGCAAACAGAATATCCTTCAAAGTCAGCAAACCCGTTGACTTTGAAGAAAAAACCACTTGAAAAAGCTTTGAACAAGATTAAAGATAAGAAGAAGAACGAAGAGAATATAAAAATCTTTGAGGAGGAAGATTTTTTCAAATTTTTAAAAGCAAAAATTAAACAAAAAAGAGAGGAACGTCCAAAATTTAAGAGGGCTCAAGAAGCTCGTTTTTCTTCTGGAAAAATTTGGGTTTCTCCGCCATTAGTGGATTGGGCAGGGCAATTAAATGAAGAAATTGTTGAAAATCTGTTTAAAAATCTTCCAAAAATGTTGAAACATGTAGAAGTGGCTGAAGAGGCTGTGAATATGGTTTTGGTATTAGATGAGATTAATCGTGTCATGGAATACGAGACGGCAATAAATGAAATTGAATGGGCTTTGGAGGATGAAGAAGAGAAGAAAATGAAGGAAGAGGAAGGGAAGATGGGGAATGAAGTAGAGAAGGAGGAAAAGGGTGAAGAGAAGGGAGAACTGAAGAAAATGAAGGAAGAGGAGAAGAAGATGAGGAATGAAGTCATGAAGGATGAACTAGAGGTGGAAGAGATGAAAATGAAGGAAGAGGAAGGGAAGGTGAGAAATGAAGTCATGAAGAAAGGAAGAGATGAGGAAGAGAAGGAAGGGAAGATGAAAGAAGAGAATGGGAAGATGAAGAATAAAGTCATGAAGGAAGGAATGGATGAAGAAGAGGAATATGAAAAGATGAGCAAGGAGAAGGGGAAGATGCGGAATGGACTTGTGAAGGACGAACAGGATGAAGAAGAAAAGAAGGAGAAGATAAAAGTTGAAAAAGTTGTGACTTACAAACAAGAAAAATATAAAGATGGAAAGGGTCGTTTGTACCACCATTGGCTAAAATTAACTCTTTATGGAATTCTCAACATTTCAGCGCCGGGGGATAATGTGGATGAACGGTTGAAGGAAGGATTGGAACGTTTAAATCAAGCAAATGATTTTGTTAATTTATTACATGAAGAAAACAAGTCTAGAATTGAGTTTGAAGTTGGGGTTGAAAATAGCAAAAATTGTAAGGATTAGAAATTCTTTTTAGTGGAAAGCTTGGTAGTGGAAAGCTTTGTTAGTGGACCTCATAGATACACCCGATACCAGATATTTAAGAGACGTTCTTTAAAATTTGTTTGGCTGGGGGTGGAAGTAGTTGACTACGTGATACCCTCTATAAGAAACAGCTCAATACTATCATACCTCGATATAAGTTACCCTCGATACCAGATACCACCTCTGTATAAGCGACGATTTTAAAAAATTTGGTTGGCCGTTGAGGGTTGTGATCTGCCATTTAAGCACTCTATTTATGATAGACCTTCTTATAAGCTATGATCCTTCAGTCTTCTAGAGGGTATCTTATAGTTAGGTTTGGACTTTAATATTTTTTAAATTCACTCTTTCAGTGTTAAACCGCGCAGCTAAAGTACTCAACAAATTTAACAATTTTCGAACCTCTTATTTCCAGCCAGGTTCCGTATTAGATAAATACAAAGTAATTGATGACAAAAAATTGAAAAATAAAAAGGAGGTATACATTGATAGACAGCCTTCTATTAAAATTAAGGAAGATAATTGGTTAGAAGAAGCATCAAAAAAGTTGAGAAAAGAAAGGGAAAAGGAGTTAAAGCATGTTATGAAATCTGTGATTTTTAGTGGTAATGCGCTTGTGATTAATAAAACAGTGGATTGGTCGAAAGAATACAATGCTAATTTTGTTGTTGAAATGCTCTCTAGGTACATAATTATAAATAACTAATTCCTCTATGATTAGTTAAGGGACCCAATTCTGAGAGAGGGTTAATGTTGAGATAAACGCTCTCTGAAGGGTGGGGGGCTGAGCGTTCTTTTGATAAAGACTCTTGATTCTAACACTTCTAGGCTTTGCATCTCTAAGATGGACAGAGATAGTTTTAGTGATTACGACTCATAAACTTCTCCTGGGAAGAAGCTTATGATATTCTCTCCTGCTTCTTTGTTTTTCAATCAAAAACCTTGTCCACTTCTAACTGTTCACTTCGAAGGATCTCACCAGCTGACCGAATCTTATCACTCTTAAGGAAACTCTCCTTATATGAGGGAGGTCACTCTTCCCGTTCTAATTTAAATTTTCATATTATCATCAACAAAAAATTATGTTTTTAAGACAAAGTTTACCGTTACCACAAGAAACTTTGGAAAAATTGGCAGTAGAATTAGTTCTTGTACTTGACGAAGCACAAAGAGTTTCTGACTACGACACCGAGATTACAAAAATAGAAAATGCCATTGAAGAGATTAAACAGGGTGGAAAAACCATTTTCGAAGCAAAAAATCAACGCTTAAATCGCAATTTATTAAAATTTGTTTTGTGGGGAATTTTAAATATTGAAGGGCCAAATGATAATTTAAAGAAGAAAATAGCACTAGCTTTTGAGAGATTGCACTCTGCTGATGAATTTATTAAGCTTTACGGGGTAGAAGATTCTGGGAGGATACAAGTGGAGAAATGTGTGAAGGATGCTGAAGATGGTGAGAGAATAATAAGGGAACTATACAGTCGAACCTCGATATAAGATACTCTTAAGATAGGTACAACTCTATTTAAGAGACGTTTTTCAACAATTGTTACTGGGGGGGGGGGGGAGGAGTTTCCTAAGCGATACCCCTTATTTAAGACACACCTCATTACAAGTATACCTCAATTTAAGATACTCTTAAGATAGGTACACCTCTATTTAAGAGACGTTTTTTTAACAATTCCAGTGGGTGGGAGGAGTTACCTAAGCGATACCCTTATTTAAGACACACCTCATTACAAGTATACCTCAATTTAAGATACTCCCAATAGTAGATAACCTCTTTTCAAGAGACGTTTTTGTAAATATGGTTGGCTAATTGTGGGGGAAGCTTCCTAGACGATGCCCCCTTATTAAAGACACGCCTCATTATGAATTAGGATTTTTGTAGTATTAAAGAGGTATCTTTTAGTGCGGTTCGACTAGTACAGAAATATAATCATTTTAAATCATTTTCTAGTATTAAACCGCGCTATTGTTTTCATAAAACTTTTTGATAATTTTCGTGGAGGAGCAACAGCGGATGAAAAGAAAACTGAGCAGATAACCAGTCAAATAAATGTTAAGAAAGGATTTGATGAGGGTGAAGGTTGAGTGCCAGGCCTAGCGAACATTTTTTTCTCGCTTGCCGGCCAAAATACTTTTTTTTAAATTTTTTTTTGTAGTCTTTTAGTATTGTAATTTTAGCTTTTTTTACTCATGATTTTTAAAAGGCGCAAAAGAATTAATTTAAAAACAATTGAAATTTTTAAAAAATTGAGAGAGTGCGCACAAAAGAATAAAAATTTGAATGATTTTTTGTTTGTTTTTTTTAATTTGAATTGTAAGGAATGGGAGAGGGTTGGAGGGGTGAGGAGGAAGGAAAGGTATGGGTTTCTATGAGTATCTTTTAAAGGGCTTTGTTTTTTATTAAATTTGTCTGGCAATTGAAGGGGGGGGGGGAATTGTTCGGCATTGTAAACGAGGGGATGTTGGATGGAGTTGTTCATGTTTCTTTTATTAGGCTGTCGGAGAATTATGTGAAGGTGTGAGGTTTTGGAGTGTTGTAGTATGTTGGTGAAATCCACAAATATCCGAACCGAACCTTTCGTATTTTCTGTACTTTTTCCGGAATCCAGATATGTCAAAAATGTGAGAGAATCTTACGGATATATTTTTCAATTCTATTCGAAAAATTATTTGTTACCGTAGTTACATAAAAAGCGTCTTGCGTTTTGCGGCAAAAAATAGCATTGAGGATGAAGTGACGTGATTTTGTCTCTCCTCCTTTTGAATGCTATTTTTTGTCGCAAAATGCAAGACGCTTTTTATTTAACCACGGCATTAGATTTATTTATCTATTGCAAATTATTTCTTTAGCCAGTTCTGCAAACATTTTTGTTTTTATTGAAGATGTCTGGAATGAAAAAAGAAAGGGTAAGGTTATGTACGTTTGTTTGGAGAATGAATCCTGGGATCTACCTTTTCATTATCATCATGTGCCCTTTTCCACCCATTTTCTCTTGTATATAAATCCTAACTCATTTCACATTGACTTCCTTATTGAGAGACCTCTTTGTGGGAGACCTTTTCCCTAACCCCTTACCCCATTGACCAGTTGCTTGTGTATATTTAGAAGATAAATCAAAATTATTTAGGTATGTTCTCAGTATATCTGAGAGTTTGATTTATTCATAGGGCTTATAATTATCCTCAGTATATTTATTTAGGGTATGTCCTCAGTATATCTAAGTGAGAAATCTAATACGCTTAAGTTTTCTGATTAAAGCTCGGATATAACAAAGACTAGGATACCGATAAAAGGCTTACTAAACACGTCACCCTAGCAAAGAGAAACTTTGTTTTAATTTTTATTTATCATTCTTAAAAATCTCTACATATTTACATTTACTTGAAAAACTAAATAATGTATTTTGATTTTAAATTTGAAAATTTTCTAAATATCAAATTTCGGGATTTAATATCCTTTTAGTATTTTATCTTTTATTTTTTTTTGCGTTTAAATATTCATCTTTCTTTCCTTCTTCTTCTTTTATTTTTCTTTGTTCATTTTTCTTCTTTTTTAAAGTCACCTCTCCATTGAAAACCTTTCAAAATACTTTTATTATCCTCTTTTTTCAATCCCCCCTTCAATTCATCCTTCATTTTTTTCCCAATTTCTTTTTGCGAATCTTTCGTATCTTCTTCCTTTTCCACATTCGGTTCGTTATTCTTTTCTTCCCTCTCTTCCTTAGCTTTTTTATGCTTCTCTTCCTTTTCTCCCTTCAACTCTTCATTCTTTCCCTTCGGCACTCCCTTTTCTTCATCATCAAATTTTTCTTTCTCATCTTCACCCTTTTGTTGATTAACACTTTCTTCTTCCTTTACCTCAATCTTCTCTTTATTCCCTTGCTTAACTTCCCCATTTTTTGCATCTTCATCTTTAAAATCCTCATCCTTTTTTTCTTCATCATTAAACACCAACATGTTGCTGTTTACATGTATGAGCATGTATGTTGCTTGTTCGATTACTGAGAGATAAATTTAAAAACAATAGGTGGACTTACTTTATGATAACCTCAATATAGGATCAATTCGATTTATAATGTGTTTTTAAAAATTTGGATGATTAGGGGTTGGGGGGAGCTGCTCAAGCGATGCTCTATTTCAGAATCCCCTCTATAAGGTACGGTTTCTTATAACCGACGTTTAATATAATAATTAATAATTTATTAATAATTTAATAATTTATTAATTAATAATTTATTAATCATTATAAGTTAAAATTTTTTAGCCCGAAATGATTATCTTATAGTGGTGGCTGGCTCAAACTTGGGTTGGTTGGGGTTGGGCGATACCCTTCTATTTAAGGTACCCCTCATTATAATAGTGATGCTCGGGTATCCCTACTCCCGAATCGGGAAATTTTCCCGAGTTTTTGGCTTCCCGAACCCAATTCCATTTTCCCATGTTTTTTCTTCTCCCGAGCATTTATAAGGCCCTATCCAGTCCCAAGAGGGTATCCTATAGTAGTTAGTATCTGATTTTTGTATTTTTTTCTCTTACATTGTTTAGCTCTAATTACACGTTCCTTAATTTTTTCAGCCTCATTTCTCATTGTACTTAAATATAATCCATTAATTAATTTATCCATTTTACTCAAATTTTGTTTTTCATTTTCCAAATTTTCTATTAAATCAATTCCTTTCCCCTCTTCAATATCCAAAAGTCCCATTAACTCAAATTTAATTTCCCCCAATTTTCGTTGATATTTCCACTCTTCATTTTCTCGTTTCTCCCTTAATTGTTCTTCTGCAATACACAAAAATGGCCAAAATTCAATTATTCGATCACACTCATCCAATAAAAGTTTCAAATCTACTGCCTCTCTTCGTTGGTTTATCTTTGGAGGAAAAAGGATTTTTTAAAAAATATATTAAAAATTTTTTGTTAGGGGGAAGGGGTGATCGAAAAAAAATTGCCAGGCCTGGATATAGGATTATGGATAACATCGTATCGAACAATGCGTCTCAGTGGACAATCGGTTAGTGAAACATATCGGAGTTGGAGGGATTAAAGGGATATTGAAGGATTTGTGAGGATTAAGAGGATTTTCCGGTAATATCTAGGGATCAAGGTGGATATCAGTTGATTTTGATGGATTGGTGTTAACAGGCATATTAGACCTTCTAACTATCACTTAATCTTCCCAGTTCCCTCGATATATCCTCAAAATACTCTTACTCCCTTATAATCTCCACAAATCTCTCTTAAATCCTCCAAACTACCCTGTATGTCTCTTAATCCTCCGATATAATTCAATGACCAGATATCGACTGGTGCATTGTCCACTGACACATTGTCCGGATTTCTGATAACACAACCCATCCTTCTACTTACCCCCATCTGTTTAAAAGGTGTTTTCCTGTCTCCATCATCAACATTTGGATATCTATTCTTTATTAATTTTGCAACTAATATTAAATTTGATTCTTTTTTATTTTTTTTCATCAATTTCATAATAATAATTGTAAAAAGCTTCCCTGTCCTCCCACTTCTTGTCATCAAATAAATTTATTTTGGGGGCTCTTTTCTTTTCCTTTTCCCCCTTTGTTCGACGTTCCTCAATTCTTGCTAATTTATTTTCAAAATCTGTTCGATTAGGAAACAGATCATTTGGGATATATTCATATTTTTGATAAGGATCCCATTCATCCTTAAACATTTATGTTTAAAAATTATGTAAAATATTTAATATTGACTATTAGAATTTCACTGTAGGATACTCCGTTGGGGGTGAAAAAATCTTATTTTATAATGAGGGTTTCTTAAATAGAGGGTATCGCTTAGGCCACCCTTTGGCCATCTTATCTTGATGAATACAGCCCAATTTTTTAAGCCCCTCGGTGCTTAAGAAATTTTATTTTATAATGAGGGTTCCTTAAAAAGAGAGTAGCGCTTAGGCCACCCTTTGACACCGTATCTTGATGAATGCAGTCCAGTCTCGTTAAGATACCCCTTCGTTGCTTAAAAGATCTTACTTTATAATGAGGGTTTCTTAAATAGATAGGGTTTCTTGAGGGTTTCTTTGATGGTTTCATTAAATAGGCCGCCCTTAAACACCGTATCTTGGTGAATACAGCCCAGAAGTAGCCCAATTTTTGAAGCCCCTCGATGCTTAAAAATTTTTATTTTATAATGAGGGTTTCTTAAATAGAGGGTATCGCTTAGAGGGGCTGCTCCTATACCCCTTTTTACTTATAATGTGTTTCCACTGTAGTTTGATTATTCGCTTTTTCTCTTACCGAATCATATTCTTCAACTCTTGGATTATTTTTCTCGCTAGCTTTAACAGTAAATTTTTTGTTATTTTTCTTTTCTAAATTTCCATAATGCTTTTTATTAAAATTTTTAATTTCGATTGGACAATTTAATGAGGGGGAAAATGATTTTGATTTAATTTTTGTTGAAGAGAGGTTAAGGAGTAGGGGATGGGAGGGGTGGAAGTTAGAAGCGGAAATTTTAGTAGCAGAAGATGGGGATGTTAATAAAGGGGATGAAGTTGTTTTGTTCATTATTTGAATAATGATGATAGTTAAAAATATTAAAATTTTTTTAATAGTCATCCTTAAAAAAATTATTTTTTTGAGAACGTAAATACAGTTGAGTATAGTAGCAGGCAGGCTGTATACCAGGGAACGCGCCGACAGAAAATCAAATTCCCGATTTTCGGGAATCGTGAATCGGGTCGGCGCGATCCCTGCTGTATACAATACAGCTAGGCCCCAGGAATTGTTAGGTCCTTCCAGACCTGACATTCCCAGATCAGTCCCTAGTTAAAACTGTTTTTAAAGAATAAAACTGCACAACCCCGCTGCCTAAGCAATATTCCTATACCCCTTCATTTTATTATATACATACATGCGATTTTTAAACTTGTGAGGTCGAAGTTCGATATTTGGAGAGTATATATGAATTTTCGAGTTTTTTAGAGGATTTTGTTTTAGACTGATTAAATGATTTGATTAGTATGGGCTTTACCTTGCTATTTTATATTGCAAATTTTTGTTGTTGCATCATTCTTTTTAATTTTAAAGTATGATATTGAGCTTCTTGACAAGGTGCCTATCATTTTTTAAAAATTTGGAAATGCCCTTAAATGTCAAGATTTTTATTTAGATTACTGTAATGCACCGTAAAAGTGGCATCTTTTTTTTTATTTTTAAAAATTTTTCACGTGAAGACTATATCATGTTTATTTTTATTTTTATATAAGAGTGCAATGCCGCTATTTTTTAAAAAGATTTTTATTTTTTTTTGAAAGTACAAAAATATGTAGTAGACAGGTGATATGATGCAAGACGTGTGATATTGAAATTTATTTTAGAGGGATTACGATAAAAATTTTGTTGCCCTTTTTAGTTTTAATATCTAGCGTCCTGATATAATGCTCGATTCACGTCGTTTTAAGATGTACCTCCAATATAAGATACACATCTAAGAGACGTTCTTGAAAGTTTGGTTGATTACTTATTTGTTAGTGGAACATATTAGATTATGTCCATGCTGTGGAAAAATTTATTGGATGGGAGATGTATGTATTAGAACCATCATACAAAGGGCCCAAACCGAAGCACACCCGACTGTGCCACTATCCAACCCGATGATGGGTTTATTTTCATTTTGGAGGATTAAGCAGGCTTTCGAGGTAATAATGGGAGTTGTAAAGGATATCGTGGGATTATTAGTAGCCCCCAACCTTAATTATCAATAATCTTCTATATCTCTGAATTCCTGTAGTATTTTCAAAAAAAGAGCTTTACTGACGAAACTGATTCTGACGAAACTGCAGATTACTCCCAATACTAGACACACACTTATATTTTACCGGATATACGTTTTAAACTTCATTATCCACTGGGCGAGGGATCTCTATTAAAAGTACCCTCTATTTAAGATACACCTCATTTAAGATGAGTTTTTTCAGCCTATCCTATCTTGAAGGTCGGACTGTATAGGAGAGATTTGATTTTTGATCTTAAGAATGTCAGCGAAGCATAATGTTAAATAAGTTGCTAAATAAGTTGTTACTTAGTTTAATCCCTTTCTCTCTTCATTTTTCTTCCATCACTTTTGTCTTTTTTTTCATCTTTTCATCATCTATTCTTCTTATCTTCACATTACTTCCTCTCTTCATTTTTCTTCTTTTCTTCTCTCATTTCCCCTCACATCAGAGATAGTTCGAAACTAGGATTTTAAAAATCGAATTGAAATTTACCGCCACCCCCCCCCCTGCCACCCCCCCCCCTGCCACCCCCCTGACCACTCCCCCCCTGACCACCCTCCTGGCCACCCTCCTTGAAATTTCTTTATGATAAAATTTTGATAACTCAGGAAAAAAATTTTTTTTGATTAACAAAAGTAATCTTCAAAAATCCCCCTCAAAATAAAAACAAATACAAATAATTTTAAAAATTAATTTAAATTTTGCTACTTAATATTTATTTAAAAATAAATATTGCTACAATAATAAAGAAAAAGGAACACAATTTTTTTAAAAATTTAAAAAAAAAATTTAATTTTTATAATTCATCTTTTTGTTCCTTCCATTCATTTAATTTTCGTTTTTTAAAAAATTCTTTGAAATTGAGACTCTTCAAATATTATGGCGGAGGTCATTAATGAAATTCAAAATGTTTCCAGTAATGATCACCACTAGAAAAAATTTTTTTTTATTCTTTTATTAGTCCTAACTTCGCTATAAGAGACCCCTTTTAAGCTTAAAAATTGTCTCTTATGATGGGAGGTTTATAAAATAGAGGGTATCGTTTCGATAGAAGGTATCGCTTATAATGGGAGGTTTATTAAATTGAGGGTATCACTTGAGCAGGCTCTTCCGTCCAGTGGCCTAAAAAATTTTGAGAAAGGGGTCTCTTATATAAAGGTGTCTATTGTATGGAAGGTATCTTATATTGGAAGTATCTTATATTGGAGTTATCTTATATCGTGGTACGATTGTACTGAAGGGTGTTCCCTAAATAGAGGTGTCACTTGATAGGCTCTCCAGTCCAGTGGCTATTGAAAACGTCTCTTATATAGAGGTCTCTTATACTGGAGGCATTTATTAATGAAGTTTTTCTATTTTTCCTCTCACACTCTCCCACTCACCCCTTTCAGCTTCCATCAATTCATTCTTCATTCCTTCAATTACCACTCTCTCCCCTCCTTCATCATCTTCATTAATAAATTTGGATTCAATTTCACTCATCACCCGAAAGAATGGAGTAGAATGAGATTTAATCATTCCAATTTGATAATTAACATTCATTTCCACTGGAATTTCTTCAACATATACTCGTGGGTTAAATAAATTTTTCAATTTTTCAGCTTCCACAAACAATTGGGAAATCTCTTTGTTAATCTTTTCCTAAAATTAAAAAAATCGTGATCAGCGTCTATATTTGTCAGAATTTTTAAGTCTGGATCGGAGTCAAAGCTGCTTTCTGAAATATATTTCTTTCCCCAAAAGGACCATAATGGTCAGACTTTCTTCGAACTAAAATTTTCCTCAAGGGGCTCATAATGGTCAGACTTCTTTAGAAATAATTTTTTTCATCAAAAGGCTCATAATGGTCAGACTTCCTTTATCTCACATATCCCTTAAGACCTCGTCAAATACATCATCATCCTCTATTTAGAAGCCATGGAAGACAGATAGAATGCCTTCCATATGAAATCTATGTCGAAGAGATCGTTACCATTTTTCGGGCCCAAAAAATAGCCCGAGAAGTGCTACGAAATTAAGTACCCAACCAGCTCAGGTCTGAATCTGATATCTGCCCACTTCTCTCTCTCACTTTCCTACCTTTTCTTCCTCTTCTTCTTCTTCCACCCTTTCTCCTTCTTCAACTATTGTTCCTTCTTCGTGTCCATTTTTATTCATTTCCATCATCACCCTTCCCTTCTCTTCTTTAATTTTTAACATTTTTTCTTCAACATTTTCAACCATTTCTTTATATTTATTAATTCGTCTAGCTGTAGTTAATGCTTTAACCATCATACTTCCAGCAGCATAAGCATAGACAACTTTTTCTTCAACGCGAGAAAACTTTTCCACATAGGGCACCAACAAATTTGCCACAGTTTGAATTACTTTTTTCTGTTGAAAATTAATTTTTATTGTAAGGAAGAAAGGAGGAGATTCAGCTGGCTATCATTTAAAACGAGAGGGATCTATAGGGGGATCTTTATCTAGACGAGGGGGATCTATCGAAAGAGAAGGTGGAAGCAGCGCCACGGGTAAAGCATTTCATTGTAAGGAAGAAAATTGGAGATCCAGCTTTCTATCACGATCGATACCTGCCCTAGGAACTGAGTCGGCGGTACCAGTCTCTGGCTATGGACGGAGATATAGGCCCCCAATTATTGTAACCCCATGGGTGGGTTAAGTTCATCTCTTGAGACAAAATTCAAATATGCAAGCAATATCTCATTCGAAAGAGCTCCTCAAGCTGACTTGAATGACACCAAACTCAGCCCGATCTTTTTTAAAGTTCCCCTCAAACCTTTTGATCAGTCGGCTGTTTATAGCCCAAATTCCAATTAATTTCTTCAACTAATTTTGAATAAAATTTGTTTTCCTTTACTTTTTCCTCGTCTTGTTTTTCAATTTGTTCATTAGTAGACCCGTTCACATTATTTTCTTCTTGCTCTTTTGATTGTTCTAAAAATTGACTTGTAGACCCCGCTATAACCTATCCCCGTAGGGTCAAATATTATACCTTATAATGAGGCGTTTCTTATATAGAGGTTTCTCTTAGGCAAATCCCTTGGACAATACCCAGCCAATTTTTTTCAATAAAGTCTCTTAACTAGAGGTGTATATAGTATTGGGGTATCTTATTGTGAGGTAGATTGTACTGAGGTGTTTCTTAAATAGAGGGTATCGCTTAGGCGGATCCCTTGGACAATACCCAACCAAACTTTTCAGGAACGTCTTTTTAATAGAGGGTATCTAGTATTGGAGGTATCTTTTATCGAGGTACGGTATCTTTTATTGTCTCCCTGTATCCATTTACCAGTAAACTTTTTCAAGGACGTCTCTTAAATGGGGGTGTATCTTACATATATGGGTGTATTTTATATGAGGTACGCTTTTACTGAAGTTCTCTTAACTAGAAGGGGTTTCGTTTAGGCATCTCCCTCCGCTTAATGGCCAAACAAGCTTTAAAGAATGTTTCTTAACTAGAGGTTTTAGTATCTCTTAACTCTCTTTTTTCTTACCAACAGCTTGAACCTCCATTTGGTGATGATTTATTGAACCATTTCCTCCAATAATTTTTTCATTTTTGATTCCGATTTCCTCTTGAGGATTAATAACCGTTTCGTGTTCAATAGTAGGGGAATCGACAGATGGACTAGCAGCAATTTTATGATGATTGTCAGAAGTGGTTGCTTTTGTTTTTGAAATTTTGTATTTTTGAGGGGTTGACTTTGGGTGGTTATTGAAGGAAACCATTGAAGGCTTGTTTAACTTTTTGTTGTCAAATCCAGAAATGTTGTTGATGTTGTTGGTAATTGGGGATGGAACTAGAGAGAAAATATTTTAGGGGATAAAGATCTTTTTTACCCCGAGGGTGTATTTAGAGAGTTAATTCTTCGCTATATCGGCCCAGCTCATATACAGGGATGCCGGTTTTAACCCGTTGGTTTTGGTTCGTGTTATCCCTTTGTGGTTTTCGGTTCGGGGTTTTAGTTCGAATACATATAACTTGGCCAATCAACCCCGGAAAGTACATCTTAGCCGAACTACATAAGCATGAAGCCCTACTTTTGATCGGCTGTCACGAAAAATTTTTGGAGACATGGGCCGCTAGTATTTTTTGCAAGTGCATAGCACAGACCCTGTACTATATAAAAACAATAACCAAATCCCCTTAACCCTATAATATTGGTTGATTTAGCCTTGTTAGTTAAGAAATTTTTTTCTATACTTACCCATATTTTTAGTATTTCCAACAGCAGCATTTATCATTCCTTTAACTTCATTGTAATTAATTACAACAATTAACACTATCACCAAAGTTTGGGGAAAAGGCAATTTATTATTGCTAATATTTGTTGCCATTTTTTGGTTTTCCTGTAAAGGAAAATTAATTACAGTCACTAGCTCTCTTGTAGTTAAGGGATGTCTCAGGTACTAGAAATCCTATGCCGGGACGTTTGGACCTGAGACCCCTCCAAAACCCCTGAGACTCCTACAAAACCCCTGAGACCCCTGAGACCCCTACAAAACCCTGAGACCCCTACAAAACCCCTGAGACCCCTACAAACCCCTGAGACCCCTCTAAAACCCCTGAGACCCCTCCAAAACCCCTGAGACCTCTCCAAATCCCCTGAGACCCCTACAAACCCTTGCCCCCTAATCTACCGATAAAGAGGCTTGAGAGGATCCTTCCTAATCTCTTACTAATCCACCCGAGAAACGTAATTTTCTCGACTCAAGACCCGATCCCTTTCTCTCAAATCCGGCCTAACTACAGTTTCCGTACCAGGCTCAGAATTGGACGATTTATATGTCATTCGAAAGAGCTCGTCGAGCTGAGTCGAACGACACCAAAATTATTCAGCGGAAAAGATTCTGAGCCGAGTTACAGGCCCCCGAAAATCGAAAAACCATAGGGGGGACCAAGCTGATTTTTGGGGTGAAAAATTCGAATATGCAATTAATAGCTCATTTGAAAGAGCTCTTCAAGCCGAGTCGAATGACACCAAAATCGCCGTGATTGGTCAAGTTTGTTCAAAGTTATGACAGAAAAAACAAACAACGTAAACCTATGGGGCGTCGGCGAGGCGCTTGTGCAAAACTCCGCGCTTCGCGCGGAGTTTTGCGGCACGCGCCTCGCGGGGAGTCTACGGGCTCTGGGTCTGGGCTCGTAACTTAATCCTATTCCAATTATCGCTGTGATGGGCATGCCCAGCTTCCTCCGCAGCAGCAAGAACATCCACGGAGAACAAAGGTAAGGAGCTAAAACAAACGAGCATAACTTTGTCAAATCAAGTCTGATTTCATTGATTTTGGTGTCATTCGACTCAGCTCGATGAGCTCTTTCGAATGAGTTATAATTTGCATATTCGAATTTTTCACCCCCAGAAAACAGCTTGGTCCCCCCTATGGTTTTTTGAACTTTAGTGGTCTGTAACTCGGCTCAGAATTTTTTCCGCTGAAAAATTTTGGTGTCATTCGACTCAGCTCGACGAGCTCTTTCGAATGACATATAAATCATTCAATTCTGAGCCTGGTACGGAAACTGTAGTTTAGCCTCAAATCCTCTTAATCCCTCCAAATCCAGTGGGAGCGAACCAGCATCTTCAGTAGGTCGGACTGACGGGTTATCCATTACACCGCCTACAGCATAGCTTTAGGAATTAAATGGCTATATGCTTTACAAAATTTAGTAATCTTAATGTCAATGAAATGGTTATTTTAATAGTAGTAAACAGTCTTTTTGACTACTTGCCCTTCCCATTGTCGCGCTAGCCTTATAAAGCTTTGAATCTGTCCTTTTAGACTATGTGGAAAATATAGCTAAAAAGTGCAACTTTTTTTTTAAATTTTTTTTGAAAGAATGTCTAGATGTGTATAATCGTCATGCTGATTTTTATTTAAAAAATAATTTAAAAAATTAAATTAAAAAAATTTTTTTGGAGAAAATTGTTTCAGCTTCTTCCAAGTAGGCCAAAACCGAATTTTTTAAAATTAACGACAAAATTTTTTGGAAAGTTGCCCTCATGCTTGAATTCGATTCACACCTTCAAGCTGTAATTTGGCGGATCTTGAGACCGAATAAAATTCGAATATCCAGAAAATTTCATTTCGATCCGGGGATATTTGGGGAGATCTTCCAGATGCCCCCAACCTTACCTCTTTGTTACATATCACCTCCAAGATATCAGATCCGGATAAATTTGCTCCCAGAGAGTGTGAGGTGTTTAGACATGTTTGACCTTAAATTTTTTTTAAATATTTTTTATTACCTTGATTTTCTAATGACATAAGGATGTCATTAAAGCTCTTCAAAAATTTCACTTTTGATTATTTTTCAACTTTTAGTTATGCTTTTTTTTAACTTTATTAAGCCGTTTTTATTTCTGTACATAATTTTTTAATTTTTTCTTTCAATTAAGACTCTCCAAAAAAATTTCTAATAACAATAAATACCGCTATAAATAAAATAAAATTTTCCCTTAGCGTATGAATCTTCGCCCTTAATTAGAGGTGTGTCCTGAGACCCTGTACCCTGACCCGAAACCCGCCCTTAAGCCCAAGCATATTCTTCTCTGTGACCCGAACCCCTCCTTGAAACAATATGGAAACCCTGTATACAAAACACACCTGCCCCCGAGCATTCGGGATTCAACCCTATATTAAACCAAGAAGACCGTGTTGCGTAAATTTTTTCCGGAAAATTATTTTTTGAGATTTAATTTTTTAAATTTAATTTTCTGGTTAATAAAATGAAAAAAATTTTAAAAAATTTTCAATTTTAAAAAATGTTTAAAGTTGCATCAGTCTTTTGTTTAAATTCGCGGTTTTTATTATTACATCAGTCAAATGCCAAAAAACTGATGTAACAATTTATTTAAGGTTAATTAGAGAAAAATAAAAAAAAATTTTCTCCGTCTCTAACACTTTTGCCCTTTAAATTAAAAATATATTTTTAAATAATTTTCCGGATGTTATATTATTAAGTGCAAAAAATAAATGTCTATTCCGTATTTTGTCTCTCTTATTTTTACACTCTATCATTTTATGCTTGTCTAAAAATTCCGGAAAATATTCTCTCAACTGTTCCGGAAAGTATATTAAATATGTATATTAATAGGTTAAACCGGACCGGATTAATCCGGAAGTTCTGATGTCTTTTCCGTTTTTATCTCTCTCATTTATATGTGCAGAGTCTATGTACATATTTCCGGAAAATATAATTCCGGAAAATATTTTTCTTCTCCATATTTTCCGGAAAGTATACTAGTTATATCTCTTATTTTTACACTCTATCATTTTATCCTTGTCTGAAAATTCCGGAAAATATTCTCTCAACTATTCCGGAAAGTATATCGAATACATTAATAGTCTCTATTCCGTTTTTTGTCTGTCTCATTTATATGTGCAGTCATACACTCTCTCATTTGTATTTCCGGAAAATATAATTCCGGAAAATATTTCTCTTCTCCATATTTTCCGGAAAGTATACTACATAAATAAAAGTTTATATTCCGTATATTGTCTCTCTCATTTTGTGTGCTACTCTATCGTTTTATGCTTGTCTTAAGATTCCGGAAAAAATGTTTTCCGGAAAGAATACTACATAAATAAAAGTTTATATTGCGATATTGTCTCTCTCATTTATGAACAGTTTTATCCACTCTATCGTTTTATGCTTGTCTCAGAATTACGGAAAGATGTTTTCCGGAAAGTATATTAAATAAATAATGGTATACATATTCTATTTTTTGTTTCTCACTCCCTTATTTTGTTCTTCCGGAAAATATTTAATTCCGGAAAATTAGTCTTTTTTTGTCTCTCATTTATATGTACGCTTTCTAGTTTTATGCTTGTCCGGAAATTCCGGAAGATATGTTTTCCGGAAAGTATAATAAATAAATAATTGTCTATTCCTCTCTCATGCTTCTCTCGTTTTATTATACTCTCTCGTTTTCTATTTCCGGAAATTATTTAATTCCGGAAAATATAGGCTTCATGATAGAAAGAAAAAGATTAGAGAGTGCAGAAAATTGAGAGAGCCTATAATCTTATAGATACTTTTGACGTTCAATTTTTAGCGCTCAACTGACCATTTTTAAAGTTTATCAATTTTTGGCGTAATGTTGTTAATTTTTTTTTAAATTTTTAAAATTTTTTTTTGTTTTCCGTGACGGAATCGATTTTCACCGATAATTTATCACATTTTTTATATCTACTAATTTTTGGTTTCAATTTATTTTTTATTTTTGCACATTTTTATAATTTTTGTTCCTCCCAAATATTAATTACTCTACATTTAATCATTCCATTTTTATGAAAAATTTTCTCCCATCTTTTCGGTTAAATTTGAAAAGTCCTTATTTTTTTCTTTAACTTTTTATCCGCAATAAAAAGTCCTCAACTTTTTTTCCTCGAGAAAATGTCCGCAACTTCTTGTCCGCAATTTTTTACAAAATTTTTTTGTCCGCAGCTGTTTGTCCGCACTTTTCTGTCCTCAACTTTTTGTCGGCAACAAAAAGTCCGCAGATATTTATCTGCAATAAAGGTCCTTAATTTTTTATCCGCAATTTTTACACAAATTTTTGTCCGCAAATCTTTATCAGCAAATTTTTTGTTCGCAACTTCAAGTCCGCAAATTTTTATCCGCAAAAAAATGTCTGCAAACTTTTTTTGAACAATAAAATGTCCGCAACTTTTGTCCGCAAAAAAGGCCTAACTTTTTATCCGCAACTTTTTTTTGTCCGCATCTTTTTTTGTCCGCAATTTTTATATATTTGTCCGCGTTAAATTTAATCATCAATTAATTTTTTTTAGATCAATTTTAAATTAAAAAAAATTCTTTATTTAAATAAATAATTTAAAAAATGTCTCTCGAAGAAAAATTCCAAGCCGCAGTTGATATTGTTCAAAAATTGCCTAAAGAAGGTTTATTTAAATTTTAATGGAAATTTTTTCAAATTTTCTAAAAAGGTCCTCTACAAACTTCAAACGATCAAAAACTTAAATTCTACTCGTTGTTCAAGCAAGCTACAATTGGAAATGTCAACACTGAGAGACCTGGAATTTTTAGTCTTGTTGAACGGAAGAAATGGTTTTTATTTTAATTTAAATGGGGATCTAAATTTTAGGGAACATTCGTTTTTTGGGCATTCCTTGGGTCTGTTACCTGGATATTTCTGATGTGACGTGTCAAATACCTAAGATTTATCAAGAGCTGGTCCTCGACACTGTAAAGCACATAGCTATTTAATTCCCAAGGCTGTGCAGTAGGCGGCGTGGTGTAATGGCTAACACATCAGTCCGGTCTACTGAAGATGCTGGTTCGCTCCCAGCTGCCGAATAACCTTTTGCACTAGCTAAAGGAGAGAGATAGCTATAGCCCAGTTGCTTTACTACACTTCGCAAAAGATCTTTTTTGTGTAAGGGGCGTCAATGAATAGACTGTCAGTGATTGGGCTGGGGAATAACCTAAAAATCATCGGACTGAGACAGTGAATTGGGATTTATGATCAATCTTACAACCCTTCACTTTTTTGACCCTCTTGTTGTCTCCTATCCATCCCTTTTTTGTTGAAGAAAACCCTTCAAATTGTCAGTCTGCTACACTTATTTGGCACGTCATCTCAGAAATGGTTTAGAGGGCTGACAATGAGACTTGGGGACCCTACACCTAGTGACTCGACTATTAGGACCCCAAAAGTCGTACCCAATATATGTTTTGTTGTTAAAAAGGTTCGATTTCCATTTTTTATTGTTTGCGGACAAAACCTTGTATTTGTGTTATTAAAATTTTTACTCTGAATTTTAAATTTTAAAGGGATGCTTGGAAAGCTGTTGAAGGAAAATCTAAGGAAGAAGCGCAACAGGCTTATGTTGAGACTTTATTGGAAATGTTTGATGATATTGGAGAGAAGGTTTTTTTTCTTTTCTTGGAGGAAATTCTTTCACCCAAAGTTCAACTCCTTCCAAAATTTCTTTAAAACAAAAAATGACCCTTGATCTGGATTCTTAATTTTATTCTTTAATATGGACTGGGAAGATAAAACCCCCCAAATTCTTCCATATGGAAAGACCACCATTTTCCCATCTAGCTAACCAACCAACTTTTTCTTGGTCAGGAATTTGGAGATAGGGTCGAGTCTTAGGTGTTAATTCATGGATTTCAGGAACTTCCTTAACTCCAGGAACCTTCATTTATTTTAGGAACCTTCCTACTTTTAGGGCTGAACTTTACACATCTTTCTGGGATTTTAAGCAGTTTCCTAAACTTTATTGAACCTTCCTGGAGTTGGGAAAGTTGTTCTATTTATATATCTCCAAAAAAATTTTGTCCGCAAATAATTTGCGGACATCCTCCTAAAATTAAAAAAAAAATTTCCTTCTCTTTTAGTTCAACGTCGGTGAATGGCTTGCTAAATTGGATCCTTCAATTAAATCAAATTTGGCTATTCTTGGCAAAAATTATTGAGAGGGGGAAATGAAAAATTGAGAGAAGAAAATTTGTGTGTTTGTAAGGTTTAAAAATACTTAAGTAATTTTGGTTAGTTGATGCCTTAAAAAACCCTTGCCTTTTTAAATTATTTTTTTTTGGACTTGAAAAATTAGGGGTCACTTTAGTACGCGGGTGCTGGCTTTAAAATACAAATGTTAACTTTTTTCCGCGAAGACCCGTTGGTTGATTTTGGTGTCATTCGTTGATTTTGGTGTCATTCGACTCAACTCGACGAGCTCTTTCGAATGATATAACATTTGTATTTTAAAGCCTGCACCCACGTACTAAAGTATGGCCAAAAAAATTAAAATTTTTATTTAAAAATGAGTAATTTATGGGTTAATTTATAGTGTTTTAATTTTAAAGAAATGATTTTTTGCCTTAAAAAATTTTTTCTTGTTGAATAAAATGATCATTTAAATTTTTTATTTGTTTATTTTTTTAAATTTTTTTACTGTTTTAAACAGTTAAAAAAATTTTTTTTTAATTTTTCACGACATTTTTAAATTCAATTTTTATTTTTGTTTTTACAGAAAATTTTAGCTTCTTTTTAATTTAATGAAATGTGTGTGTGATTGACTTGACAAAAACAGTAAACAAAAAATTGAACAAAAATGGGATAAATGGGACTTCAAGCTTGAAATATAAAGGATGATGGATTGGCAATAAATTGTGATTTTTTAAGGTTTTATTTTTTAATTTTTAGGGATTTGGAGGGTTCTTTTAAACCTCGGATTTACGGAAATGACGGTATTTTTCCGTTATACGACCGCAAACTGACATGAGTGCCATTCGAATGATCGGCTATAACTTTCTGTTGCTTGATCCAATACATATGAATTTTATATCATTCTAGAGCCTCTGAGAAGCTGTATCCTTTTTTCTAATAGGATAGATCAGGTCAACCTCTCCTTAAAAAGTTATACCCGACAAGTTATAATTGAACGTTGTTTGGTGTTTTTCAAATTTATCGGTTATAACTCTTCAAGGAATGATCAGACTTGATGTATCCTATCACAAAAAAGATACAGCTTTTCAGAGGCTTTAGAATGGTATAAAATTCACAAGTATTGGATCAAGCAACAAAAAGTTACAGACGATCAAAGTTGACTGGCACTCACTGTAAAAAATTTGCGGACATTTGGTGTGGGTTCAGCCATTTCTTGGGTTTTTGGGACAAAAAATATTTTTTGTAATTAAACTGAGGTTTTAAAATTGTCCAAAATTTATTTAATTTATTTAATCGTTCAATAAAAAAAGTTTACCCTTAAAGGGTTCGAACCCTCGACCTCTCAACTCAAGACTAACCCACTTAACCAAAAAATTATTTTAATTGGTTTTTCTTCGTCCTACTTGCTGTGCCTTCATTCCGTTTTGAAATCTAAAAACTCGGCCATTAAAAAATATTTTACTCTTAAAGAGTTCGAACCCTCGACCTCTCAACACAAAACTAACCCACTTAACCAAAAAAAAGTTTTTTAACTCTTAATTTTTTTTAATTTTTCATTTTTGAATTTGATCTTTAGAGAAATTTAAAATTTTCTATAGACTATCACAAGCCCCCTCAGTCTTGATTTAATCGATTTTTTATCATAATTTTTCAATTGCCACTATTCACCTCCCTCCCCTCTAAATAAATTTTTTTATTTAAATTTTTTTCTTTCTTTAAATTGTTAAAAAAATTTTTTTTAATTTTTAATTTGTCTATATTTTATTTTTTATTTTTAGATGCTGTGTCATCTACCCCCTAAAAATTTTGTGGCGGCCTCTTTGAATTTGCCTGTTGTGGTCTTTTTGTTGATGGCAATGCTGGAAGGCGTTGTTGCTTCTCCTCTTACTAGTAGTGCTGCTGGTGGGTTTTAAGAGTTTTTGGAGGAAATTTCCTTATGATCGAACCCTCTTTTATGTTTACACCTTTGAGACTAAAAATATTACAGAAGTGTTCTGGTTATGGGTAACCCATTCCTCATTCTTGCCTTATACCCCCTTGAGATCGTATTTTAGAAAGCTTGGGGAGTCGCGTGTCGGGCTAAAACGAGGAACGGACAAAACGCGGAACGACAGAACACGGAATTTCCCTGGACCGTGTTTTGGTCGTTCCGCCTTTTGGCCATTCCGTGTTTTGGTAAGACCGGCCCTTTTGTCTGTTCTGCGTTTTGGTATGGTCCGTATTTTGGTCGTTCCGTGTTTTGGAATTCCTCGTTTTACCCCTCACTCGGGGAGTCGAAACAAAATAGTTAGTAGTAGGATAAGTAAAGTTTTAAGGAAGTTAATGCCAATCCCTGGCCTACACATTTGTTGGGAATTGCTTAAGTAGCTCTCCGCAAAAGAATCAAATCTTAAAAAATTCAGGTTTGTCTTCATCCCATCCTGCTGTCTCACCAACCTTTGGTGGTTCGAATGTTCATCGTATCCAACACGACAACAATTCACTTCATTTCAATCCAACTTCTAAATTTCCATCCTTGACAACAACACATAACAACAAAAAAATGTTGGTAGCCAATCACCAAAAAAGTGATTTTGTGTTCAAAGCAAGTGGAAACCAAGATGGAGGTGAAATCGAAAAGGAAGATGAAGGCAAAAAGCAAATGTCAAAAGAAGAAGAGGTGGGGGTACTTTTATTTATTTTGATTGAAAGAGGGATATGGAGAGAGAAATTTTAATCCTCTATTTAAAACAAACTCCCTATTAAAAAGGACTCCCTGTTAAAGGATTCCCTGTAGAGGACTCCCTGTCAACAAACAAAAAATCTCAAGAGAATCTTGATGTTGTTTCTATCGATTTTCGTTAAAGCCTTGGTTAAGCAAAAGGTGTTGGGGATTAAATGTGGTGAAGTCTGATAAAAATCACAGATTACACCTTTTTATTTACATTATCTCCTAATATTAACTAACACGAGCTCTAAAAATTGAAGATGAAGGCGAAACCGGTTGCTTGGTTTTGTATGTAGTAATATGACCTATTTTTAGTTTGCGAATGAATGGGGTGTTGGGAGGGGGGGGGGGTGTTGGGGATTAATTGTGGTAAATAGGGTTGTAGGTTTTACAAAATTCTTCGGATATCCGAAACCGAACTGAAGAACCGAACCGAACAATCCTCGGTTCTTCGGAACCGAACCGAAAAATTCTCTGTTCTTCGGGCCGGTTCGGTCCAGGACCGACAACCCTAGTGGTGAGTACGTGTGTGTGGGGGCACTAAAGTAAATAAGTTTTTGCTTTTAATATCATAACAAAATTTTAGGAATTGACAAATAAAATTTTGGTTAACGTAGAGAAACGAGAAAATTTTATCCACTTCTATTCAATTTTTGAATCAAAGGCTAATTTTGTATATGTATTGCTTCCATATGTAAAATCAGTTGTAAAATTATTATTTAAATCCAAAATGATTAACAAAAAGGAGAATGAAAATTCTGAAGATCAAATTAAATTTGTGACAAATTTAGGAGGTCAATTAGTTTTTGCTTGTTGTTTAGCCGAAAGTTTGGTTAAGGATAAAAACAGTTTGATAGATATAGTGGATAAAGATCTACGTCGTAAAACGAAAGCTGTGTTACATACTGATAATTATCAAGTTTTGTTTGATAAGTTGAAAGATGATGTAGAGGTTAAGAAAATTAAGGAGACGTTGGAGGAAGGATTTAAAGGTATAATTTTATGGGGCCCGTATTTATATTTAAATCACTAAAGCGACGTTGGCCGCAAACTGACCTATTTGAATTCGGCTGTCAGACACTGTTTGGCAAGACTGATCCACGGCTAGGGGGTTGTTCTTTGCCTTATTTCAATATAAATCCACCCTATAATAATTTGCGAGTCTCCAACAGGGCTGGACGCAATTGCTGACTGCGGATTGCGTAGAATTGCGTGTTTTTTGACTTGCGGATTTCGGCTGCAGATTTTAAAATTAAAATTGCAGCTGCGGAAAATTTTTTTCAGTTGCGTCCAGCCCTGAGTTCAAATAGGTCTCCAATATTTAGCTAATAAGGCTGTGTTGGCAATAGGGCTAAAAATCCACGTTTTTCCATAAGGCTATGTTGGTAAAACATGGAGTTATAATTTGTTTGTTTTGTTTGGAAATTTTTGAAATTAAAAAAAAATTTTTTTTAATTAAGTTGTCGCGAATTTAAGACGTACTAAAAGTGCTCCATCATCTCATATGAAGTATAAGCATTTTGATGATCTTACAGGAATGTATTGAGAAGGATATTATTGAAGTTGAAGGTGTTTTGTAAAAAAAATGAGAAGAAGTGGGGAAGAAAGAAAGTGGGAATGGGGGGTATTTTAAAAAGAGATTGATAGTATCATGTATATCTAAGATTTTTTGAACTTTTCTCATTGTGATTTGTAAACAAGAAACTTTTTTGATGCTATGTTAGCATATTATTGTTATCTAAACTTGTATAAAGCATTTTCTGTGATATTTGAAAGCAAATATATAGGTAATTGATAAGAGGAGTATGGGTGGTGACTTCGATGTAGATTAAGGTGAGGTTGATGTATTGGGGGATTACCTACCGTCAGCAGTATAACTATAATTGTTAACAGTGAAGGTTTGGATGGTGATTTAGATACAGGTTAAAGGAGAGGGTTGGGATGTTTGTTGCTGTAAACTAATTGTAAATATAGTAACCATCTTTTATCAAAGGCTCTCATCTCTGGTCCGGTTTAGCCTGTCAAGTTTTGGGTGATCACTTTTTTTCTTTGGGGGGATGGGGGGGGGGTGTTTGTGTTGGATTGGCTGACCACCATGGCCTGGTGCAACCCGTCCTTTTAGTGCATGTATAGAAAAATTTTTGGGGAATATAGAAAAATAGAGGGTCGGCTTTATTTATTTTTTCCTTTAATCATATTATAAAATACAAAATATTAAAGTGCATTTATTCGATTTTAAATTATGAAATTAAGCCTTTGTCGGCAATTATGAAACTTTGTATTTTTTTAATATTTAAAAGTGCATGTTATGTAATATTTACTTAATCACTAAAGTGCATGTCTGGTCTTTTTAAAGAGGGTTATAATTTTGTTTTTCATCATTCCTTACTCATTTCATTGAATAATTCAATTAATAATTCATTGAATATTTTTACACACAAATTTATTATGCTCTATTGTACGTGCACTTTTTTGGGGTTGTTTTGGTTACGAAAAGGTGAGGGGATGTCTAGAGGGGTGAGGGGATGTCTAGAGGGGCGAGGGGATGCCTAGAGGGTTGAGGGGATGCCTTTTTCAGTTTTCCGGATTTCTAGGAGAAAATACAGCCTCTGTTTTACGGATGCCTATACGATACCTCCACTTATCCAGATACACCCCAAGGTACCGCAGATGTCGCGGAAAGGGTTCCGCGAATAGTAAAAATTAAGCCTAGTAAAAACTCACACAATTTTTCAAGCAAAAACAAATTGAAATTTTATTTAAAGCAATTAAAATTTTCCAACAAAATATATTTAATCCAAAGCAGTAAAAATTCAGTTTTTAGCAAAAAAGTTGAAAGCAAAAATTTAAGTAAAGTCCAGAGCAAAATTGTAGAATATTTTTAGAATGAAGAGCAAAAGCTAAATCAGCAGCAAAAGAATATTTTAAAAATGAAGAGCAAAGTAAAAACAGCAAAAAATCCGAATAGGAAAAGCAGACTGAATGAATGCAAAAAGTGCTTGAATGGAGAACAAAAATAAGCATATACATTCAGTTGAATAAAAAGGGGAGGGATAAACATTTTAAATAAACAACCATTGGTCTAGGAAAGGAATTTTGTTTTTAAGTTTTTAAATGCAGGTGTTGAAAAAAAGGGAAAAATTTAGAAATAAATTAAAAATAAATTCTTTAATCTTTAAAGTCGTGAAACGACATTCCCCAGCAACGGAAACATTCCATTTCTTTTGTTCCAGTAGTATTGTGTTGGTGTCAGTGGGTTAAATTGGTAGGGCATCTGAGCAAATTGGAAATTTTGTTGTGGCATGTTGGGGTAGGGTGGAGAGAAGCGTTGGATGTTATGTGGACATGGCACATGAAGAGACATTAGAGGTCGTGGACGGATCCCACCAGCCAAGGGTTGAGTTGAAGAACGGGCACGTATATGTGAATTAAAAAATGTGGGGTTTTTCGTGGCAAAAACATTTTTACCTTTATTAGCTAAATTTTCCTCCGCAAAAGAGTGTTTCTTCCATAATTTGTTGTTACAAAACGTTGATTTAGTAGTTGTTGTTGTGTTAAGGGGTGGATGGTTTGTTGTTGTTGTATTAATAATTGTTGGTGGGAGTGTGTAGTTAGCCGTGGGAGTTAATTTTGGTTGTTTCATTTTTGTTTTAGCTTGCACTTTCACTTTCTTTTTGTAGTTAGAGGAGGTTGGGGTGGCGGATTTCTTAGTATTGTAAGCGACACTGGCCCGAGGGTAAAGCAAATTTTTATGTATTTTTTCGTAATTGTGGTTGAAGTAAGAGTGTGATCTGTAAATTGTGTTGCATATGGGGGTTGGAGGATTTATTTGCAAGATATGGGCTGAGAATTCAGCTGCCCTTTTGGTTTCTACGATGGGATTTTTTGGGGGAGGCGAGAAATTTCTGTTTGCTTGGCAAGGGGTTATTTGTGCATTTATCGGTAGTATCGTGGGCTGAGGTGTGATTGAGTTACAGTAATGCCCGATAGTATTTGTTTGCTGATTAATTTCATAAGTTTTGGGTTGCTGGTGGGTATTGTTTTCATAGCAATTTCGGGATGCATAATTTGACGTGTGGATTTGGCTATTGCAAATATTTGTTTTTTGACTGAATTTTGCGAGGATTTTATAGCAAAGGGGACGAGGGTGCATTTTATTGCAATTTTTACATTGGGAAGGGTTAGGGCAATTTTTAAAATTATGATTGGGCTGCAGGCATCGGGTGCAGCGGTTTAATTCATTAAGTATAGCAATCCGGGAATTGTAATCCGGAAATTTTTTGCAGTAGGTGGTAATGTGGCTGGTGTCGTTGCAGAATAAGCAGGGGTGTTTAAAGCCAGAGTTTCTATAATTTTGTTGAACAGCCACTGCAGAAATGTTTAACGGGGGGACTGGTTGTAAATTTCTTGTTGGCAGTGGCCTGTTAAAAGGTAAATAATTTCGTTTACTTACGGGGGTGTCCAATCGAAGAGGAGGCAATTGCTGAACATTTCGACTTTGTGGAGTCGGGCTTGATGGGTGAATAGCATTAATTTCTTCTCTTCTTTTTCTAATATTTTTTAAGCATTCTTTTAAATCTTCTGTTGTCCAATTCCCGACGTGTTGTTCTTTTGTTTTGTAGACTTCTTCTAATACAAAATCAGGTAGTTTACATTCAATATCCATTAGAATTGAAGGATTATTAAAATCAGAATTATGTTGTCTAAATTGGATTAATATGGATTCTAGGTTGTCGGTAAGTGTAGCAAAATCTTCGTTGAAGTTTTCTCCCTTTCGAACGGTTGGGAGATTTCTAATTGCTTGGTAGAGGCTGCGAATAATTTCTTCTTTGTTGTCGAATTTATTTTTAAGAAGCTGAACGGCTTGGCCGTAAGAGTCGTCAGTAAGGGGTAGGGATTCGATTGTTGCGAGAGAAGGGCCAGCTAAGCAAGATTTTAAATACGAGAGTTTTACGGCGTCGGAAAGGGAAGAGATATTTCCTATAGCAGCGGAAAATTGATTCCAAAAGGAAAGAAAGTCGGCAGATTTGCCACTAAAAGAGGGAAGGTTCATTTTGGGTATATGAGCATGCGAGGAGGATTGAGTGGAAGAGGAGGGTAGCGCTCCTTCTAGTAAATGCTGCGAAGAGCGCAATTTTCGTTTGTATTGCTTCAATTTGTTGAGGGTTTCGATATAGGGGTATTGCGCATAAAATTGGTCATAAAATGAATTATCGGACAAACGTTCAGGTCCTGTCATGTTACTTCTGAGCGACATCCAATTACGGTGTGCTTGGGAAAGTTCATCAGCTATTTCGCATAAATTTTGGAACTCAAGATTTAGGTCTGCTAGGGAAGCTTGAATGGCAGCATAAAATTGGGCGTTTGATTGAGTGGGTCCTTTCAGGGGGACATTGAATGTTTTGGGAGCTGCAAGGAGTGTGTCTGCGTCCTCAAGCAAAGTAATGATTTCGGTGCGGTACCCAGAGGACATTTTATTTTCCCCGCTTCTTTTTAAATTATTTTTTTAGGAATTGGTGCGAGAGGTAAGTTAAACCTCACCGGCTGAGCTGTCGCGGAAAGGGTTCCGCGAATAGTAAAAATTAAGCCTAGTAAAAACTCACACAATTTTTCAAGCAAAAACAAATTGAAATTTTATTTAAAGCAATTAAAATTTTCCAACAAAATATATTTAATCCAAAGCAGTAAAAATTCAGTTTTTAGCAAAAAAGTTGAAAGCAAAAATTTAAGTAAAGTCCAGAGCAAAATTGTAGAATATTTTTAGAATGAAGAGCAAAAGCTAAATCAGCAGCAAAAGAATATTTTAAAAATGAAGAGCAAAGTAAAAACAGCAAAAAATCCGAATAGGAAAAGCAGACTGAATGAATGCAAAAAGTGCTTGAATGGAGAACAAAAATAAGCATATACATTCAGTTGAATAAAAAGGGGAGGGATAAACATTTTAAATAAACAACCATTGGTCTAGGAAAGGAATTTTGTTTTTAAGTTTTTAAATGCAGGTGTTGAAAAAAAGGGAAAAATTTAGAAATAAATTAAAAATAAATTCTTTAATCTTTAAAGTCGTGAAACGACAGCAGAGCTATAACTTTGCTCAGAATTGTCGAATCCGAAACGCCCTGGGATGATTCGATGCGCCTCAATGAGCTAGGTCAAACCATACGGCCCCCGGATTCGACATTTTTAAAAGAACCTTAACCTGCTCCCCCACTTACAACTCAGTTTTAAGACTGTCTGGGCGATCCTCTTTTGCATCCACCTCTGTTTTGAATGCACCTCCTACACCTCGTCTTCACGTACTTTTTTCTTCCCTTTCGAAAGGGTGTAAATACGATCGAGATAAAAATGTGGGTACCCCTTTAGGCAACTCATTCCTACCCATTAGCTAAAGCTGTCCAAGACTTTTGTTGGTTTTGGGGTGAAGTCTTGGTTTTCAACTTGTACGTACACCCCAGAAAGGTGAACGTACAATCGAGGGTAAAAAATTTTTTTTTTAAATCAAAGATATGATATTTCCAATTATTTTTTATTTAATTTCTGAAATATTTCTTTATTCTTCATGTTCAACTTCTTTAAATATTCCCCATAATTTTTCAATTAAAAATAATTTAAAAAATAATTCTGAGGGAGAAGGGGGGATAAATAAAAATAAAAAAATTATTTTTAATAATAAAAAAAATAATTTAAAAACCAATAAAAATATTAAAAATTTAGATATGGCAGCAAAAATGGGGGTGATTGAAGATGAAAAAATTATTTTAGGGGAAGGAGGAAAGGAAAAAAAATTTTTGGGAGGAAAGAAAAATTTGTTTGAAAATTTGTTAATTAAAAATATGCATGAAAGAATGAATAATGATGAGATTTTGAATAAAAATTTGGGGGAAGGGCAAAGTTTAAGCTTGACTAAATTTGAAATTGAGAATGCTAAAATGGTGGCTAACTAATTTTTGAAGCAGAAGCCTTTGAGAAGGAAGATTTAATTTTGTTGGGAGGGGAATTAGCTTTTGCTCTGTTTGTTGGTGAACGTTTAAAGAGCGGGGAAAATGTAATTAAAAATTTTGAAAAAATTATTGAGGTATTTTGAAGTTTAAATTATAGTCAACCTCATTATAAGAGACCCCTTTAAGCTGAAAAATTTGTCTCTTTTAATGAGTTATATCTTAAATAGAGGATATCGCTTAGACACCTCCCTCCACTCAGTGAGGAACCAAGTTTAAAAATTGTCTCTTAAATAGAGGTGTATCTTATAATGAGGTTTGGTTGTATATTGTGGACCCCTCATTATAAGAAACCCCAATATAAGATACACTTCTATTTAAGGGACGACCCTTTAAAATTAGTTGATTAATGAGGTTGGGGGATACCCCGTACCCTCGATTTAAGATACACCTCAGTATAAGTTACTATTTTTAGCCTTAAGGGGTGTCTTCTAACGAGGTCTGAATATACTTTTTTTAAGTTTGCCAAAGCTAAGCCAATAGTTTTAACCCCAAAATCTGGTTTGTGGTATAAGATGCGTGAAGCTTGTTGGAAAATTAGTCCAATATTATTGGCTTTAAATAAAAATGAAGAAGAGTTAATTTTGGAAGAAAATGAGGATAATAAAGGGGAGAAAAGTTTAACAGAAAATTTGGAATTAGAAAAAAAATTTTTGGACAAGAGAATTGAAAATACAATAAAATTGTTTGATGAGGAAAAATATGGGAAAGTTTTGGGAAAAAATCAAAGTGAAGCAAGTGAAAAAATCAAAGAAAAATTAAATGAAGGAAATGAATGTATGTCAGGCAGTGTTTTCCAAATTTAATTTCAGTCTAAATTCAAAGAGGGACCACCCCAGAAAGTTAAAACAGAAGCCCAAATGACCCAGAATGTCAACTCCAGATATCTAGCTGATAAAGGGGACTCAAGATCAGAAATACGTCGACCTGCTTTATATTTCCCCCTTAATCGACTTTATTCCAAACAAATCCGCCCTAATTCATAAATATGCCCTTAATACCAACAAATCTTTCTTTATCCCCAAATAGTTGGGCTGATAAAGGGGACTCAGATCAGTAACTTAGGTCTCTTAATCATCCCAACAAATCCATCCTAATCCTTCCTAATCCATCTATATCCCCTTAATACCCACAAATCCTTTATCCCCCAAATACTTGGATTTGACCATGTGGTTAATCAAACCCTTTCCGTCTTGACTTGATCTCATTACAAGAAGATTTATTTTTATAAATTGTGGCCGGCGAAATTGAATTTGACCAGAAAAATGGAATTTGGACTGAAATTGATTTTTGGTTGCGTCATAGGGCTTAAATCAAAATTTATTTTAATTAAGATGCTTGGAGAATTAAAAATGTTTTGAATTTCGTTGTGTCTAAAATTCCTGATGCGCTTTTAACTAAACCGAAAATTGTGACAGAAATTCCTCAGCATATGAAATATTATGATGAGACTGGTTTATATTGAGAAAAACTATATTTTTATGTTCTATCCTTTATCTTTTATTAAAATTAACAATTCTTCGTTTAAAGTACAGTCAGACCTTGATATAAGACCCCCTTGAGCTGAGATTGAGGTTAGGTCACCCCAGCACCTAACCAACTTTTAAGAAGCGTCTCTTAAATAGAGGTGTTCCCAGTATTGGAGGTATCTAACAGCGAAGTGATCTAATAATGGGAGTACCTTATAGTGTAGTGTATCTTAAATGGAAGGTATCCGTCTACTCAGTGGCCAAACAAATTTTAAAAAGCGTCCCTTAAAGGTGTTCTAGTATTGGGGGTGTCTTATAAAGAGGTTTTAATGTATTTTAATTTCTTTTTCCTCTCACTTTTCTAAATTATTTGTCTCTTCTATTTAAATAAAAATAAGTAATTAAAACAATATTAAGTAGCCAACAATCTATTAATATGGCAAAAAATAATGAAGAAATAAGTATTAAAGCAGGCCATATGTTAGGTGTACAATTTGTTGGGTTTATTGGATATTCTGTTAAGAAAAAAATTTGTTAATTAGGAAAAAAGTTTTGAGAGTTGGCACATCATCTTAAAATAGGCAAAGGCTGTTATTTGCCTTTCATTGCGGGAGTATGGCTTAGTTGGTTAGCGCTTTCACTTTAAGGCGAAATAGGGGGGAGGTTCGAACCCTTCCATTTTTTTCCCGCCCGAAAGTCGGGGAATTTGAGAGATTTTTTGAAAATTCCTCCCCCCCCCCCCCCCCCCCCCAAGTGACCTCACACACTCTCACTACCTATTGGTTGATTATCATCATCATTACTTCTTGTTTGGTCTTCCCCATACAATTGAATGGCCAAATTTAAATTCTAAAAATTTTTTTTGAATTTTTGATTAGAAATATTTATCAAAACTTTAGATTCTGAAGTTGAATACGATGCAAATTCATTAAAAAATATAGGCTCTTCAATTTCTTTATCTGATCCTCCTCCACTAACTACAATATTCTCCAAAAACTCGTTTAAACTTAATTCGACTTGTTTACAAAAATGCTCTCCAGCTACAATTAATTCAATTATACAAAAAATAAATAGTAAACAAAGGGCAAGATTCCAAAGTACCTTAAAATTGTGAGGGAATTTTTATAAAAAGTTCTAATTGTAGGGCCTCATATGATCCCTTTGGGGTTAAAAAATGGTCTCTTATACTGAAGTGTGCTTTAAATAGAGGGTATAGTTTAGGCAGCTACCCTTAACCAACAACCAGCCAAACTTTTAAAGAACGTCTCTTAGATGGAGGTGTGTTATAATAGGGTGTGATTGTATATAGTTGGACCTCTTTGTAATAGACTCCCATTATAAGATACACCTTTATTTAAGAGACGTTTTTTAAAATTTGGTTAGTCACAAGATGAGGCAGCTGCCAGGATTAGAGAGTTACCTCCTCTAGTTAAGATACCTCATTATAAGGTCGATTTTTCAGGCACAAGGGGGTATCCTATAGTGAGCTTTTTTTGTATAGGCCTGGGAATCTTTCGAGGGTCTTTGATTGGTTTTATATTGGAATCGATCCTCACTATGAGATACACCCATTTAAACAGTCTTTTACCAGAGAGGGGCTTCTATTGGAACATTTATTGAGATTATCTTAATATTGGTGAGGGGCTTCTATTAGAATATTTGTTAGACTTACCCCAATATAAAGAAACGGTTTTAAATATTTTGCTTCTTTCTGTTTAATCCCATAAAATAGTGATAAAATACTTGTCAATTGAATAATTAAAAATAAAAATTCAGGTATTAAATCTGTAAAAGAAGCTGTAGAAAAACTTGTTGTTTTGAATAGAAGAAAAATTTCAACAATTAAGGGAGCTATTGAAAGCCATCCAATGATTTTTGTACATTTCTGTTTGGTTGGAAAAATGAGGTGGGGTAAATGAATTATTAAATTATTATGGACTTAGTGTCCAGCAGGGGTCAGTCGGATTTTTGACTTCCGAAAATTTAGGTTGATTTCTAAGTTCCGACTTTTGGGTCATTTCCGATTTCCGACATTTCCGATTTCCGACACTGTCATTTCCGACCAACCCCTGGTGTATAGTCGAACCTCGATATAAAGCACTAAATATATGAGACACCCCCCAATGCAAAGGACACATTTAAGAGACGTTTCTTAAAATTTGATTAGCTACTAGATGTGGTGGAAGGGAGGACTCCATACCCTTCACGTTAAGATACCTCCAATATCCTTCTATTTAGTATACATCTCATTATAAGACAGACACGATTTTTTAGCATTAAGGGGGAGAGTCTCTTATATCGAGGTCCGACTGATTTTTAAAAGTTTTATTTTTTTTAATACAAAAATTTTTCCTTTACAATTAGTGGTATTGGCGCGCACCAAATAAAAAAATTTATTCTTATTTTTCCAGTATCTTCTTTTATTATTTTATCATTTCCATTTATTTTTTCCTTAAAAATATTCCAAAAATAAGTTAAGCATCTTTTATTTTTATTATTTTCTTCTTCTTCTTCAAAATCAATTGATAAAGGGGTTTTTTCATTTAGAGGGGTTCTATTTTGGCATTTTTGATCTGAAATTTTTTTTTAATTTTTAATACGTGTTGGATATTAATCCTTGGGGTTTGTGGGTCTATCCCCTCCGAGAAGTGAGGTAAAAGAGGGAAGGGTATTTCCTGAGGTAAATGAAGTTTCCTGAACCTTCTAGGATCTAGCCTAAGTGAACTATTCAACCTAAGGCTTTACGGCCACAACCTCACTCACAAGAAATCCTCCCCCTCCCTCCCCCTCCCTCTCCAAAATAAAAGTCGGATGTAACCAGAAAACTAATTTAGATTTTAGGCCAGGGAGAAGGCCTGAGGCCAGGAGACAAATTTAGGGCGGATAAAGGAGGATTTGTGGGTATTAAGGAGGATATCCACGGATTTGGGCGGATTAAGACGGATTTGTTAGGCTGGGTCTTGCCCTTCTGGGTTTTGACCTTCTGGGGGACCCAGATTTTAGGCTAGGGAGAAGGCCTGGGGCCAGGAGATTCCAAGGGATCAGGAAGACCAGGAGAAGTCCAAAAAAAATTTTTTTAACTTCTAAGCGTCTCTGGTTCGTGCCCAAAATTTTTTTTGAATTTTCTAATAGGCTTACCGTCTTCCATAATAACAATATCAGAAAATGTAACTGAGGGGCGGCCTAAAGGTATTGTTGTTGTAGTTGTTTTTCTGGGCATTTTGTTACATTGATGAGTATTTTGAAGCATTTTTTATGTTTTAAGGAGGAAGCGCAGCTTTATCTAAATATTTTTATATTATGTTGAAAGCGCTCTGTTTTCTTTTTTAAATTTAATTTTAAGATAGTAAGAGAATCGTTTAAAAACAAAAAATTTTTTAAGTTTGTTTTTTATTGCATTTTTTATTTTATTATAAGGGCACAAAAAATTTTATTTTTGTCAGTCAATTTGATTGACAATTTTATTTATTTTGTATTTCTTTTTTAATTTTAAATTAAGTATTTATATTTTCTATACCTATCAATTTTTAAAATTATTAAGGGGGCTGAGTAGAAAAATTTTTTTGAAAAAATTTTCAAAAAAGGGGAGGTTGCTGAATTCTCTAGGATTCTCCTGGATCTCTCTCTCTCAGGTCCATGATGTTTTTTAAATTAATTAAAAATTAAATAGTACGTCAGCTGTCTCTCTAAAGGGAATTGACTGTGTTTTTTTTAGTATTTAATTAATTAAAAAAATTTTTTTTTGAATTTTTTTTTAATTTTTTGGGTTATATTCAGTGTATTAAGTGAATATACATAAGTACATTTTTTTAAATAAAAAAATTTTTTATATAAAATATTTTTCCAATAATTATTTTTATTTTTTTATTTATTTTTATCAAGTCAACTAGAAATTAAAAAAGAAAAAAATTTTTTTCTTTCCGTTTTATAAATTAGTAGACAATTTTTGATTTAACCAAAACATTGGTTCTAGCTATCAAGGGTCGGTCGGAACAGTCCGAGTTGTCGGAAATCGGAAGGGCCGGAAGTCGGAAATCGGAACTGGCTCAAAGTCGGAACTCGTAAATCGGAAATTAAAAATTTTTTCGGAAATCGGAAGGAAAAAACGCCGGAAATTGGAATTCCGACCGACCCTTACTAGCAACTCCCTTATGTGCTGAAAAAATTCTATTTAAAAATGAGGTGTTTCTAAAATTTGGGGGTATCGTTTCATTAGTTGTTCCCCACTTTCCCCCTTCCTCCCTCTCAGGAATTTTTTTTAATTTTAAACTTTATTTAAAAAGCTTCCTTGTTACTAACAATAAATTTTAATTCTTGTCTTTTTTTACTCTTTATTTTTAATTAACTTTTAAAACATATGTATACCTATATAACAAACATATGTAAGTGTTTGTTTAGTTTAATTTTTAAATAATGAGTGACTTGATTCTTGATTTTTTGACGTTTTATATTTTTATTTTTATTAAAAAAGATTTTTTCTAATTATTTCATATCAAACATGGCCTGGGGTTTCGAAAAAATTTTTCTTGTTGGGTTTCACGATTGAAATATATCCGTATTATATGTCCGTAGTTAGGGCTGAAGTTGTGCCCTTTTTCTGGTTTTTCTTCTTCAACTTCTAATCTCGATAATACGACTCGTTCTCGAGGCCTACATTTTTTCATTATTTCTCTATTTCATAACAAGATTGGATCAAGTTAAGAAAAAAATCTCGGGGCTTGTTTTCCAAATTTTCTTAGTCGGATTATGGGTCGAAAAATATTTGTGGTTAAGATACCTAATAACCTTTGCCCTCCTATGCTTCTTTATTATTTTATTTACTATCGACTCTCGATCGCTCTCGAGGGTCAACGATTCGAAGATCTCCCAGGGGCCTATTTCTCCCCTCCACATTTCTGCGTTCTGTGGATATTTCTGCAGAATCTGTGGGCCCCATTTTCTGTAGAATCTGTGGAAGTGCAGAAATAGTAGAAATTCTTTGGTCTGTGCACAGAATTCTATCCGCAGAATCTGTGGAGGGGAGAAATGGACCCTAGGTCGGAGTTTCGAAATCGAAAAATATTTCCGGATCTCGGGTTTAAGTTAGGTCTTTTTCCGACTTTCTGATAACCCTATCTCTTCTTTTTTACACACGTTTCCATTATTTTTTATTTATTTTTAACTCTCGATTTACGTCGTTAACTCTCAAATGCCAACATAACGACAAAACTAAATTTAAAAATAGAAAGAAAATAACCACAAAAAATTCTCTAAATTGTCTTTTTTCTCTTTTTATTTTCTCTTTTTATTTTTCAATTTTAAAATGCTTTTCCCTCAAACATATGTTTTTAGCTAGGGAGAAAATAAAAATGGATATTGGGGGGATAAAATGTCTATTTTATTTTTTTTTATTTTTTTTTGGGGAGGGAAAGAAGCATTTTTATATTAAAAATGTATATAGTTATGTACTTTTGTTTCTCTTTTCTCTGAAAAAAATTTTTTTTCTCGGTCTTTTGCAGATGCCCCCCCCCCCTTCCCCCCTCCTGGGTACATCCCAAAACGGCGCGCGGCCATAACGGCGCAAAGCCACAACCTCCTGGAATTTGTCTGGCCCTTAGCAATTTTGACACCAATCTCCTTAGATCGGTGAGAGGACTCGTTTGATACCAAATTTGATAAGATTAGGAAATCTTGAAGTAAGTTATAGCTTTGCGCCTTTATGGCCGCGCGCCGTTTTGGGCGTGTCCTTCCCCTTCCAATACCCTTTTATGTGGGCATAAAAAGGAGACTTTTTTATTTTTGCGTGAATTAAAAAAAATAAAAAGTTTGTGCCAGACTATTTTTATTGACTTGTTTTTTAATTCGTTTAATTGAAAAAAAAATTTTTTTGAAATTTTTTTAGAATTTTTAACGCTTTATTTTCCATTTTCAAGCTATTTTTCAAGTTATTTTTAGGGCTCTAATTTTATTTTTATTTGATCCCATTGTATTCCTCCTTGGTTTAGTTGGTAGTCGTTTAGGTTACATTACCTAAAGGGTGTGGGTTCGAACCCCTCTCTTGGAAATTTATTTTTATTTTTGCAAAAATTAAATATTTTGGCCTAATTTTTAATTCTTTTGATAGGAAAAATTTTTGAAAATTTTTTGAAATTTTTTTTTCAATTTTTTAATCTTTAATTCTCTCGAATCCTTTCAAAATAACTAACCTTCTCGTAGGTTCAGAACTTACATTTCTTCCTGAATTTTTTCTCGATTTATCTAACACTCGATTTAAGGTATAGATTAGGGATATTACGGGATACCGAAACCCCTCGAAACACTTCAAAGCACCCCGACTTTTTTTCGATTCGAACCCTGTAGAGATTAAGATTTGCAAAGCCTGGACCTGTTCCTGGACTCTGTAGTTTGATTTATTGACCTGGGCCGGATCCTGGGCCTGTAGTCCAGGAAAACTCCTAGTCCAGGAACAACCCAGGAAGGTCAAAAAATGCCTGGACCTGACTCTGGGTACAGGAAAACCCAAGCCTCGGTCCCATGCCAGGTCCATCTCGATCTCTAGACCTTGATCGAAGAAAATTTTGAAAATCCGATCTGACACCTGAAATCCGACCTTTTCTCTTTTAATCACTCTGAATGACCCAAACCCTAACGACCACAGACCCCTGACTTTTTTTCCAACCCGTGACATTTCTGGTTGACATATACGCGAGATATGAATGTATGTTAGCTAGCCCCTATATTTTTTTATTTTTAGTTTTTTTTTGTTTTTTTCCTGACAGCTGAGCCCTCTTTTTTCTTCTTTTGTTCTTTTCTTTTTTTTCTTTTCATAATAAATAATTTTGGACTAAAAATATATACATAAAAATGAATGAAAAATGTTTTTAGGTAAAAAACCTGAAAAAGAACCTAAAAATAAAATTTTTAAATGGCTTTTGGGGGGTATATAAATTATTTATTTTATTATTTGTGCCTTTTTTAGGAACTTTAAAAAATATATAAATGTCAAATTATATTTTTTAGGAAGCTTTAAAAATTTTCTTTTATTTTTTACCCCTCAATTTTCATTTTTTTTAAATTACCGATTTTTTTAAATTTTTTACTTTTCTAATCTATTGGTTAAAATGTGCGTCCAAAAAGCTCGTTTGTCACTGTCGTCAATCTTAAGGCTATATTTTGGGCCATAACTTTTTTGTTACTTAACCTATTTAAATAATTTTTATATCAATCGAAAGCTCTGAATACGAGGATTATTTTATCTGACAGGATTAATTTGATCAGATCATCCTACTTTGAGTTAGAGCCGATCAAGTGCGCGCAATCGTGACTTTTGATCATTATTAGGCTCTAACTTTGTGTAGGATGGGCTGGTCAGAATAGTCCTGTTAGATCAAATAATCCTCACATTTAGAGCTTTCGATTGCTATAAAAATTATTTCAATCGGTTGAGAATCAAAAAAGTTATGGCGCAAGCTATGACCTCAGGACTTAAACGCAAGACAAGGCCTAGACTTACTGAACATCCCCTACTCTTTTAAATTTTTCTAAAACTTTTAGACATTTTTTCTCATTTTTTTAAATGTTTGGCTTGTTTCTCTCATATATCCTCCTCTTTTTTCCCTCCATTTTCACGTTCCCTTTTTAAAATTCCCAAGAGTTTAATCCTCTTAAAATCCTCTCCCCCCTCTCCCCCTCATTTATTTATTTTTACTTTTTCTTTGAATGTTTATGTACTTTTGTTTTTGAGGTTTCTATACAGTCGAAATTTTCGTTTTTACGTAAAAGAACGTTTACTCATTTTTAAAAAATTTCAAAAATTAAAAAAATTAAAAAAATTTCAATAAATTTCAATTAAAAATTCACGATTGCGCGCACTTAACCGGCTCTAACTTTTTGTAGAATGATCTGATCAAATCATTCCTTTTAACTAAAATAATCCTCACATTCATAGCTTTCTATCGGTATAATAATTATTTAAATAAGTTAAGAATCGGAAGAGTTATGGCCACAAATATGGCCTCAAAGAAGAAGACATTCCCAGCCCTAAAAATTTTTTTTAATTTCCTGAAATTTTTTTTTGATTTCTAAAAATTTTTTGTATCATAAACTCCCCAGATTTTAATTTAAAAAATTTTTTCTTAGTTTTCAGAATTATCTTTTTATCATTAAACTTCTACCATCCAACCACTCTTCTAACCAAAAAAATGTTAAAAAACGGCCCAACAAAATTTCCAATAGAATCGGGAGAATCTCTAAATCAACGGGAAAATGGAATTTTATTAAATAATAAACAACAACAAAATGAACAACAACAAAATTTACCTGTTTGGGTCTATGTAATTTTTAGAAAAAATCCGAGTAGCGGACATGATAAAGTTTCTGTGAAGGATAGGTGAGGGTTTAATTTAATTTATTTAATTAAATTTTAATTAAAATATAATAAGTTCCTTGGTGCCCGATTGGTTAGTGTTCTGGTTTAGTGTATTTTTGGGTCGCGAGTTCGAATCCGCTAAGGGTAAAATTGAGTTTTTTCGATTATTTTTGCCTTTAAAAATTTTTTAAAATTTTTTCGAGGGTTTAAAAAATTTTTAAAAATTTTTTTGAGGGCTTAAAAATTTTTTTAAATTTTTCTAAGGTCTAAAATTTTTTTAATGATTTTTCCCCCAAGTTTTATTCTTAATATTTTTATTAAAATTCAAATAAAATTTTTTTTAATTTTTAAGCCTTGACGGCCCTATATTTTGGACTAGAAGAGTTTTATATGTTTTTTGTTGTTCTTGTCATTTTGATAGACATGAGGTTTTTTCAAAAAAATTTTTTAAAGAAAATTAATTTTTAAAGCAACATTTAATTAAATTGCTCGATCAAAATCGTTCCCTAGTTGAACGTGTTTGCTTAGTAGACAATCCAATTGATTATTCTTTCTTGCCAGACTCGTTATTTGGATTTTTGGCTAATCATTTGACGAAATTGGAGGTGTTTTTATAAGTTTTTGAAATATTTTTTAATGTTTTGATTGACTATAACTTTTCTTGCCATTATCAGATCAGAACAAATCTTATATCATTCAAAAGCTCTCGATAAGCGTTATCTTTTTCCCAACTGGATGGATCTAATCTGATCACTCTTTAAAAAGTTACGACTTGATAAGTGCAGGAAATCGTTGTTTTCCACCTTTATTGGGTTATAACTTTTTAATAAGTGATCAGACTTTATACATCCAGTTGGAAAAAAGATAGCGCTTTTCGAGTGCTTTCGAATGATATAAGATTTATTCAGATTGGACCAGGGTCAAAAAAGTTATAGTCGATTAAAACTTGCTGATCGATCAAAGCTCAGTTGTCCCTTTCCGGTTTTTAGGAATGTTTTTTTAATTCTGAACAAGTTAGTCACTGGTCAAATGGATAGTGTTTTTGACTTGTCTCAAATTAGCCGCGGGTTCGAATCCTACGCATGCAAACAGTTTTTATTTTTGTTTTTCTTCCCCTAATTTTTCAAAAAGATCATTTTTTAGTTTAAAAAAATTTTTTTAGAGTCTAAAAAATTTTTATAGCCTTAAAAAATTCTTTTTTAAGTTTGTTTACCTTCGAGAACTTGACTTGGAAAAAATTAATCGAGCAACAGTTGAACGTTTGGCTAATCATCGCCGCCTTAAAAAATTAATTGTTCATGGATGCCGCAATTATGAGGCTTTACAAGACTTTCACAGTTTGCCGCAATTGCTAGTAATTAAAGGAGATATACAAGGACTTAAGGTGGATTTCTAGAACAAAATTAATGTTGTCTCGAGGCTATGTTTTGGCCCATAACTTTTTTGATACTTAACAGATTTAAATAATTTTTATACCAATCGAAAGCTCTTGGTCTGTGGATTATTTTATCCAACAGGACTGATCTGATCAGATCATTCTATTAAAAGTTATAGCCAAATAAATGTCAAAAATCACGATTTCAAGCACTTATTCGGCTCTAACTTTTTGTAGAATGATCTGATCAAATCAATCCTGTTAGATAAAATAATCCACACATTTAGAGCTTTCGATTGATATATAAATTATTTAAATCGGTCAAGAATCAAAAAAGTTATGACCCAAAATATGGCCTCAAGACTAACTTGAGACTGAAAATGCCACTTACTCATACTTCCCAACTCCTAATTTTAAGGCAATGATCGGTTGCGAAGAGCCCTATTCTTTAACAGAAAGCGAAAGTACAACTGAATCTGAAGATCTCCCAACAGCTAGAATTATTAATGGAATTGAAATTCGTACGAGTGAGAAGAAATTGGTCGCTACAATTGGAAATGGAATTTAATTAATTTTTTGCTTTTTTTTTATTTTTTTATATTTGAACTTAGAAATGGATAGAATGCTTAAATATATAAATATATTACGCTTTCGTACCTTCGACTTTCGATACTTCAAAGTCGATTAAATGTCCGGTACTCAATTGTCGTGGTGCAAAATGTCGTTTCTGTAAATGTCGTATTTTTAAAAAATTAATTATCGATTAGTATTGATTTTATCGATTGATATCGATTAGTATCGATTTTTTGAAAATTAAAAATTTTTAAAAAATTAATTATCGATTAGTATTGATTTTATCGATTGATATCGATTAGTATCGATTTTTTGAAAATTAAAAATTTTTAAAAAATTAATTATCGATTAGTATTGATTTTATCGATTGATATCGATTAGTATCGATTTTTTGAAAATTAAAAATTTTTAAAAAATTAATTATCGATTAGTATTGATTTTATCGATTGATATCGATTAGTATCGATTTTTTGAAAATTAAAAATTTTTAAAAAATTAATTATCGATTAGTATAGAATATTTATTGATATTAATTAATAAAATAAAAAAGATATGCAAAATATAATCTAAAAAGTCTAAAAATCGGTCCTTTAAAAATATCAAGATTTGCCAAATCTCTTCTGTATATCTACCCAATAACTGTATTGTTGAAGCAAACGAGTTCTTTGTTCTTGAATTGGGTCAAATCGACGTTCCGGAACAATAAAATCTTCTATTTGATTTAGAGTCCAAAATTCTGAAAGCAAATAAAAATTATTTTTTCGACAAACTTATTGGGAAAACGTCAGATTTTAGCCTGCCATTGGCAAACAAACCTTGGTTAAGTGGTTATGTTTTGAATTTTGAGAAGGAGTAGGGGAAGGGAACCCGTGGCCAACCACTACACCATGGACGCTCACCTCAGAACCTTCAAATAAACCTTTCTTATAATGAAAAGTAAATAGATTTTTTATTAATTAAATCGCGCATGTAAATATTCTCGTTTTTTGGATACGTAAACGCAACAAAAATCAATCACACAATAAGTAGAAAAAAGGAAAAGCCTTCATAATAAAGAAGGAAAAGCCTTTAAGAAAGGTTTATTTAATTTTCTTATATGAGCGTCCATGGTGTAGTGGTTAGCATTGCTGCCTTCCAAGCAGTAGGCACGGGTTCGATTCCCGTTGGACGCACAAATTTTTTTGAATCTTTAAGATTTGAATCTTTAAGATTGTTTGAATCTTTAAGATAAATTTTTCTAAAAAACACGTAAAAATTTTATACCCCGAAATTGATGGTTAAGTGGTTATGTTTTAGGTTTTGAAGGGAAATGGAGGAAGGTTCGATTCCTTTTGACTCCCAAATTTTTTAAAACACAAAAACAAATTTTAAAAAATTTTAAAAAAATTTTTGAAAAATTCTTAAAAATTTTGGAACCCAAATAATGAAATTTTTAACCCCTAAAAAACAAAAAAAAAACAGGAAAAAAATTTTTAAAATACAAAAACACCTTGTTTAATTCCAGCAAGTAAAGCAACACCTTTAGCAGAACAAAATTGAGGTTCCTCAACCCTTTCCAAGGGTAAATTAATTAAAGTACAAATTTGTTGACAAATGAAGTTATTTAAAGAAATACCACCACAGCATCTTTAAATTTTTAAAAATTAAAAAAAATTTAATCTCTAAAAAAACCTTATTCTTTTAATTAATTTAACATCATTTAAAGACAATTGAGTTAACAGGCAAGTCCAAATTTGATAAATTCCAAATATTATTGATTTAAATATTGAACGAGCAATTTGTTTTTGATTTGTAGATGAACGAATTCTGAACAAGAAAAAAATTTTTTTATGGAGAGAATAGTAACATAAATATTGTAAAAATCCTAATAGACGCCCATCCCTAATAGAAGCCCACTCAATGAAGGGTATTGAAAAATATAAGGGCTTCTATTAGGATATTTACGGTATATTAAAAAAAAAGGCTGGAACCAGACCAGGAGCAAAAGAAAGCCATACCCAGCAGAATAACTTCTAATCTTGCAACTAGAATTCCAAGAACCTCACATCAGTTCTGAAAGAGCTTTGGACTGTGACTGTGTGGAACCCGGAACCGGGGAGCAAAAAATTATAATTAGAGTTAGGAAATTTAGGCACTAAAAAGTTAAAAATAGGCGCCTATATAGGCACTAAAAAACTGCCAAAATAGGCAGTAAAAATGCGAAAAAAAGGCAAAATAGGCACGATTTTTTCGAGATTTTTTGATTTAAATTGACAGAATTTTATCAAAAAAGATAAATTTAAGCAATAAACTGTTAAATAAATTAATTTTGACGATCAGAATTACATATAAATTAATTTATATTAATTATTTTTTTTTCAAAAAATAATTTGATAAATTTTTCAAAAGAAAATTTATCCCATAAAATTTTTTGAAAAAAAATTTTTTTGGAAAAATCTTATATTTTACCAGAAAAAAATTTTTTTGAAAAATTTTTTTAAAAAATGCACAAAAATTCGCAAATTTTAGAAAAAATATGCAAAATAGGCTGAAAAAAGGCCAAATAGGGCATTTTTCCAGAAAAAGCTAAAATAGGCAATTTTAGGCAACGATAAAAGTAGTCAGAAAGAAGATTTCAGTAAAATAACACCTGATTTGGACGTTTCAGCATCAAGCCTATTTAGGAAAAAAACAGGCATTTGCCTAAAAATCCTAACTCTAATTATAATCAAAAAATTATAAAAAAAAATAAACCCAAAAAGTGAAGAACAATCATCATTGCCATTTTTCTCCAATCCAAAAGGTATAAAACAAGTAATGTCCTCATCTTCCAAGTCTTCACCTTCCTCATTAAATAGTTCTTCACACAATTTATTTAATTCGGTTGGAGCAAGTGAAGGAATTAAATTAATTAAATTACCCCATTTAAGAGAAGAAATTAAGTGATTAAATTTGCTCTTAAAATTAAGAAAAAAATTAATTTCAAATTTTAAAAAAAAGGAAACCTCTAATAAATATGTAGTAGATTGTTCATCCAATTTCCATCCTATTAAGGGATATACTCCACCTAAAAATTAAAAGAAAATTTTAAAAAATTAGGGGTGTTGAAGGAAGTTTTGGCCCAAAACTGAAGGACATAGACCCTATTTTTGGCTATATCTTTTTTCAGAAAAGTCGGAACTTGGAACTCCCGTTATAAAAAATGTGTAGCGGATCATGGGCTTTCGAATGATATATAAATTGATAAGAAAGATAAGGAAAGAAAAAGGTTATGAATTTAGAAAGACGATGAAAACACTTTTTGAAGGGATTTTTGACTATATCTTTTTTCAAAATGGTAGGAAGTTATAACTTTTAGAGAGAAAGATGTTCAGCAGATAAAAGGCTTTCGAATGATATGTGAATTGATAAGAAAAATAAAGAAACAGCAAAGATATGAATTTAGAAAGACGATGAAAACACTTTTTGAAGGGATTTTTGGCTATATCTTTTTTCAAAAAAGTCGGAACTTGGAACTCCCGTTAAAAAAATGATCTGCTGATCAAGGGCTTTCGAATGATATATAAATTGATAAGAATGATAAAGGAGGAACAAAGTTATGAATTTAGAAAGACAATGAAAAAACTTTTTTCTACTAGATTTTTGGCTATATCTTTTTTCAAAATAGTCGGAACTTGAAACTCCCAACGGAGAAAATGTTCAGCAGATCAAGGGCTTTCGAATGATATATAAATTGATAACAGAGATAAAGGAAGAACAGAGATATAAATTTAGAAAGACGATGAAAAACTTTTTTCTACTCGATTTTTAGCTATATCTTTTCTCATAAAAGTCGTAACTTAAAATTCCCGCAAGAAAAAATGTTCAGCTGATCAAGGGCTTTCGACTGATATATAAATTGATAAGAGAGATAAAGAAAAGACAAAGTTATGAATTTAGAAAAATAATGGAAAAAATTTTTTCTAAGCGATTTTTGGCTATATCTTTTCTCATAAAAGTCGTAACTTAACACTCCCGTTATAAAAAATGTTCAGCAGATCGAGGGCTTTCGAATGATATATAAATTGATAAGAAAAATAAAGAGATAACAAAGTTATGAATTTAGAAAAACCACAAAAAAACAAAAAAATTTTAGACAAAATCATTGTGGCTTATTGGTATCGTTCTAGATTCTGTGGGGAAGTGATGAGGGTTCGATAACATCTAGTGCCCAGAATTTTTTAATTAATTCAAAAAAGGTTTTCCATCGTCCAAAAAATTTTTCAAATGTTTTTCAACATTTTAATTTATTTTTAAAATAAAAAAATACCACACATGCTGGCATGCACTTCACCTCCAGACACAAAATCCAGTATAGCTCCAGTTCCCAACGATAAATTGACGTCTCCTTTTTGAATACATCCTGAACCAAATGCTGCAGATTGTGCATCTCCTAACTTAAAAAAATTTTTTAAAGAAAGAATAAGAACGTTTTGCTAGTCCAACCTCATAAATACTCTCAAAAATGAAGGGAAGTTTCACTGTCACCGTTGGAGTATCGAGGCCATATTTTGTGCCATAACTTTTTGGATACTTGACCAATTTAAATACTTTATATATCAATCGAAAGCTCTAAATGTGAGGATTATTTTATCTAACAGGATCAATTTGATCAGATCATTCTACAAAAAGTTATGTCTTAATAAGTGCGCGCAAACGTGATTTTTGACATTTATTCGGCTCTAACTTTAGGTAGAATGATCTGATCAGATCAACCTGTTAGACAAAATAATCCTTGGATCAAGGGCTTTCGATTGATATAAGAATTATTTAAATCAGTTAAATATCAAAAAAGATATGACCCAAAATATGACCTCAACACTGAAACGGGGACAATGATACGAACTTTTTGCCCCCTCGTTTTAACTAAGGTTTAGCTAAGCTCGACTCTATTTCTAAAAAATAAAAAAAGATTTAAAAAACCTTACACAAGCAGATATTTCAATTTCTCTTCCAAACAATTCAGCATCCGTAGTTAACGATAAAAGTGAAGTTGGTGAAATTGAAGGCAATAAAATTGAATTAAATGGAAATCCAATTAATTGAAGTATTTGGACACCCCAAGAATTCTTTAAAAAAATTTTAGAAAAAAATTTTTTCAAAAAAATTAAAAAAAAAAACCGTAAAGGGATCGAATAATCCAGTAGAAGAAATTGATGAAGGCTCTGTTATAAACAAATCACTATTTGTTGTTAATTTTTGTAAAATCCAACAATCCAAAGTTGTTAAAATTAAATTATTAGTTGACAATAAATGTTGCATTTTTGAGTCCTAGAAAAAATATATATGTATTTTTTAAATTAAAAATTGTCGACAAAATATTGTTTTGACATTATACATAAATTAAGGAAAGCCTGTATTTTTTAATGTTCGAGGACCTTAAGTGTAGAGCTGAAGTGGGTCGGAACAGTCAGAGGTGTCAGAAATAGGAAGAGACGAAAATCGGAACTGGCCCAAAAGTCGGAACTCGGGAATCAAAATTTTTTTCGGAAATCGGAATTCCGACCCACCTCTGGTGTAGAGGTTGAAGTGTCCCTGGTATGTTTATTCTAGCAATTTCTCAAAAGGATGGTTCCAGAAGCTTTGGACTTATGTTAGGAGAGACTTTCGAAATTCACGAAATGTTTTGGAAAGAAAAAAGGAATACCAGGGAAGGGTTACTCGGAATATCCAGACTATTTTTAACCCGAAACCCGATGCGAAGAAAAATTTTGAAATCCAATTTGAACCCCGAAGACCCGACTTTTTACTCAACCCGTACCATCCATGATAGAAACACATCAAAAATTTTTCAAAAAAACTAAAAAAAACCTCTTGAAGAATAACCAAAAACCTTGGAGCAATCATTACATCAAGTAAATTAAACATTCTAGCAGCTTTAAAACGTTCTGAATGAGTAAAAGAACTCGCAATTAGACCAAATAAATTTAAAAACTTTAAAAAATTTAAAATTTAACTCAATTTTATTTGAAAAAAAACCTTTCTTCTATAAGAATTATTCCATTTTTCACAATAGTGTTGGGCACGTTTATCTTTCCAAGTAATTATTTTATGGCAAGGTTCTAATGTTTTTCTAAAAAATTAAATTTTTATTTAGTTGAAGGAAAGTGTTTTGACTCTAAATTTTTGGAAATAAAATCTTTATTTAAAGTTTAGAGGGTCTAGGCTAGAGGAAAGATTAGGGAAGGATCGGATTGGAGGAAACAAAAAATCCCAAACTAGAGCCCCTAATTTAGACCTGAATTTTGAACCTTTGGTACTACGTACCGTCCGATCTCTATCCAAAACCCTAACTATTCTTGATTAGAAACACAAAGTCTGAAAATCTAATCTGAAAACCCGTCCCAGCCCTAGACGACAAGCAAGACCGAGATATCGAACAAAAATCTCGGTTATCGAATGGTGAGCTAGGAGTAGAGACCTGACGTGACCATAAGTGAAAATTCTTTAGTTTGAACGTCAACTATCGAAAACTCCAATTCTCAGTTAGAGAAAACAAAACAGTTGCGGTCCAGCCCCAAACTAAAAATAAAAAATCCAAGTTTATTGGCGGACCACAAACTATCTAGCCCCTCCATTACTAGAGATTTCGAATATGTAAAATAGTAATAGAAAAATAAAATTTAAAAAATAAAAACCTATTCAAAGTCACAAAAGAATTTCGATGACAACTTAATCCAATAGACAAAATATTTAAATCCAATTTGTCTGCTTCAGCTATTAAACTTTCAATCATTCCAAATATTTGTTTCCATAATTGATCCGGTTCAATTTCAACAAGTTGGTCATCTTTTGAAGTAATTAAAACAAGCTAAAAAAAGATTTTTTTTCAAGATAAAACTAAAAATTAAATTTAAAAATTTTTCTAAAATAATTCTAAAAGATTCAAAAATATTTGTGCGTCCAACGGGAATCGAACCCGTGCCTACTGCTTGGAAGGCAGCAATGCTAACCACTACACCATGGACGCTCACATCAGAAACTTTAAATAAACCTTTCTTATAATTAAAAAAAATAGATTTTATATTTAATAAAATCGCGCACGTAAAAATATTCTCGTTTTTTGGATACGTAAACGCAATAAAAATCAATTGAAAGAAGGAAAAGCCTTCATAATTATATTAATAAAGATGTTAATGTGAGCGTTCATGGTTTTTTATCTAAACTTTTTCAGGTTTTTTTTGGTTAAGTGGATCCGTTGCATATTTTAAAGGCGAAAAAGAGCAAGGTTCGAACCCTCCCACCCATTGTTTTTTAAAAAATTCTTCCCTAATAAAAATTAACCAAATAAAACCTCTTCAGTTCTGCTACACACCAATTTACATTTATCACTTGAGAAAATACAAATTTTTAAATTTGTTGTGCCAACATCAATAGCTAAAATTGCATTTATTTTTGTTGCTGGTGTTGTTGAAGTCATAGAGAAACATTTAAAAAATTAAATTTAAAAAATTAAAGTTTTTAAAAAAAATTTTAAAAAAATTTTTAAACGTAAAAATAAATACGTTTCTAATTAAAAAAATTTTTTCATTGAGATCTTTTACCGAAAAATTATTTTTTAAATAAAATAAATAGATGGCAAAAACTAAATTGGCAAAAAACAAAGGGGAGAAAGAAATAAAATAAACAAAAAAATAATCAAAAAAAGAAGAAAAATAAATTTACAATTTAATTGATGAAAAAAGGAGTTATTTTTTGAGCATATTAATGGATATTTAATTGAACAACAAAAAAAAATTTTTTGTCCGCAAATATTTTTTTATAGTTGTTCAAATTAAAACCCATTCATTATTATATTGTCGGGGTCAGTAACATTTAAAAAAACTAATTACAACAAAAGCAAGGTTATGGTGCTAATAAAATTTTCTTTTTGGAAATTTTTGCGGACAAACACTTTTTGAAAAATAATAAAATTTTTAAATTCGAATCCGACATCGGGCGGAGCCTAGGACTTTGACTCAGACTCCCCTTAAGATTTTGGAATGTACAGAAATGGAGCCGGAAAAAACACCAAAATCCAGCACTCCCTGTTTACAATCTAACCGAAAGAAACTTTTTTTTAAATCCGCAAAAAATTGTCCGCAAAAATATAAAAATTTTATCAGGCGCCCAAAATTCTAATGGAAAAAAATCTTTGGGGTTTTAAACGTTTTTTAAACAAAAAAACATTAGATTTACCATTATTTACGACAATAAATATACCATAAATCCATTCCAAATTTTTTTTTTGCTTTTTACTTCTTTTTGCGTGCCGACAAGAGTTCATCATTTTGCGGAATTTCTAATCTTTAATTTTAAAAATTAAAAAAGAACTTTTCTTTAAATTTTTGAAAAAATATGAGAAATCCGCAAAAATTTTCAAAAATCCGCAAATCTTTTTGGTTAAGTGGTTTCGTTCGCTAATTTAAAAGGAAAAGGGGGCAAGGTTTGAATCCTTCAGACCACGAATTTTTTAAAAATTATTTTAAAATAAAAATAAAAAACAAACTTGTAGCCATACATTTCGCACCAACCAAGAGGGAATAAATCACGAGATCTACAAAATAAATTTAAAAAAATTCTTTTAAAAATTAAAAGAAAAACCGATAATCAAACAATTGGTCATAGTCATTCCCCCAGCCATCAAAATGAATCTGTAACAGCCGTCCACGAACTGCTCTAACGGTTGCTGGACAAATTAGATTAGATTCACATTGATCCGTCGCCTCCAATTTTGATCCAATCTTTAAAAAATTGTGGTAAATTTAAAAAAAAGAAAAATAAAAGTCCGCAAAATTTATCCGCAAATTTTTAGAAATAAAAAAAAAATAATTTTTTTAAAGCTTTTTTTTTCTAATTAATTTTCTCTAGAATTCTATTTTTTTTGTTTTTTAACGCGCGCATATGTTATCTTGGAATTTCTTTTGTTTTTTTCTTTCTTTCCTAATCGTAAACAACTTTTTTTTCCTTTCAAATGTAAATTTATTTTTTTTTGATCTGCCGTTTTTTGCACTTTAATTTTTTTGTTTACCAAATTTCAAGGGGGCAGCCAGAAAATTTGCAGACAATAAAATCAATAGACGTTTCGATGTGTAATACCAAACGCCAAAATACAAACAATCTTCACTTGATTTGGGAAAAATCCGCAGACATTGGACCTATTTAAGTTAGAGAATTTGGTATTCTGGACATATTTAGCACAGTTTGGTATTTCGGCGTCTTTCCCTCTTGTTTTTTCTACGGAAAAATTTTTTCCGATAATTTTATTCCCACGAGTTTTCCCCCCGAGTTTTCGCGCTAAACAAGAATGTTTACCATCATTTTAAATTAAAACTAAAAATTTTAAAAAACCTTAAATTCTTCCATTTCATTAGGTGAAGGAACTTTATCCTTTAAAAAAATTTAAAAAAATTAGAAAACCTTCCAAATTTCCCCTTACAAATAAATCATCTGGAGCAGCACTTCCTTGAGATTGTTTAATATATTTTTCCCAGCAAAAATTTCTCATATCATCTTTAAAAAATTTTTTTTTAATTTTAAAAATTAAAAAAAACCTAAAGGACCATCCAATTTAATTCCATATTTTTTTGCATAATGAATTGGGAATAAATATGGGGATGTACAGTGAAAAGGAACTGCCTAAAAAAATTAAAATAAATTTTAGAAAAATTAAAAGTCTGAAATCTTTGTCAAAATTGAGTTTTTGTTAGGAAAAACCCGAATATCAATCTTAAACTCTTTTTTTAAAAAAAAGGGGGGAGGATGTCGAAGTTGGCTTTTAGTATTAAAACGTCTAAAATCCCGTGATTGTTATTTGTTATTATTACCCAAGAAGGCATCTTATAGTGAGGACCAAAACGGGATATCCTGTAGAGAGGACCAAAGGGAGTCTTATAGTGATGTCAACCCTGATGGGCATCTTATAGTGAAGTAGCTCCACAAAAGTCAAGGGATTAACTGAAGTCCTCTCAAAAGAAGGTGGTCAGTCCCAGGTGGGTGTACCTAGGGCAGTGCACCGGAAGGATCCTATACTGAAGCCCGTCCTTATATAAATCAAAATAATTTAAAAAATATATACTTCAGTCTCCATATCAGGTCCATCAAAGCCAACTTTTAAATAGCCATCTTTCAATATTTCAATACATGTAGCCACTTTTAATTCCAAAAATGTTTCATTTAAAGGATCCAAACATTCAAATTTCATTCCGACTTTAAAAAAATTTTTTTAATTTTTTCAAAAATATTTTCAAAGAAAACCTTCCCATTCAGCCTTATTTTGTTTCAAATTTTTTTCATTAGATGCTCCCCCCTCTTCTTCATTTTTATACCAAGCAAATATTTCTGGCATAGCATCAAAAGGCATATATTCAGGTTTACGACCTTGAGCTAAAGCTGAATTTATTTGTTCACAATGTTGGAGATATTGAGTATTTGCTACCTAAAAATAAAAAATTATGGGGTCTGAATAAAATAAAAAAATTTTTTATAAGGACATCCTTGGGTATGATTCATCAGTAATGCCAAACACCGAAATACCAAAAACCTAAAAAAAATTCCCCTTAGCCACGGCGTGGCATTTCGATGTTTTGGCATTAACTATGCCCTGATTATATCAGGGATGGGTTAGGGTTAGAAAAAAAGCCAAGGATTTCAAGTATCGAGCTTCGAGTAACCCATCTCATCCCTGATATGAAAAGAACGATTATTATCTTATAACCAAAGTATTTATTAATATTGAGGCATCGTTTAGAGAGCATCAATATCTAAACAAAACTGGGCCGGGTCCTCAAAAACCCACGATTTTTTTTCGATCCGAAATCAGAACCAAAAAAACTTAAAAACCCAAGCCTTTCCATGCATAAATTTAAGCCAAATTTTAAAAAAATAATTTACCACTTTCCATCCATTTTGTTTCCCCCATCCAACAGGAAAAATTAATTCCCAACTTTCATCGCACCAAATGCCCGTTTTTGTCTAAAAAGAATTTTTGTTAATTTCAAAAAAATTTCAAATAAAAAACCTGTGCAGAATCATCCCCCAAATCTTTTGCATCTACATCTTGGGAACTGACACGTACACAAATCCGTCGCCCAAGTTGTTGAATAACACGTGCTGGACGGACACTATCAGAGGCTTGTCGATCGAGTAATTCTAGACGAGTGCCTACCTAAAAAAATTTTTTGGTAAAATTGAATTTCCCCTCCCACTTTCAATCCTCAGGTTCCTATAATCGAAACCCCAATCCAAAACTCGAATCAACAAAAATTTCGAAACCCGAAATCCAAAACCTGATCCACAGAGTCAGACCCGTAGCCAGGGGTTAAAAATCAAATTTTTGGCGTCTTCGGCACCAAAAAATTGGAGAAAAAATTTTCCCCCTTGCCCCCCTCCCCCGCAAAAATCCTGGCTACAGGGCCTGCCTAGAGTTCGGTTGGGATTTCGATTTCCTATATTTCAAGGAAAAAAGAAAGAGAGAAACCAAGTTCAATTTCAACCTACTTTTCAATTCTTTAAAACAAAAAAAACCTTAAATCTTCCTTCGACCAAAGCAATCTGCCTTTCCTCCTCCCAATTAGCCAAAAGAGTTTTACACTTGACCAGTCTTTCAGCCATATAAACAGACCAATCTGGATGCCTTTCTCGAATAGAATTTGGAGGCAATAAATCGCAGGTTTGATTGTGGAATTTGCTATAAAATAAAAAAAATATTTTTTGCACTGGTAGAAATCTTTTTTAATAGGACCTTCCAATAGGACAGATAACACAAGATGTGTTTCCAAGGACTTTGGGAGTACAACAAGCTCAACAATATCCTATTCTTGAGACCCAACATTAACAATAAACACACCTCTTACTTAAATTGAAGGTCCAGCCCTCAGTGTAAAATAATAAAAAGTTCAGGACCAAGAACGAGAGAACTGGAGAAATAAAACCACTAATGGAACACATATTTTCCCAACTGGGATGGGACAGTTGAGAAAAAAGGGTCGGGTTTCGCGTTGAGAACGCAGGATTTCTTGACGTTTTGGGTCGGGTCAATTAGAGGATTAAGAGGGAAAGTTTCTCGGATCAGGTTTCGGGTCGAAAAGCAACCTGAATTCATAAAACCCGTCCCACCCCTGTTTCCCATTATACCCCAGAAACAAAAAAACTGAATTTAATACCAATGTCCAACGTGTTGTAATTCATCAGACCCCAAACTAATCCAAAAATCGTAACGATCATCGCCAGGTTCATCCATTCCTTCATAACGCATTAATAATCGATAACCAACCACCTAAAATTTATAAATCAGTCTAAAATCAAAATATAAATAAACCTTAATGACTGAAGCAATCCAAAAAATTTTCTTGTCGGGAAACAAAGAGTCGTAGTCATAATGACGAATTTCAAGCTGAAAATAGAGTGGATAGATTAAATTTAAAAATCCTCAAAATTCAATCAACTTCTAAATGGACCATAAGGGTCAATCCCAAATATTAAAACGGATAAAGAGAACTTTGGGCCAGGACTGGCCGAAATAAAAAGTTTTTTTGAATCGGCACGAAATGAGATTTGCGAACTTGTTTTGGCAGAAACGAAATTTCGACCAGCCCTGATTTGGGCGAATTAAGACGGATTTGTTGGGATTAAGGGGATTGAAGGCAAAAACCAGAAATTCTCTAGTAAGCTGTCAGGTAAAGCAAAAGGGAGCATTCCAACCTATTCGTAATCTCAAGAAGTCTTTATAAGCCCAAATATTTGGGTTTATAACTTCCAGGGTAACTTGAACTTCTAACAAGGGGAAGTCTTCAAAGACTTAACCAAAACAAAAAATTCGAAAAATTTCCCAGTCAAGTCCGAAAAAATCTTTCCACTCCCGTCTACCCAAAAATATAGAAAAAATTCTAAAAAAACCTTAATTCCAGGAGTAATTGCCGACAGAAAAATGCCCATTGGGGGGTTTCCAAAAACCGAACCAGGCAATTCCCTCACATCCTTGTTTGCTTGTTTACGCACTAATTCAAGAAAATTGTCCCATCTAAAAGAGTGTTGCGGGTTTGGCTGTGTTGTTGTTGTCCCAATCAAAGTTTGAATTCCAGGCACATACACAATTTTTCTGTAGCGTTGTTTTGAGTTGGGAACGAAGTGTGAAGGAGGAGTTGAAAAAGTCCCTCCCTCAACATTTTCTTCAATTCTCTTCTTTTTAATAATGCTCATTAGAAAATATTTAAAAGTAGCTGAAAATATTGATTAAACAATTTAAAAAAATTTAAAAAAAAGTATAGAAATGAGGATTGAACTGTCAAAGTCAAACAAAAAAGTCAAACAAGAAAAATAAATTTAATTAATTTATATTTATTTATTAAGTTAAGTCAATAATTAAGTGGATTGTCGGTCTCACAATCAGACCGAAAACACAAAAACCCAAGGATTCTAGATTTGGTTTTCAATTAAGTGAAATTTTATTTGGTTTTGGAATATTAATTTAATGTCCAACAATTTTAAAGAAAATCATAAAAAATAAACAAAACCCCCACTAAACACGAAAAGAAAATTTCCGGAAAAACATGTTACCGACAACCACTACACCGTAAATAAAAAAATTTAGAAATGTGTCAAAAATAATATAAATTTGTATAGGCATTTTTTGTGAGATACGTCTTAAAAACCCGCTTTTTAAAAATTTATTTTCTTCATTTAATTGTCATCAGTTCACGCGAGAGAGAAATTCACCAAATAGTTTTGAGTCAGATGTTTGTTGCTTTTGAGAAAGATCAAAATAAAGCTAAAATATTTTAAGTCTTGATTATTCTTAATTATTATCTAATTACCCAAAAGAAAATCTATAAAGCCTACTTTTAATTCGAAATATTCTTATTTCTAATAAGAAAGAAGAACCTTAATGAGTACTATAAGTGAAACGATTGAGTGAATTCAAAGCTAAATTTGTATCCCAGATAACCTCTCGTTAATGCCTTCATTTTCCCTTCAAAAGGCACGCAATGTGACCTACAAAAATTTTTTTTGCTGAACTAACAATTTGGAATGTTTGCTTATTTTGGGTCAAAAAGTGCTTCTCTAAAGGGCTGAGAGATGCTATCACCCAAAATCGAAATTCGTAAAAATCATTTTTAATTTGAAAAATACATAATTCTAAATAAAACAACCTTAAAATGAAACAGTGTAATTGCCATATGGAGACAAATTAACTGTTTAATTCCTACCACCTCTCCTCTAATTCCATTAATCTCTCCCTTAAGTCTATCCACCACCTCTTTAAATTTGCGATCAGAATTATTTTCAATTTTTTGAATAACCTCCGGCAATTTATAGATAATTTTAACATTTTCAGGCTAAAAAGAAAAGCTTTAGAAATTTATGTGAATTTAAAAATTTAATAAAGGGTTCCCAAAAAAAGAAAATTCTCGTAGAAAAATTCAACATCAGAAACTCATCTCCCAATAAATAAATTTAACTTTTGGATTTCGTCGGGGTACGACTTACGACTTTTGGACTTCCTACAATAGAAAAAACATAATAATAATAGAAAAATAACAAACCTCTTCTTTTGGTTTCTTTGTCTCTTTTGTGAACGACGTAAATGCTCTCTTCAATGACACAAAACGTTTGGAGCCAGTAAATTTCTTTGGCACCCAAATACGTTTGAACATAAGGTTACCAAGCATGATTACAAAAATAACTTTAATAAAATCAGAGAGGAAGTCTAAAAAACAAGTGTTAAACCGAAAACAAAAATTAAAAAAGTATTGAAAGAATTGTGATTGAACTGTAAAAGTCAGACAAAAAATAAATTTAATTAATATTTATTTATTAAGTTAAGTCATTAATTAAGTGGATTGTCGGTCTCACAATCAGACCGAAAAAACATAAAAACCCGAAGATTTTGGAATATTAATTTAAGGTCCAACATTTTTAAAGAAAATCATAAAAAATCAACAAAACCCCCCACAAAAAGGAAAATTTCCGGAAAAACATGTTACCGACAACCACTACACCGTAAATAAAAAATTTAGAAATGTGTCAAAAATAATATAAATTTATATAGGCATTTTTTGTGAGATACGTCTTAAAAACCCGCTTTTTAAAAATTTATTTTCTTCATTTAATTGTCATCAGTACCCGAAGCTACAAAATACGAATTGAAATTTTGCTTCACCCGCGAGAGAAATTCACCAAATGGTTTTGAGTCAGTTTGTTGCTTTTGAGAAAGATCAAAATAAAGCTAAAATATTATTTTTTGTAAGTCTTGTCAGATTTTAAATATAAGTTATTATCTCAATAGTACTACAACCCATTCATAATTGGTACTTATGTCGTTTCCCTCCCCCACCCAATTGTACAAAACACCGGTAATTTGTAAATTCATAATTCAAAATTAAATAACCTTCAACATTAAAAGAAAAATAGTAGCTTGAATGCCAGCTATGATTTGAAGTCCGGCTACCCTTCCACTCACTTTGTCAATTTTTCCTTCCAAAGAAGCACGCATTGAGTCCTACAAAAAAATATACGAAGAAGGTAAAAGGAAAAAAACCATTCTGTGATTAGAATTTTCCACCACTTCTTTAATTTTGCGATCAGAATTGTCCTCAATTTTCTGCAAAACATCCGGCAATTTATAAATAATTTTGATATTTTCAGGCTAAAAGGAAAATGTTATAGAAATAGTAAATTTTCATAAAGGGTCCCCAATATGCTTCGAAGCTCGTACCAAAATTCGTACCCGTACAGGTACGAGCAAAAAAATGGGGCAGGTACGAAGTACGAGTACGAGCAAAATCGAAAGTTCGAAGCACTGCTTGTCAGGTTTGATCCATGAACTGAAACTTATCTCCAAAATTATATACTTTTGAATGGGTACGCCCAAAAATTTGTGCGCGTCCATACCGACGCAAAGTCATCACCATCGGTACCAGTCCCTTTATCTCGATGAAAGTAATCGTTTAATAATAGCGAATTTGGTAAGATTCGGAAAGCAAAAAGCAAGTTATGGCCTTGCACCGTTATGCCGGACGCTCTTGTGTGTGGCCTTCTGAATTTATAATATTCTAGATACAACTTCCCACGCCCACGATAGGTAAAAACAAAAATACAAAAAATTGCAAACCTCTTCTTTTTTCTCCTCTTGAGTTTTTTTTGTGAATGCTGGAGTTGCTCTCTTCCTCGACATCAAACGTTTTGATCCAGTAAATTTCTTAACCACACAAATTTGTTTGAACAATTTACCAAGCATGATTACAAAAAAATACCTATAATAAAATTAGAAAAAAATTACAAAAAAAAAACATTTGTATAAATACAATCAGTAGAAAAAAAAACTGATTTTTTTTAAAAAAAAAAAGAAAAAAAGAATCATTTTTTTAACAATTTAATTTAAAAAATAATTTTCTTAAATTTTTATATATTTTCGTATTAAGTCCCCCCAATATACCTATATATTTTTGGTATTATTTTCCATATTTAATTCTGTGTGTTCATTTTGCAATTTTAACATCAACATGTTTTGAAAGAAGCGAACAGAGTAAAGCAACACCATAACCTGTTGCACGTCCATCCCATCTATAAAAATATTGAAAAGATTGTTAAGAGTGTATATTAAATAGAGGGTATCACTTAAGCAACCCCCTATCTACCCAGTGGAGGGCTCTGGATAGTGACAGGGTGGGCTACTTAAGCGATACCCATTTAATATACACCTCATTATAAGGCACAATTGTCAAGGGTGCCTTATAATCAAGGGTGCCGTCTATCTTGTAGAGAGGTCCAATTTTTGAATGTATTCTCTATGTAATGCATTCTCTACTAATAGAGGATACATTTGAAAATTTGACCTCCCTTCAAGATAGACGCTCCCCAACAATTGTACCTTATAATGAGGTGTATATTAAATAGAGGGTATCATTTAGGCACACCCCCACCCTATTCACTGCCCTAGTAATTCTAATGACGTCCCTTAAATAGAAGTGAATCTGGCATCTTATATCGAGGTTTCCTAAATTGAAGGTACCTTATAATGAAATGTATCCTAAATTGGGGGTATTTAAATTAAATGTATGAATATTTTTATTTAAAATTATACAACCAATTTAATCATTTATACAAAGGTTGTATAAATTTATTTTTCAATTAAAATATATAATTTTATCCGAATTTTACAACGAAATACTATTTAAGAATTAAAAGTATTCCGCCAAGATTTACGGATATTTAATAGTCTCCGGTAAAATCGATTTTCCGAAGACTTTCTGGAATTTGACCTCACTAAAAGGTAGCCGCCCCCGTTAACAATTGTACCTTATAATGAGGTTATATTAAATAAAGGGTATCGCTTAAGTAACCCGGGCTCCGACGTCGAATCGGATTTTCCAGAGATTTTCTGGATTGAAATCAGAGCTAGACCTGAACCTGTCAGATTTTTATGGATTGATCCGGAGATCTAGGATATTCGGGAAATATTCCAAAGACCACAAAATATTCCGAAGACCCCCAAAAAACCCCAGATTTGGGAACCAGACCCAGAAAAATCTGTGTAGAACCCGATCCGTCGTCATGAGCCTGGACCCTAATCGACACTGATATCTATTTACATTCTCAAAAATTCAAAAAAAACCACTCCTAAAGATACTCAAATTTGGCTATGGCCATAAATCGGCCCAAAGTCATTTTCAGAAAAACCCCCATCACAACTCAATAGAAAGTCGATGGCCCTCTATCGATTAATATCAAAAAATTACTAAATTTTTGTACATAGTATCCTATGTTCCCTTGTAAAACCTCCAAAAAACCCCCGGATTTGGGAACCAGACCCAGAAAAATCTTTGTAGAATCCTGGGTCCGGCGTCGGAGACCTGTCCCTAATCGACACTAATCCTATTCATTTTCCCAAAAATTCAAAAAACCTCCTCTCACTTACTTTTCAAGTGCTGTTAATCCACACATATCAATATGAAGCCAATCAGCACCAATTTTTGTTTCTTCATTCTTCTCTTCATTTCCCCCTTCTCCTCCACCTCCATTTTCAACAGCAGCAGCAACATTTTTTCTTCCTCCATAATCAATTTGTGTTCCAATAAATAAACCAGCTAAAGCTGTTGGTGGACCAGAAGAAACACCCAAACAAGCATTTTTCATGTCAGCAACTTTGGAAGACATATCAGAAAAATGCAATTCGGGCGAGAATGGAAGTGGGTGAACTTTAAAAAATTTTAATTAAAGAGTTCAAAATCAAACACCTATTAAAGTCTCGAATTTAACTAAAAGGTACTTAAAATAAAAAATAGGTACTTAAAAACTAAAAATACTTATCCTATAATTTAGGTAGCAAGGACGATCTAAATAGCAAAAAATTCAAAAAAGTCCGCAAGTTTTGTCCGCAATTTCGTTGAATCAGTAAGTCGATATAGGTAGGGAGGGGAGAAAGAAAGGGTATAATGAGGTGATCATCAAACCTTTCGACTTTAATTTGGAGTCCCCCTTTCCTTCCTTCCCTCACAAATCAGCTCTCTAGATAAGCCTTTGATGGAAGGTTAGTTTTTAGATAGCTTCTTTATCATAAATTAAGGTGTCCTTTAAATTGAGATGTCCGTTATTGAGGCGTATCTTAAATTGAGGTGCACCTTAAATTATGGTCTACCTTATAGTAAAGCCCAACCCCTTCAAAAAATTTTTTAACCTAATTCTCCACTCTTCTTTCCAGCAATTACACATTCATTTTCAAGTTGCTCACAATTAGAAAGTATAGCAGCATGAAAACGTCCAATAGTCATTGGTTGGAATCCCGTAAGTGTTGCCATATCAATTATTGTTTTGGCCTAAATACAAAAATTATGAAAAAAGATTAAAAAAGTCCAATTCATTTTGTGATCCAAAAGTCCGTAAGTTTTGTCCGCAATTTTAATAAACCAGAGAATGGTAAAACGACAGAAATCTTGTTCAGGTCTCGAGATATAGGCTTAAGATTGGAACAGGGATGGGGCGGAATAGACATAACCCAATATTCCAAACCCAGCTTATTTTCGACTCGAACGCTGACGCGATGGAAATTTTAAACCCGATCCGAAATCAGACCCAATCTTTTTTCTCGACGAGATCTGGATCAAAAACCCGGTTATCGACACGCATTTTATATTAAAAAATAATCATCTTTGAATGGTACAGAGATCTTCTTTAAGGTCTGAAAAAAAGATCTAAATAAACTAGGAATGGGATTCCACTTCCGTTTCAGACATTTGCATATTTCCATTTTTTTCGCTTCCACATTTTAAAATCCGTTAATGCCCATCCCTAATATACCCTTTAGAACTTGCGGATAAAATTTGTTGACTTTTTTGCGGACAAATAATTTAAAAACCCTAAAAAACCTTCAAAATTTCCTTTGCATAAAAAACACCATCAGCTAATACCAAACGTCCTTCAGCGTCTGTATTGTTAACTTCGACAGTTTTGCCACTCAAAAGCTTAATTATATCATCTGGACGACTAAAAATCTTTTTAAATTTAAATAAAAAAATTAAGAAAAAACGTTGCAGTTGGAGAAACGTGATTCTCAGCGATACACAAAAGGCAGTGAAGAGGTTGATTAAATCCTGTTTTGACTAGAGTACAAAAAGCACCCAAAACTCCAGCAGCTCCAGCCATATCAATTTTCATAGCTGTAAAAATTGGAGAATTTCAAAATTATTTAGAGTCCGATACGAACTTTCGAAGCTCTCGAAATTTTCAAAAAAATTTTTTTTTCGATGCTGATTCGAAAATTTCGAAACTCTCCAAATTTTAAAAATCGATTTTTTCAAAAAAAAATTAAAAAAAATTTGAAAAAAATTTTCACAATTTTGATTTGAAATTTTAAAAAACCCGAAATTTCAAAAAAAAATTCCAAAAATTTTCAAAAATCGCAAATCTTAAAACCAAAATTTTGAAAACCCGAACCCGAAAAATTCAAAATAATTCAAAAAAATTTTTCGATGCTGTTTGGAAATTTTCGAAAATTTCGAAATACCCCGAAATTTCGAAAAAAATTCCAAAAACAAACTTGGCATAAGCGTTTTTCCTTTCAAAGAAAGTCCACCAGTATCATATACAATTCCTTTCCCAACTAAAGCATAACTTGACGAATTTTCATCTTTTTTGCCTTCTGGAATGTAGGAAAAACAAGCAAAGATTGGTGGATGCAATGAAGCTCTTCCAACGCTATAAATTCCTCCAAAACCTTTTTCTTTCAACTCTTCTCCCTAAAAATAAAATAAAAACTTTTTTAAGAGAAAAATTTTTTTGAAAGTTAACCTCAAGTTATGGGCCTAAATGATGGGAAGATAATGGGAAGAGGATCGTGCCAATGAGACCCTATATGAGAAAATATCCCTGTCTTAAATTCATATAGTTATATTAGGGCCCCAGTTCTGTGGCGTGAGACAGCGATACCTAATAACCCAGAAGACTAATTGGGTGATGAGGGAAAAATAAAAGATTTCAGAGATCTCCAAAGGTGGCAATACTCCCAAATCGTCCTAATTCGTGTCTGTAAAATAGAAAAATTAAAAAAACCTTAATTATTGTCTTTGTAACAGGCTTTCCAGTTTGTTCAATTTGTGAAAGAGCTTCATCCAAAAAGGCCTAAAAAATGATAATTAAGCTTAAAATTATTTCAACTAAGGTTGTTGACAATTAACCTATGATTCTCGATTTTCGGTTATTAGTAGAGAGAGATTTTCAAAAAAACCTGACCTTGATTTCGGTTGGGTACCTTGCCGAGATTCTTGACCTTGAGTCAATGAAAAATCAAGGAACTCTGAAGAACGCCTTGATCTAAACTCCGGATCCATGAAAAATCAAGGTACAGATCCAGCTCACTCTCGAGTTATTAGGTTAACTTAAACTCAACAACTCCAATTTCAACAAATAAAAAAACCTCAGTATGCAAAATATCTGCAGGAGTATCCACAAGTCTACAACATTCACGTATATTTGTACAAAGATTTTGTAAAAATTTGATGTCCGAATCTGTTGGCTTCTTTAATAAAAAATTTGAAATTATTTTTAAAAAATTCCAAAAAAAACCTCCTCTTCATTTGGCAACACCAACTCAATTTCTATCGATTCATAACCAGATTTTGTTGTTTTCAAAGAAAATAGAGGGAAAGCCCGAGCTATAGCAGCACAAGAAGCCATAATATTTGAAAAATCACAGTAAAGCAGAATGCTGAGATTCTGAAGAAATTTACAAAATTTAATCATTTACTTAAATAGCACTCGTGGGTTTCCCAAATCAGTTTTGCGTACTCATAATGGTCAGAAATAAAAAATAAAAACCATTCAAACTCACAATATGCACCCAATCACTCCTTCGCCTACAAAGAATAGAAAGAGAGGAAGTTTGAATGCTCTGACCATTATGAGACCATATGATTGAGAATAATAGTTCAGTTCGTACCCCGCTCTTCTTAATGAACATTTTTTAAATTTTCCCTTCCCGTTCTCCGTGCAAACCGAACTATTACTTAATTGATCCCGCACAGATATACGCAGAACTAATTGAAAACCCATGAATACCCTTTAAATTTATAATTAAAAACCTTAATTCCTTTAATCGATTTTATAGCCTTCACTTCTCTAGTAATTGCATAAGCATTTGATGGAGTGTTGTGACGAGAAATATCATCGGAAACAGAAACAATCTTAATTTAAAATTCAGAAATGTTCAAAGTTGAAGACTTTGGCTTGCTCAAAGCAAAGCCCGGGATTCGAAATAATATAATTTGAACTCATATTCGACTCAGGGATAGCACGGGTATCCAAAACACGATACCAAACCTTTCTCGACCCGAAACCCCAGAAATTTTTGAAATCCTGGCTCAAATTCGTTCCCTTATAATCACAAACTGCTCGGACTCAAGATCGCGTGAACTTTTTTGACCACGTCCCCTACTATTAGTGGTAGTTGTCCGCAAATTTACTACAATTTTTTTGAAATCCCCAAACCGAACCCTGAAGGCGACTCTCACCCAAGTCCGACCAAAGAACCGAAAAGATAAACTAAAATAAAATACAAAAAAAACCTTGGCAAGATCCAAATATAACGGAACAGAACCTCCATTCGTTTCAATTTGATTAATAGCCTTTTTAAACAAATCATTCCCAACCAGCGGCTCAAACTTCTTCGAAAGTTGGTTCTTTTCAAATTCCAATCCTTTAAGAAATTTTTTCCGTCCAAGTATCACAATTTGTGTATCCGGCAATTTTCTTTCCAAATTTAGGCCCAAATTGATTTGTAAAGTTGAGGACATTTTGCGAGAAAATATACACAAATTTGATATTTTCAACGAATTTATAAGCATAAAATTCAATCTTGACAGTCTTCAAGAACTGATTCACCGCTGAAAATTAACAGAGAATCTAAAAATGGGACAACCCAAGTAGGCGCGCGGCCATTACGGCGCAAAGCCATAACTTGCTGGAAAATTTCTGGCCCTTATTAATTTTGATACCAATCTCTTCAGCTTGATGAGAGGAATCGTTTGATACCAAATTTGGTAAGATTTGGAAATCTTAAAGCAAGTTATGGCTAAGCGCCGTTATGAACGTGCGCCTATTTGGGCTGCTCCTCTAAAAAACATTAATTAAACAACAAAATATAAAAGCAAAAAATATGCTAACAGCAAAAATTATCAGTTAAAAATCATCAAAAAAAATCATCACAACAAAAAAATTTAACTGGGAACAAAATCATAATTAACATTAAAAAAAAGAGATCATACAACAAAAATGATAACAAAAAGCGTATTTGTGCGACATTTTGCCAATTACACATTTTGCCAATAAGGGTAAAAACGGACACTTTGTCTACAAACCTGTGACAAAAAGTCATTTTTTAGCCTTATTGGCAAAATGTATTTTAGCAGAATGTGGAGGAGTCGAAAATAGAGAGAGAGAAAATATAGACAGTGAGAAGGAAGAGAAAAAGGCTTAGAGAATTTTGAAGGCAAAAGTACAAAAGATCGTTTTATCAAAACACCACCACGGCCAAAATCGTACAAATTGTAGTTTCATCTGACCCAAGTTTGGCCGTGACGACATTTTTCACGAACGATATTTTGTGTGAAAAGATTCTAAAATGTTTTCATTGAGTATTTTTAGCTAATTGAGTCCAACTTTGATTTTACCCTTATTTGAGAGAACGAGACGTCCTTGTTGTTTTAATGTGTTCAATGTGATGATTGTTTTTTTGTTAATTCTAAAAAGTAAAGAAAATTCTTAAACTAAAACGAATATTTTTAAATTTTGCGGACACTTTTTGCGGATTTCTCAAATTTAAGAGAATTTGTCCGCAAGAATTTTGCGGACATTTTTTGCGGACACTTTTTGCGGATTTTTGTAATTAAAAAAAATTGTCCGCAAGAATTTTACGGACACTTTTTGCGGATTTTTCTAATTCAAAAAATCTGTCCGCAAGAATTTTGCGGACAATTTTTGCGGATTCTTTTTTAAAAATCTACCTTCCCATCGTTTTTCTTCAAAAGAATCGGGCGAATCACTATCAAAATCGTTAGAATTTGTTTCCTCCCCTTCATCATTATTAATGCTTGAAGAAGGTTCAACTTCTGTAGTTTCTGAAGACGATGAAGTTGATTGTTCTTCTTCTTCTTGGTTTGTTTGTCTTTGTTGTTGATTTATTGTTGGTGTTGCTGAATTTAAGTAAAATGTTTTTAGAAAAAAATAGTAGACCAGGGATGTGTCGAGTTGAGAAAGAAGTCGGGCCCGGTTTAGGGTAAGGGAGTTTCCAAAAATTTTCTATCGGATTGGGAGTCGAAAACTCCCGGTTTTGGGTTTTGAGTGATGAACTGAGACCGGAACTGAAATTTTGACAGGATCCGGAATCGGATCTAATTTTTTGGTCCCGTGCTGGAACCGGAACTTTACAACCAAACCAGAATATCCCGGAACTCATAAAAAATCCCGGAACTTCCGGCCTACCAGAACAGGATCTTTCGGTTAGGCTCAAATTTTAAGTAAAATACGAGAAGCCATTCCACCACAAATCCACCCCCCCCTCCCGTCACAGAGCTACATTTTTCAGAACGAGAAGCCATTCCACCACAAATCCACCCCCCCCCCTCCCGTCACAGAGCTACATTTTTCAGAACGAGAAGCCATTCCACCACAAATCCACCCCCCCCTCCCGTCACAGAGCTACATTTTTCAGAACGAGAAGCCATTCCACCACAAATCCACCCCCCCCCCTCCCGTCACAGAGCTACATTTTTCAGAACGAGAAGCCATTCCACCACAAATCCACCCCCCCCCCTCCCGTCACAGAGCTACATTTTTCAGAACGAGAAGCCATTCCACCACAAATCCACCCCCCCCCCCCCCCCTCCCGTCACAGAGCTACATTTTTCAGAACGAGAAGCCATTCCACCACAAATCCACCCCCCCTCCCGTCACAGAGCTACATTTTTCAGAACGAGAAGCCATTCCACCACAAATCCACCCCCCCCCCCTCCCGTCACAGAGCTACATTTTTCAGAACGAGAAGCCATTCCACCACAAATCCACCCCCCCCCTCCCGTCACAGAGCTACATTTTTCAGAACGAGAAGCCATTCCACCACAAATCCACCCCCCCCCCCTCCCGTCACAGAGCTACATTTTTCAGATCCCCATCACCCTATTATGGCTTGATATTTATACTATAGTGAGATCTGGCTGTACTAAAAAAATTCCAAAAAATTCTTTCAAAAAACACCCCCACACCTTGCAAATCAAAATTAGCTCCATTATTATTCCAACAAGAAGGTAATAATGGAAAAATCATTGGTTGTTGTTGACAACAATTTAATAAACAAAAATTTTGTTGTTGTTGGATTAGTTGTTGAAGTGATAATTGAGGTTGAGGTAATACAATTAATTTACAAAAACATTGATGATGTTGGTGCTGTTGTTGACTTGATGTTGTACATGAATTTTGTAAAGGATTTTGTGAAGTATTATTATTTAATTCATTTTTGGTAGTAGTAAATTGTTTTGGAGATTTTGGAGGCTTGAAAGAAATTAAAAAAATTTTTTTTAATTCTTTGGTTAAGTGGAATAATTTTGTGCTTGAGGTCCCAAGTTCGAACCCTTTACTGGTGAACATTTTTTAATTCTTTGGTTAAGTGGATTAATTTTGTGCTTGAGGTCCCAAGTTCGAACCCTTTACTGGTGAACATTTTTTAATTCTTTGGTTAAGTGGATTAATTTTGCGTTTGGGGTCCGAGGTTCGAATCCTTTACGAGTAAAAATTTTTTAATTCTTTAGTTAAGTGGTTTAATTTTGTGTTTGAGGTCACCGGTTCGAACTCTTTAAGTGTACAAAATTTTTATCCATTGCTAAGTGGTTTAATCTTATGTTTGAGGTCGCAGGTTCGAACCCTTTAAGCGTAAAAATTTTTAATTCTTTGGTTAAGTGGGTTAATTTTATGTTTGAGGTCGCTGGTTCGAACCCTTTATGGGTAAAAATTTTTTTATTCTTTGGTTAAGTGGTTTAAATTTATATTCGAGGTCGCTGGTTCGAACCCTTTATGGGTACAGAATTTTTAAGTGGATTGATTAAGTGGATTGATTTTGTGTTTGAGGTCACAGGTTCGAACCTTTCATGGGTAAAATTTTTAATTCTTTAGTTAGGTGGATTAAATTTGTGCTTGGGGTCCACGGTTCGAATCCTTCACGGGTAAAAATTTTTAATTCTTTGGCTAAGTGGTTTAATTTTGTGTCTTGAGGTCGCCGGTTCGAACCCTTTATGGGTAAAATTTTTTATTTGAATTTTTAAATTTAAAAAAATTAAATTTTACCAAAAATTGTCCATATCTATCTTTCCTTAATTTTTCCACTTCTTCAAATAATGTACTTTCTCCTTCGCCTCCTATAGAACTACAATTTTTAGAGTTTTTGCCTCCTTCTCGTAATTCTCGTCTTTTTCTCCATTCTTTTTGTAATTCTTTTGGAGCTCCACGAATATGTAATACACGATGACGACGATTTTTGTTGTTATTTCGATCCGAAGAATTATTTATTTGTTGATTTTCTAGACAAGGATTTTGTCTAGTTGTTCCTAAAAAATTAAAAAAAAATCTAAATCTTCAAAAAAAGGTGGCGGAAGTTTATCCGAACCCCGACTCGAGAAAATTTCGAAAACCCGACCCGACAGAAAAACCAACCAATAAAAAACCGACTCATGCTTAACCCCTCCTAAATGACCCGTCAAACAAACCCCAACCTTTATTTGATCCTAAACCCAATCCTAAAAAAATTTCGAAAACATGATCCTAACCCCGACCTTTTTCTCAACACAAATCATCCCTGGTCCAACCGAAAAAAATTTTATAATTAAAAAATTTTTTTTAATTCAAACCTGGATCACTTCCAGCCCTTTTCCTTTTATCCTTAGCTTCCTTTTGTTGAGGAGTATTAGAGGAACAACAACCATTTTTCATCCACTTTTGAACAATTGCTGAATTGTTAGAAGTATAAGGAGTCTGGTCAGAATTTTGCTGAGTATCTGAATTTTTTTTTAATTTTTAAAAGTTCCCCAAAATTTCCAAAAAAACCTCTCAAATTTTCCTGATGGAATTTACAACAATTTCCATTCTCTCCCAGTTGTTGTGGCATCACAAATTGTGGTGGTAATGAATATTGCGAAAAATAATAATGATAATATAAGGCTGTTAATGCATCTGAAGAAGATAACAAATCATTTAATGGATTTATTTGAGGAGGGGAAGTTAATGGGGGAAGTGGTGGTGGTGATTGTTGTTGTTGTAATTGTTGTTGTGAATTAGTAGTAGATACAAGATTATTATTTGGATTTGATAATGTGCTCGCAGGAGTTGAAGCTACAAAAAATTTATTTATTTTCATAATTTTATTTCCAAAAAATTTTTTTTGTGGGGTAGTGTGTTTTGTCGGACAATTTTGCTGGTTACTTTTGCGGATATTTTTTGCGGACTTTACTTTGCAGACATTTTTTGCGGATTTTTCTCCGTGGCCATTTTTTGCGGACTTTTCTTTGCGGACTATTTATGCGGACATTTATTTGCGTACTTTTCTTTGCGGACTTTTCTTTGCTGACATTTTTTACGGACCATTTTTGCCGACTTTTCTCCGCTGCCGGTTGTCTTTCAAACTCAAAAAAACTATCCTTTTAAAAAAACCTACAAATTCTATCATAATGATGTTCATTTTCTATAGCATGTTGATGATCATTTGCATTATTATTGTCGTTTTTGTCTTCAATATTACATGGAATATTATTGGTTAATTGTTGTAATTCGACGTTATCTTAAAAATAAAATTTTTAAATTAAAAAAATATTTGCAGAAAGAAAATGCGGACAAAAATATTTGCGGACAAAAATACTTGCGGACAGAAATTGCGGACAAAAAAATATTTGCGGACAGAAATTGCGGACAAAAATACTTGCGGACACAAATTGCGGACAAAAAAGTATTTGCGGACAACTGTCTATTTATCCGCAATTTTAATCCGCAAAAAATAATTTACCTTCATCAATCTCCACCATTTTTGATTCATTTTCTTTCAAAATTAATTCAGAATTTTGTTCAATAGTCAACAATACAATAATTATACCAAAATGCCAAATAAATATTAATATAGAAAATATCCAATACCAAACAAGTTTTTGAGGTAAAAGTTGACAATAAGGGGCAGAAATCCTTCTGGAAGAAAAAAATTTTTTATCAGAAGACTTTTGCGGATAGGAAAAAGTCCGCAAACAATTTTGCGGATAAATAAAAAAGTCCGCAAAAAATTTGCAGAAAATCCGCAAAAATTTGCGGACAAAAAAATCCGCAAAATTTTCTGCAGACTTTCTGCAATTTTTGCGCATTTTTTACTAAAAACTAACTCTCCGAGCAGTCTTTTCCGCATTTCTGGATTTGTTTCTGCTTCTTCAATCGTTTTGTAATGAGTCATATTAATCCAATTAAGCGAAGTACCTTCAGCAAGTGAACGATTTATTGAACAGCTTAAAATATTTTTTAGGAAATAAAGAAATTTTACTTATTTTAAGCCCGAAACAATAAAATTATATTGGTTTGAACAAAAAATTTTGTCCGCAAAAATTATGCGGATTATCCGCAAAATTTTTGCGGACATTACGCAAAAAACTTGCGGATAATCCGCAAAAATATTGCGGACATTTTTTGCGGACAAATTATTTTTTAATAAATAAACTAAAAAGTCCTAGCCTGACCCCTTCAAAAATCCCAAAAAATTATTTTTAAATAATTTACTTGATACTCCTCAAAATCAACTGGCGTTCCTCTTCTTGACTAATCAAATTATTTCCAGCATATATTCGAAATGTAAGCAAAATAATTAACAAAATAAAAATTTTGTTTAAATAAAAATTAAAAATATTTTGCAGATTTTTTGTAATTTGTAAATAAATTTTTGATGAAGAAGAAAATTGAGAGAACCTTTCTTCTTCGTGTTGCTCAATATTTATTTGATGGGACTCTTTGAAATTTTTACAAGGCTATAAAATTTAAAATAGTAATTATTTTTTAATCAACGCCCGAAAAAAAAATACAGAAAATCCGCAAAAAATAGCAGTTTTTTTAAAAATATTTGCGGACAGTCCGCAAAAAAATTTTCAAAAATATCCGCAAAAAGTTGCAGAAAATTCGAAAAAAATTTACTGTCAGTCCACAAAAAAATGCAGAAAGTTCGCTAATAATCCTAAAAAATTGGGAAAAATATGCAAAATATTGAAGAAAAATCCCAAAAAATTGTTGTCCGCAACTAAACTTGCAGAAAATTAAAAGAATTGCAAAAAGTCCCCCAAAATATGCTAATACATATATTTTTTAATTTTCAATATGTTCAATTTGCAAAAATTTTAGAAGCAGAAAGTCAGCAAAAATTTTTGCAGAAAATCCGCAAAATCATTGCAGGAAGTCCGCAAAGCTTAGCGGGCATTTTTAAAAAATTATTTTTTAAAAATTTTTTACCTTTTCAGATTTACTCATTTCCAACATTTTTTGTTTTAGTTCAAAATCACAATTTTTATTTTTCTTAATATTTGCCCTAGACATCAATTTTTCTTCTAAAATTAAATTTGAAAAAAATTTTTTTATTTCAAAAATCCATACTTTTTTGTGAATATTTAATCCAATTAATATAATAGATTAATCCGAATAAACACAAAGCAATAATTAAATAGGCAAAAATTAAACGAGAAAATATTTGATTATGTAAAAAATAATTGCAAAGACCATTCACCGGGTCAATAAAAATCTGTAAAAAAATTTTTAAATAAAGTCGAGACTTTTCATTATATAAGAGATTCACCCAAATTAAATAAACCTCAATTTAAAGTATTGGCCAAGTCCGCAAAAAGTCCAAAAACCCGCAAAAAGATTGCATAAAGTCCGCAAGAAATTACTGAAAGTCCGCGAAAAAATTGCAGAAAATCCGCAAAAAATTTTCAGAAAGTCCGCAAAAAATTGCATAAAATCTGCAAAAAATTTACAGAAGTCCGCAAATATTGCAGAAAATGCGCAAAATTTTTTAAAAGTTTTTTTAGCCACCAGAGTATATTTTAGTGAGGTCCCCTAATTTAAATTAAATTCAAAAAAAACCTTGTTATAATACAAATCAAATAAAGCACAAATAAAAGAAAACAAAAATATTGAGATTGGAAAAAGTAGTGAATTAAATTTTGGAAGAACAAAATAAATTAATTTTAATAATTTTGAAGGTAATAATAATTTAATTAAAAATAATATAAAACTGAAAAAAATAGAAAAAATTTTCTTTTAAAATTAAACAAAAAAATTAAACCTTGAATTTATAAATAATGAAGAAAAATTTAAAATAAATGCTTGTAAGGCACACACAATTCCATTTCCACTTGAAAAAATTTTTTTTAATTTAAAAAATTCAGATTTTCACGAAATTTCGAAAATATCGAAAATTTGCGAAATTTCGAAAATTACAAAGTTTTACGAAATTTTCGAAATTATACGAAATTTACGAAAATCACGAAATTTAAAGAAATTTCGAAAATTACGAAGTTTCGCGAAATTTCGGAAATAACGAAGTAATACAAAATTTCGAAAATCGTGAAATTCAACGAAATTTCGAAAATTAAAAAATTTCGTGAAATTTTCGAAAATCAGAGGTTTAACGGAATTACAGGAATCACGAAGTTTAACGACTTTCGGAAACCACGAAATTTAACGAAATTTCGGAAATTACGAAATTTTCGAGAATCACGAAATTAAATGAAATTTCGGAATTTCTTAATAAAAAATTTCAAAAAAATACCCATCATTTAACAAATTTTCTGAAGATCTTCTAATTAAAATTCCATTTAAATTTAAACAAATAGCCAAGTCTCCAATAATTCCTTCACCCTCATTTTGAGGTAATATTGAAATGGCCATAATTAAAGAATTAATTGCAATAAAGAATAAAATTGAAAAAATTGAAAAACGAAAAGTGTTGGGCAAATAATTGTTGAGTTGATGTTTTTGCCGACGACAAAAATGTTTTTGAGAATTCTGAAAATTTTTTTTTGAATTTTTAGCTCTATTCTGAATTATGAGTCCATTGGGCCTTTGTGAGTCTTTAAAATTTTTTATTGGACTCATAAATTTTCAATAAACTCATAAAGCTTCTTATGACTCATAAAAGCTCATAGGGACTTCTAAATGTATAATTAGACTACGAAATTAAAGCAAAGACAAATTCTTTTTAAAAGTGACATTTGATCCCAAGCCAAAATTTATTTTTAAAAATAAAAATCTTTTCATACCTTCCCTAGCACTTTTGTATTGAATCCCTTTTTATTAGGCTAGAGATAGGGTTAGTTGATCTGAAAATTTTCGGTTAGGATATTCGGAGAGAACGCTAAATCCGTCAGCTATAGTCTCTAGATCTCTAGAATAATCATATCAAAAATTTTTAAAATTTAACTGAATGAAAATCAAGTGATAAATAAAGTCCCAACCCTTTTTTAAAATAAAAAAAACCTTTGCAACAATAAAAGAAATTGACAACAAAATGAAAACAACAATACAAAAATGTAAAATAGCAACAACAAAATTATAATTGTGCAAATTTTCAAAATTGAAAAGGGGTGACCTAAAAATTTTTTTGAATTTTTAGTTCAGTTTTTTTAAATCGACACGGACAGGGGTCTCCGGGCTAGAACCCCGATATCTTTTCGTAAATTCAATACGGTTACACGAGTTTCGGAAATCACGAAATTCTCTCGAAGCCTATTTCCAGACTATAGGGGCTCGGAAACCCCTGGTCCTAAACTCAAGAATCTTAATGAAAAACCTGCAAGGTAAATAACACCCATCAATTACCGGCTCTACTTGAATTTTATTTAAAGAAGAATTTGTAAACCCATCATTTATTAAGGACAATCTTCCAGGATTTATCAAAGGCCACAGACATTGATAAGAATCAGTAGCTAAAGAAGCTAGTTCTGGATGGACTTTTGTGTAGTTAATCTGTAAATATAGAGGATGTAGTTAAGGAATCGACTGGGGTTCGGGGTTTCAAATTTCAAAAAGTCCCGGAGTTAGGGTTTCTGATAACCCATGACATCTCTGTTCCCTGCTATATATAGGGGTAAATAAAATAGAAATTCATTCTAGAGAAGGGGCGGATTAAGAAAAAAGTCAGGTCTGATTTTGGGGTGTGCGCTCAAAATTTTCTTTGTATCAGATTTTGGACTTGAAAAAGTCATGGCTTTGACATAACTCGACTCACTTCTGATTCAAAAACCGATCCGAAAAAATTTTACAAAGCTGACAAAAAATTTTTCTGAACCCGCTCCAACCCAGACCAAAAGGTTCTAGAAAAACCGGGCTTCTTAATAAACAAATGATTGCCTGGTCGGTGGTTTGACCCTAGTTTCTGGGCGATATTTCGGCTTGATGGTCTCTTGCCACTAACCAAATTAAATAAAAAGAAACCTTGCAATCCTTCTTGTAAATAATTTTGTCTGAATTATTTCCAGATTTATTTCCTTCAAAAAAAGCATCACAATTTAAATATCCAGGAAAATGTGTTAACAAATGTTCCATTGCAAAGCCACAATGATTTAACATATTTGTACAAGAAGTCATTGAAAATTGTTCCATGAGTACATACAATTGATTTGCTATCTAATAAAAGGAATTGTTTAATGAAAATTTTAAAGCTTTTTTAGAGTGACATTTGATCCCGGATTTTTTTGATTTTCGGGATCATTCGGGATCCGGGATTTTTTCGGGATTTATCCCTCGGGATCCCGGAAGTGCGATTTTGCCGGCCTCAACATTTAACCTTAAAATGAGACTTTGAGGATCATCTGTATTTGGACCCCTGAGCCAAAACTATTTCCTTAGAATTTTTAGACATTTGATCCCACCCCTCAAAATTAAAAAAAAACCTCACATTTTTTTCTGAAACTTCACAAGGTCGATAATGACCCAAACAAATTAAAGGTGCAAGCCTTAACCAACACCTACGTAAAAATAAAAAATAAAATTAAAAAAAAAAACTAAAAACCTTGGAAAATGTCTCAAAAATTCCAATTGTTTAGGAAAATTTCCAAATTTGTAGTTTTGTTCAATAAAATTATAATTGAGTTGAGCAGAAAAACAAAATTGATTTGTATTTATACATTGCTCATTTGTATGAAATGATGAAGAAATTCGACATTTGTGGGCCACACTCCATTCTGAATTGACATGTCGAAATTCGTTTATACGGGCAATCTGCAAAAAAAGTTTACAAAAAAATTTTTAAGGTTTTTATAACATTTAATCCCAGTGATGGCATTTGATTTTGCAGAAAGTCCGCAAATTTTTCAAAAGTCCGCAAAGGGTTTTGCAGAAAAGTCCGCAAGTGGTTTTGCAGAAGAGTCCGCAAAGGGTCGTGCAGAAAGTCCGAAGAAAAGTGCGGATCCGAAAAGATTTTAAGCTTTGTCCTTCTAACGGACCCAACTCCAAACGCCATTTTTCCTTACTCGTACATCCCTGGCTCAGACAACAAAGTCAAACCCAAAATCTATTCTCTTCCCTAAGACCTAACTTTCCCTAAAAGCAACCCCCTCCCCAAAAAAATTTAAATAAAAAAACAAACATTTTTATAAAATTCCGGTTCAGATTTGTTATTAAATTCTTCTCGTCTATACAAATTTCCTTTGTAAATATCTTCATCATCTCCATTATTTTCATCAATATTTGCGGCCGAAGAAATTTTTAAAATTAAAATTTTTGTCAGCAAAAATAGAAAACTGACAAAAATAATATTCATTCTCCCTTAAAAAATTTCTAGTAAAAAAAAATAAAAAATGAATAAAAATAAAATTGAAAAGCAACTATTATTTAAACAAAAAAATTTTTTTTTAATTTTAATTAAAAAAATAATTTAAAAATATAAAAAACTCAAGAAATCAAGTCAAAATTATATGCATTATCCATGTAGGGTTGGACCCCTGACCCTTCAGAGGCGAAAAGTTTTAAGGAAAAAATTGCGGAAAATCCGCAAAGGATTTGCAGAAAGTCCGCAAAGGATTTGCAGAAAATCCGCAAAAAATTGCAGAAAGTCCGCAAAAAATTTGCAGAAAATCCGCAAAGAAATGCTGAAAGTCCGCAAATGATTTTGTAGAAAATCCGCAAAAAAATTTGCAGAAAATCCGCAAAGAAATGCTGAAAGTCCGCAAATGATTTTGTAGAAAATCCGCAAAAAAATTTGCAGAAAATCCGCAAAGTAATTGGAAGTTTAGAATGTCGATATTCAAAGTTGAGACTTCCAAAAGCTAGGTTTTGGCCAAAAAAAAGGTTGCGGTTAGGGGTCCAACCTTATTACTATAGTAATAATTAAACTTAAATTTCATCATCCCATTCTTCCTCATCTCCATCTCCTGCTTTTGGCTGTCTATTTTTTACAGATTCTTGATTTTTATACATGTCAGCTACTTGTTGTGATGAAGAAGCATCTTCAGGTTTCTTGTCAGCTTTGAAGAAAAAAAGGAATTATTTTTAAGATTAAAAAATTATTTAAAAAATTACATCTTTCCCGAATAAAGCGAGGAAAACGAAGAGAAATGCCTTAAAAATATAATTAAAAAAATTTTTTATAATTAAAAAAAACCTTTTTCACTATCCACCAATCCTCTCGCAGCCAAATGTCTCGGAGAAATAGACATATCTGCAGCCTTAACTTCCCAAACTACTGCTGGCTCAAACCAGTGGTCAGGTGCCAATGAAGGGTCAAATGAATAATAAGGACGAGGCTGAAAAAAATTTTTTTTAGAAAATTTATTTTTGCGGACAATTAAAAAAATATTTTTATTACCTTAAAAAATTTAAAAAAAACCTTGTCAATTATAAATTCCTTAAATTGTTTGTATTGATTTTGTAAATCTTCATCTTTAAATCCAGTCCCAATCTAAATTTAAAAAAAAAATTAAAAATACAAAAAAATTTTGCGGATCTTTTCCGCGGACTTTTTCGGCAGACAAATTTGCGGACTAATTTTTGCGGATAATTATTTGCGGATCTTTTCTGCGGACATTCTCTGCGGACTTCTTGCGGACAATCTTTAAAATTTCAAAAAAACCTTAGCAATAGATTCATATTGTTCACTTTCTTCATTATAACAAGCCAACAAATAACCCCCATACACACCAGCACGTTTACCCGATCCATGATAACCACCAATAACAACCAAGTCCAAAGTATCACCAATACCTTCCAAATAATCTTTTTTAAGTTTAAGCCATTTTCTTGAACGTTTAGCAATTTCATAGGTTGAGTCATCATCAAGACATTTTATCATTAGACCTGTAGAGATTAATATAATTTAGAAATTTTTTTGAAACATTTTCTTGCGGACATATGTATTTTTGCGGACTATTTCTGCAACAATTTTTGCATACTGATTTTGCGGATAATTTTTTGCGATTTTCTTGCGGACAGTTACTTGCGGACTTGTTTTTGTGTAAAAATTTTTTTTTGGTTTTTCTTGCGGACATTTTATTGCGGATTTTCTTGCTAACAAATCTCCGTTTCTCTAGGCATAGCACCCCTCTCCTCTTACTTAATAAGCGTCCAAAAAACCCCACCCAAAATAGAAAAATTAAAAAAAAAACCTTCACAATTTCCTTTAATCGATTCTTCAAAAAATTTGTTAATTTCTTCAGAATCATTTGAATCTATATAATTTGCAAAATGAATATTTCCATTTTCTTCCACAAAATTTTCTCTCAATTTATTTCGTCTTTCGCGTAAAGTTTCGCTAGTAAGAGATTCACCGTTGAAATAGAGAAGATCAAAGAGATAGACACAAACTTTTACTTGAATATCCTCACTAGTTCCGACATTCTAATTTTTAAAAAAATTTAAAAAAATAAGAGAACGTTAAATTTAGATTGAAAACCCCAAAAAAATTTTTCATAATGAGGCCAATTTGGCACGACCCCACAAAGTCAAAATACCAAGGCGCCGAAACACCAAACTACCAAAATACGTTATTTTCCCTGGTGGACAGGTCAAAGGCTTTTGTAGGTCTGGCATTTCGTTGGTTTTCATTTTTTCAAACTCAGGGCAGTTTTGCATGAATCCGTAATGCCAGACGTCCATAACCCGGTTGTTCCCTATTTGACATTTCGACCCCCCCCCCTTGAAAATGCCTTAAGAACATCTTTAACTAACATAAATGATCATAAAAATAATTTAAAACATTTTCCCAAACCTTTCGTTTTCTGGTAGATAAAACTTGAAATGAAAGAATTTGTTTATTCACTTGATCCCAAGCAACAACCTTTAAAATTACAAAAAATCCTGATAAAATTTTGTATAAAAAAGAAAACCTCTCCGTCAGCAATAAATGTTATATTCCCATCATTTTTATCTCGAATACATTTTGGTACACGTTCAACAATATCAGGAAACTTATTTGTTGAATCTTCTTGATTTCGACTGAAAATTTTGACTTTTCCATCTGACAAACGGTGAATCTGGAAAAGAAAATATTAGACAAGAAGCTGGAAGGAAGGTAGTAGGATTATGAAATTTGACAAAAATAACAACAATTGTCAGCTGATACCAAGACATTTGACACAATTAAAAAGTCAGTTGTCAAATGACAATTGTCACAATAAAAAACACAAAAGAACCCAAATCACAAAAGAGCCTCAATATAAGTTATCCACCAATATTAGATACACCTTGATTACGTCCTTTTAGTTGTGCACTGGGAGAGACCAAAATAGTAACAAAAACTATACCCAAAAATTTAAGGCAACTCAAAACAAGAATCTTCCGGTTCCAAGGGTGTATCTTATAGTGAGGTCAATCCCTAAGGGATAACTCATATCCAGTCCTTTTAGAAGGCTCACCACGAACCTAATTATAATAAAACTAAAAAAACCTGGCATCTTTCTCCATCATATTTCCATTCACAAGCTAACATTTCTTCTCCAAACCGATCAAAAATTTCATCAATTCCTTTAGTTGGATGTGCCAACATTGGTTTTATTGGAATTCCTGGAGTTATTTTACATTCTTCGGGCAATTTTGAAATTCCAGATTTTAAAACTAATTCAATTATTCTTTCATAATTTGGACATTCACTTTAAAAAAATTTTTTTATTTAAAAAATTCCAAAATAAACCAAAAAGCAGTTTTCATTGTAAGTGCATCTTCTGCCATTCTTTCTTTTAATTTTTCTGCAGACATTTTCTTTTCTATAAAAATTGGGGGTGTTAGTGAACGGTTTTATGGTTTTGCTAAACCCGATATTTAGCACAACCTCAAAAACCCAAGCGTTTTTTAAAAAGCCGGATTACCCAAAAACTGCGCCCATCATGCCAAAATGCCGTAAAGCCAACCCCCAAAATGCCGTAAAGCCAAACCCCCAAAAGCCTCTGAAATGCCAAACGAGAAAAAAGTCAACCCAACAACATGTAGGCATTTCGTCGGCTTCTGGGAGTGTCATTTTGGCACCTTCTCCACGGTTTGGAATTTCAGCATTTTTGGCATTACGGGATCATACCAATCCAAAAACAGTGAATATCCGATCGCCAACAACCCCTACTTTAAATAAAAATTAAAAAAAAGCAAACTTTTATCCCCCAATTCAAAAGTTGTAAAAGCATTAGCCAAGGCAACAATTACAGATTGTTCAGCTAATCCAATACGGAGCTTTCCACTTAAACAGCGTACCAAATATTTAGCTTCACAATCAACACAGTGTAGAATTAGACTTTGAATTTTGTCAACTTTTTTGCCCACAGACTGAAAAAAAAATTTTTTTTAAGAAAAAAATTTTGCGGACGTCCGCAAGTTTTGTCCGCAAATAAAAAAATAATAAAAAATAAATTTACATCAGTTCCACTCATTTGAGCAATTTCACGTAGTTTATTAAACACAAATGGAACAGTAAGTGGCTTTGGCTTGAAAAGCATACTTTGACCAGATCGACTTTGCTGTGCCACAACACCCAGATCCAAGCCTTTTTTAAGCTCTTCTTTGATTTTATTTGCCTATAGTAATATTTAAAAAAAAATTATAAAGTGAAGGGAAAAAGGACCTCATTTGTCAGAACCTGTAAGGATTGGAATGGAATTCTTGCGGATTTTTCTACATTTATATTCTCTTAATTGCCTAGGAAAAATAGTTTTGAGTAAAACAACTAATTTTCGATGAAAGAGAGAAATCACGACAAAAGATAAAAATTCGCAAACAACTGTCCGCAAAAGTTAAGCAAAAAAACGAGAAAATCGGCGAGAAAATCCACAAAAGAATCTGTGAAAATTTACAAAAAAATCCGCAAGAATTCAGTAAAAGACCCTTAAGAGAATGCACTCCAATCCTTACAAGTCAAAACGTTTCAACCCTCAGCCCCCCTCCCCCCCCAGGCCCGTAACCAGGGGGGGGGGTGGGGGGGGGGGAATTCCCCCCCCCCCCCGAAATGGGAAAAAGGAAAAAATTTGGGGAAGGGCTGGGGCAAAAAAGTGAATTTTTTTGGCCTACGGCCTTCGAAATTTTCAAAATTTTCGCCTGCGGCGCTAAAAAAGGAAGAAATCTGGCTTCTTGAGGTCCAAAATTCAAAAAATTTTCGCCTGCGGCGCTGAAAATCAAATTTTTGGCGCCTGCGGCGCCGAAAAAGTGAATTTTTTGGCCTACGGTCTTCTAAAATTAAAAAAATTTTCGCCTGCGGCGCTGAAAATAAAAATTTTTGGCGCCTTCGGCGCCAAAAATTTGGCGCAATAAAATTTCCCCCCCCCCCCCCCCCCCCGAAAAAAAATCCTAGTTACGGGCCTGCTCCCCCCAAAATATTAATTTTAAAATTTTTTTAACCGTTCTTCCAGTAGCACCAGCAATTGCTTTAATTAAATAAGCATCAGCTATACCCAATTCCAAACCTTCATAAGCGGGTCCAAGTTGATTAACACACAAATGAACTGCTGGACTCAAATCATTTGGAGAAAGATTTATTGCTTTAACAAAAAATTCTGCAAGGGTTTTAATTATTTCTAGACGTGAAGAAGTATTTTCAATTTGTTCCAATGTTTTTGCAAAAATTAGGTAAGGAATCCTGTGAAATGGAAAAAAATTAATTTTCAAATTAACATCTTGTAATGCCAAATCATCGAAATAACAAAGACCGAAAAGTGATCTTCTATTGTTAGAACCATTTTACAGCCTTTAGGAGTTTAGAATTTCAATATTTTGCCATTAGAAGACGCCCAGGATATTTACAGTTTATATATTTGCGGAAAAAATTTTCTAATAAAACAAATTCTGGTTTATTTTATGCCTTAATAGTTGATGCAAACCAAGCATGGACAGGTTGAGAAAAAAGCCGAATCGGAATTAGCGTCATAAAAGAAAGTCCAGGTTCGGGTATCGAGGGCGTCTTTCAAAAGTTCCTTGGGTCCGGTTTAATGACAACAACAGTCCGGCTTTAAGGTACCCAGTCCCACCCTTTCCTAATACTATCTAAAAAATATTCCTTAAACATGAGAAAATTTACGGACTGCCTAACAGCATAAAGGGAAAGAATCCAACTGACCCCGGTTTCTCAGAAAAATGTTAACCCTTAACAAAAAAATACACAAACTTGTCACCAGCCTTCCATTCTGTTTGAGATGCTGCATTTTCTTTCATTTTTGTTCTCACATAAATTAATTTATTAGTAGAAATAAAAGCACTAGTTCTCCAAAATGAACGTCCAAGTGATTTTGAAAAAATAGAAAATATCTCGAAAATATTCCAAAAATTTTTTTTTAATTTTCTAAAATTCTAAAAAGGTCAAAATTAAAATTAAAAAATATTTAAGGCAATAACCCCTTAAAAATTAAAGGAAAAAAAACTTTTTTTTGCACACAAAAAAATTTTTTTCTTAAAAATTATGCTTAAAGCATTTATACAATTTTAATATAAAAATTACCGAGAAATAAAGAATTTTTGTCTTTTCTTTGACCTAATAAGGTAAAATTGAACATATTTTTATAAGAAACTTTTAATAAGAGAAAAATCCCAAAAACTTAAAAAATTTAGATTTGCGGACAAAACTTGCGGACAATCCCAACCCAAAAATAAACAAAAATTTATGTAAATTTCGGACACTCCCAAAAGTTTTCCTATTCCTTTTTGCGGATATTTGTTAGCAGACTTAGTTTTGCGGATTTTTCTTGCGGAAATTTTTTTGCAGTTTATTTTTGAGGAATATTCGCTGACTTATTTTTAAAAAGAATTTTTCGAAAGTCACCAAAATACCAAAAAAGCCACCGAAATACCAAACCCACCCTTCCCCATATTGGAATTATTTAGCACGAGGTCATACCAATGGCGCAAAAATTTGAATAAAGTCCGCAAGTTTTGTCCGCAAACAAAATTTCTCTTATAAAAAAGTTTCGTAAATTTCCCTAATTATACAAATATATATACTTTTGATTTAATCAATCTATCAATTCTCGTATTTATCATCTTCCCTATTTAGATTTTATATTGACAGCTCAAACTTAACATCCACCGCTGCCTCCTTTGCCAATGAAACAATTGAACTCAACTATGAAAAAAAATTTTTTTTAATTTTAACCAGAAATTTTTTAAAGAAACCTTTACAGCCATTTTAGCAGCCTCTTGAAGTGAATCACACGCAAGTATACGCATTTTTGAATGAGCAATTAATGCCTTTGCGTCTGTTAAAATATAAAAAAATTCAAAAAAAAACTTTTAAAAAACCTTCAACTCGCGTTCCTTGTAGTCTAACAACAATAGGTATTTTCAAGTCAAGTTCACTCTTAAAAAAAGTTAATTTTATTATTTAAAACAAACAGCAATTTAAAAGACATAAATTTATTTCAGGCAATTTTTGAGGACTTTTCCGAATGATTCTCAATAATGCTAGGTTCGATTCAAGAGGTGGGCCAATATCTACACTTAATTTTCGCCTTTTTAGTGTTTCGTCTTCCGCCGAAAAGGCGAAAGTCATTTGTAAAAAGCAAAACACGAAAGTTGAAAATACACAAATTAGGTAATTTCAAAAGCAAAAGACGACACAAAAAAGGCAAAAATTCGGAAAAAGTCACTCCTAAAAAGCGAGACTAACAAAATCTGCGAGAGGCGACCAGTAGAGTCGGGGGCCCGGTTCGGTTCAAAAGATCGAACCGGGCCTCGAATTTTGGCCCAAAAAAGACTCGAACGGCTCGGTTCGATAAAAATTAAGCCCGAAAAAAATGACTCGAACGTCAGCCCGGTTCGAAAAATCAAACCCTAGCGACCAGGTATGTAAGTGAAAAATTTCTCAACCCCAGACATCTCAAAAAATTTTTCCCTCCAAAAATTTTCCACAAAAAAATTTTTCAAAAAAAATTTTCCCCAAAATCTTTTCCAAAAATTCAAAAAAACCAAACCGCTGCTTTAATAATTCCTTGCGCAATAACATCACATCTCATAATTCCTCCAAAAATATTAACCAAAATTGCATTGACTTTTCCTCTGTCAGAAGTTATAATTTTGAATGCTTCATAAACTTGTTCAACTGTTGCACCACCTCCAACATCAAGAAAATTGGCTGGTTCGCCTCCATGCAGTTTAATTATATCCATTGTTGCCATAGCCAAGCCAGCACCATTAACTTTAAAAATTTTCAGAAAATTTTTGAAAAATTTTTCTGAGGGGATGGGGTCCTTTCCCTTCAAAAAAATTTTTTCCAAAATTTTTTACAAAGGTTGAAGCCCCTTCAAAATTTATTTTTTCAAATATTTCCATGGATTGGAGCCCCTTTGAAATTTTTCCTAGAGGTTGGAGCATCTTTTAAAAAATCTTCCTTGGGTTTAGACTTTTTTTTCGAGGGGGTGGAGATCCCACAAAAAATTTTTTAAACCTGAGGAACATTAGAATCTTTTCAGGATATTTTCAGGAACAGGAGCTCCTTCAAAGAATTTTTTCAAAGGATGGAGCCTTCCAAATTTTTTCAAAAAATTTTCCACGGGTCGAAGCACGTTCAAAAAATTTTTTTAAAGAGAAAAAACGAACCCATACAACCAATATTTCCATCCAAACGAATATAATTCAAATTAGACTTTTGTGCTCTAACTTCCAATTCATCTTCTTGACTTGTATCTTTTTGTTCAAACAAAGCTTTTTGGCGGTATTCAGCATTTGGGTCAATAACTAATTTGCAATCCATACAATAAACTTTAAAAAAAATTAAAATTTAAGTTTCATTTTTGAAATGAAAAGACACTAGCAAACGCCTTGTCAGCAAGACTTAGGTTCGATTCCTAATCGGTAACAAACACGCCATAATGCCAAAACACAGCAATTCTAAGCTCAAAAGTCGTCAAAACCTTTTCAAAAAAATTTTTCTAGAGTAGGAGCCCCCTCAAAAGATTTTACCAAAATTTTTAAAAGAAAAAAAACAAACCCATACAACCAATATTTCCAAAAAATTTTTAAAAGAAAAAAACAAAAAGAAAAAAAAAGCCAACCCCGCCCCATTCACCCGCAAAAAGTCGCAGAATAATTGCGTCATTTCCACTGTTTGGCATTTAGGCAGCTTTGGAAGGTTTGGAATTTAGAAAGCTTTGGAACGTGTAGCATTACGACGGTTTGGTATTACGGAAGGATACCCTAAAGTCTTTTCCCTTCCCTAAAATAACAAATTACCTTGTCCATCAACATTTTCAGCCATCGGATTAATTTCCAACAAACTTCCATCAACTTTAATAAATAAATTATACAGATTGATTATCAACTCTGTCGCTTCTTTTAAACATTCATTAGCAAATCCCATTTTCTTTGCCATCTTTTCAGCATTTTCTTTTGTTACCCCTTCATTTATATCGATAGGAATTGTTATTATAGCATCTGGATCAGTTGCAGCAACTTCTTCAATGTTAACACCTCCTTTTGAAGAGCCGATTAGAATGGGGCCCTAAAAATTAATTTGTTAAATCCTTCAAAAAAAGAGTACTTTTCCGTTATTCCAAAAGAGAAAAAGCGTAAAAGGTCACTAACCCTTAGGAATAATCCTTCGAAAGAGCTCTTGAGACCAACGACTCAAAATCATAAGAGGTTTGCAATCCTGGGCTGAGATTGTCGAGCCCTTCGATAAAAAAAAGACGACAAGGGCCTAATTAGAGAACGAATTTCGAAGGGATAAACCCTAAAATTCACGCCCATTTCAATGTCAAAAAAAGTTTCCCATTTTTAGAGAAAACGTCCTTGGGACTCGAAATGGTCAAAAATCTAGAATACGGACAAATGGACAAAAATTCAACAACAGCCTGTAAGGATAACGGAAAAGCTCCTATAAAAATAATTTACATTGGTTGTTCGATCCAAAGTAATACTAAAATAATATTCCCGACGAGTAAAAAGCCTTTTGCAGACCAAAACTGCCTTGCAAGGTCGTCCTTCAGCACCCGTTTGTTTTGTGATCAGCTTGTGCCCAATCATTTGTTTTGCCTTTTCATTGGCTTCTTCGGGTCTTAAAAAAATTAAAAATAAATTTTTAAAATAAAAAAGCAAACGTAAAAACAATTTGAACTCCTCCCTCCAGACCAGAGTCAAATTTGCCTTTGCCACGCCCGCCAGCCAAAACTTGGGCTTTAACAACGTAATCTTTCCCACCTTAAAATAAAATTTAAAAATGGGCTAAAAAATTTATTTTGACTTAAAAATCATTTTAAACGTTAATTATGAAAAAAGAAAATCGTTTCGATTTTCTTTAACAAATCTAAACAAAAAGGATTCGAACCTTAACAACATTTCCCCCATTTGAGCTAATAATCGGAGCGTTAACCAACTAAGCCACAAGTACAAAAATGTCACGAATCATCCGAAATTAGATATCCGGTCTTTTTTCGTTCCGAACCCAGAACTTTTCAAAATTCCGAGCAGAAACCTGGGCTTTTTCGAACCCGAGACCCGATCCGACTTTTTCCTCGACCCCGTCCAAATTTTAAGAATTTACAAACCAATTTTCACTGCCTGATTATAAGCTTCTTCAGCACTCGTAGCAATTCCAAAAGGAGGCACTCGGACATTATTTTCAGAGAGAACAGTCATTCCATTATATTCTTGAAGCATTAAAGTCCTCACAGATTGGTTTCCCACAAACTAAAAAACAAAAAATCTTCCATTTTCAGTTAAAAAAGAAACCTTATTAGCTCCACAAAGCAGCTTTCTATGTAGCATTTTTAATTAAAACAGCGTAAAAATACAAGGATTCTAAAATAGAATTACAAGCTTCGGCTTCTAAAATTTAAAAATTAAAACAAGCTTTAAAAAATTTTAGTGTCCACACATTTGCCAAAACGACATTTTGCCAATAAGGCTAAAAAGCCACTTTTTGCCTATAGACTTTTGGCAAAACGTAAAAATTTACCCTTATTGGCAAAATATGAATAGGCAAAATGTCGCAATCTAAAAATTGTCTCTTCTTCTCCAACCCACTCTCTCTCGGAAAAACAAATAAAAACAAAAAGGGACTTTAGAGTCTTAAAATCCAATTCCCTCAATTTTTTGAAACCGCTATACTCAAATAACACTCAAAAATTCTTTAACATTTTCGATAAAAAGACTAAATTATGTCGAGTAGATGAAACGAAAAATGACAAGAGTGACAAAAACATTTTGTATATTTCTCTAATTTTTTCCTTCTCCACTCTCTCTAACATTTCCCCCACAAACATTTTTAAGCCTTTTGCAGGACACGCCCAAAACGGCGCGCGGCCATAACGGCGCCAAGCCATAACTTGCTTCATGTTTTCCGAATCTTACCAAATTTGGTATCGAACGATTCCTCTCATCGAGCTAAAGAGATTGGTACCAAAATTTATAAGGTCCAGAAATTTTCCAGCAAGTTATGGCTTTGCGCCGTTATGGCCGCGCGCCGTTTTGGATTTCTTTTTTAATTAAAATCTCTTCCAATTTAGCTAAAAAAATTAAAAAATGCCCGTTCCTCAAGGCTACCAACAACAACAAGTTTCACAACAACGCCAAGGCTTCTCGTGCTTTGACAAATTGAAAATGGGCTTTTTAATGGGGTGTATGATAGGTGGTTCTACTGGCGTTATTATTGGGACTTTTACAACTTTGAGGTTTGCAAAGTTTTAAAAATTTTCAAAAAAATTTTTCAAGGGCCGGTCTACGCGGCAGAGAAGCTTTTAGACAAATTGGCAAAGTGGCAGCCCAAATGGGTGGATCTTTTGGTGTTTTTATGACTGTTGCGCAAGGGATTAGATGCTAAGAAATGATGATTTTGAAAGAGAAACTTTGATTAATTTAAATTTTTTGATAGCTTGTTGACTTTTTTTACATATTTATCAATTCACAAACTTAAAAAAATAAAGAAAAAAATTTATCGAATTTGAAACACCGTCCAAAGAAAGACCCTCAATGGGAGAGGGGTCATTTTGGCGCGAGAACTTCGACGCAAAGCCACAACTTGCTAGAAAATTACTGCCCTTTTTCAATTTCAGTACCTTTCTCTTTAGCTCGATGAGAGGAATCGTTTAATACTAAATTTGTCAAGATTCGGAAATCTTGAAGCAAGTTATGGATTTGCGCCGTTTTGACCGCGCGCCCTTTTGGACTGTCCCTTTTTATTTTTGCAACGGGGGATTTTGGTCAAATTACGGGGAAGAGTGTTCCAACAACCTCAGCCCCACTCTCTCCTCAGCCTTTCTTCTATACTCAACTGTCCCCTCATTTCAAAATGTTAAAATTGGATAAAATGTCATTTATTATTACGCCAAATTTAGTGGTAAAATTAAAAAATGATTCAAAAATTTTTTTGTTAATGAACCACTTTTGTTCGCGTAGTGCCGAATTTTGGCCATTTCAGTTACTTTTTGTTATTTCTCTTATTTTTTTGCGCATTTTTCTTCATAAATAAACATCTGCAATGGCTTATAAAAGATACTTTTGTTCTTTTTTGGCCGCCTTTATTATTTACATATTCAATTTCCTAGTCATTTTAATCATTTATTCTATCCAAAATAACTTTATTAACTAGCTACTGGTATTACTCATTTTTTAGCTAAAAATTAGAGACAACCGCAATAGTCTCTCTTAAAGCTTCTTTCTCTTTTTCTATGGCCAAAACTCTGTCTCCTCCACATTTTGCCAAAACCACATTTTGCCAACAAGGCTTAAAATTCTCATTTTGTCATTAAGCTTGTTGACAAAAAATTCGTTTTTAGCCTTATTGGCAAAATGTCGCGTTGACAAAATGTGTTTAATAGGAAGCTTTTTTAATAGACAGTCCACACTACTGAAAATAAAGGGGGCATTTTCTTTCTTTTTTTAAGCTTAATCTTGTGCTTCTCCTCTTCCCTTTTAGTTTAGTAAATAAATCGACATTTTTTTCCTTTTTTCTAGTAATATTGCCTAGCACACACATTTTATTCTTGGCCATTCTTGAGAGTTTTTTCCTTCCCTTCATTTACTGAAGAAAATTGACTTTTTTATTTTTTTAAAAGTGGGTAAACTTAATTTTGAATTGAAAAAATTTTTATTTTTTTATTTGTTTTTAATGAGCTAAAAAATTAATTCTAATTGGTCCATTCTAGAAGGTGCACGAGAGAATTTACGTCTTCTGTTCCTTAAAATTCCCCTTAATCCCAACAAATCCTTTCAGGCCCGTAGCCAGGATTTTTTTCGTGGAGAGGGGGGGGCAAGGCGAAATTTTGAGGTTTTAGAAGGCTGTAGACCAGGGCTCTCATTCGTGCTTTATTTGAAAGTATTATACTTTGAAACCGACCTCCATACTTAAGAAATTGAATTTATACTTTATTGAAAGTATATACTTTAAAATCAACATTTTGGATTGAAAATGAAATTGGGGAAGGGATTGGGCAAAAAAGTGAATTTTTTTAGCCTTGGGCCTTCGAAATTATCAAAATTTTCGCCTGCGGCGCTGAAAAAGAAAGAAATCTGGCTTCTTGGGCTCCAAATTTCAAAAAATTTTCGCCTGCGGCGCTGAAAATGGGAGAAATCTGACTACTTGGGCTCCAAATTTCAAAAAATTTTCGCCTGCGGCGCTGAAAATGGACGAAAGCTTGAGGTTAAGACTGTCAGGGCTTTATTTCTTGTATCAGCGAATTTTGACATGTCATGCGTTGAAATGCACAAAATGCCCAATGGAAGCAAGAAATTATTAGAAAAGATTCATTTAAGAGAGAAATATAAAAGATTTGAGCACGAACAAATATTTTCCAATTTAATTTTGAGTATACTTTAAATTTGGAAATTTTCTCCCTATATACTTTTTTATCAAGATTTTGATACTTTTGAGTGGCATTTTGTCGATGAGAGCCCTGCTGTAGACCAAAAAAATGCACTTTTTTGCCCAATCCACTTCTCAAATTTTTTCCTCTTTTCCCATTTTTGCGGGAGAGGGAGGGGGGTGGGGCCGTAGCCTCCTGACTACGGGCCTTAATCCTTTATCCAATCGAATATTTGGAGAGTTGACCTCTAGAGTGTTGACCAGGGGTGTCCGCAAATGAAAAAAAATTTCCGCATCCGCATTTGCGGACACCCTGGTGTCGACCTTCTGATTTCTTTTTCTAATAATTCAAAAAAATTTTTTTTCACTTTTTTAGAGATCCAAAAAGGCTCAAAAAGCTCAATTTTCATCAAATTCTCTTCAAAAAATTCAAAAAATGCCAAAACAAAATTTGGATTTGCTTGACTATTTCGGCCCTTTGGCAGCTTCAATTGTCTTTTTCTCCGTTATTTTTGTCATTTCTGTTACTTGCATTCTTTGGTTTTGTGTTTCTGAGAAGGACGATCAGACTGTTTTTGATAAGGTTTTTTTTTAGATTAAAAGAGGGTTTTTAGGGGGAATTTTTCTTCGGAAACTTTTTGGAACCTAGAAATGAGCCTGGTCCTCCCTATGAGCTTTTCAATTCTCGAGGACTTTTGTCCCTTTCTCTGCACCGAGTGGTTAATTTGCTCGGGCACGTTGACTTTTTGCTTAGGCCTTTCAAGATTTTTCCTCTTTAACAAAAATTTAAATGTGGCACAGAAAAACGGCTATTTTTAAGTATAACTTTCTGGAAAACTTCCTCAATTTTTTAAACCTCCCAAAACAGCCTGTGGGAAGAGAAGGGGAGAGAGGGAATGACAAATTGTGGGTTTAGCCAAAATATATAGTTTAGTTACCGCTTGAAGAACCTTTAAGCCTTTAAAACCCTTTAACCCCCTCTAAGCCTTAAACCCTTTTCAAAAAATTTTTCTTTTTAGTGGGGAATGTGCAACACTCGACGCGCTCGTCGTTCAGCCCGACTGTCGCAGCAACAAGGCGAATTCACTGGATTGGCAGCGACAAGTTCTTCTGGCCCTCAGGCAGTTAAAGCTTAAAAGAAGTAAAAAATTAGTTGGAAGTTTAGTTTAGAAATTAAAAAATTAATTTTTGTTTTAAATTCTTTTCGGTATTTTCCGTTCTTTTTCTTCTCTCACTTAAAATGCCCATCCTTGAATAATTGATTTGACTTTTGTTTTTAGATTTTGTCAGATTTTTGTGGGGTTTCTAGCTAAAACTTGACCCCCAGAAGTCTTAATCCCGAACTCCTTTGCGGATTTTCTGAAAATTTTTGCGGACATACTGCAAGTTTTTGCGGATTTTCCGCAAATTTTTTGCGGACTTTCTGCAAGTTTTTTGCGGATTTTCCGCAAATTTTTTGCGGATTTTCTTCAAATTTTTTCGGACTTTCTGCAAGATCCTTTGCTTACCGAAAAAACCCCTTTTCCGAACATCAATTTTGAACCCTTAAATCCTCCCATAACCTCCACAACATTTTCTTGACAAAATCTTTTATTTCAATTTCCCTCTAAAAAATTTTTTCTTATATAAAATCGCATAATTTTCTCGGTCCCTTATTGCTGTAGCAAAATGAAAATTTTTTTTGATAGAATTTAAAAAACGATCTCTGATCGAAATTTATTTCGTTTTGTATAAATATCAAGAATTTTTGAAGGAAAAAAATTTTTTTAATCGGAGAGAAAAAAAAATCAGACAAGAGGGGGCAAGGCTAAAAAGCCGATAAAACGGCAATCCCGGAGAATTGGGGTCCCTAAGGAAAAAAGACTCGGTCGGGCCGGCCCGAAAAAATGACTCGAATGTCGACCTGACTCGAAACCCCCAACCCTAGTCTTTTTACGAAACAAATTCATTTTGCCCTAAAAGACGTTCCCGAAAAAGTATGGGAAAAATAATAAAAATTGTAACGGTAAAAAGTGTTATAAACGAAAACGTAAAAAGTAAGAAACGATCAATTATTGACGCCAATGTTCTCCATTGCCAAATAATTCGTTTGCGTTCATCAATTACCTTTGAATATAAACTTTAAAAAATCTAACAGGCCTAAAGAAAAGGTGATTCTCCCCTATTATCCCCCACACGCTCACCAAGTACCTACCAGAGGTCGATCGGAAATGACGAAGGTACCGGAAATTGGAACTGTCGGAAATCGGAAAAAAAAGAAACGCCGGAAATCGGAATTCCGATCAACCTCTGGTAAATATTGGTTGGAAAATCGGAAAATTTTTTAAAAATATTTTTTGGAGCGTGGAGGACTTGTTTCCTAGTCCTCCACGCTCGCCAAGTACATACTCATTGGTTGGACAACAAAAAATGTGTTGTACGCATTCAGCCAATGAATGGGACGAGGAGAGGAACAAAGGAAGTGTCTCCAGCCCCAAAAATCCCTACAAAAATGGGCAGAAAAGTCGGAAGGACCAGAGGAAAAACATCACCACTTGTATTAATTAAAAGGGAAGGAGGGACAATTGGGAGAAGGGGGAACCTGTTAAGAAGACCAAAAAATGAACGGAAGCCGAAAAATAGACGGGAAGTGGAAAGAACCACAAGGAAAACAGTCAACATTCTATCCAAAAAATCCCCCAAGAAAAAACCTAATTCTCACTAAAAAACTAAAAAAACCTCATCACGTATTTCAAATTGTTGCAATGAACGATAAACACGTTTGAGAATTTTTCTGAATCGTTCTTCAAATTCTGTAGACATTACAGGACGTACGGCATTTAACCGAGGCATTACCTTTTTAAATAAAAATAGAAAAAATTTTAAGTAAGTTTTTATGTCCGCAAAGTAAGTTTTAGTGTCCGCAAAGGCTAGGTGCTTCTTCATGTTCTGCTACCCCTTCCCCGATTCGTAAAAAGAAGGGAAGCCTAGAAATAAGTCACGAATGGGTCAACCTGACATTTTTAGAATATTTCTGGATTTACTTAATTCCAGGGACAGCAAGGGAAAAATCGGGTAGGATTCCGGACCGGGTTTTTAGAAAATTTCTTGGATCGGATTTCGGGTATCGAATTACCCTATACACCCCTGGCCATTTAGTCAAGTCACAGTTAGTGCGTTGTTTCTTCCAGACTTGGTCGTGGATACGGATACAGATAATACCAAAATGCCTACGGGTATCCGCCCGTATCCGCCGTAAATATCCGGATACCAAAATCCGTATCCATGTCCTAGTCTGGCTTCTTCTGTGGTGTGTCAGAGCCGGACTGGGGATTCCCCTACCCTGAACAAAATAACAAAAAATCTTTTTTAAAAACCTGTTCCATCAACATTTTCTCGAGTGTTACACATTCCCCTCCAATACTTTCTTGAGTACATTGAGTCAACCGTCGAGTTTTTCTTTCAATTCTTGGACTACAACCATCTTCTGAACAATCAGCAAATGTTAGTCTTCTCTTCTAAAAAATAAAAAAATTTTTCTCTTCCCCCTAAAATTAAAAAAAATAAACCAAATTTAAAGAAGACGACAATTTTTCCTCCTCTACTTCCCCGTTTTCCATACACTCACAATTTCTACTTTCATCAGTTCTCGTCTCTTTACAATTTTCCATATTTTTTATATGCTTCAAATCCCTCAGCAAACTTATACGACGAATTGTAGAACGTCTAGTCTTTAAAAAATTAAAATAGGTACTAATCACACTATACCCCCCAAACGTCCGCAATTTTTGTCCGCAAATGTTTATCATGCCTTCTTCCGCTTTCTTTTCTCCTCTCAACAAGATTAAAAGAAATTTACAAGCATTAATAAAAGTCAGGAAAATATGTAAAATGCTAGACATGCAGATTTCCATATCTCCATCTGCGGATAATATTTGCGGATTAACATTTGCGGACAAAACTTGCGGACAAAATTTGCGGACAAAAACTTGCGGACAAAATTTGTGAAAATGCATTTGCGGACAAAGTTTGCGAACAAACATTTGCGGATGAATATTTGCGGACAAAAATAGGGAACAACCGTTCGCGGATAGAACTTTGCAGATAAACACTTGCGGACAAACACTCACAGGTATATTTGCGAACATGTGTGGGTATAACACGAAAGTGCCAAAAAATATTTTTAAAAATAAATTTAAAGAAACCTTTGTAGCTTTAATTAAAGTGACAGAATCCGGTTCGTGTACACGAATAAATAAAATGGTTGCCAAATAACCGAGAATATATCTAAAAATTAAAATAAAAAATTTTTTTTTAACAAAATCAAGTACTTTCTCATCCACCAAGGAACTCGACTTTGATTTGTTATTCCACGCCTGTGAACGTTTAGAGTGTAGACATTCATTGCTGTTGCGAGACACACCTTTTTTAATCAGAAAATTTCAGAATTTCTGAAAATTTTTCAGAAAATCAGAATTTTTCTGAAAAAAAATCAGAATTTTTCTGAAAAAAAATCAGAATTTTTCTGAAAAAAAATCAGAATTTTTCTGAAAAAAAATCAGAATTTTTCTGAAAAAAATCAGAATTTTTCTGAAAAAAATCAGAATTTTTCTGAAAAAAAATCAGAATTTCTGAAAAAAATCCGAAATTTTTTCAAAAATTTCAAGAAATTTTCAGAATTTCAAAAAATCAATTTTTAAGACCCCCTTACAATTGCTAAAGATGCCACATAGTAAATTCCAATAAGCGGAACTGTTTCAGAAGTAGGAGGGATTGATTCAATAATTGATTGGAGATACACACCCATTGAAAGGATTACCTTAAAATTAAATTTTTTAATTTTCCCAGTTAATTTTCTCTGGTCACCTACACAGTTCTTATCCGTTCACCTTATCTATTGGTTCACTTCACACCCCCCCTTGCATTCGCCTTACTGCCCTTGGTTCCTTCACACCCCCCTTGCATTCACCTTACTCCCTTGGTTCCCTTCACACCCTTTCCCCTTTGCCCACCCTCACGCTATTTTTTGGACCCCTTCGTGCATGAGGTCCCTTACACTCCCCCCCCTATTCACCCTATCTATTGGTTCCTTTCACCTTACTCCCCTTGGTACCCTTCACACCCCCACCTCTTCACCAAATTTATCTGGTTCCCTCCATCCCATTTTTTCCCTGTTCCATTCACCCCACTCATTGGCTGAAGAGAACAAAAATCAAAAAAATTTAAAATAAACCCCAAACCGTATTTAACATATTAATTTTTTCGCCAGTTTCAGGAGGCATACAAAAACCAAGAAGAGCCATCGAAGAGATTAGTACACACGGAATTATCTGTAAAAAAAGGAAATTTTAAAAATTTCGAAAAATATTTACAAAAAAATTTTTTCGAAAAATTATTCTCGAAATTTCGAAATATTTCGAAATTTGAGAAATCTCGAAAGTTCGTAAAAAATTTCGAAAAAATCTCGAAATTTTTCGAAATCTCGAAATTTCGTAATATTCCGAAATTTCGCGAAATTTGAAAAAATTATTCCCAAAATTTCGGCCAAAATTCGAAATTTCGCAAAAACACGAAATTTCGCAAAATCTCGAAATTTCATAATTTTTCGACTTATAAAAAAACTAAACAAACGTGATTAAAAACATAAAATAAAGGCCTTCTACGCATTTTAATTGTAGCTATTATCATTGGCCAACTAGCAACTTTGTCGGTTGAGAATCGAATTAACTTTAAAAAAATTGAAAAATTTTTAAAAATTAAAAAACCCTTCTTTCCGCCTTAAACGAAAGCAAATCAAATTCTGTCGAATTCAAATAATTTGACAAATCGCCTTGATCCGTGGTAAGTCCAATGTCAATTTCACGGGAATCATGAGAACCCCAACTGGCGAATTTTAGAGTGCCTTTAGAAAAATATTTTTAGAGTTGATTTTAGGATAAAAAATATTCTGAGGGAATAAAATAATTTTCGAAAAAATTTTTCCCAAAAATTTTCCAAGAAAATTTCCCAGAAAAATTTCAAAAAATTTTTTTGGAAATTTTCGAAAATTCGCAATATTCGCGAAATTTCGAAATTTCGCAATATCCTAAAATTTCGTGAAATTTCGTAATATTCTAAAATTTCGCGAAATTTCGTAATATTCTAAAATTTCGCGAAATTTCGTAATATTCTAAAATTTCGTGAAATTTCGTAATATTCTAAAATTTCGCGAAATTTCGTAATATTTTAAAATTTCGCGAAAATTTTTGGAATAAATGTTTAGAAAAATTTTTAAAAAATTCAAAAAAAACTTCTCTTTACATTCTTGATCATCAAAAGGATAATATTTAACATTAATAGCACAATTTGATTTAAACAAAGCAGATAATAGCCAAGTAACATTTCCAGCATTTGTTATAATTACGTCTGTTGAAAGTAGAGAGCCTCGATAATCGTGGGCCGCATTATTTATTAAAATTATGTCGGGCAACCAAATACGGTGATGCGGGGCATAAATTTGTTCAATTCCCTTTGAAAAAATATTCTGATTAAATGAAAATTCTGAAATATTCTGAATGACCAGAATTCTGATGTCTACTCCAAAAATTCTGATTTTCCAAAAATCAGAATATTCTGATTTTTAAATTCTGAAAATGCTAATTTAGTCCAAAATTCTGAATTTTAGTCAGAATATTCTGATTTTAAATTCAAAAAATTCTGATTTAGACCAGAATTCTGATTTAAAAATTTTTTCAAATTCTGAAGTGACTCTGAAAATAACTCTGTCTTAAACCAGAAGTTTGGAAATCAGAATTCTGGAACAAAATACAAAGTTCCAATTTAGCCACAAATCAGAATATTCTGTTTTTTAATTTGAAAATTTGTTAAAAAATCAGAATTCTGATTTTCCAACAAAATTCTGATTTTTTAATAATTCTGATTTCAAAGAATTCTGATTTGGAACAGAATTCTGAGATATTCTGATTTTTAATTCAAAGTGTCCTGATTTTTCAGAATTCTGAAATATTCTGATTTTCTAATTTAGTCCAGAATTCTGATTTTTGGCCAGAAAATTTTGATCTATGCATAATTGAAAAATTCAAATTTAGACCAAAAATCAGAAACCTCCCATTCACTAACATTCCAAGCCAATCTATAATCAATCCAATTTACATTTATCCAACACCTAGTAGTTAATATCTGATTTTTTTCGTCCATTTCCACAATTTGGTTTAATAACACCCCAAAAGTAACATTTGTAGGTAATAAATGATGTTGAGTTGGCCTCACATTTTTTTCATAATTTTGAGGATTTAATAATTTTTTGTATAAATTTTCTTCTGTTCTAGAGGCCGAATTTTCTTTAAAAATTAAAAATTGTAATCAAAATTTTCTGTTTTTTTTTCAGACTTTTAAAATTAAAAATCAGAATATTTCTGAAAATCAGAATGTCTCTGAATAAAAATCAGAATATTTCTGAAAACCAGAATTTTTCTGAATTAAAATCAGAATTTATCAGAATTCTGGTAAAAATCAGAATTTTTAAATTAAAAATCAGAATATTCTGAATTCTGATTTTTTCAGAACTTTTTGGATTAAAAATCAGAAATTTTTCAGAATTCTGATCAAAATTCTGGTTTTAAAAATTCTGATGTTTATTGAATTAACAATTTAAAAAATAAAAAAATACTAATAGCCAAAGCTTTTTCCAAATTTTTATCAATTAATTCCAATCCTTTTTCTTTCTCTTTAATATTTTCCAACAAAGAATCATTTAAAACATTTGCAAAATCAAAATCTTCTGCTGACTGAAAAGGGAAAAAAATTAAATTTAGATTAATTTGAACAGGATTGTCAGTAGAGTAGTGATGCTAGGGTATCCCGATCCCGAGGTCATTGCTCGACCCGACTCCCGTTTCCCGGGTTTTTTCTTCTCCCGAGCATCACTACAGTAGAGTGCGGAAAAATCGCATCCACGGGATCCCGTAACGGGATTTTTTTCTAAAAATTTTACGGGATGGGATCCCGCGGGATTAATCCCGTAAATTCCGTTCGTTGCTTAAAATACGGGATTTCGGGACAGGATCCCGTAAAACCCCGTACGGGGTTCTGTCCCGTCCGCACTCTAGTTGTCACCCCTAGACTCGTTTCCGGATATCCGAAGATTTTTCAGTAACCGACAACCCTATTTTTGAACAAATTTAACGAGGAAAAGGCCCAGAAACTTCAAAATGCCCAGAAAACCCAAAAGGCCTAAAAAAGCAAAAAAGGTTCAAAACAGTCCAAAAATACCAGAAAATCGAAAAATGTCTAAAAAGTCAAAAAAAGCTCAAAAAATACCCAAGAACGACCCACTCTTTAAGGAGGCCCTTTTAAGGAAATAATCAGATTACAAAAAATATTTTAAAAAAACCTGTATATTTTTCAAATTAAGCAAAGATTCCAAAAACTTCAAAGAAGGTATTCTTCTTGTTGTTGGTAAAAAAGTATTATTTTTTAATGTAGAAAAGGAGTAATTGAACAACAAAAAATTGAATAAAATAGTAAACAGAGGAAGAAAATGCATTCTGAAAAATGAGAAACTTCAAAAATCGGTGAATTGTCCAAATTTCGGTGAATTGTACAAATTTCGGTGAATTGTCTATCCCGAAAACTGTGAGTTGTATGTTGGTAGGAACCCGAAATCCATACTTGAACGGTACTTTTGGACTTCAAAAGGTCTTAAAAAATCAAAAATTTTAGTAAAAAATTTTTTAAAAGAAAATGAAAAAATTTATTTTCTAAAATAAAATAAAATGTTAGGGCATGCTTCAAATATTCTATTATGCAAAAATTGTTATAAATTGTGTTTGCATAAATAAACAAGTCGAGTTATTTAAAGGGAAAAAATAAAATTATAAATAAATAAAAATCATAAAATAAATAGAGAAAAAATTTAAAAAATTTTTTGCGGACTTTTTTTGCGGACATTTTATTTTTGCGGACGGATTTAAAAAATTTTTATACCCTTAAAATATTATTTAAAATGCTTTTTTTATTTTTATTTTATTTATTTAATAAGAAAATATTAATTAACCATGAAAGGGCTCGAACCCGAGACCTCCGATTTTGTAGTCACCACTCTTACCTACTTAACCAAAATTTCAATTCCGCTGGGGTAGTGAACGACATATCTACGTTTTCGTCGATTCGCGGCGAATAACTACTTTTATTCGCGAACGACTTTTTTTTAATACAAAACGCCAGAACTACGTAAATATCGATGTTTTGCGCCAAACGATTGCGAAACGACTTTTTTGTGTCTCTTTTTCTCTAATTTCACATTATATTTCCTTTCTCTTTTTCTATTAATTTTCGTTCAGTGCGGTCTCTCAATTTGTAAGGAGGTTTTTTGTAAATTGGATTTCATTTTTTTTATTTTTAGGGGTTACAAAAGTTTTTTTAAGGCTTTGGAGGTAGGAAAGGAAATTTGAAGGAAAATTGCAGAAAAATTGAAATTTTGAAGCTGTAGAATTAATGCCTGTCTCATTAGCCTCCTAGTACAACATTTGGAAGTCTTATTGTTAATGGTAGTAGTGAATTTTCAGAAGCAAACACTTACCATCAACGACATTTGGAGCAGCAACCATTATCAGGTTATTTTGTTTTTCGGTGCATTATAATTTGTGGGTAAATTACTTTCCGGGTTAAATTACACTTCCCGAACCGAATTTCGCACCCTGAAACTTGAATGAGCTATCGTTTGTATAAACTTTTTTACTCCAAAAAACCGCCCCTAAGGTTTCTCAATATTCAGTGATCTGTATCCGAATATTGAGAAATCTGAATATTGGTCAGATTTCATTGATCCTAGAATTAGTTGCTAAATTTTTTTCATTCCTAAATTTTTTCTTTTTTATGTTTAATCAAAACTTGTTTGATGTGTGTCGAACTCCATCCTACGGCTGCAACAATGGGGAAACAATAGGAGAGGTTGTTTTTTAAATCTTATTTTTTTGGAATTTTTTAAAATTTTTTCAATTTTTTAATTCATTTTTCTAAGTGTTACAACGACGTGCTCGGGCGATTTGCTGTTGAAGTGATTCTGCCTGGCAACCTTTGAATTGCAGTCTTAATGGAATAGAAGATGTTGGAATTTCGTCACAACAGCCACAACCCAAACGGCCCTCTTTAGGGCCACAAATCTAATGAGTGAAACGAGACATTGGCTTTTAGTTTTTTTGATAAATTTTTGTTTATTTGTCTCATTTTTTTATTGAAATTTTGTTTTTAACTTCCCCCTATGCCCGAAAAAGCCCAAGAAAAGCCTAGAGTCAAGATTCGACTACATTTGAAAATGTTCTTTAGAAAATGTTCAACAGAATCTTCGCTGGAAAATCTGTGGGAATATACTAAAGCGACCCCAAATCAAGTAGATGATAATTTTTTTTTATCAATTCTTCGTTTTTTTCTATTGTTTTCTTTTAATTATTCAAAACATACAAAATTGGTATGTTTTGTAAGTTTGATGTTTCATTCGATGGAGCTTTTCGAGCTGTTTCGAATGGTGCCAAAAATAATTCGAACAGACAAAAATAAAGGAAGTTATGGCCCTACAAAGTTTTTGGATTCCAAGAAAAATGGACTGCACAAAACAAGAGAGACGAAAATTAATAGAAAAAGAGAAAGGAAATATAATGAAAAATTAGAGAAAAAGAGATACAAAAAAGTCGTTTCGCAATCGTTTGGCGTAAAACATCGATATTTACGTAGTTCTGGCGTTTTGTTTATTAAAAAAAGTCGTTCGCGAATAATTGTAGATTTTTTTAAAACGACTTTTTTTCCTTAAGAAAAAGTCGATATGTCGTTCACTACGCTGGGGCCCTTCTACAGCCCAAGTAGGCGCGCGGCCATAACGGCGCTCAGCCATAACTTGCTTCAAGATTTTCGAATCTTACCAAATTTAGTATTAAACGATTCCTCTCGTCGAGCTAAAGAGATTGGTACCAAAATTGATAAAGACCAGAAATTTTCCAGCAAGTTATGGCTTTGCGCCGCTATGGCCGTGCGCCGTAATTTTTCTAATTTTGTAGAACATGGTCAAGATGTGTAGCTAGCTGGAGGAGAACACACCAGGCAAATCAAATGACGCCCAGAAAAAGATGTTGTTTATACAACAACTGCAGAGAGTAACACGTTTTCTTTATTAAAAGTATTTACTAGAGGTCGGTGCGGGACGGGATCCCGCGCGGGATTCTGCGGGATCCCGTCCCGCAGTCCCAGATTTTTTTGAATAACGGGATTTTGCGGGATGCGGGGGATTTATCCCGCGGGATCCCGTCCCGCAACGATTTTTAAAAAATCCCGCATGCGGGATCCCGCAAACACGATTTAACCTACCTCTAGTATTTACACTAAAATTTAATATTTCCACTCTTTTTAGACAGCTGTTTAAACTTGCAAGGATTTTTTACCCATCAAAAAATGTTTGTGTGAATCAATACAAGTCTACTCCTTTCATTTTTGAGGTCTTTATTCAAACAGCAATTGATGGATTAAACAAGTATTTCAACAAATCTTACACTCAAACAGCAAAAAATTATTATTCTTGACAGGTTTCTAATTTTTGTTTTGACATAAATTTCTCCCTTTCCCCCTTTTACAGACAAAAATTACAATTTAATTTGCTTTGTAGATCAAGGGTTCTTGCTTTTTAGAGTTCTTGTCCATTATGGCATCCAGGATTCGATATTGTTGAACTAGGCTATGGTCCTAGATTATTGGGTAACCAGCTAGGCCAGATAAGAGGTCGGTCCTTCATCGGGTCGTGTTGTGGGGTGGGTTGTGGGCCGGAAAGTGTCATACCCCCAGATGACCCGCTCCCTCTCAGTGGTCCCTTCCCCTTGTTCACAAATTTAATGAGCCCTCAATTAGAGGTTAAAGTCCTTTAGCGGAGGGGGACTAACGATATACTGACCAGGTTTCGGGTCGTTCCTTCAAAATTTTCTTCGGGTCAGGTTGTGGGTCGGAAAAATGTCCACATGTCAGATATCGGGTCTAAGGTAACCCACGCATCCTTGTTAAGTGGCCTACTCCCTCCCATTGTCTTTACTCTCATTTTTGTTTCAAATCCTTAATCCTTTTCCAAGGAAAAAATATTTTTTTCTTCAAAAAATTCCCCTCTTTTTTCAAAGAATACCTCATTCATTTAATTTTGTTTATTCAGCTAATTCTATTTTAAGGGGCAATTTATATTGGGCAATTTAAATTCCTTTTTATTTTTAATGATTAAATTATCGAGCAGTAAAAAGGGCTTTTTGGGGGGGAATTTTTTATCCTTTTTTTTTAAATTTTCTTCCAGCTTTTCAAATTTTTTCAGTGCAAATACCAAGCACTTATTTATGCAAATTGGACCAATTTTCCCTTTTTAGAAGGTTTTGTTTTTTTTTCTTGACCTTATTTTTTTCTAAAAATTCTTTTAAATTGACTCTTCTTCCCCCCTCCTTTTTCCTTCACAAATTTATTTTTTAAGTCAATTGACGCTTAGGAGAAAGATTTGTTTTTTAAAGCTTTTTAAGGTCTTTCAACAACTTTCCTTCCTTTCTTCTTCTCCCCGGGGTGGGGTCGTTTCGGCGCCTGACGTGTTGGCGCGCGACTCAGAGCTGACCTAGACCAAATCTAAGGCCTGCGCCAGATCGGCCAGCGCCAAGACGTCCCCTACTCTTTTCCCCTTTTTTTACTTAAAGGCGCTTTCCCCTCAGAATTTGCGCCAACAAATCCCTCACACTTTCCCCTTTACTCATTCCTTTTCTTCTTCACACTTGTCCAAATTTTGCTTGTTTTTATAAGATTTTCTAAATTTGTATTTTTAAGTAATTTAATTGTTCTGCTACTTTTTTTTGGTTTTTTTAATGGGCAAAGGTTGAAAATTTGAAAAACTTTTAAAACCAGGCTTGTTTTTTCTAAAATCGTACCTATATCCCTCACAACAGACAATTCACCGAACTGAGGACAATTCACTGAAAGGTAGACAATTCACCGAAATCTAATCAACAGGAGGATTTTCTTTTTAGCCCCTTCTCATCCATTGCCCAACCTACATTGAAAATTTTTTTAGGTGTCTCTTATAGTGAGATTTTCCTTTATAAAATTTTCCATCTTTCCTTTTTCTAAAAATAATTAAAAAAAATTTTTTTTTCAGAGCTTTAAACAGAAAAATTTACTTTCGTCTACATATGGAAATGACACTTGGCTTAAATTTCTAAAAAAATATTTATTGATGCTGTTTTTCTTCGTTTTATTGGTCAATTTGTCAACTGGAGGATTTTCTACGTTTCTTTTTTGCAATTTTTTAAATTTTAAAACCTAAAAGTACCCTTCAAGTATGGATTCCGGGTTCGGGTGTTTTTTACGAATTCCAACTTAGTTTCCTATCAACTTAAGTTTTTGGGTACAACCCACGGTTTTAGGAATAGACAATTCACCGAAAGATAGACAATTCACCGAAATATGGACAATTCACCGAAAGGTGACAATTCACTGAAAAGTAGACAATTCACCGAAAAGTCACCTAAAAGTTTTTCGAATGCCCGTCACAAATACCCCCAGACCTCTAAGACTTTAAGGGACCTATAAACAAATCCTAGGGAGCCTTGATTTTTATTTTAAAAATTTTTATTTATTTTATAGAAGCAATTTCTTCTCAAATGATGGCCATCAACAACAACACAATTCCTACAATAACCACCAACAACAAAACAATATTCACTCAACTAATACACCTTTCGGAATTGTTAGAGGAGTCAAAGTTAGGCCTTCAGGGATGCCTAAAGCTGACGTTTCGCTGTCTCCAGTTGTTCAATATTTGGGAATTCCTTATGGTTCTGCTCCTGTTGGAAATGTATGAAATTTAAAAATTATTTTTTGAGGGAACTCTGAAAGAATGGTAGGGGTTTTTGGTTTTAAATTCCAAAGGCGTATCCAGGGATTTTCGTCTGCGGCGCTAAAAAACTAAATATGAGTAAAAAAATTTGCGACCGGAACGCCTGGGTAAACTCCAAAATTTTGGCGCACACCCTATGTTACCCCCCTCTCCCCCGAAATTGACCCCCTGGATACACCCTTGTTAGATTTACAGGCAACACTTCAAACATTTTGACATTTCGGCGGGTTTGGTCCTATCGTGTGACCTTGGAAGGGCCTTGTTGCAGTTTAAAAAACTGACAGCGGGCGACCCAATAAATCCCTAAAAATTTCAAGTCAACACTCAAGACCATGAGTCTCAATTTCCTCTTCATTTTTGTCAAAAACTATGAGAATTCCTAGAAAACCCCCAAAACCCCAAAAAATCATTTATTTTCTTTAATTTTCAGCATCGATTTAAAATGCCCATATCCGCCCCAAAATGGATTCATCAACCAAAGGATGCATTCAAATCGCCTCCTTCTTGTATACAATCTGGACTTCCTTTGCTTTCAGAATCTGAGTTTGTTTTTTAATTTTTATTAGAGTTTTACATTTTTAAATTGCCGGTCCCAGTATCTGGGAAAAAACCCCCGTCTCTTTCAAACCGATCAGGGCTGGGGTTTCCGGGATAAAATTTCAAAACCCCCAAAAATCTAGATTTTTTTTTAAAATATCCGGTTTTTGCGCTACTGGGCCTGGTAAACCCCCCTGCCCGTTCCCAGGAATTGGGAAATATTGGATTCCGGGGCCAGAAAACAATGATAACCAGAGTTTATCAATTTAGCCGTGTTTATGGCCAGGTCGGGAAAACTCGTTCCCAAAGCCAGGCTCGGTTTCGAATTCTAATTTTTATTTTATTCAGAGCCCTAAAAGTAACTACTGCCCAACGTTTTGATCGTCTCCATCGAATTTTGAGCAGATTAAAATTTCAATCGGAAGACTGCCTTTTTTTGAATTTATTTGTGCCAGAAAAGGATAAATTTAGAGGTTTTTTAAATTTTTTTACTTTAAAAAATTTTTATTTCTTTAAAAAGACGCTCAACCTCTGCCTGTCCTCGTACTAATTCATGGAGATACTGACTACGGTTGGGGAGGTGCAAATGCGTTTAATGCAACTTTGCTTGCATCTTTTGGACAAATTGTCGTTGTTACTCTTAATTATCGGTTTTTTTTTTTAATTTTTTTAGGGAAATTTTTTTTAAATTAAGAAAAAAATTTTTTAAATTGAGAAAAAATTCGTTGAAATTTTTTGAGTATTTTTTTTTAATTTTCTTAAATTTTTGGAAATTTTCGAATTTTTTTTTGTAAAATTTTTTGAATTTTCCTTTGAAAATTAAAAAAATTTTGTCGAAAATTGTTTGAAAATTTTCTGATTTTTTTATTGAAATTTGCAAAAAAAAAAATTTTTTTAACTTTTAAAATTTTTGGAAATTTTTGAAATTTTTTTTCGTAAAATTTTCTGGATTTTTTGAGAATTAAAAAAAATTTTTTTTTTGAATTTTTTTTTTGAAATTTTTGAAAATTTTTTTTAATTTCAAAAAAATTTTTTATTAGTTTGGGCGTTTTTGGTTTTTTGGGACGTTGTGATTTAAACAGTTGTGCTGGAAATGCTGGACTTTCTGATTTAGTAGCTGCCTTAAAAATGGTTTTTAAAAATTTTTTAAATTTAATTTAAAATTATTTTTATAGCTTTCACTTATTTTGCCTTCATTTGGTGCTGATCCGGATGCTGTTACTTTGCTTGGTATAAATATTTTTTTCGTTAAATTCCCTTGGATTTTTATTAACTTGTTTTGGGGAGGGCGTTCTCTTTTCTATTACCCAAAAATCTATGTCAGGGCAATCCACCCATTCGAAGGGAAATTTTTGGCCAATATTTGGGGAATTTTGGGAGGAATAATTTTACTGGTAGTGTTTTTCTCCCACAAAAAATTAAAAAATTCCATTTAATATTCTCTTTCCATCCTTCCGCACTCTCAATTTCTATTCTAAATTTAAATAATTTTTTAAATTTTTTTAAAGGTTGGGAATCTGGAGCAGCCCTAGTTTCACTTTTAATGGCATCTCCAATTACACAACCTAAAGGTTTTTTTTGGAAAATTTTTAAAAACATTTAAATTTGAAAGGACGTCTATTTCGAAGAGCAGTTTTATTGGATGGAACAGCGGTATTAAAAATTATTTTTTTGAATTTTTTTTATAAATTTGTTTTTAGCTCTCCCCTTGGGCTATGGCAAATAATCCTCAAGACCAGTTTATTCAATTAGCCAGAATTCTGCAGGTTTTTTAATTTTTGGGTACGCCTCGGTTAAGCCTTGCCTTCTTGAGTTCCGACACCTGTAACTTATGAGGGGGTTGATATTTTTATATTTTCTTGGTATCATTCGGTGGAGAATTAAATACCCTACAAGCTACCAAAAAGTCAAAATTCTCAACAATTTGATTCAAAAATTATGGCTGATTAATCTCCGAAAAACACAATTCTGTAAATTTTTTAGTTTTTAGTAGATAACTTTTCTATTGATCACTTGAAATTTTTTATTTTTGGTCATCTTGTAGAGGGTTTAATCCTCTATCCAATGATACCAAGAACATGAAGGAGTGACAATATCTTCATGAGTTATAGGGCCGGGACTATTTTTTACTCAAGTATTTATTTTTCAGTGTTCTTCCACATCTGAGGGCGAAGACTTTATAAATTTAAAAAACCAAAAAGAATTTATTTCGCGTCTTTTGGAATGTATGCAAGAACAAAATTTACAAAATTTGACAAATGCGGCAAAAAAAGTTTCTAATTTATCGCCTACATTTTTGAGTGCTTTCGCACCTTTAATTGATGGACAGGTTAATTTTAAAAAATCATTTCATGGGAAATAGGGAGTGGAAGAATGTCGAATAGGACAGTTGACCTCTGTTACAAATTATCCCTCTATTTAGTAGACATCTTTATTTAAGAGACTTTTTTTAGTTTGGTTAGTGTGGTTGTTTTCCGACGGGGGTGAGGGCCACGGGGAACAATTTTCAGGGAGGCAGCGCCAATGGGGGGGGGGGGTGGGGTGGAGGACGGGGAAAATTCTTTATTTTTTTCACGGGTGCGGGGACGGGGAATTATTAAAAAATCTCTCAAATTCCCCGACTTTCGGGGACGGGGAACAACCCTATTGGTTAGCTGCTAGGTATGTGAGAGAGAGTTGCGTGCCTACGCAATACCCTCTATTTAAGATACACCTCATTATAAGGTACATTTTTTCGTTCCCATGGGTTATCTCACAATGAAGTCCGACCACTATAAATTGAAAACAATTTCTAAAATTCAAAAAAAAATTTTTAAAGGTTGTTCCAAATCATCCATCTTTATCATTCTCTCCCAAATATGGTTCACTCTTCAGAGAAATTGATTTGCTTGTTGGAACAGTCCAACATCCAGCACAACATTTAATAGCTGATCAGGATATGCAAAATGGTTTAAATATTGAAAGAAGGGATAAAATATTGAGGTTTTTAAATGATTTTTCTCTTTTTTCCAACGAGGGATGTCACGGGTTGTGAAGAAGTCGGTAGGGTTTCGGGCTGGGTCTTCATATTTGTCTCCGATGATCGGTCTTCATGACCGGGTCCGATCGAGTGATTGGATTGAAAAAACCCGTGCTTCGTATTTCGGGTCTCGGGTTTAAGGTCAATAAAGTACTGCTTTTGGTTATCGAGTTTCAGGATAACCCTGTTTCCTAATTTTTCTTTTAAAATTTTTTCCTTAGAACTCTTGTCAGAAATATTTTTGATTTTCATCGATCAGAAATTCTTCAAGCAATTTTAAATGAATATACAGATTGGGAGAATCCAAAGGTTTTTTTTCTGAATTTTTTAATCAAAAATAAATTTATTTTTTAGAATCATTCAAAATCAATGCGGAATGGTTTAATGGAAATACTGGGAGATTTACTTTTCACAGGTCTTTTAAATTAATTAAGAGTCGTTTTAGTTAGGGTTAGCAGATCCGGATCAAAAAAGAGTTCGGATATCAGGGGATTTTCGGATTCGGTGTTTGATCCGAGGGTTTCTCAAGATCCGCCAAGGGTGTAGCCTCTGGACCCCTAATTTTCAAAAAATTTTCGCCTGCGATGCTGAAAAAATAAAAATACGTGTGCAATAATTTGGTTCAGCCCGCCAAAGTAAATGCCAAATTTTGGCCCACAACCATTTTAGCTCTCCTGAAATCGAGCCCCAGGCTACGTCCTTGGGATTCACCAACCCTAGTCGTTAGCGAGTTGTTTGGACCGCTTGTGCCAAACATTGTAGGCCGTTTACTTCCAAAAATGGCTCCATAGGGTTTAAAAAAGCCAAAAGTGGCAATTACTTTTTAGGTGTGTCTCTTGTTTATTTTTTTGACTTTTGTCATTTTTTGACATTTTGACATCCTTTGAGCTTTATTAAGATTTCCCGACTTCCCTCGACCTTTTCTAATTTTTATCTTTTTCTAGCTCCACTAATTGAAACAGCCAAAGCCCATTCACTTGATGAAGGACCAATAAAGGCAGCAAACACATTTTTGTATTTAAAAAAAATTTTTTTTTTTTAAATTTTCCTCTCCCCTTCAGTTTTGTTTTTACACACGAAACAAATGCTTGGATGAAAGAACAGCCAAATAGTGGACTTCAAGGCTCTTTTACAGGGGATCATTTGCCTTATATTCTTGGACATCCTTTTACTGCTGGAGGAGATTTAAGTGATGGAAGCTTGTCAACAAATAAATTGCTACAATTTTCTCCAGAAGATAAACAAATTTCTCGTGTTATGATGACTTTTATGGCTAATTTTGTTAAATCTGGGTTTGTTAAAATTTTTTTAAATTTTTTTTTGTCCGCAAAGTTTGTCCGCAATTTTTTTTAATTTTTTGTCCGCAAAAGTTGTCCGCAATTTTTTAAATTTTTTGTCCGCAAAGTTTGTCCGCAAAAAAATTTTTTTAATTTTTTGTCCGCAAAAATTTGCCGCAAAATTTGTCTGCAAAAATTTTTTTAAATTTTTTGTCCGCAAAAATTTTTTTTAATTTTTAATTTAAAGAGACCCAACTCGTCCTCTTCCAATGTCTTCCCAATCAAACATTGAGGATCGTTTTCAAGGCCTTCCATGGCCTCAATTTTCTTCTCAAACCCGTGAGGCTTATTTGGAAATTTCTACTCGGCCGCGTGTGAAGAATTATTACAGAAATTCAAACGTTCAGTTTTGGAATGGATTTATTCCTATATTAAACAAAAGAGGAGATAAGGACATTCCTGAGGTTTTTTTGAATTTTTAAAAAAATGCCGTAAAGTTCTAATAGAAGCCCTGAGTTTTTATTTTTTGACAGACTTCCTCGGTTGTGCTTATTTATTAGAAGTGGGCGTCTATTAGAGAGTTGGCTAATATTTTTTAATGGGGTTCATTGATGGGCTCTTAATGGTCGTGGCTTCTAAGGGACCCCAGGCTTCTGTTTCAAGGGATCTCCTCGTGTGGGCTTTTATTAGGCAACACTTCTATTAGAGTGGACTTGCATTGACAGTCCTTGGATCGGTTTCCTTTAGAGAGTGGGCTTCTATTAGAGCATTTACATTATTAAGAAATTTTTCCGTTTAGGAACACCATTTCCTTCCCAACCATTTTGATCGTTCTTCATTCTTTGGACAACCACGTCCCTTCTCTACTTACCATAATTTTGCTTTTCCTCCACCTCCAATGCCTCCAACACCTTTTCCTAAAGAATTGCGCAATAAATTAATTGCAGGTTTTCTCTCAATTTTTAATTTTCTCTCAATTTTCCCAGCATATACAATCCCTCCAACATCAACAAATCACCCAACTCAAAAATCTAATGAATCACCTAACAAACAACAAGAAAATAATTTGATAGAAAATACAGGAAAAGCTGGATTATTATTTTTGTATAACCCAACATGGGGTTGGCTAATTCTTTTTGGTGTTGGTTTAACTGCTATAAATTTGTGTATTTTGGTTGTATTTTCTAAGAAGTGTGTTCGTCGCAATTCAAATTCAAAGAAAAAATTTAATTATCAAAGCTATTCAACTTCTTCAAATAATAACAATAATTTACAACAACCTCTTCCTGGATTGGATATGAATTTTGCTGCATTGGTAAGAGTTAAAAAATTGGTTTTAGGGATCATAGGAGGACCAAATTCACATTGGAGGTTCAGGCTTCATATGAGGCGGAGAGCCTCTGATTTCCACATAAGAGGGCCAGAGCTACAGAACCCCCCAATGTCCAGTACTGATCCAATCCTACCTAAGTATCTGCTATAAAATTTTGCTGTGTAAAAAATCTTTCTTGTCGTGGCTTTTGCTTTTTGTTTGCTTCAATCTTTTTTTGTTTAATTAGCCACAACAAAAGAAAGCTTTAATTTCTAATAATAATCATCAACATACTTATTTATCAACATCATATAAAACAAATAAGCGTCATTCAACTTGTTTAATTGATGATATTTTAGAAACAGATTTTTCTACTAAAAAAGAAGAAAATTTATTAAATAATGAATTAAAAAATAATAAAAATAAAATGAATTGTGAAAAAATAAAAAATAATAAAGAAGAAAAAGAGGGAAGGAAGCCTTCGTATTTATTAACACCTAAGGTAAGCGATTCATGGTATCCGGAAACGAAAAAGCCAGAGGGTATCCGAATATTCGGAATTGTTAACTGGAACTGACCCGGGTAGTCGGAATCAAGAATCATTTCCGTTTATCTGGAATCGTTATCCGGACTCTGGGGTCCGGAATCGATCCTGGAATCCGGAATTGGTAACGGAGCTATGGATATATATCCATATATCTGGAGCAATATCCGAAAACGTTCATGGTGTTTGGAATCGGTCCGGGAATCCTAAATCGGTCCAGATATTCGGAATCGCCTCGGGGATCCGGAATCGTGTTCCTTTTCTGTATACCTGAACATTACAGTTCGGTTATCTATTCCGGATACCCTGATATTTGCCAGGAGGAACCAACAACCCTTTTAACAACATCAACAAACACCAGCAATCATATTAATTTGAATAGAAATTTTAATTCTGAAAATACTAATTCTGATATTTTTCGTTTATTTAATAATAACAAAACAACAAAAAATAACAGAAATTATACAAATAATTATTCTGATGAACAAAGAAGCAGAGTAGCAACTTTACATTTATTATCAACTTATGGAAGAAGAATAAATGAAGGAGAGGATAAAGAAGTATTAAAAAAGGTTTAGATGTTTTTTTTGGCTTTTTTCTGTTATTTTTAACAAAAATTTGTGGCTTTTTTTAACACACTGACCACGCTAAAAGATTGCGGTTGAAACTTAACCCTTAGTAGGGTGTATGTACTTTAAATGAGGGTATCTCTTGGGAATGAAGTTCGTTTATTAAGTTCCGCTCACTCAATGTCTAACCAAACTAAGAAATCCCCTCAATGGTAGTGTCGCTTATATTGGTGGTACTCATAAACGGGGTGTATCCTAAATAGGAGGTATTGCTCTCACCCAGGGCCAAACCAATTTTTAAAGTCTCTTAAATAGAGGTTACCTTATATTGGAGGTATCTATACTGACGTTTTTTATTCAGGAACCTCTTCTATCAACAACAACCAGTACTTGTACAAAAGGGGGAGGTGTTAGTTCTTCAAACCCTTCAATGTGTATTCCACAGCAACAACATCATCAACCTTCAGGTTTAATCCATCTTGGACCTGGAATTTCTCCTACCTGCCCAAGACATGGGCGCGCAGCTCAAATGTTGTTGGCAGCAGCTGCAGCAAATCGTTCAGGAGGGATTGGGGTTGATGGAGGAGGTGTTTTTTTGTAAATTATTGCTGAATTTCTATAACTACTGTATTTCCTCGAATAATTACCCCCTCAAAACAAGGGAAAAAATAAACCCTCCCCTAACTCCCCCTGCAGGACGTTCAAATTCAAAATTCGAATGATTACCCCCTTTCAAATACTTGGCTCCTCCAGCCAGAGATTGAGACAATAATTACCCAGGGCTAGTGTTTGAGCGTATACGTTAGATTAATATTTTGTTTAAATTATTTTTTAAATTTATCTCTCTTTTTGAAGGTATCAGTGGAGGCAACATACCCTCAACAACAATAACAACACCTCCAGCCCTTCAAATGAATTTAAACAACAATAATTCTATAATGTCGACTACTACACAAAAAATACAAGCAAATATTAACAATAATAATGGCTCGTCTTCATTAAATGGAGGTGCTTTTGATGGAAATGGAAGTAATGGACAGCAAAAACAAAGGACAATTGAAGAAGTTCAAGTTTAGACTGAGGGAAGGTTAATTAATGGGAAAATAAAAAGGTAATTATGAGAAAAACGGGTTCTATTATAAATCGTTATTTTATATTTATACTTCTTTAATACTATTTTTTCATTATATATTAGTCAAATTATGCTCAATAAAGGTGAAAATCCATGCCAACTTAAAAATTCCACAGAATCTGTTTCAATGACCGAAAAATACCCTATATAAATTATTTCCGAAATTGTATCGTGAAAACCTAGGCTTAGGGTCCCCAGTTTTTTTCATATGTACGTACAAAATGGTCAGACTTTCTCCATCAGATGGACAGTCTATGTCGTGAGTCAGCATCTTCCACATTTGGGAGGGGGGGGGGGGGAAGAAAAGGCAGTACTCACCCAAAGGTATAGTACACACTCAAGACACCGGAGCATCAGTAAGCCTTGGGTTTTTTACCATTGTATTTTTTGGGTGAAAATTATTTTGAAATTTTATTCAAAAAAAATTTTAAAAACCCTTTAAAAATAAAAAAAACAAAAGATAATGTCGTTGAAATGACCGGAACAAAAAACGTTGATCTCTCCATGTTTAAAATTAAATATGTTTTGAGGAGTATCACGAAGGGGGAAGGAAATAGTTTTTTTACAAATTTACAAAGTTGAGAGAAAAAAGTATGAGGCAAGGAAGCGTTTAAAATAAAGGTATTTTGAAATAAAAAAAAATACAACACCAAAAAGAAATTAAATAAATGGAGACAGTGGGTGGAGGTTAATTAGTAGTAGTCTTCTTTAAAAAATAACCCCGGTTACTAACAAAAATAAATTTTATTTTTATAAGAGGTCAGATTTAAAAATAAGCAAAAAAATAAAATGAGAGACAAAAGATTGAAAGAAGTGTTATTTATAATAAAAATAAATATATTACAATGTATTTTTACCTACAAAATAAAATAATTTACCTAAAAACAATATAAATATATATTTTCAAAGGATTTAAGAGATTATAGTTTCTATTGAAATTGGCACAATATGTATTATTCTTTAATAGTTCAGTGAGTCTCATCTCGTTATGTGAGAGGGGAATTAGTGATACTTGGATTAGAGGAGGGAGAGAACTAATGGGAAGCTTTATAGAGAGAGAGGGGTCGAGTCCTGCTGATGTAAATTAATTTTTATTTTTAGGTGTTGAAAGGTTTCAATTGGTAGTTTTTAGTAGGGTTCGATACATATCCCTGGGAAGGGAATTTCCTGTAAAATCGGTCCCCGCTGTTTTTTGTCCCCCGCCCGTAACAACAAGACCAAAATTTTAGTGTTTATTAGAAATCCCCAAAATTACAAGGGGGAGTCTTCACCAAACCCATAACTTAATTACAATTTAATAGGCCACAAAATGAGACTAACTGAACCTTTTTTTACCATGCTCAAAAACAAAAAGAAAATAAAAATTCATACTTATTTCAATTTACAATTTAATTTTGCCATTAATCGATGCAAACATCTAGGTCCAGAAAAAGGCCAATTCCACTCGTTTTTTAAAGGTCCAGTATCGGGTACTTCGTTTTCAAACCAATAACAGAGCCTTTAAAAATTAAAAAAATTTTTCGAAAATTTAATAAAAATCATACCAAAACCACCAAATATTTGAAAGCGGCGCTTTAGGTCTTCGATGTCTGGGACATTCAAACATTTGGTGATAAGCCCAAAAGACGTGAGAAGTAAGCCAATATGCAATTAATACGTCCATCTATAAAAAATAAGGCTCTTGTTTAGTTTATGAGGCCAATCACGCCGATATGCGTCCAATAAAGAATTTAACGTCTAATTTACTGTGTAATGTCTGCTAAAAATTGAGTTGGGGCTGCACCAAGGTCGGGGTTTTTCTTGACCCAGAGTCATGCCAGGGCATTTTTTGACCTTCCTGGGTTGGGTTTTCCCTGGACTACTGGCCCATGTCAATAAATCAGACCCCATAGAATCCAAAAACAAGCCCAGAGTTTTCAAAAATCTCAATCTTTAATGTCCAACACTACGTCCAAACAAATTTATATACGTTCATCTACAAGTTTATTTCGTCCACTCAAACATTATGCATAATAAAGTTAACAAAACACGTCGAAAAATGTAATGATTGGACGCATTTTTTGATTGGACGTATCTGTTTGGACGTATGCCTCCCTTAATGGACGTATAAACTTTTTTTGACGCATAAAGGTGTAATTGGACTCATAAAATGGACAATATCCCCAAAATAATTTAAAAAATAAAAAAAATTACTGTGTAATGTCCACCGCTCAACACCAAAGCCCCGATACCCAAAAATGTCACTGGAAGGGCTATCCATCTTAAAAACATTTTTTTAATTTTTGAAACAAAATTAAAATAAAACCTAATTAAAAACAATCCTCTAGGACTATAACGCAATTGAGTAAAATACATTATGCTTAAAACAACAGTGTGCCCACTAAACATTAAATCACCGCAAAGAATTTCTGGTTGACTAGAAGTCTGGAAAAAATAAATATTTATAAAATAAAATTTAAAATTAAGGGAGAGGGTTAGAGAGAGGGTTTTTACGGTACAAAACTTCAGAAAAATTTCCAAACCTAATACCCAAAAATGTTTTTGGAAAAAACTTGAAAACATCAAAAAACTTAAAAAAAATTCCAAAATAAATTTAGAAAAAAGTTCACAGTCGGACTTCTTGCCGACAACTCATATACAAAAAAAAATTTAATGAATTAAAAATTTATGAAATGAATAAATGTATCATCCTTTTACTTATTTTTTCATTTTCAATTTTAATTAGTGAGTCATCCAAAAAGTCAATAGAATTTTTAGAAATATTTCCCTCTCGCTCACAATTATAAAATTAATTTCAATTAAAAAAAATTTTAAACTAACCAATCCAAGCGTAACAACATAAGTAACCTTCAAAAAAAATATTTTTTTAAATAATTCCCCCAAAATATTTTTAAAAAACCGTACAAATCTAGCCATTATTTCGTCTGCATACATTGAAGTTCCATTCATTTGAGGTCTACAAATGGTATCACGATTTTCAAAGGACGGCGGCAAGAAGGTAACTCCCAAAACTATAGCTCTTAAACCTTTAAATTAAATTTTAGAAATTTTTCAAAATTAAAAAACCGTAAAGAATTGCAGCAATTAAAAAAACTCTTCTTAAAATAACTAAGCGATGACTGTGTAACATTACAATGGCAAATCCAACAATAGAACTAAATTAAAAAATTTTAAATCGAAAACATTTTTGGGAAACTTTAAGAAAACAAAAATTCCGAGAAAAATTTTTCAAAAACGGAAAGAACCCAAAATTTCCAAAAAATTAAAAAAAAAATTCGAAAATTTTTTTTGGAATTCTAAGAAATATTCAGAAAATCTCCCCAAAAATTTCAAAAAAATTATCAGAAATTTTTGAAGAATTTTCGGAAGAATTGCCCCAAAATTCCAATAAATTTCATTTTTATTAGAAAATTTTCTAGAAATTCAAAAATAATTTTCGAATTTTTTTTGGAATCCTAAAAAAATTCCGAAAAATTTCCCCAAAGATTTCTAAAATTTGTTTTTGGAAAAATTTCCAAAAAAATACGAAAAATTGTTTTGGAAAATTTGGATAAATTTCCACAAAAATTTTCATTGCAAATTTTGCGAAAATTTTTTTAAAAACTCTTTGTCATTTTTAAATTAAAAAACTTTAAAAAATCAAAAAAAAAAATACTTGACAGTAGAAAGAACATCCCCTACAGGCCAAGCCCAACTTTGTTGTGGAACTATAAACCAAACCAGATCACTGCAAAAAATAATTAAAAAATTAAATTAAGAAAAACAAACTTTAACGGCACCCTCGGCACAATATCGTGAATAATTGTTAGAAGAAAAAAATTAAGGAATGCAGAAACTGTCAAACAGAGAAAGGCTACAAATGTTTTTACAAGTTCTGAACAGAAGGTCTGTTAAAAAATTTAGATTTTTTAATAAAAATTAGTGATTAGAAAATCGAGTTTATGAAAACTTTAATTAAGGGTTGTTTGGTTGATTAGTAGTCGTCTAGACTTTTGGGAGGGAAGGTCGCAGGTTCGAATCCCACCAACGGAAATAGTTTTTTATTCCCCATAAAATAAATCAAGAATGCTTTATTTTTAATCCAGACCCTCTTAAAATTTTTTTAAATTTTTTTCTTAAATTTCTGGGTACTTATTTACTTTAATTACACACCCCAATTATTCGCAAGGGATAAGAACTTAACTTATTGCTTATAAACCTAACAACCGTTAACTCTAACGAGACGCTTGCGCAAACCCCTAAGCTCTCGCCGACTCCGATAGGGTCCCTTTGACCATTTTGATCTTGCAAACAAACGGGGTGTGTAGTTAAAGTAAGTTCTATTGTCAAAAAACTTTAAAAAAATACCCCAGTCCGTGTTGAATAATATGTGGTTGTTTGTTTGACTGTTGTGTTATTGTTAATTCTGTCTCTATTATTATTTGTTGTTTGTCTAGAAATGGGAGAACTCGATTCCATCATTAAATGTTTTTGTTGTTGCTGTAAATGTGAAGTATTTGTTGTAATATCCCCATTAAGTTGAATACAATTTCTAATGTTTACAGAGCTGCAAGGGCGAGGAGACTCTACTCTAACCTTTTTTAATTGAAAAAAATAAATTTTTATAGACAAAGAAAAAATTTTTTAAGTTTAGGTTCATTGGTTTAGTCAATAAAAAGTAAAAGGACTTAAAAACATTCTAAAAAAATCTTAGAAATCATTAGGTTAATCCCTAAAAAGAACGAAAACTAATAGTAGACACGCCTCCATATTTTTTATTAGGAAGTACAAAATGGTCAGTAAGTTCATAGGCCGATAAAGTCCTCAAGCTGAGTCGAATGAGACCAAAATCAGTCTGTGTGGAGACATCTCTGAGTTGAATTAAGAGTGTAGAAAAGCCTAGGGGTTACAGGGACTCAAAATGGTCAATAAATTCAGATAATAAACGGACAAATTCAAACCAAGAACCCAAAGAATGTCATAAAATCCCAAGAACCCAAAATAAATCAAGAAAAAAAATCTTCAAAGAACAAACTTGAAGTTCCTGTCCATCAAAATTAGATTGAACTTCTGACTGGCGAAGTGGCATATGTGAGTCGCTTATTTCACGTCGATGTCCCCTCATTCAACGCGCGAAAAAACTGAAAAATTAAAAAATATTTTTATCAATTTTTCAAAAAAAAACCTTTTAAATAAATATACAATTCCAAAAAAATGTTTTAGAGTAATTTTCTGGTTTCTTCAAAAGTGTATCATAAAATCAAGAGATCAATTCAATTTAAATTTAAGGGCATAAAATAAAGATGAAGTGTAGTCTTCCAATTTTTGTCTCTAAAAAAAGTTATTAGCTTTTATGTCCGCAAGTCTGTTTTTGCGGACTTATTTTGCGGATATATTTTGCGGACCTTTTTTGCGGACATTTTTTTGCGGACATATTTTCTCATAAAGGTCAGAGCATCCAAGGGGATGTATTCCAAGAAGAGATGATTGCTTGGGGGAAATATTGAAATTAGAGCGATTTCCCTTTTATATCTGACCATTATGAGTCCGCAAAAACTGGGTGGGATATCCCACAAGTACCAAAAAAAGTTTAAAAATAAGAAAAGTTTTCAGGATTTTTTCTAAACAAAAAGGAAAAGCTTTAAAATATCTAGCTTAATAATTTATTAATTGCATTTTTTGCGAAGCATCAAACAAAAATCGATTAATCCTCATGGCGTTTCGCTGCTTTTTTCTGATGAATTTGACGTTTTGCACAAAAAAAAGTACAAAGTAGACATCTCGTTTCTAAAAGCGCAGACAACAACAACAATTGCTACTTTGGCATGTTCCCTCGTTTAATGTTCTCTAATCTTTTTATGCTTTTTGTATTTATTTCAAAGATAAATTTCGTTTCACCAAACAGAAGAAAATAGTTAATTTGGGTAATAATTGTTTTTACCATTTTGAAATTTAGCTAGCGATTTGAAAATATGTCAATTAACAAATAATTGTCCCCTTTTTTAGTATAAAAGCGGAAAGAGAGTAGTCATTAAAATCGGAGAGTAATCAAAAGAAACGGTGGGGTATGATTCCGTGCACACGATTCCGTGCAGGCACGTTTCCGTGCACACGTTTCCGTGCCCGTTATAAAAAACACGTTTCCGTGCTCAATTTCTTTTTAATATAATAAACAATAAGAAAAGGTTTTGAGGAGTACAGTGAATATCAAGGGACTTGTGCATGACATCGAGACATCAACAAGGGGATATTGGTGGATATGGAGGAAAAAGTCTCAAAAATTTTTTTTAATTTTAAAAAAATTAGAAGAACCCAGCAGAATCTTCGCTGGAAAAACTGTTTTTGTGCTGCTACGGATGTCTTCGCTACACGATGGCCGTGCTTCGCTGCGGTCGTGCTCGCTTCGCTCGCGGCGACCGTAGCGAAGCGGCGGCCGTCGTTCCGCTCGACATGCCCGGCTTCCTCCGCAGCGGCAAAAACTTTTTTCCGCGTAAATTTTTTGAATTGAAAAGAAAAATACTGAAGCAAAGTTGATAAGTTGATAAAAAATATAACTTTTAAAATTTTTTTATAAAAATTTAAAAAAAATAAAAATATTTAAATAATTGGGCACGGAAACGTGTTTTTTATAACGGACACGGAAACGTGTGCACGGAATCGTGCCCGCACGGAAACGTGCCTGCACGGAAACGTGTGCACGGAATCGTGTGCACGGAAACGTGTGCACGGAATCGTGCGCACGGAATCGTGTCTAACCGAAAAGAAAAACTAAAAAATGAGACATTTTACCAGTTCCACTTTGATCACTTTTTCTCTTTTATTTTACGTCCCAGCCCATTTCGTCCCACTGAATAGAAATTTCCTAATTCGTTCCTCCTCAAAATAGACCCATTTCAAAATGTCCAATTGTCTATTTTGCATTGTGGACTAATTGAGTAGGGACGAATTCGGGGATTTGTTTAGTGAGACGAATTAGGGATGGGACGAATTGAGGCTCAACTATTAAATTATCTTTGGCGTTTTTTGCTTCTTTTTTTTCTTTCATCCATTGTTTTTCATTTTCAGAATTATTTTAACTCTTTCATCAAAAAAATGATAATTCCAGTTCGTTGTTTTACTTGTGGCAAAGTTATTGGGAATAAATGGGACGCTTATTTGCAACATTTACAGGTTTATTTTGAACGAGAAAAACAAAAAATCTAATTTTTAAAGGATGGAAGCACAGAAGGCGATGCTTTGGATCAACTCAATTTGCGTAGATATTGCTGTCGAAGAATGTTACTTTCACATGTTGATTTGATTGAAAAATTGTTAAACTACAATCCTTTGGAGAAGTAAAATGGAGAGGGAAAGGAGATGATGGAAAGAGGTTTTTTTTGTTTATTCATTAAATTTGTGTGAGAAGATTAATGAATATTTTTTGCCCTATTTATTTTTTGATTAAACAAATATTTTTTAAAATAACTTTTTTTAGTGGGTTTGCTCCTTATTTTTAAAATAATTTTCTGGGGATTTGGATCTTCTCGTAGGCCACAAACCCTCCGATTTTTGTCCAGTTTATTTTTATAATTTTTGGGGTTTTTTTTTTAAATTTTGTCCAAGATTATCAGCCGTCTGAATTTCTCCAAGACTTCGGTTGTCTTGATCAATATTTGCAGAAAAATCAGGAATTTTTGTCCTCAAATTGTTTTGGTGGTTTTATGATTCTCTCTTACTATTAGACCATATTTTCTGATAATTTTCGGGCTAAATTCTGTAATTTTCGTGGCTTTTGCCCAATTTATTTTTAATAATTTTCGGGGTTTTTGGATTTTTTTACAGAAAAATAAATTTTATTCAAAAAGAAACAAATTTCAAAATTCCTGAAAATTTCATTTAAATGTTTTTAGATTCCTCTTGCCAATTTTTTCATTTTTTGAGATATAATTTCCCTTATCGTAGCGAAGCAGCCGTCTAAAAATTTAGAAACTTTTTATGCCTTTAAGGCCAAATCACCTGATAAGGTATAACCAATTTACAAAGTTTTTCGTCGTCAAAACTCATCCCAAGTCCACCAACTGTTTCCATTTTTGTTGGTCTGAAAGCTCCAAAATCGGCACCACTCTTTAGTGAAATGAAGTCGGTAGAAAATATTTTTGGAACAATACATTCTGACAGACGAGAAGGTTTTAATTCGCCTATCCCCTAAAATTTGAGGTTTTTTGAGACATGCCGCAATTATTTCTAAAGAATTGCCTCAATCTGTTGAATTGTTAAACGTCGTCGATCCATTATATTATTTCCAGCCCTATTTTCTGGATTAGCTGGGGCAAATTGGCGTCCAATAATGGTATTTGAATCGGGTGCACATTGAAGTTCTGTTCGCGTTCCATCTGGTTGCCAAACTTTTGTTGTCTATTTTTGAATAATTTTTTAGGAAAATTTTCGGTAATTATGTTGTTTCCCTCCCCAATTCATTTTTTGTTTAAAGTATACAAAATGGTCAGAGAGTCAATGAACCAAGTTACCCTATTGGAGTTGTCGATACGCTTGTGTGTGCACGCGTCTCAGGGAGTGTCGCGCCTCAAATTAGTCGCGTCTCGGGACTAATTTGTACATCCTAAAAAATTTTTGACTAGGGGAGGGAAACGACATAAGCCTAAAAATTCTTTTTAAAATTCACTTGTGATCGAAGATTTCCCCAAATCGGATCCAAATCATGACTTTGTACAGATCCCTGCATATGACGAGGAATAATTCCTTCGGATAGATGCAACTTGAAAATTTAATTTTTTAAAATTTTTCCCTTATTTTTTCTCACTTTATCGTCACTTATATATTCATGACTGTCCACAATTTTTCCAACATTTTTGCGATGTGCTCCAAACGAAGTAAGTTCGTTCTGGGAAGCTATAGTTCTCTCAGACTCTTCGAAAAGTGGAAGAATTGTTTCGGGCTTTAGTGCTCCCTTAAAATTTTTTGAATTTGTTTTTTGGTTGGCGTTATTTTGGCGTTTTGTTTTAAATTTTCATTTTGTCGAATATTTTTTTGGAAAATGTCAAAATGGTAACTTGTCAAAATGTCTAAATTTATAATTTTCCAAATTGTCGAATGACTAAATTGTTAGTGTCCAAGTGTCAGGGACTAAATGTCTTTTAACATTTTTTTGAAAAATGTCAAAATGGTAACTTTTGATAAATTTTTACAATTGGTCATTTTGACTTTTGGTCAGTTTTTTTCTTTTGCCAGACGCTTCTAAGCGATTTTTGAAATTTATTTTTTAAATTTTATTTCGTTTTTAGGCTTTTAATAATTGTATTTTGCTTTCTTCGCATTTATTAGCTTGTTTGTAAAGTAGAAAGGAACACTTAAACTGCGGTATTTTTCAATGTTCGAGGTTTTCTTTAAATTTTCTAAAATTCAAGCAAATTTATTTTTCAGCCCGGAACTTCAGGAACTAGCGCAACTTTTGATGAAGATGAAGACGTAACAATTTTGGACGTTTCTCTCGCCTCCAATCCATTTCCACCCCCAGAAATAATTGTTTTGGATGAAGAAGAGGACGAAGAAAATAAACACAGTCAAAATGGGTGTTTAACAAAAATGGCAAAAAAGAAGCAAAATATTCAAGATTTTTTTGCTTCTCAAATACAAGAAGAAGATGAGGATGACCCTGTTGATCCAATTGATCGAATTCAACAATTTCCTCCTCAAAAACGAAAAGAAGAACTTTTGCAGAAAATATTTAAACACAAAAGCTTTAGAAGTCAAATTCAAAGAGATGCAATAAATTGTGTTATTAAAAGTAAGAAAATTTTTTTTTTGAATTTTTAAACTGAGGCCTATGAGTTCTATATTGTCGGGCCTCGTTGTAAGTGAATCTTCACAATGATCGAGCTGGGTCTGGACCAAATAGGGTTTTTCCTGTACCAGAGTCCAGGCCCAGGCATTTTTTGACCTTCCTGGGTTTTTCCTGGTAGTCCAGGAACAGGCCCATGCTTTTCAAAAATCTCGATCACTAATCTCCATCATTAGATAAACCTCAATTTGGGAGACGTCTTTCAAATTTTGTTTGGACAATGGATGGAAGAGTTTCTTCAGCGATACCTTCTATTTGAGATACACCCCATTATAAGTATACCCCCTATTTTTGGGACACCTCTATTTAAGAGACGTTTTTAAATTTGGTCTTTCTTCTTCAAGAACTTATCTTATTCTGGGTTCTGATTAAAATTTAAGAATTTTAGAAAATTGCGATGTCTTTATTTCTCTCCCAACCGGCGCTGGAAAATCTCTTTGTTATCAATTGCCTGCGTGCTTTCATCCTGGCCTTACGATTGTTTTTTCTCCACTTTTGGCGCTTATACAGGACCAAATAAATGCTCTAAAATCTCTAGGAATCAGATGTGCTACTTTAAATTCAACATTGAAAGAAGAGGAAAGGAGGGCTATTTTGAGGGTTTTTTTTAATTTTTGGTCAGAAATTTTATTTAAAATTCCAAGGAGCTTCATACAACCCCTCGTTTTCGTATTCTCTACATAACACCTGAATCAGCAGCCCTGGAATATATCCGCGAAATTCTTGCAAAATTGGCTTCACGTTCTCTTTTAAATTATTTTGTTGTGGATGAGGCGCATTGTGTTAGTGAATGGGGTCATTCTTTTAGACCGGATTATTTGAAACTGAAATCTTTAAGAAAGGCAATGGGGAGTGAGGTTTGTTTTTTAATAATTTTCATGTTTGTTTGGCATTGTTTGGATGGGAAATTTGAGTTTTCCGTAAAGTTATGGTTTGGTTTAGTGGGAAAATGTTTGGATAACGAGGCGAAGGGTCGTAGGTTCGAGTTCCGTTGATGGAGATTTGTTTTTACTATAAAATTTTTGAATACCTTAACGATATTTTGCTGTGAAATTTGAGATTTTCTTTTGTGTTATTTTGGTTAAGTGGAATAATGTGTAGACGCAATGGGGAGCGGCGAGAGTTCGAATCCCGTTTCTGAGACTATTTTTACAGCCGAGAATTTTACGTTAAAAACATATTCCCTAACTTATATTTTATTTGTTTTATTTTTAAAAGGTTCACTGGATAGCTTTAACTGCCACGGCAAATGAGAAAACTGAAAGGGACATTTTAGACCAATTGCAATTAAAACCTCCACAAATGTTCAAATCGTCTACTTATCGTGCTAATTTATATTATGATGTAATTGTTAGAGAATCTCTATTGCCAACTAAACCAGAGGTTTTTTAATCAAAATTTTTTCAAAAAAATTTTTTTCAGGCTCATATGGTTGCCTTTATTCGCAAAATTCTTTTTGACGCCCGTGAAAAGCAAAAAAGGGAAGGAAAAAAGCCTCACCCAGCAAGTGGAATTGTTTATTGTCAAACTCGAGCAGAATGTGAACATATGGTTAATGTCTTGACTTCAGGAAAAATTCCGGCAGAAGCTTATCATGCTGGGCTTAGCAATAAGGTTTTTTCTTTCATTTTAACTATTAAGAGTGAAGGTGTTGGTCCGAGGTTCCCTTGGAGGGATGGATCAATGCTAGAGGGGATTTGGGGTTGAACAGATAATTGTTAGGGAATCCTCCGGCTGGCTATTCCTGGGTTTCGATGTCGCTCGAAACGGCCTGGAAATATTAATATAGGTGCTAAATTGATATGGGCGTCCGGGCGGAAGATGACTATGAATTAATCGATCGCTGGCTTGGAGAAATATGTAGGCCCAATGATCCCTGTTACTTCTTCCCTCTCCCTTTTAAGTGTCGTAATTATTACAGGACTTGTATTTCTTTACCTTTGCTTTTTCTACCTTCCTCACAAAATTAATCGAGAAAAAAACTTTTTCAGGCAAGGGATGAAGTCCAAAATAAATGGAGTTGTGATCAATTGCCTGTAGTTGTTGCTACAGTTGCTTTTGGAATGGGTGTAGATAAAGCTACAGTGAGGTTTTTTATTTAAAAATTTTTTAAGGCCTTGGATTCATTTTCAGATTTGTAATTCATTGGAATCCCCCTTTAAACATGGCTTCGTATTATCAAGAATCTGGACGTGCAGGACGTGATGGAAAGCGAAGCTATTGCCGTATTTACTATTCTCGTGAATATCAAGGAATGATGAATTTTAGATTACATAGTTCAATTAATGGAATTAATAGGGTTTTTTTTTATTTTTTGAAATTTTTTTGAAAATTTATTTTTTAGACTAAAAGTGTCCCTGCCCAAGTAGTTGAACAACGAAAAAAAGAAATTCAAAAAGGTTTTGAAAAAATGATTGAATATTTGGAGAAGGCAAAGTTTGTTTTTAAACTTATTTTTCCATAAGTTTGAAATTTTTTAAGTTGTAGACATGCTTATATTGGACGCTATTTTGATGAAAATGTTGTAAATTGTTCGAATAATTGTGATTTTTGTAAAAATCCTCAAAAAGTCAAAGAAGGATTAAAATGTTTGGAAAAATTTGAGAGGGTAAATACTAACAGAAGAGGGATGAATAATAATGAGGAAGAAGATGGACAACTTTATGGAGGAGGAAGAAAGCGGTAAGAATAAGATTTTCATGTGAGAATAGGTTCATTAACGATTTGGGATATAAGGGGACTGATATCGGAAGATAAAAAGTTTGTTGGATGGATTTAGGGCATTTTGGTTAACCGGGGCCGAGCTGAAAAACGAATCGAAAATCTACGGGTTTCGATCCGGATCGGTTTGAAACCGACATAAAAACATCTCTTATTGACACGATTTTTCCAAATTTTAGGCTATTAAGAGACGCTGATTATGAAAATACTCGAGAAGGAGGAATGGGCCCAGATCCTACAATTCAAGAACAAGAAGAGCGTCAACGTGTTCGAGAACTAGTTCAAAGTGAATTGAGAAAAAGAAGATTAAGTTCATTAAATGAAATTCCAAAATGGTCAGATGCTGGAAAAGTTTTGAAGGAGGATAAAGCAGGTTTTGTTTTAGAAATTTTGAAAAATATTTTTTGTTTAATTGGAATTTTTGGGTGAGAATGGCACTCTCTTTTGGGTATGGGAATGGGGTTTCAAAGTTTTTCTGGCTCGGGTCTGGGGTCGAAAAAGCGTCCGTGTTGGGTTTTGGCTCGGGTCGGTTGAATGATTAATAGGGAAAAAGTTAGTTGTCTTGTCTCTGCTCGGAAAAAAGTCGTCCACGTTTCGTGCAACCCGTCCCATCCTTGATAGTAATGGTCAAAAATTGATTTAGCATGAAATCTTTTTTTAATTTAGATAATTATCCTCTACTTCTTTCAACAACACAAAAAATGCGGAATAAAATTCCAGGATTGAATTTTGAGGTTTCTTTTTAGATTTCAAATCTCTTTTATGATTTTTAATTAGAAACGAGAGCAATACAGAATTAAAATTTGTAATGAATTGAGATTAAATGCGGCAGCATGTGAAGCATGGGAAAAGATGGATGAAGATTTACTTGGAAATTTATCTGGTGTTTTGGAAGAAAGAGAATTTTTGGGGGCTAAATTGACAACAACTTATGCAAATAGAATTGCTTCAAAGGTTATTTTTAAATTTATATTTTGGTTGTTTTTTGATAGAAAATGAGGAAGGAGAGGCTATACAACTTTTAGGAAGGGTTATTAAAATTTAAATTCTTTTCGAGGGGTACCTTCTCAAATTTGAGTTTTGGGTATACCTTTTTAAGCAACGGAATTGAACCAGTAGTAGAGGACTCTTGGCCTGTAACAAGGATATCATGTGTTTTTGCTAATAATTTGCTAAGTTTTTGCTAACTGATGAGTGGATGTCGGGTTATGACTTCTTTTCTTTATCACATATGTATAGGAGAATCCTAGATCTCCCGCGTAAACTAGCGGAATCTTCCCTGCCTTCCCTACACAGATCTCTCCTCCCTAAGCTATCTGTATTTTTATCACATTTATAAACCCTTTAAGAATTTTTGTCTATTCTCTTAGGATTTTTAAATTTCTTACATATTAAAATTGTAATTTTTTCCTTAAAGATAAATGAACTCAAAAAAGCAACAAATCGTTCAGAATTGCATACTGATTTACAACAGACTTGACCGAATAAATTTGTGAAAAAGAGAAATTTTGCTCGCGAATAAAAAAATTTCTTGATTGCTCATATTTTTCTGGTTTTCTTTTTTTAATTTCTTTGTATTTTTTATATTAAATGGAATTTTTTGCTTGAATTTTTAGAAAAATTTTTTGGGTTGTTGACCCATTTATGTATTTTTAAAAATTTTTTAGAAAAAATTTTTAATTTTTAACCCAACCTGTACAAGTTCAATATGCCCTTGGTCAACTTTTGTTTTTGGATCTCGATGTGTTCCAAATGCACACATTCCTGTTTGGCTTTGTAATGCTGGACAAGCCTCCCATGGAAAGACATAAGGCAGGTCGATGGAGTCGCTTTAAGTTTGAGAGGTTTTTTTGGGTTTTTAAAGAATTGAAAAATTTTTTTTAATTTAGGATGGGGATGCTTTTTTATGGGTGGAAATGGAATGGACAGTGGGTGAACAAGGAAAATTTTTTGAGGTTTTTTTTAATTTTCAAAAATATTTTTCCATTATTTAACTTTAAAATCCTTACGCTTTTTCCCTTTTTGCGTACATTTTTGCAGGCCTATTTCCATGCCTTACTTCCTCTCTTCCAATCTCCCATAAATGCCTTTCTTCTGGAGGCATTTCAATTGCTTCTGAATTTTTTTAAAATTATTTTCTATTTCATTTTCCCCTTCTCACCTGGTGGAGGCCTTGGAGGTGGTACCCATTTTCTTTTTGGTTTTTCAGCTTTAACCTTTTTAGGTTTTTTATTCTTTTTGCTCTTTTTTCGCTTCTTTTTCTTTGGTTCCTCCTCCTCCTCTTCATTCTCCTTGTCTTCATCTTCCACATTTTCTTCCTCTTCGTCTAGTTCCGCACTTAATTCTTCATCTTCCATGTTTTCTTCCTCATCTTCCATATCTTCATCAACAATTTTTTCTTCCTCCTTTTCTTCCTTCGCTGGTTTCTTCTTCTCTTCCTTCCCTTTTTCCTTCTTCTCTCCCTTCTCTTCCTTCCCTTTCTTCACTTCCTTTTCTTCCTTCCCCTTAACTTCCTTATCTTTTAAATTCTTCTCTTTCTTCACATCTTCCTTTACTTCTTTTTTCTTCCCAGTCTCTTTTTCTTCCTTTTTGGCTGGGGATTTTTTGACTTCATATTTTTTCCCAGTCTCTTTTTTTACTTCAGGTTTGGCCGTTTTCTTTATGTCCTTTTAAAATTAAAAATTTTTTTTCTAAATTTATGTTTAACCCCTCCTACCGCGTCTTTTTTCTTCCCAATATTTTTCTCTTCAATTCTTCCACTTCCTTTTTTCCCTTCAACTTTTCCTCCTTTTTTCTCTCCTTTCTTTCCTCCCGACTTCTCTTCCTCTTCCTTTCGTTTTTCTTCTTCATAAACTTTTTGCTCTTCGGGGAAAAGGATTGGTTCAATAATTAATGGATTTTCTTTGTATTCTGGGGCTGTAAACAGGAATTAATTTTTAAAGTAAAATTTTTTGAGTATTTCATGGGGTATTCCGAACCTTACGGATTCAAATATGTGGAGCCGAGATTTGTGGATCCTAAAATTTGCAGACCCGAAACTTGTGGATTCGAATTTTGCGGACCATAAATTCGCACACTTTCGTTTCCCAAAGTTCGGATCTGCAACTTCTTGTCCACAAAGTTCACGCCACGTTTCCAGGGGTCGAAAAAAATATTTTCAATGTCTCTAAATTCCCTCTTATTTTACCAGAAGATTTGTATGGCTGAGGCTTTGGTGGCGGCTTCCAATATGTCGATTCTGTTGCTTTTGAAGTTGTTGGCAATGCCCATTTAAATTCCTTCTTTGGTGGAGGGGATGGAGGTTTTGGAGGATTTTTGAGAAAACGAGCAAGCAAATTGCCTCGAGGTACGTTATCTATTACCTTTTTTTGAATTGAAAAAAATTTTTTAAGAAAACTTTCTTCAAACCAATTGAGGCGCTTCTGGATTGATGAACGCCTTCCGCCTTTCATTAACTGATTTAACTGGCGATGTAGAACGGAAAGGCGATGATGATTTTCCTCTGTTGGATGCTGCTGAATTGGTCAGGTTTCGGGGATCCTCGCTTCCAGCCTTTTTGAAAATTAAATTTTTTTGGAAATGGGATCAACTCCCACGAGGTCAACATTAGAGGTGAAGTCAATAGACTCTAAGTTCAACTCCAAATATTTGGGGTTGACCTCCAGTGTCAGTTGACCATTATGGTTTAGAATAGACCCTTCAAAATTAATTTAAAAAAATACCAAAGAGTGGGAGCGTGGAACTGTTTTCCTTGCTGATTTTTTATTTTCTTCTTCAGGTTCCTTTATTCTAACAACAGAAGAGCCTCTTGCAGCTGACAATCTTTTATCTTTTTGTTCTTCTTTGGTTAATTGTTCAACTGTTGATCTTCTTGGTTTTTCTTCTTGTTTACTTTTATGGCTTGTTTCTGTTTAGAGGTTTGTTTAAATTTAATTATAATTTTTTTACAAATTTTACCCTTTTCTGTTGGTTTTAGTACCCCTTTTTTGACCGGAGAAACACTTCTCGAACCTTCCAATTTTTTCTCTTCCTTTTTTGGTTGTTCGGAAGTTCCAGCAGGCTTTCTTGGGGGTGGGGTAGGTGCAGCTTTCTTTGGAACTTCCGTTTTTGTCCCAATTTTGGTTGCCGATTCTCCTGGTTTTGGTTTTTCTGGTGTGCTTGTAGTGGATTTTTTGGTTGTTAATGGTGTTGGGGGTTTAGTGGTTGTTGTTGCTTTTGCTTCTTCTTTCTGTTTTGTTTCCTCTTTTTGTTTCTGCCCTGTGACTGGTTTTGGTGGAGGTATTGGGGTCTTCTTGGAGGATTCTTTATCTTCATTTTTGGTCATTTTTACATTTTCTTCCCCCTTTTTGGCTTCAGTTTTTGCATTTTTAGTCAAATCTTCTCCTTTCTTTTTCGTTTCTTCCACCTTCTTCTTATCTTCAACCTTTTTTGTCTCTGCAGTTTTCTTCCCATCTTTCTTCACCTCTTCCTTTTTGGGTTCACTTTTTGATTTTTTGGTCAAATCTTCCAGTTTCTTCTTCTCTTCAGTCTTCTTCTCTTCAGTCTTCTTTTCTTCCGCTTTCTTTGTTTCTTCCGTTCTCTTCCTCTCTTCTGCTTTTCTCTTCTCCTCTGTTTTCTTCTTCTCTTCAGCCCTTTTCTTCTCTTCCGCCTTCTTCTTCTCGTCTTCTTTTTTCTTCTCTTCCAATTGTTTTTTCTCTTCCGTTTTCTTCCTCTCTTCAACCTTTTTCTTCTCCTCCGCTTTCTTCCTCTCGTCTTCTTTTTTCTTCTCTTCGGCCTTTTTCTTCTCTTCCAATTGTTTTTTCTCTTCCGCCTTCTTCCTCTCTTCTTCCTTTTTCTTTTTTTCTTCCTCTTCCCTTTTCTTCACTTCTTTATCTTCCTTCCCTTCCATTTTTGCCTTTTTTTCATCCTTAACTTCATCCTCTTCCCATTCTTCCCCACTATCCGTCACATATTCATATGTCCATTCCTCATCTTCATCATATTCTTCATCATCTTCTTCCGTTTGTAGTACATTAGGCATTGAAAGTCTCTGCATTTGTTTCAATCAAAAATAAATATTTTTTAGTCAAACTTGATCTTTAAAAAAATAAAAAGAAGGAAAACCACACTTTTTTAGTTCAAATATTTTTTAGGTACAATGAAGAATGATTTTTTCTCGTCTTTTAAATTGTTCTCTTATTTTTACACTTTATAAAAAATATTTTTTTTTAATTGACAGCCGCTCTTCTTGATTAAGAGTTTATATCCAAAAATCCATGTTTTTTTTTTCTTTCTCGTAACGTTTTTATTTTGATCACATGCTTGATTGATCCTTTTATCTCTTTTTTAGTATAGTTTTTGAGGGAACAACAAAAAAGGGAGAGATATTTTTAATGCCCTTTGAATTTTTATAAGGCCTTTTTGAGGGATTTTCTCAAATTTATTTTTTTTATTCCAAATTAAATTTAGAAGAAGCACAATCTTCAGCATTTGGTTCAGGATGTATCCAAGGGAGACGTTAATTTATCATTGAGAAGGAAAAGGTAAGAAATTTTTTTAGAATTGCTAGATGAAAAAAATTCTGTTTTTTAGTGGATGAGCTCGGAAAAAATCGAGATTAGCGGTGGCCGATGCTGAGGAGAATAAGGATGATGATTTCAAGGTTGTTTTAAAAGATGTTTTTTTGGTAATCCTGCAGAATCCGGGAGACACCTGAAAAACGCCTTAAAAATTGTCATTTCTGAAAATTATTTTATTTAGGTAATCGGCCATGCTGATTACGAATCTGAGCTTAGAATTTGCTCATTTCGAACCCGGACCCGAATTCGACCAAGTCGAATTCGGGGTAAAAATTCGAAATGATGATATTATGGTCATTTTGATTCGTCTCTTTATTCTGAGTCGAATGGTGAGATTCTGAGTCGAATGGTGAGTCGAATTATTCAGTTTCGACAATTTTAGACGAAGTTATGGTATCTGATTTGTATACGGAAGTCTAACCAAGCGTTATTTAACTGGTTATAACTTCGTCCAAAGTTGTCGAAACTGAATAATTTTGATACCATTCGACTCAGCTCGAATAGGCGTGTCAGATTAGCCCTAAATTTTTAATTTCGAATTTTTTACCCCGAATTCGACCTGGTCGAATCCGGGTCCGGGATTCGAAATAAACATTTTCTAAGCTCAGATTCGTTATCAGCATGGTCTATTACCTATATAAAATTATTTTTGTGAAAAAAATAATAATTTTGAAGGTGTTTTTAAAGTGTCTCCCAGATTCTGCAGGATTACCGTTTTTTTTAAATTATTTTTTATTCAAATTAAAATTGCTGATTTTTTATATATTTTTTTTTAATTTTCTTTACAACTGTTTATTTTGATTTACTATTGTCTGTAGTCGGTTCAGTGTCCCTAATCCATTTTATATGTAGTATTTCAAATTGAAACTTGAAGGGAGAATCTTTTAGTATTTTCAACAAAACAAGTTAGCTGTCACTAACTATTTCGCACTGAACCGACCTCGACTCTTTAACTGTCTAATATCTCTTTATTTCCCACACTCTTTCTGCATTTATTGATTTTACTCGGCGGCCATTGTTTAGACATGCAAAAACATGTACTGGTTAGAGAAAAATAATTAATTTTTCTTATGGCAGAGTAGTGAAAATGCTTTTCTCTGACCGCTACATGTTTTTTTGTGTGTTGTTACTTCATGTGTTCTCAATATCAAATTGAAATCGGTTTTAAAACCGTTATATCTTTACCATTTAACAATATTTATTTGTTTCAGAATTCAACGATCTGCGGTATTTGGCATAATGCAAAATATTAAGGTTAAATGACACTTCATCCCAAAAATCAATAATCGATTTTTTGATATTTCATATAGTGTTCTCTGTTTCATTTGGAGTCCTCTGTTGTCCATCTTTATCAAAGATGTTCTGAACAGAATGCGTGGCTTTTCCTTTTTTGGGGGTTAACCTTTTTGAGGGGTGGGGAGGAGTAATGACTTGCGGACAAGACTTGCTTTTTTCAATTTTTGAAAAATGTATCCAATTTTTAGCAGCAGCAGCAACAACAACAGCAACAACAGCAGCAGCAACAACTTCAGCAACAGCAGCAACAAAAAGCACCAGTTTCTCTAAGGAGATAGCCGGGCAAAAGCACCAGTTTCTCTAAGGAGATAGCCGGGCAAAAGCACCAGTTTCTCTAAGGAGATAGCCGGGCAAAAGCACCAGTTTCTCTAAGGAGATAGCCGGGCAAAAGCACCAGTTTCTCTAAGGAGATAGCCGGGCAAAAGCACCAGTTTCTCCGGAGATAGCAGGGCAAAAGCACCAGTTTCTCCGGAGATAGCAGGGCAAAAGCACCAGTTTCTCTAAGGAGATAGCCGGGCAAAAGCACCAGTTTCTCTAAGGAGATAGCCGGGCAAAAGCACCAGTTTCTCTAAGGAGATAGCCGGGCAAAAGCACCAGTTTCTCTAAGGAGATAGCCGGGCAAAAGCACCAGTTTCTCTAAGGAGATAGCCGGGCAAAAGCACCAGTTTCTCTAAGGAGATAGCTGGGCGATCTTCACTTCAACGATTAAACTCCAATGCTCTCGTCTACATGGTTAGCTTTTTTTTTTACTTTATTAAAATCGCAAGTTTTGTTCGCAAAGTTACTCCCTTAAATAAGTTTATCCTTTCCCAATGTTAAAGCCAATCAAATGATGGCCCAAATTCTTGTCAAATGAGATGTACAGCAAATGTTCAACTGGTTAGATGCATTGATTTGCTTGCTTTGAATGGTTGATCTTTTGATAGGTTGTTTTTATTTTTAAGAGTTTTTCAATTACTTAATTTTCAGCTTTGAGAGAGTGTCCAGAAGATGTTAAAATTTTTAAAGAGGTTATTTTTTAATTATTTCTATGGTTTCAAGATTATTTTTTAGGCCGGTGGATTGTTGCGGAAAGGACGTCTTTTTTTGAGTATGCTTTGGAGAACAAGAATCAGCAGAAAAAATGACTGAAGATTTCAAATCTTGACAGTATTCAGCAAATTAGGTTTGAAGATTAACTGATTTGTTTGTTGGGTTTCCACAATTTTCGTTTATTCAGGTTTTGCCCCTTTTTAAAACTTACTAATTTAAAAATGCATGTTATCAATGTTTAAATCTGTTCAGTTGCTTCCCTTTGGTATTGTGAGTTGTCGGGGGTTTTGTTGGCCCGCCAGACTTCACGATTATACAACGTTCGAAAGAGCTCGTCGAACTGACTTGTGCGGGGGACGAAGGCGGGTGGACGTACAGGGACCGAGTTTTATAGGCTTTAGGGGTTTGTAAACGGCATAAATTCCGGACATTTTTGTCTCTAACGATTTATTTTTTCAGTTTAAAGAACGTGTAAACGAGGAAAAAATGGTCAAACATGGACAAGAATTGACCGCCCACAAAGACAAACACAACATCTGGTCGTTGAGCAATAAAGAAGCAATGGAATTGCAGAAGAAGGAAGCGCTGGGCACCAAATATCAAAATTGGATTTGGGAACGAAAACATAGTTTTTTTTAAATTTTTTTGTTTACTTAGATACAGTCGAAATACCATCAAGCCGTTGGAATCGACATTTTCTCAAAAATGAAAAGAAAATCGGATTAATTGTCAAAATCCTAATTTCGACTGTATTGCTCACAATTATTTTGTTTTGTATAATTTTTATTATTTTTTAGCCAAATTTTTATTAGTTTGAATAAATAAAAATGAATTTTTTGTTGTTGAATTACAATTTTTTATTAAACTTTATCGAGGACTTTAAAGAGAAATCAACTTCTAGAAGAATTTAACGGTCTTATACCCTCATCACAGCGGGTTAACTTAGTTGACAGACAGGACATAGGCAGAGAAACCCATTTATTCGCAAAAACGACCTGTTTATTCGCGAATACAACCTGTTTATTCGCGAATACTCTCCAAATAAACGCAAGGCTAATTCATCTATAGGTCATAACTTTGTTAGGAATTATTCAGTCAAGCTGATTTTGGTGTCATTCGACTCAGCTCGACGAGCTCTTTCGATCGACCTATAATTTGCATGTCCGAAACTCTAACTCCAAAAATTTTCAACTTTCGTGGGTCTCTAACTCGGCCCTATGAAGTCGGATTACGTTAATTTTGGTTTTATTTGACTCATCTCGAGGAGTTCTTTCGAATGAACTAACATTTGTTAGATGATCTAAGTCGCAGATCTAAGTCCGCAGTAAAATCCTTTCAATTTTTTTAAAAATGGGTAAATTTTTTTAATTTTTTGCCTAATTGTTTATTAAATAGTTTTGCACAAAATAGCGGGAGCGATTTTAAAACTAACGTCTATAAGCCGAGATATTGGATTTCAAAGTTTTGTGGGTAAAATGAAAAATGAGAGTAATGCTTTATTCTAGGAGAAAATTAGAGAAGCAGAGAAAATTAGACACTACACAATGTCCTCTTTAACCCGCTGTGCCTAGTGAACGACATATCTACGTTTTCGTCGATTCGCGGCGAATAACTACTTTTATTCGCGATCGACTTTTTTTTAATACAAAACGCCAGAACTACGTAAATATCGATGTTTTACGCCAAACGATTGCGAAACGACTTTTTTGTGTCTCTTTTTCTCTAATTTCACATTATATTTCCTTTCTCTTTTTCTATTAATTTTCGTTCAGTGCAGTCTCTCAATTTGTAAGGAGGTTTTTTGTAAATTGGATTTCATTTTTTTTATTTTTAGGGGTTACAAAAGTTTTTTTAAGGCTTTGGAGGTAGGAAAGGAAATTTGAAGGAAAATTGCAGAAAAATTGAAATTTTGAAGCTGTAGAATTAATGCCTGTCTCATTAGCCTCCTAGTACAACATTTGGAAGTCTTATTGTTAATGGTAGTAGTGAATTTTCAGAAGCAAACACTTACCATCAACGACATTTGGAGCAGCAACCATTATCAGGTTATTTTGTTTTTCGGTGCATTATAATTTGTGGGTAAATTACTTTCCGGGTTAAATTACACTTCCCGAACCGAATTTCGCACCCTGAAACTTGAATGAGCTATCGTTTGTATAAACTTTTTTACTCCAAAAAACCGCCCCTAAGGTTTCTCAATATTCAGTGATCTGTATCCGAATATTGAGAAATCTGAATATTGGTCAGATTTCATTGATCCTAGAATTAGTTGCTAAATTTTTTTCATTCCTAAATTTTTTCTTTTTTATGTTTAATCAAAACTTGTTTGATGTGTGTCGAACTCCATCCTACGGCTGCAACAATGGGGAAACAATAGGAGAGGTTGTTTTTTAAATCTTATTTTTTTGGAATTTTTTAATTCATTTTTCTAAGTGTTACAACGACGTGCTCGGGCGATTTGCTGTTGAAGTGATTCTGCCTGGCAACCTTTGAATTGCAGTCTTAATGGAATAGAAGCGACAACAGCCACACCCAAACGGCCCTCTTTAGGGCCACAAATCTAATGAGTGAAACGAGACATTGGCTTTTAGTTTTTTTTGATAAATTTTTGTTTATTTGTCTCATTTTTTTATTGAAATTTTGTTTTTAACTTCCCCCTATGCCCGAAAAAGCCCAAGAAAAGCCTAGAGTCAAGATTCGACTACATTTGAAAATGTTCTTTAGAAAATGTTCAACAGAATCTTCGCTGGAAAATCTGTGGGAATATACTAAAGCGACCCCAAATCAAGTAGATGATATTTTTTTTTATCAATTCTTCGTTTTTTTCTATTGTTTTCTTTTAATTATTCAAAACATACAAAATTGGTATGTTTTGTAAGTTTGATGTTTCATTCGATGGAGCTTTTCGAGCTGTTTCGAATGGTGCCAAAAATAATTCGAACAGACAAAAATAAAGGAAGTTATGGCCCTACAAAGTTTTTGGATTCCAAGAAAAATGGACTGCACAAAACAAGAGAGACGAAAATTAATAGAAAAAGAGAAAGGAAATATAATGTGAAATTAGAGAAAAAGAGATACAAAAAAGTCGTTTCGCAATCGTTTGGCGTAAAACATCGATATTTACGTAGTTCTGGCGTTTTGTTTATTAAAAAAAGTCGTTCGCGAATAATTGTAGATTTTTTTAAAACGACTTTTTTTCCTTAAGAAAAAGTCGATATGTCGTTCACTAGCTGTGCCTCATTAAATTCCAAAGAGGCCATCTTTCATGTTATCAGACTCTTGTATTCTTTTTTGTATAGAGGACTACTCGCTCCTTTTGAAGTAAGTTGTAATGTAGCAAGTAGAGAAAGTAAATATTTGAAATAGTTGAGAAGTTGGGATGTAATGCTAAAAATAAATGACATTTTGTCCCAAGAGTTAGAGAAATTCTATAAAATAAATAGTGTGGCTAGAGAAAAAAATAAATATCAAATGTTTAGGTCGGTTCAGTGCTGAATTCAAAGAGTGTGAAACTACTGTATTTGAATTAATTTTTCATTAAATGTTCCAAATTTAAAAAATTTTGTTTGTTTATTTTTGATTCTTTTAGGATGGTAATCCTAAGAATTTAGTGTGCAGAAGATTTCTACGGATTCTACCTTTACAGTTCGATTGATGTGTATTTAGACTCGGACAGTTTGAGATGGAACATTTTGGGATATAGACCTTTTAGGTCCATCTCGTCTTTTAATTTACCGGTCTTTTTATTAAACGGTCTTTTAATAGCTTCTGGACTTGCCGGATAAAAAGACCGGCAAGTCCAGAAGCTATTTAATAAAAAGACCGGTATGCTAAAAGACCGGCAAGTCCAGAAGCTATTAAAAGACCGTTTAATAAAAAGACCGGTATGCTAAAAGACCGGAAAGTCCAGAAGCTATTAAAAGACCGTTTAATAAAAAGACTGGTTATGCTAAAAGACTGGCAAGTCCAGAAGCTATTAAAAGACCGTTTAATAAAAAGACCGGTATGCTAAAAGACCGGCAAGTCCAGAAGCTATTAAAAGACCGTTTAATAAAAAGACTGGTTATGCTAAAAGACCGGCAAGTCCAGAAGCTATTTAATAAAAAGACCGGTATGCTAAAAGACCGGCAAGTCCAGAAGCTATTAAAAGACCGTTTAATAAAAAGACCGGTATGCTAAAAGACCGGCAAGTCCAGAAGCTATTTAATAAAAAGACCGGTATGCTAAAAGACCGGCAAGTCCAGAAGCTATTTAATAAAAAGACCGGTATGCTAAAAGACCGGCAAGTCCAGAAGCTATTTAATAAAAAGACCGGTATGCTAAAAGACCGGCAAGTCCAGAAGCTATTAAAAGACCGTTTAATAAAAAGACCGGTATGCTAAAAGACCGGCAAGTCCAGAAGCTATTTAATAAAAAGACCGGTATGCTAAAAGACCGGCAAGTCCAGAAGCTATTTAATAAAAAGACCGGTATGCTAAAAGACCGGCAAGTCCAGAAGCTATTAAAAGACCGTTTAATAAAAAGACCGGTATGCTAAAAGACCGGCAAGTCCAGAAGCTATTAAAAGACCGTTTAATAAAAAGACTGGTTATGCTAAAAGACCGGCAAGTCCAGAAGCTATTAAAAGACCGTTTAATAAAAAGACCGGTAAATTAAAAGACGAGATGGACCTAAAAGGTCTATATCCCAAAATGTTCCATCTCAAACTGTCCGAGTCTAAATACACATCAATCGAACTGTAAAGGTAGAATCCGTAGAAATCTTCTGCACACTAAATTCTTAGGATTACCATCCTAAAAGAATCAAAAATAAACAAACAAAATTTTTTAAATTTGGAACATTTAATGAAAAATTAATTCAAATACAGTAGTTTCACACTCTTTGAATTCAGCACTGAACCGACCTAAACATTTGATATTTATTTTTTTCTCTAGCCACACTATTTATTTTATAGAATTTCTCTAACTCTTGGGACAAAATGTCATTTATTTTTAGCATTACATCCCAACTTCTCAACTATTTCAAATATTTACTTTCTCTACTTGCTACATTACAACTTACTTCAAAAGGAGCGAGTAGTCCTCTATACAAAAAAGAATACAAGAGTCTGATAACATGAAAGATGGCCTCTTTGGAATTTAATGAGGGTATAAGACCGTTAAATTCTTCTAGAAGTTGATTTCTCTTTAAAGTCCTCGATAAAGTTTAATAAAAAATTGTAATTCAACAACAAAAAATTCATTTTTATTTATTCAAACTAATAAAAATTTGGCTAAAAAATAATAAAAATTATACAAAACAAAATAATTGTGAGCAATACAGTCGAAATTAGGATTTTGACAATTAATCCGATTTTCTTTTCATTTTTGAGAAAATGTCGATTCCAACGGCTTGATGGTATTTCGACTGTATCTAAGTAAACAAAAAAATTTAAAAAAAACTATGTTTTCGTTCCCAAATCCAATTTTGATATTTGGTGCCCAGCGCTTCCTTCTTCTGCAATTCCATTGCTTCTTTATTGCTCAACGACCAGATGTTGTGTTTGTCTTTGTGGGCGGTCAATTCTTGTCCATGTTTGACCATTTTTTCCTCGTTTACACGTTCTTTAAACTGAAAAAATAAATCGTTAGAGACAAAAATGTCCGGAATTTATGCCGTTTACAAACCCCTAAAGCCTATAAAACTCGGTCCCTGTACGTCCACCCGCCTTCGTCCCCCGCACAAGTCAGTTCGACGAGCTCTTTCGAACGTTGTATAATCGTGAAGTCTGGCGGGCCAACAAAACCCCCGACAACTCACAATACCAAAGGGAAGCAACTGAACAGATTTAAACATTGATAACATGCATTTTTAAATTAGTAAGTTTTAAAAAGGGGCAAAACCTGAATAAACGAAAATTGTGGAAACCCAACAAACAAATCAGTTAATCTTCAAACCTAATTTGCTGAATACTGTCAAGATTTGAAATCTTCAGTCATTTTTTCTGCTGATTCTTGTTCTCCAAAGCATACTCAAAAAAAGACGTCCTTTCCGCAACAATCCACCGGCCTAAAAAATAATCTTGAAACCATAGAAATAATTAAAAAATAACCTCTTTAAAAATTTTAACATCTTCTGGACACTCTCTCAAAGCTGAAAATTAAGTAATTGAAAAACTCTTAAAAATAAAAACAACCTATCAAAAGATCAACCATTCAAAGCAAGCAAATCAATGCATCTAACCAGTTGAACATTTGCTGTACATCTCATTTGACAAGAATTTGGGCCATCATTTGATTGGCTTTAACATTGGGAAAGGATAAACTTATTTAAGGGAGTAACTTTGCGAACAAAACTTGCGATTTTAATAAAATAAAAAAAAGCTAACCATGTAGACGAGAGCATTGGAGTTTAATCGTTGAAGTGAAGATCGCCCAGCTATCTCCTTAGAGAAACTGGTGCTTTTGCCCGGCTATCTCCTTAGAGAAACTGGTGCTTTTGCCCGGCTATCTCCTTAGAGAAACTGGTGCTTTTGCCCGGCTATCTCCTTAGAGAAACTGGTGCTTTTGCCCGGCTATCTCCTTAGAGAAACTGGTGCTTTTGCCCTGCTATCTCCGGAGAAACTGGTGCTTTTGCCCTGCTATCTCCGGAGAAACTGGTGCTTTTGCCCGGCTATCTCCTTAGAGAAACTGGTGCTTTTGCCCGGCTATCTCCTTAGAGAAACTGGTGCTTTTGCCCTGCTATCTCCGGAGAAACTGGTGCTTTTGCCCTGCTATCTCCGGAGAAACTGGTGCTTTTGCCCTATCTCCGGAGAAACTGGTGCTTTTGCCCTGCTATCTCCGGAGAAACTGGTGCTTTTGCCCGGCTATCTCCTTAGAGAAACTGGTGCTTTTGCCCTGCTATCTCCGGAGAAACTGGTGCTTTTGCCCGGCTATCTCCTTAGAGAAACTGGTGCTTTTGCCCGGCTATCTCCTTAGAGAAACTGGTGCTTTTGCCCTGCTATCTCCGGAGAAACTGGTGCTTTTGCCCTGCTATCTCCGGAGAAACTGGTGCTTTTGCCCTGCTATCTCCGGAGAAACTGGTGCTTTTGCCCTGCTATCTCCGGAGAAACTGGTGCTTTTTTGCCCTGCTATCTCCGGAGAAACTGGTGCTTTTTTGCCCTGCTATCTCCGGAGAAACTGGTGCTTTTTTGCCCTGCTATCTCCGGAGAAACTGGTGCTTTTTTGCCCTGCTATCTCCGGAGAAACTGGTGCTTTTTTGCCCTGCTATCTCCGGAGAAACTGGTGCTTTTTTGCCCTGCTATCTCCGGAGAAACTGGTGCTTTTTTGCCCTGCTATCTCCGGAGAAACTGGTGCTTTTTTGCCCTGCTATCTCCGGAGAAACTGGTGCTTTTTTGCCCTGCTATCTCCGGAGAAACTGGTGCATTTTGTTGCTGCTGTTGTTGTTGCTGCTGTTGCTGTTGTTGCTGATGTTGTGCTGCTGCTGTTGTTTATTGCTGCTGCTGAAGAACTGAAAAAATTGGATAAATTTTTCAAAAATTGAAAAAAAGCAAGTCTTGTCCGCAACTCAATTCTACCCTCCTCCTAAAAAGGTTAATCCCCAAAAAAGGAAAAGCCACGCATTCTGTTGTAGAACATCTTTGCTAAAGATGAACGAGAGAGGACGCCAAATGAAACATCAAAAATCGATTATTGATTTTTGGGATGAAGTGTCATTTAATCTTAATATTTTGCATTATGCCAAATATCGCAGATTTTTGAATTTTGAAACGAATATTGTTAAATGTTAAAAGAAAAGTAAGATATCAAACGAAAAATGTTCAAAACATTCAAAAGGCCAACAGAACCCTTTCAACGCTAATCAATTAAAATTGTCAAATGTTTATAAAAATGAAAAGATAATGAAATATATCGCAAAATGTGTCTTCTTTTTACTTTTAAAAATAGCAGAAAGTCTCTTCATTCAGAGGCGTTTGTACTGGCCCAAGAAAGTGTTGCAATTACTGCAAAAATGCTCACAATCTTGACAGTCATCCATGCAAAATGGCAACAAACAACAGCCCAACCAACATCTTGAAAAAAATATAATTTAATTGAATCCCTAAAATAAAATAAAATTTACCCAAATATTAAGCATCCACCAAAAACAAGCCAAGTTAAAAGACCAGCAGAATGTTTAACTTTTGTAAGCACACTTTGCTGACAAGTCGGGCAATATGCCTGAAAAAATTAAGAATATATTTATAGCTATTAAAAGTAGGTAAGAGCCAAAGAAATGGCCTAAGAACGTGACAGATAAAAGTAAATCCCATAAAATCCAGACGAGTCGGAAAATGCTGTTCTCTAGCCCATATATCGACAAGATCATCTCGATTTGGACATAAGTCAATAAAATGAAAAACAGGCTACAGGGCTTCGTACTTCCCAAGTTAAGGCCAAAATAAGCACATAATCCCGTAAAATGCCGTCGAGCCGGAAATACTTTTCTCTAGTCCAAACATCGAAAACATAACATCTCAGAATCTTGGATTTTGAACCTAATTGGAAAAACTGAAACCCCATAGGGTCCCCTCCTAATTTAAGGTCAAAGAAACTTAAAAATAAACAAACATTTTGCGGTTGTGGTCCAAACGGCGGGCGCTGTCCATCATTAACATAAACATAAGTCGTCGTAGGTGCAGGCTGTTGTGGCGCCTGTTGTTGCGGGTATGGATTTTGCATATTTGGTTGGTAAGGATCGCCTAAAAAATTTTTTAATTAAATGAAAAGGAAAAAAGGTGAAATTTTTAAAATAATTTCAATAATGATTCATTTATTTATACCAATAAAAAAAGGAAAATGGGTGTGTAACCTTTCTCTCTCCCTTGGAAAGCATTTGAAAGGTGAGTAAGAGATAAGCAGCTAATATTTTGAGAGGAACAATTTAAATTATCGATAAAAATAATGGCCACAGAAAAATAATTTTTGTAAAGAGAACGTTAAATTTAGTTATCAAAAATAATCAAAAAATTTTGACAACAAAAATTTTAAATTAAAGTTGTTTAAAAACCGTTTAAAAATCTTTTAAATAGTCAAAAATAATTAATTTTCCCCAGCCGGAATCGAACCGTGCCTAACCTGCCAAAAGTCAAGAACACACCCGCCAAACCACAGAAGTACTTAACAAAAGATTTTATACTTCCAACAACAGGCAGCCGGAAATTTAAAAATAAAAGAGCAAAAACAAACCTTGCATGTTAATGTCCGGATAAGCAGAATATTTTTGCGCACTATCTGTAAACGAGAAATGTAAATAAGAACAAATAAAATAAAAAAGAACCGTAGGGAGGCGGTGCATTCGGCTGTTGATGACTCATCTCGTTTTTTTTTCGTTGAGTTGTGAAAAATTGAAAAAATAGTCTGTTGTCCAATTAATTTAAGGAATAAATATTTTGATTTAAATCTGAAAATTTGAAAAAATTATTATTAAATTAAATATAAAAATATATTTATATAACAAAAATGGTACAAAAAACCAGTTTTTAAAAGAAAAATAAAAATTTTTGTGTCACTCACTCTCTCTATTTATTTACTCCACGTCTTGTTTTCATCTAGCTGCCCTTCATTTTTTTAAATCAATGAAAACCTCTCCCTCATGTTAATATTTGGAGGGTAAAAAATAGAGAGGCTAACCTACACTAACAGGAAAAATATACTAATTTATAACAATACACGAGACAAATAAATAGTAAAGCATCTACTTTTTTTACAAAATAAGACAAAAAACAACAAAAAAATGTCATTTCCAATGCTAGGATTAATTTCTAGAAATGCTTAGTGCCGTTAGAAGAAAAATAAAACTTGGCGGCATTTACTAGGGAAGCGTTGAGTAAAAGAAGTTTTTTTAAAAGTTGTTGCTAAGACGATAGATAATATGAGTCACGTATAAAGATTGAAGGGGGATATCAAAAAGGAGATATTGATGGATCTGGCGTGATTGAAGAAGATAGAGACACCCAGAGTTATGATACACCACTCATAATACCACATTATCAACCTTAATCCCTCGGTAGTTCCGTTAAAAGAGGAAGGTTTTAAGGGTTAAAAGGTCTTCAGAAATGAATCTCATATACATAAATAACAAAATTAGATGAAATAAATTAAAATGACACTTTCTAAGTGTGAAAATTAAGTGACGATAATCGGTTTAACAAAATGATAAATATTTATGATAAAAATTCTTACTAATATGTACTTAAACGATCAGTCATTTTGTGAAATTAAAATTTATTTACTAATAAAAAAAGAGAAAGGGAAATAATATGAACACGCACAGAATTTAGACCAAATTCGCGTAAACAAAAAACGGAAACTAGCCCCAGAAAGATAAAAATGGGTGCTGAACAGCCTCAAGTCTTGTATTATCAACTCGAAGATTCAAGACGGAGTTGGTCTCGAGCTCAATGAAAATAAAAGTAAAAAGCGAAATTTCGAAATAAGATTAAAACACGTTTTGCCAAAACCATATTTTGCTAATAAGGCCAAAACCCTGCATTTGGCCAACAACCTTATTGACAAAACGTAAAGTTTTAGCTTTGTTGGCAAAATGTGGATTGATAGGATGTGGAAGAGTCTAAAAAAAAAAGACAAGGAAGTTTTGAATAAGACTTGAAAAGAAAAGAGAGACTTAAGGAAAGAGAAAAAGAGAAGAATGTAAAAATGAAAATTGATCCCGTGTCCGGTTAACTCATCTATTCGTTAACTCATCTACACGGCCAAAAACGTTCAACTCATCTAAACGGCTAAAATTCCTTAACTCATCTACACGTCCAAAAAGGGTCAACTCATCTAATCGTTAACTCATCTATTCGTTAACTCATCTACACGGCCAAAAAGGGTTAACTCATCTAATCCTTTAGAACGAGACTATTGAGTACCAGTCGTTTGAGTCTCTGGCCATCTGAGTCTGGCCGTTTGAGTCTCCGGCCGTTTGAGTCTCTGGTAAGCAGGGTCCATGGCCGTTTGAGTCTCTGGCCATCTGAGTCTGGCCGTTTGAGTCTCCGGCCGTTTAAGTCTCTGGTAAGCAGGGTCCATGGCCGTTTGAGTCTCTGGTAAGTAGGGTCCATGGCCAGTTGAGTCCATGACCAGTTGAGTCCATGACCAGTTGAGTCTCAACCGGCCCAAGACTCAACCGGCGGTAATCAACCACTCAAACGGCCGGGACTCAACTGACCAGGGACTTAACCGGCTAGAGACTCAACTGGCCATGGACTCAACTGGTCATGGACTCAACTGGCCATGGACTCAACTGGTCATGGACTCAACTGGTCATGGACTCAACTGGCCATGGACTCAACTGGCCATGGACTCAACTGGTCATGGACTCAACTGGCCATGGACTCAACTGGTCATGGACTCAACTGGCCATGGACCCTACTTACCAGAGACTCAAACGGCCATGGACCCTGCTTACCAGAGACTCAAACGGCCGGAGACTCAAACGGCCAGACTCAGATGGCCAGAGACTCAAACGACTGGTACTCAATAGTCTCGTTCTAAAGGATTAGATGAGTTAACCCTTTTTGGCCGTGTAGATGAGTTAACGAATAGATGAGTTAACGATTAGATGAGTTAACCCTTTTTGGCCGTGTAGATGAGTTAACGAATAGATGAGTTAACGATTAGATGAGTTGTATAGGAGCCAATTGATCCCAAATAAACTTGGCGTTATGTTTCTATTAAAAATAGAGAACGAAAAGAGAAAATAGTTAAGCAAAAAGAAAAAAACGAACGGAAACAAAACAAAAGGACAAATTTTCTGCAAGAAATGGGAACCAACAAGCAAATACTTCTTGAATTCTCTGGTGGTCTTGAAGTAATTTTTGATGGAAAGAAAGAATGCAAAATTGAATTATCTACAACAAAGTTGACAATAAAGGGATTATTGGAATGGATGGAACAAAATATGTTAAAAAATAATGAACGCAAAGATATGCTTATTCAAAGAAACACAGTGCGGCCAGGAGTTTTAGTACTTGTTAATCAAACAGATTGGGAAATTATTGGAGGGGTAAGTATTTATGATTTAAAATTAAATCAAAATTTGGGGAAAAAACTTCCACTTCGGAATATGAACAAAATACATGTCCTTCGAAAAAGATGTCGAGATAGACGAATGACGCCAAAATTATTTGGGGTTTGATAATTTAGGTTAAGATATGGGGCTCGAAATGGTCAAAACCGTAGGGGAGAGAAAGTTGTTTATTGGGGTGATTAGAAGCCGTGCTAGATGAATAAACCCATATTCCTGAGTTATTTACAATTTTTCCTTTTTTTAAAGATGAATGCTGATTTAAACGATGGAGACACTGTTACGTTCATTTCTACATTACATGGAGGATGAAATGGAAATTCAGAGATAAAGATGGGCGATTTCAAAGACCTATTTCGACGCGGGTTTTTTTCGTATTTTTAAACTATTATTGTCAAAAAATGCTTAAAAATGACTAGAAAAATATAACCTTTTTCCTCCAAAAAACTTTTCAATTAGAAACACCGGCCCATTTTGCCAAAAACTGTTGTATATCAAAAAGCTCGTCAGTTGGGTTTTGTTTAGCCAAAGCAGTAAATGTGGCCCTTGCTTGGTGTGTTGCCACTCTTCCGCCGCCTAATTGATGACCTTCATCTAATACAGGATAACCTTTTGAAAAGAAAATTTTATGCTTAAAAATTTACTCTTTAAAAAAACCTGAAATAACACAAATCGGGTAATCATCTCCAAGGGAATCGATTGAACTAGCTTCATAACTTTCACGTTCTTTATCCAATTTCAATTGTTTTTCTATATTTTGACGTCCAACAGAAATGGCTAAAACCCATTCTTTGACTTCTTCTTGTTCTGATACCTTCAAAAAATCAAATTTTTTTCCTAAACTCTCAAAAAAAACATACACTCAAATATTTATTCATTGGAAGGGCATAACTTGTAGGTATATCTGTTCCTTCAAAAAGCCCATTATCCACCAAATTAGGATCATCTTCATCAATTGCATCCAAAATATCCAAAAGATGGTTGAACAAAAGGAAGGTCATATTTTCGTAATCTGTGCCACCCCAGAACTTAAAAAAAAATTTTTTAAATGAGTAAACAAAAATTAACCTTGCAAGCACTTCCAGCATCATAAAATGCTTTATCTGGTCGTATTGGTTCAATATATCTTAAAATAGGAAATCTCATTCTTTTCTATAAAATCCAAAAAACCTCAGAATAGCAATGCCCAATCGAAGTCTTAATACATTCAATTCTTCATTAATTGTAGAAATAGAACCATCCATTGTTTGGTGTGTAGTAGATTTTTGTTTTTGCTCCTGTTGCTCAACCACAAGATCCAAAGCTTTTTGAAATGCTATGAAATGAGTAGCAAAAAGGCATCTTTCAAAATGCTAAAGAAAGGAGATTTTTCAATTAGAAATTTTTTTGAAATTTAAACTTGAATTGATTGAGCAGTAACTTCATCTGTTGCTGTTGTTGAATCTGTCTGTTCTGTCATTTGTTGAAATATTTCTAGCAATAAATCACGCAAAGTTGCAATTGTTTCGTAATTAATATTATTTGGACGTGCATTTAAAAGCTTTAAAAATTAAATTTGAAAAGAATTCTCAAAATTAAAAAAACCTTATCAACTAAAGTATCATAAATGGGCAACAATTGTGGGTTGAATGAAGCTCCATATTTTCGGAAAATATCCAAAATTTGTTCAAATTGTTCATTCGCAAGTAATTCTGTTGAATATGCAGCTAAATATTTGTCTAGAAGAGGTCGATGCTAAAAAGAGAATAGAAATTGAAAATAAGGGAAAAGTCCCCAGTGTTCCCCAAACTAATCAAAAAACCTTTTGTTGTTTAGCAGTATTTAAAGCCTTCTCCCAATTGCCGGATTGAACAAGCATATCAATTGCACTAACAACATCAACGTCAATAAGTTCACCTATACGTCCGTGTGTGCGAAGGAATTCCCGATACGTTTCATCAACGTGTTGCTCCAGTTCCGGGGCAAGCTGTTCAGCTACCTATTAAATAACAATAAAAATTATCACAAATATTTTCCACAGAAAATAACCCGTTTCGCCTTTGCCCATTCATGCCCTTCTAGTAAAGCCTTGATTGAATCCACTGGCTTATCAGCAAGCAAAAAAGTTTCACCAGCAGCAAGAAATTGGCGTAAAGCCATTTGACGTTGTCCAACTTGTGTAAGCAAATCCATTGATTCTTCGTCTGAATCAGCCAAAAATTTAACTATTAATTCTGCTGCCTGTGAAAAAAAATTAATTTCCCTTTTAAAAATCGAAAAAAACCTTAGCCAATGATTGCGAAACAATTTGTTGGTCTTGCGTTAATCCATCAACTCTCATCCAACAATCAACAGCTCGACGATATTCGCTTTGTCGTTCCCATTCCTTTGCTTGGGCTATTAATGAATGCGCACCTTTTGCACCCGAAAGAAGTTGATATTCTTCATAGTCAGACTTGAATTTTAAAATAATTTTCTTCAACAATTTTAAAAAAACCTGGCATTTTTGTAATTCATCAGGCAAATAATCTCTTGCAATACGCAATGCTTCTTGCCAGATAGCTGATTCTCGATAAAATGCCAAAATAATATCTGGACGATTTGCACGTAGTAAATAACTCTCGGCGACGGCAAAATCTCGCTAAAAGATAAATAAATAAAGTAGATTTTAAAGGTTTCCTCTCACATTTTCAATAGCATCTCGAGCTCGTTGAACAAATAATTCAGGCAATTCTTCTGGGCATTGCTCCCTAGAATTATAAGGTAAAGTTCAAAATAGGATCAAACTGTAAGGTTAACTTCCTAGAAGCCCTAGAGATCAACGTCCTGTAGGGGAGTTGACATCTACGATCAACTTGGGGTTGACCCCAGGGCTGGGGCGACCCCAGGGTGACCCTTTGGATTGGACCCAATATGGGACACAAAGCGGATGTAAGATATTTTAAATAATACTGTGCAATTCGTTCAGCTGCTTCCCAATTTCGGTTATGTATTCGCATAATAACTGCTTCACGTGCTTTCCCTGCAAGCAAATATTGCTCCTTTGAAGAAAAAATAATTTTATTCTTTTAATTTTATTTAAATAAACCTCAGCTTTATCAAGTTCCCCTTCATCTTCCAAGTGTTCTGCATATTTTTGTTGAACAAATTGTAATCGATGACCTGCTCCAAGACGGCATAATTCGAAGGCAAAGTCAAAATCACTTCAAACAAACAAATTTAAATATTTTTAGAAATTTAAAAAAACCTTTTAGTCACAGAAATATTTATAGCTTCATCTAACAATTCATGTCGAAGCAACAATTTAACAGCTGCATCTCCTCCTAAACTCTTTGCCCATAAATAAGAGATCTTTCAAATAAAATTAATTTGAAAAATTTTTGAAAATTTTTCGAAAACCTGTTTATGCGCCCTTTCACCTCCACTCGCTTTTGCCAATCGATGAGCATCAGCCCACTGTCCAGCTTGTTGATACATATCTATAGCAGCTGCCCAGTCCCCAGCAAGCATATATTGTTCTTCTGCTGCACGTAAATCTCCTTTTTGTTCAAATTCTTCAGCTAAACGCCTTTGTGCGGTCTATCAAAAAATTTATATCACAACCAAAAATCATGAAAAACCAAACCGTAACTTCTCCAGAATAATAAATGGCCATTAAACGCATCATATCATCGGTACGATCAGCTTGTTTGTACATAGCAATTGCTTGATCAGGTGCACCAAGTGCAACATAAAGCTTTAAAAAGAGATTGAAAGTCTCTTCGAATAAAAAATAAACCTCTTCAGCATCATTAAAACGTCGTTGCTCTGCCAATTGAGCTGCTTTATCACTATAAAGTTGTCGACTTTCTTCGAGTCCAAAGAAGTCTGCTGCCAACTTAAAAGCTTTAGCCCAATTTCCTGCTTTGTTATACATTTCTACAGCTTCAGCAAATTTGCCAGAAAGAGTATAAAGAGATTCAGCTTTCTTAAAAAAAAATTTTTTACAAATAAATTCAAAATCAGACCTCTAATTCACCAGTCAACTCAAAGTTATGTGCAATCTTTTCATAAAATGGCGTTGTTTCGGGTGTTGATTCTATTGATTTTAACATATCCAATGCTTTGTCCCATTCCTTGGCAAGTATTGAAGCATCAATTGCACGAAGAGTGTTCCCAGATTCTTCAAAAATTGAGGGAAATAAATTTTAAAAATTAAAAAAAAACCGAGAAAATGTGTAGCTGCCAAGTGATAATTTCCCTGAGAATAAAGCCAATCACCCCAATTTTCTTCTAATTGAATCACACCCTCAGGGAAATGAATTCGAGCAATCTAAAATGAAAAATAATTTTTAAAAAATCGTTTAAAGTATACAAAATAACCTGGATTGCTTTTCCATAAAAATTTCCATTGTTGTAGGCGTCCATAGCTTTTTCTGGCTCTTCCAATGCTTCGTATAAATCACCGAGCTTAAATATTTTTTTAATTATAAATATCAGGGATGGGTCCAAGTTAGCCAAAATCCAGTACCCCAGACTTTTAACCCGAAATCCAACAGTTTTGAATCGAACCAATGTTTTCTCAACCCAATCCATCACTTACCTAAAAAACCTAAGAAATCAGAACCAAACCTTATCAAAAATTTCCTGCTGCTGCAAACTTTGAATTATTTGTCCAATTATTCCATTACTTTCTTCCTCATCGTCCTCTTCTACATTCCCAAGTTCACTAGTCTTCAATTGTGAAAGAAGTTGGTGATTGTCAAGCAATAATTGAACTGCTTGGGAAGGTTGATTTGCTCTCAAAAAGAGTTCTAGAGCTGCACGACTATCACCATCACGCATTTTTAGCTCTGCAGCTTTATCCTTTTGACCAGTTTCATTCAAATATTGTTCATATTGGGCTTGGAGTGAATCGATTTCTGAGTAATTCTAAAAAAACAACTTTTAAACGACAAAAATTTTTTTGAAATTTACCATAGCTTTAGCTAATTGAATAGCACTCTCCCAATCTCCAATTCTTTTCCACATGTCTATTGCTTCAGTAATTGCATTATTTTCAAGCAAAATTCGTTCAGCCCGTTTAAATTGTTTTGTCATCATTGCAAGTCTTGATTGTACTTCAAAATGTTCTGATAATGCTTGAGAGTCAAGAGGCATTCCAAATTGACTTTCAGCTCTCAGAAGTGTCTCTTGTAAAAATTGAACTCGAACTAGATCATTTAGACTAGCAAAGCATCTTTGAGCAACAAAAAGATGTGAATGCTAAAAAATGGGTGGGTTTTAAATTAGTGATCAACAAAATCGCATCCACGGGATCCCATAACAGGTTTGAGTTTCAAAGGATCGAAAGGGAGGGATTCCGAGAGATTAACCCGGAATTTACGGGACGGGATAAAATCCCGTACGGCATCTCTCTCGTGCCAATAACAAATTTAAATAAAATTTTGTCAAAAAAAAGAACCTCAAGAGCAACATCAGCTAATTTTCTCCATAATGCTTGCACTCCAATTCCTCGTTGTTCAGACCGTTCCAAAAAGAGAACAGCACGACCTAAATCGAGTTCATCTAGCGCAGAACTAAATTCAATCATTGCACTATCCAATTCATAAGCGACCCTTGTATTATTTTCCTACAGAAATTTTTATTTAAAAATATTCTAAACAAAAATACAAACCATAACAATAACTTCAGTTCTTGACGCATCCCTCGCTACCATTTCAACATCACCAAGAATTGGGAATTGATTAACTCTGTCTGTATTTTCATCTGTATTATACCTTCAAAAAATTACAAATTGTCCTCAAAATATTTCCAAAATATAAAAAACAAACCAAACACAAAGCTGAGAATTTGATTGAGCAACAACAACATCACTTTGAGGCACCCATTGAACATAAGAACAATGCCCAATTAAATGAACTGTTTGTTTTGTTTCCAAAGAGAATAAATGAAGAGCTGAGCGAATATCGCGAAATAAGAGTTTTGTGGCTCTCTCATTTAACTACAAAAATTTAATTATAAAAATATGATCAAGAAGGTCGAAACCTAATGACACTAAAGGTCAAATCCAAATATTTGGACGGAAAAAGCAGAATTTGCGCGGATTAAGGATTTGTGATTTTGGGTGGATTAAGATGGATTTGTCGGAGATAGAGAGAGAAGATCTCTAACTCACTTTTAACCAACTCCGATCGCCAACTCCCTTTTAACCACCCAAATATTTCAAGTTGGCATTCAGAGCAATCTGGCCTTCAGGGTCTCGATGACCTTCTGGGTCAAATCCCCTACTAGGGTAGTCCTTAAAAATATAAAGAAAATCTTTAAAAACCTCAAGCCAATCAATAGCAATATTATGTTGAATATGTCCAATTTGATTATTTTTAGCCATATCAATAATGCTAATTGTTCGAACGTCCAATAAATAAGCAACTCTTCTTACATCTTCAATCATTTCTTTACTATTTTGTTTTGATCGACGTATTCTAACACTAATTTGGTGTGGATTTGCTCTTTCTGTTCTTATCCAACCAGCTAATTCATCTTGCCCATATTCTACAAAATTAATTTCACCAGCATTTACAATAAAAGCAACATTTTCATTGTCCAAATAAAATTTTTCATTTCCTCCAGATTGCCATGAAATTTCTGAGCTCTAGTTAAATGAAAAAAACTTTAGAGAACTCAATATGTATAAGGTCCGAAATCCGATCCAAGAAATTTCCCAAAAACCAAAATTTCCCTCCAAATCCTTCTAACAGACCCCCAATAGAAAGAAAATTTTAATACCAAACTCGCCCCCCTCCATTTAAGAGAAAATTTAAAATTTGGCTGACCACTAGGTGGGGGCGTGCCTACGCGATACCCTCTATTTAAAAAACTATACAATTTTTCAACTCAAAGGGGGATAGTAAGACCAGAACGCAAGGGGTATCTCATAAGGTCAGTTCCGAGGATGTACCTTATAGTAAGGTCACAAAAAAATATATACCAATCCTGTCCAGATATCAGCCAGTATTAAAGTACTTGGAGTATAAACAATAGCATATCTTTGCTCTCTTCCCATTATTCTCACTTCTCCCAATTCTGCTCCAATTTTTGAACGTAAAACCATTCCAGAATCGTTTGTATCATTTCTTTGTTTTAATTTAATATTTTCTTCTTCTTTTTTACCATTATCTTCATCAATATTCTCACTTGGTAATTGTAAATCCTTTAAAATTGCTTGAGAAGGTGACACAAAAGTTAACTCAAATCGATTTTTCAATAAAGTTTTCTTTAAATAAATTTTTAAAAATTTTCAGAAATTAGAAAAAGTAATTTATGTTTATCCCGCCCCGCCTCATAGTGTGAGTAATGGTCAGATTTTCTTCCTTGTACTCTTATTAGAACATGCCACAGGGAAATATACACAGGGAAATATACTTGAGGAAGGAAGTCTGACCATTATAAGAGTGGCTGAACATTACCATTGAATTATGAGACTCAAAATAGGAGACAAGTGATAAACATAAAATACCAAAAAAAAATTTTTAACCTTCATAGAACAATCAATTGCAATAACAGCCCCTAACATATTTGAACAAGCCAAAATTGATCCATCAGATTTCCAAGCAAGCGATTTTATTGTATATAAATTTCGAATATTTAGAACACCTCCTTCATCCCAAGCACCTCTTCTTTGACTCCAAGACATTAAATGAAATCTGGGAAAAAAATTTTTGCACGAAATTTTTAAAGTTTTAAAAAAACCTATCAAAAGTCCCAAAAACGGCATTTAATCCACTCGTATCCAAAGTTGCCACAGAAAATTCTTTTTCCAAGTAAGGCTCTCTGCTATAATCAAATTGTTGGAGAAGACGTCCATTTTCTGTATAAGAGACTAATCGACGATCAGACCCAGCTGCCAAAATGCCTACTTGCGAGAGAATAAGAGCATAAGGCGCACAAGTATGTACACAAACACGAATCTAAATTTTAAGTCTTTAATTAAGGTATCACCCCGTCCATAGAAACCCCAACTATTTTTTAGGGAAAGACAACGACACGATCCAGGGCTGATCGAAATTTCGTTTCGCTTCGAAATGAAAATTTTTTATTTCGATCAGCCCTGACCGAACCCCGGCAGCTCTAGTCCGGCAAACCCGATTCCAGACACTCCTGTCCCGAATGGTCGGGAGCGTCAGGTCAATATGTGTCATTGTCAGCCAAACCAACCCTAACCTTAACAAAACTTTGTCAAAAAATCAAACATGAGATCGCGAATCAAATGAATACAAAAACATTGAACCATCTTCATGACCAGATAAAAATGACCTTTTGTTTGGACTAAAATTTAAAAAAAAATTATAAAAAATTTATTTTTAAAGCAAACTGTTGAGCGATTGCACAAACACTTGCACCATCAGAAGCTTTATAAAGAGTAGAACATTTATTTGAATTTGTGGATGCCTGACGAATTTTTCCATCTAACAGACCAATAATTAATTTGCTCTCACTTGGCCATATAAGTGCAACACATGAAGAGGATTGTGCAAATTTATTACAAATTACTTTCTTCTCGTCCCTGAAATAAAACAAAAAAATGTCTCACCCTTATTCTGCCGATAAGACTAAAAAATCTCGGCCTTACTGGCAAAACGTAGTGTTGCCTGTTTTGCCTGTTTGGCAGAATATAGGGAAGTAGCAAAAAATATCTTGAAAAATAAAATATTAACTAACCAATTTTCACCCAATTTATAAACAAATACAATATCATCAGTCTGGCCAATAGCTAATTTATTTGAATCAGGAGAGAATGAAGCACTTTTTATTAAATAGCCAGTCTTTCCATACTTGAAAATAAAGGTACTTATTTAAGAAATAAATTTTCAAAAAAACCTTCGAATCAACCGGTTTCGTTGCAAATTTATCTCTTCTTCGGAATTTATCATCAAACAATAACACGTGTCTATCCAATGTACAAACAGCTAGTTTACGTCCATTAGGGGAAAAACAAAGTGCTCCGGCACAGGCAATCTCGTCCTGTAAAAGAAGCTCAAATTAAAAAAAAATTTTTTTAACTCACCGAAGGGCTTACAATTCCATTCAAATATTTTAATTTCATCAAGCAACAAAATTAAAATCTCAGGGAATTTAGGAAATTTATTTTAAAAATTTGTCAAAATTTGAGTTCGCAAAAATTGTTTCCATGGAAACAATCCAATAAAGATGGAGAGGCCAAAACCCCATCTTCCCTCCAATAAATTCTCATCAAATTGAAAACAATAAAAACTCTAAGTTTTAAAAAAGGAATAAAATTGTTATAACAATATTGAATAAAAAAATTATTAAAATTCATGAATTCATATTAATTTTTATTCAAAAATGGAAATATTATTAATAAAATAACTGAAATGATTAAATAATAGTAGAGATCGGCCTGGAAATGGATCGAGACCTTGCTCAAGATCAAGGCAATTTTCAGTGTTTTTCCTTGAGTCTTTTCTTGACTCACAATCAGACTCAAGATTCAAGGTTGACCCTAGATCTTGAACAAGTTGAAGAATCAATGTCAAGGTCCTCAACCAAAATCAAGAACCAAAGTTTTATTTAAAATCCCCGATCTCCAAATAATACAATCAAAAAAAACTTTTACAGTCCATTATCTACCACAATGATTGATGTCCATAATCCCTCGTATTCTTTCGTCCACGAGGAGTGTCTTCTCCAATATGATCTTTCATGGATGATTGAGTAGTACAATGAGAAGTCAAATTACGCTGTCCGTGAACCTATTTTTGAAAATTTAATTTTTTTTACAATTTTAAGAAAGAAGTGAGATCCGCCTATTAGGGGGAGGCTTATGTAAGATAAAATTCAGCAAAATCGCATTCCCGTGATCCTGTGACGGGACTGATTGTGAGTTTAAAAAATCAAGCGGGAAGGCTTCAACGAGATTAATCCTGTAAATATTTTTCATCGCTTAAAAATCTAGAAAAACCCCTAAAATCCCGTATGACCCGGTCCAGCTCGTGTCAGTCGATAGAGCACCTGACATTGGTGAGCGAAAACTCCTAGCAATAACTACAAAGACGACGCAGGATCATTGTCCGTGCTAAACCTCTACCACACTTACACAATTAAAAAAACCTTCTTACTGGTAAATGCTGTGGTGATCCACTATAATGCTCATTAATATTTTTCCTGTTACGCTCAATTGCTGACATTTGATGATCGTCAATTATTTCATCCTTTCCTCCATCTTCTGGCTTTAATCCTTCAAAAAATTCAGGAAAAACAACAAAAGTTGTTGGTTGCCAAATTGGGTGTTTAAGACCATAATGCTTCTCCAAAAAGTGAAGTAATGAAGATGATGGCTTGTCAAATGCACATTTCTGCGGTGTTGTTGACTCTGACTGTAAAAATAATTTATGAAAAAATACTAAAATTTTTTTTAGAAAACCTTCAACATTCCATTAAACAATTCAAGTCCACAACCGTGATGCTGAACAGAAGAATGAATGTAAAAATCCAAAACACAAATAGGCGTGTGAACATAACGACGACTGCGTTCATTTACCAAATAAAGACGACGATCACGAACAATCTTTAAGGAAAAATTTTTTTTGAAACATACGAATCATAAAAGGGAAAAGGGCAAAACTTCAATTTCCGAAAATCAGTCCAAATTAAATTCCGGCTGACAAAACTCCGTCGAACCAAAAAAATTTTTCATGGTATACGGCCACGATTAACCTAAAATCTAAGCCAGCCGAAATACACCAACCAATTGAAAATGCAAATTTTTCTCTGAGAAAGATTTGGTAAGTCGGTTTTTGATAAGACGGAGTTTTATCAGTCGAAGTCTTGTCTCGTCGAAGTTGCCCTGAGTATTATAAAACACATCTCCAAAATCTTCCGTAAAACACTCAACAACACATAAAAACTAAAAATACCTTCAAATATCCAAGCAAAACATTTTTTGGAGTAGTTCCATTTTGTGAAACAGCCAACAAATCTTCATGACCACCATTTTTAATCTCTCCATTCTTTTCTCCATTAGCAACAGTTCCATCACCAATTTCCCCACATCCATTTATTTTTTCGTCTTTCCAGAGAAGATAAAGTGCCTGTTCATCCTGAGCATCCAAAAAACGCTCAAATGTCGTGACAGGCTTTTTAATCGATTGGGCCTTTAAAAGTAATTAATTTCAAAAATTTTAAACTTCAAAAAAACCTCAGCAGACAACTTTGCCAAATCATCAATTGCACGACTCAAAAGCAAAAATTCAGATTGTTGTCGCGCTTTTCGTGCCCACTGAATTTTGGAATTTTCGAGTTTAGAAAGTGGTGACTTCAAAACACATCCAGGAATTGACAAGGAGCTCAAATCAAAATTAAGTTCCATTTTTGTGTTGAGTTAATAATTGAATGAATTCTTTAAAAAATAATGTAAAAATGCTTTAAAAAATTTTTTTATTGTTTAAAGTGCAAAACTATTCAACTAGCTAAAAAGGAAAAACAATGAACGATAAAAATGCCATCACAAAAACTAAAAAAAGAGAGGGAAAACCCATAGCGTGCCACTCTCTAAAAAAACTAGCCGCTATACAAAAAGGAAAAGAAACACTGGAAATACTGGTAGGACACAGCACTTTTTTAGTTTTTGTTTGGAAAGAAAGAAAATGCCTGCATTTTATAAAGGCGGGGAAAATTCCTAAAAACTAAAAGAGTATTAAATGCTTAAAAAAGACGTGGAGATTGTTTGTTTATTAGACTGAACTTTAACACGCAAAGGCTTTGGTTAAAGCAGAAATCTCGCAATTTTTATGGAACAATGGACGGAAATTCGAAAAATTAAATCCATCCGGATAAAAGTCTAACTAACGCCGCGCAAAATTTAAACGGTAAAATAACGCTCACATTTGTTTTTATGCCTCGCATCTCTCGTTTTTCCATACTCTTTTTCGACAAAAAATTTTTTCACTAAGGCCGTTTTATCGCCATTTTCGTCGAAAATTTTTAAACTACAGCCGTTTTATCGCCAATTTTTGTCATTTGCTGGATTTCATGCGAATTAAAAAGTAAAAATCGCGAATTTATTTTTCACCCTTTTCGGAAAAAAACAAAAATATGTTTACGTTTATTGACAACCTATGACGATGGTATTGTCACTTTTATTAAAAAGATGGTCCCTCCCTTGTCTTTTTCCTTATTTTTAGAGAGGAAGAGGTGTTCCTTTTTTGTTACACCCAAAGGAGATTTTTTTAAAAAAATATATTGAGTGAAACAACAAATTGGGTGCACTTATTTTATACAATTTTACTCTAAAATAATCTAAGGGAGCATTTACCAGCTTAAAAGTCAACACGGAAAGAGGGAAATAGGGAAAAATGTCTGCAGAGCTGAGGATTAAAAAGGGTTTAAAAATATTTGTTTCGCTTTTTTACGAAAAAACATGGAGTCGACCAATGACCAAACACTAAAATTTTCCTTAATAACCTAGAGGTCAGGAAAACAACGATCTGGTCAATCATTGTCGGCGGACGATCAGCCGAACCGGAGCAGAAAACCAGAGGGGAGGGGGCAAACCAGGCCTGAAAACCTTGGGAGTACTGGTTAATATCCTGTCGCCAACAATTTTAGAAAAAATATAAAAATAAACCGGGATCTAATTTCCCATTTGACAGAAAATGAAAACAATTTTCACTTGGCTTTTACTATTATTTAGCCCATTTTGACCACTATATATCTACCCAAAATCCCCTCCTTCCCTTAAAAGCACACCTAAACAAATATATAAATTACCTACCAATATCAGTCAAAAAGCGCAAATAAAATCCAAAATTAGATAGTACAAAATATCTTGTTTTGAATAACATAAAAATCCTCTAAAACAGACTAAAAAAGGATTATATACGAAAATATTACAACAAGATAATATAAAAATATTGTGAAAATTTAACAAATTTAAATTTTTTAATATTCACAAAAATAAATTTAAAAAATAATTTACAAAACGAAAAACAAACAGAAAAAAAATAAACAAAATATTTGTCATAATTAGTGTTCAGAACCTGACCGGGTCCAATCGAATTTTTTTCAGAGATCGTGTCCTAAATTAGGGCAGTTCGTGGCCTGTTAACCGCCCGGTTAGCTTTTCCTTGTTCCGGGTCTTTCTTTCTCTTTTCTATTCTCTCTTCTCTTTTTGCCCAGCTGCAGGGCAAAGTTAACCGGGCGGGTTAACCGGGCAGGGCAAAGTTAACCACCCTAAAAATATAATTGATAAAATCAATACAAAATTCAAAAAGACATACAAATTTAGCATTCAGACTTCCAGGTTAACCGGGCAAAGTTAACCGGGTTAGCATTCAGACTTCCAAGTTAACCGGGCAAAGTTAACCGGGCAGGGCAAAGTTAACCACCCTAAAAATATAATTGATAAAATCAATACAAAATTCAAAAAGACATACAAATTTAGCATTCAGACTTCCAGGTGACGATGACAGCACATTTTCAAGCATTTGATGACATAAACCAGATTGTTCTCCAGATTTTGGTGAAACCATCATTGCACCATAATGAGGGCCGCGTGCTTGTACCATGATTGGATTGCTTACAGCGTGTTCTAAAAAATATTCTTTTTTGATAAAGTATAAAACAAACCTGTGTGTAATATTGTTCCATTATGATGTGGATGAGGAGGAGGCGCAGGCTGGGGATATACGGCACCCCAAGAGCCATAACCATAATTTGTTGGTGTTGAGCCAAGGACAGAAGCATTTTGTCTTGTTGCATAAATTATTGGAGTGCCTGGTTGACCAGGAACCATGAAAGGATACTAGAAAAAATTAATCTTATAGAAATTATAAAAGTAAAAAAAATTTCTTAATCTAACCTGACTAAATTCTGGCGTTCCAATCATATGACATCCACCAATAATATCTGCCCCTCCAACATTAGAATAAGGATTTGGAATAGGTACAGGCTGAGAATGAGTTGAAGTGATTTGTGTAGATGATGAGACCATTGTTGTTGTCGTTGAGGGATAACTTGTTCGTGGCACGTTTGTTGTTGTAATGCCACTAAAATTAAAAAAAATTGAACAAAACAAATTTAAAAAACAAACTTTTTGTCCATGTTTTCAGATGTGGCCAACTTGGAAGGTTTCCCATTTTTAGAAATTCCACCCTAAAAATAAAAGAATTATCTCCAAGAATTTTTTTTAAAAAATTACAAATTTTGCATTAAGACTTCCAGGTGAAGACGACAAAACATTCTCAAGCATTTGATGACAAAGTCCAGACTGTTCGCCTCCAATTGATTTTGGCGAAACCACCGATGCACCATAATGAGGACCACGTGCCTGTACCATAATGGGTTTGCTGACTGCATGTTCTGCAAAAATAGAAATTTAATTTGAAGAGCATTGTAAGGGAATTTTAGAATTAAAACCAGGGCCGCCCAGGGATACTAATAAAATCCGATTTTTCAAGGTTCTAGCCTGGGACCCCCGGCTATAACCTCGGCTAAAAAACTAAAACCTAAAAGAAAAACCCGGGTGCCGGGACGGCTATGTTGAGTTCGAATTCTAATTTAAAGCGCCAGGTACAGGATACTTTGATAAAATCATAGCTTTAGGATTTTAGCCATGAAACCCCGGCCCGGCCAGCTTAAACCCGGAAACTGGCCCAGCGCGTGAAAGACTCGAACTCTAATTTAGCTAAAAACCCTTTAAAAATTTAAAAAAGACTAACCTGATCTTGAAGCTATAACCTCTCTAGAATGAGCAGGCGTATTTCCTCTTCTACTTTTGTCTTCCATTTTGAACAGGGCTTAAACAAATGTACAATAAAATAATTTTTACAAATTTTCTTTCAATTCTAAAAAAAGAAAAAAAAATATTTTTTAATCCGATTAATAAAAAAAATATTAGAAACGAGCAAAAATTTTTTTGTAGTTAAACAAAATTAAACATAAAACAGTTTAAGCATTGCACGCGTTTATTTATTGCGTAAATTGGCCATAGTTTCAATGCAAACTTTGACTTTTTACAAATTTTAAAAAGCTCTTGTTGCTAAAAATAATGTACATATATTTTACATTATTTGGATGCGCGCCAATGTGTGTTTTGGGAAAGTCGTCGCCATTAGAGCCAGCGCTCTTTCTTTTCCTATTTTGGAAACACAAACATTCACTCTCTCTCTTTTACTCTTTTTGCCATTATTGTAAGGATTGGCTCCGGTACAAAATATGGAATCGTTAAAATATGGAATGGTTAAAATCGCGAATAGGCTAAAAAGGGGTTAAAATACCGAATCGTTAAAATATAGAATCGTTAAAATATCGAATCGGGTAAAAAAGGGTTAAAATATGGAATCGTTAAAATATGGAATGGTTAAAATGTCGACACGGCCAAAATGGGTCAAAATGTCGAATTCTTTTAAAAAAGGGTCAGATGAGTGCCATACATTGATTATTGATAATTTTATCAACTTATCAACTTATTGATGATAAGTTGATTGATAAGTCTCTTATGTCGTAGTCCGGCGCAATCTTTTCTGCCCGAGTTCAGTGTATTTTACGGAGTAAAACCGGACCGGATAAATTAAGCATAATCGACACCGGATCCGGTCCGGCATGATCGTACGGATCCGGAAAACATAACGCGATCCTGATATGGAAAAATTATAGTGGTGTGCATTAGTTTTTAGTTAAGACCTAAAGTTTGACCTTACCGTATACGGTATGGAATACCGAAAAACACCGATCAGCTTTTAAATTTTATCGGAAGGCATTCCGTACCGTACAACCGACACGGAATACCGAAAAATACCATCGGTATTACGGTACCGTCCGGATTCTAGTTTTGGCGCCATTTTTAAAAAATTCGACATTTTGACCAATTTTGGCCGTGTCGACATTTTTACCATTCCATATTTTAACGATTCCATATTTTAACCCTTTTTTAGCCTATTCGATATTTTAACCATTCCATATTTTAACGATTCCATATTTTAACCCCTTTTTAGCCTATTCGCGATTTTAACCCATTTTTACCCGATTCGAGATTTTAACCCTTTTTTAGCCTATTCCATATTTTAACGATTCGATATTTTGTCCGGACACGTAAGGATTATATCAGTGAACGAGTGGAAATATAAGAGAAACGAAAATAGCAAAAATGCGTAATAAATATTGAAGAGAAAACAAAAAAATTTTTACCCGAGAATCTCAAAAATGTGTGTACACAGGCCCTAAAACAAAACACAAACGTACGCACTCACTTAGAGCCAGCAATCTTTCTATTTTAGTGTCTCAATATTTTGCCAAACCATCTTTCTGCCAATAAGGCTAAAATCTCACGTTTTGCCAATAGCGTTGTGACGAAACGCGAGTTTTTAACCTTATTGGCAAAGTGTGGGTTTGCAGAATATGGAGAAGCCTTGCTTTTTCTCTTACTCTTCTCCCCTTACTTCCACCCTCTCACTATGGCCAATCCCTCTCGTCACTCTTTATTTCATCGACCAATAAACACTATGGGGGTTGAAAATAATGGCGCCAGAAGGACCAAACTTCATAGTATAGATGACATGAAACGAACAAAAAATTAAAACTAATGACTGGAGGAATTTCTTGGGGGTGTTGCATACAAGAAAATTGTATAAAATGGAAATTGTTTAAAAAAAGACCTCAAAGAACTGATTTAACACACAAAGATTAAGGTTAAACCAGGGATCTAAGAGTCCTAATGGTCGGAAATTGATAATAACTCAGTTGATTGTAAACTAGAACGATAAGGACGTAAACGTTTACAAATCATCGACTAGATTACGAGGAACTTCGAGCGCTAACACTTCCAGACGACGACAAATTGACTGAAGTCAAACTATCTCAATCAAGAATAGAACCAACTTGGTGTAACCTACAGAAAATTGCCTTGCTATAACAGGGTTCATGGACGTAAGAGTCAAAAAAAAGTTGACTTAAAGCTATATAAGGAGATTGGTAGCTAGATGTTGGGATCCCGACCATTAGCCAATGTCGGAAATAGATAAGGAACGAACCGGGAATAATCGGAGACAAAGCAAAGTTAAAAAATAGAAAACGCTACACAACACAATTATAAACAATCTGAAGTTTTTCTGTTTACTGATTTTAACAAAATAAAATTTAACATAAAACATCTTCAGGTTGAAAATGTTGATAACTTTTCAGAAAATTTTTGGTTCGTCGTTTCCGTTTTGCCAAGTTCCAATAAAGCCAATTTTCAGTCTCATTTCTTTTGCTGTCTTCGCTTACGCTTCAAACGACGCATCCTTTTCTTACGCCACTGAAATTAAATTTTTTATAAGCTTGACTCGAAACTTTTAAAATCGACCTTTGCTCGCATATTCAACCAATCACAAGGAGACCAGTTAGATCACCAAAAAGAAGAAAACTTTGAAAAAGTTGAACAAGTACAAGATTTCAAGATTTAAACGCAATAAAGTTGTTTTGACTTTTAATAGAGCTAAAAATTATAAAAACAAAATCTTATTAAATGGATAAACATCATAAAATCAATAAATACCACATTTTGTTTACTAAATGCTTAAATAATAAAATCGAAAATATGAAAGCGTAAAGCTAAATAAATTTGCTGGAAATCTCCATGGAACTGTCTGCCATTCTAACCGTATAAACACGTTTTGCCAAATCTATATTTTGCCAATAAGGCTAAAGTAACACGTTTTGCCAAGAAACTTTTTGACAAAACGTAAATTTTTAGCCTTATTGGCAAAATATGTTTTGGCAAAATATGGAGATGTTATCTAACTTTTCTTATGTAGTCTATTAAAAACATTTCGCCAAACTAATTTAATGATCAAATTAAACAAATTTAAAAAAGGAAAATTTTCAGAATAGTATACTTTCGGTCCGAGTTTTAGGGATTTTACTTCTTTATCTTATTTGAACCTTTTTTTTAATCTTTATAAATCTTTCTTAATATCCAACATTTTTGGTTATTTTTTCTAAAAAGGCTGTTTTAAACTTTGATCATCTGTCTTGATTTATTACTGAAAATATGCATATTGCAATCTCGTCATCATCTTAAACATCAAAAACTATCTCCCCAAATTTGGCTTCAAATATTAAAAGCAGACTATTAATATGGTTAAACATAGAACTGGTTATGTTAACTTCAAGCTAAAAAAAGACGTTTTTAATGTGCAATGAAGCGAACACATCATTTGAATTACTCTGCCGTTTACAATTTGAGTAACACAGATCTTATCGAATAAATAGTGGACTAGGGATATGATTTTCCTATTCAAAGTCGTGTTGCCGTAAAACAATAATGGATAGCCTTCGAATGTTCTCAGTGCGATCGCGGGACGGCGCGAGCGACTTTTTTTCACTTTTATTGCTAAAATCTTTAGCTCTGCTTTATGTAATTCTTTCTTTTTCTTCAATTTTTTCTTTCTTTGATGACTGTTTCATTGATGTAAAATTTTGAAGATTTTCTTCAAATAATTGATTTTTCAATTTTATAGACTTCTTTTGACCTTATCAATATTTTCAGTTGATATCTTTGTATGTCACAACGCCGTTGTTCCAGCTCTGTATCCTTTAGCTCTGCCTGTTCATCATTTTCAACATCAACAACCCCATCTTCATGCTCTTCTTCATATCCCTTACGTATTACTGAACAACAATTAGAAATAAATTCTTGTACTTATGGCCGAATCCGCTCATCATCTTCATCTCCAAAATCTTCCAAATCCTCATCAACCTCTTCTTTATTAAAAATAAATTCGCAATCTGACAGCAATACAATCTCTTCATCTTCCTTTTGTTGGCCTCTTGTACGGCTAAATTATAAACGTTCAAATTCTGTGCTGAATTCTCGTCAAAATAATCCTTCCAATTCAAAACCACATTATCCTTTACTCGTAAAACTTTTTTCAATTTCACAAGAAAACTCTTCTTCATCCCCCAATTCTCATCTTGCTTTAATTACGCAAAACAACATTTCCCATCAAATTAATAATTGTCACAAATCTTCTCCAAAAGCAAATAAAGGCCTACAATCTATCAAAGTTCAAAAGAAGAGAAGAAACTTTAATGATTCAGAAAATGCCAAAAACAGTCCTGTTCAAAGAAGATGGATAAAGAAGATTACAATTCCCGATGTTCTTTTAATTTTGCTACTTCAATTCATTTGGATTTTGCCGTACATTTTTGTAAGTTTTTACTCTAATGGGCTGATTCTTAGAAACTTTTTTTTCGTTTCAGATTGCAAACTATCTAGAACGTTGCTTACTTCCTCTTCGAATTTATTGCTACACCGATCCTGATCTTTTAGCTGTTCGTCGAGCTTTAAGATCCTCAACTGAAGATTGTGCTGCCTACTTTTTTGCACAGAATAATGGGAAAGACAATGAACGTTTTATCGACAACGCCGGTGATCGTGACATACAAAATGGTTTTTCATTTTGCAATTCGAACAAATCGATTAGCACTTTACTTCATCCATGGCGAAGCAATTTGGACGATCCGAACTTGAAGAGAGTTGTTGTGGTATTTTTTATAGAAATTTATTTCTTGAAACCTCAAAATTTACCCTGTGGGGTGGTGAGGGTTTTCCCTGCTTGTATTTTAGTTTCCCTCCCCCACTCCCTTTTTTAACATCTTCAAGCCTTAAAGGGGAATAGGAGTTCAGGTTTTCCCTACTTATTTTGAGAGCTTCCTCACCTATTCTGTGGCCATTATTAAACTTTTTTGCTTTTCCTGTTTATCACAATATTTTTCTCTTTTCAGATTCGAACAGCTCCTCGCGCTTTAGAATACCGCAAATTTATACGAGCCTCATGGAAAACAGCAGTAGAACAACACAGTGATGGTCCTGTTATTTTTGTAACGGGTCGAGACGTAACTGAATTGTCTTCAGAGAGTAGAGAACATGGCGACATTCTTCAAATGGATTTTGAAGACTCCTACAGGAATTTATCTACTAAAATGATGGGTAAATGAACTATAAAATTTTATTTTGCTTTAAAAATATTTTTTAAGGAATTTATAGTTATTTTACTGCTCACGCAAATATTCAACAAATTGTGGTTATTAACGATGGTATAATTTTAAATTTTTAAATATTTTAATAAATTAAATTTAGATACAATTGTGAATGCTACAGCATTGAATGTTTTATTTCATCAGATTGAACACGTATTTTTTGATTAATTTTTAGAGTTCGAACTTTTCACATTGCCGAGTTCGGTATCCTGAGTTCGTTTTCTATCAAGCTTCCCGGCCGTGGGCAACCCCGGAGACTGAAAAACCGGATTTTATCAAAATACTCGGCTGCCGGGGTACCGGATTGTTAGGCCGAGTTCGAACTCTTAATTTCTCTATTATAAACACAACGTTATTTTTTCAGTGGCAAAATACTTCAACTTCCCCTGATGATAAACGCTATTTGATTGGAAAAGTTTCTCGTGGATATCCTCGGCTGGTTTTTCCATGGTTGCCTTGGTATGTCTCTGCTGAACAATATCCTCACAAATGCTATCCACCGTTTGTTCAAGTTTGAAAATTTATATTAATGTAAATATACTATTTGAAATATTAAAAACAAATTTATTTGTTGCCTAACAAGTGAACATTTTCTATGCCATTCGATAAAGGATCCCCGACTTCTTGTTTCGAAATGATATCCGTTTTCTTGCAAAATGTTTTTGTGCCTAGTTATGGCCGTTCAAAGTGGGTTTTAGGAGTGGTTGAGTTTATCCTATAGCTCCTTGAAAGAATCAACACCCCCTTAGGAATTTAATTTTAATCCGTTTTTATCCCATAAACTTCTTACAATTAAATCATTCTTTAAGGGTTCAAGTTTTATCATTTCCCGCGATGCTGCTGTAGACATTCTTCAACGTATTTGTGATTTTCCATGGAGGCATGTTCACTTGGATGATGTTCAAATGGGAATTGTTACAAAATGTTTGGGAATAAATAATTTTCATCGAGAAGGGTTTTTTAAATTCTATCTGAAATAAAAATATTTTTATATAGTTTTGATGTTGGGCACGGATTGGATCAATTTACTGTTTTCCATTATCAGGTTATTTTTTTTATTTTCTCGTATTTGTGATTTTCATCAACGAAAATTTCCAGGGTTGGGTTTAGAGCTGGAAAAAGTCCAGATTTCGGAGATTGGTTAAATCGCAATCCTGGGATCTCGAAACGGGGTTGGGTTTAAAATGTTTGGACGGGATTCCATGAATTCCCGTTACCCTGCCAAAACTGTCCATGAATCACAGGATCCCTTCAATCCCAAGATTGAAAAAGCTTCCCTACTTTTCGATTTTTTCATTTCAGTTTTCTCGATACCCTGCCAGTCTTTTGATGGAAATGTTCAAAACTGTTCGTCATTTAATCTCTTGTTAAATTTTTGTGGATGTATTATCAAGCCTGCTTCCTGATTATTTTATGGTCTCAACAAAAACCCGAGTAGAAGCTTCAACATTTAAACATTTTTTTATTACGATTGTCTTTCAAACAAATTTTATATTTTGAATGTTTTTATTCGTCTTTTTATTTGCCTTTTATGATAAAATTTTTTTGATATCCTTTGTTATAGATTTTATACTTTGTTTTAACTCGATACGTATTTAATTTTATGCTGTAACTAAATTTCTAGATGAAATGTCACCTTTGTGGCTTATGGAAGATTCGAAAATACTCAAACAAAACCTTATGTCCTTGCAAGATGATGGATCAACAACTTTATTAACTGAATAAGAAGGTCAATTTTCTGCATGTTCTACTTGTTTTCAATGACTATCAACCAAAGATGGAGGTTTTTTTAATTAACTTATTAAATATTAGGGTTGTCGGTTTCAGACCGAACCGAAGACCTAAAGATAGGGTTATCAGTTTTGGTTAACCGAAATTATTCCGTTTGAGTTATTACCAAAAAAAACTTCTGAAACCGACAACCTTGCAGGCCATTCTATTTTTTGAGTCAAATTTACACGAATATTTTCCAAACTTTATGCTGAATAATTTAATTATTTTCTAAATTACAATTAATACATATGTATTTAATATAAATAGCAAAAGCAAGAGATTTCGTAAATAAAGCTCAGCTCTGTAAATGTTCAGAAAAATTTTTTTAATTAAGTTATCCAACTCTTTTTTTGTGAAATGAGAGCTGAGCTTGTGCTTTGAAACTAAAATTATGTAATTGTCTTTCCGTGCTTATGCGTTTTTTCGATCCTGTCCGTTTTGGCGTGCTTTTCCCTTTAAATTTCCTTCGGGTTTCTTCTGCCGTTTTGCATGGCTTGTGTATGAAGTGAATCCATTTGTGTGCTTAAATATTTAGAAAATTTTTAATTATTTTTTTATATTTTAGATTTTAACCGCTTCCATTATTTGCTGCTCTTCTTCATTATTTACATTCATATCTTTGCCAAATATTTTTGTGACTGCTTTGTCGATGTTTTGTCCAAATCCATTCAAGCTAAAGTGTTTTTCGAAGCGAGCACGCTGCAAAAGGTTTTTCAAATTTATTTTTTCTATTTGATTTCTGAATTGGACTAACAGGGATTCCACTAGTTGAGGAAAAAGTCGGGCCGGGTTTTGGAAGGTTTCTCAGGATTCGGGTCGAAATTAAGTCCGGGTTTCATGTAACCCGTGACATCCCTGCCCTATAGTGGAAAAGGTGTGACACTTGATTTAAGGTTGACGTTTCCTGTTATCTAGAACCGAAAAGGTCCGGATATTCGGACATTTTCGGGTTGGAAAAAATGTCTCTCTTTCCTGATACATATCTGGACATTTCTCACGAACTTCCAACATTAATTGAGCTGCCATTTTATTTTATTCAATATTTTACAGATTTGTTCACCTGCATAACATAATGAGCATCATCATCCAAATTGATCCACTCCTTGGATTCCATATGTTCAACCATTGCCTCGGCCAACTTTATTCCATCGGTATCAGAAATCTTTTTTTTTATTATTTTATCAAATTTTAGAAAACAGCAATAATTCACCTTGGTTCCTGTCACTCCTTCAATGACTGTTTCTGAGGGCCCACCACTGTCAATAACAATAACTGGACGACGTTGCTCTAAGGCTTCAATTGGGACAATACCAAAATGTTCATTGGGTGGTGTGTAGATTACAGAATCGCATTGGCTGTACAATTCGAATTTTTTCTCATCGTTTGGATCAGGTATAAACTAATAATATTAATTTTTATTTAAAATTGGGATTAGGCGATGTTTTATTCATTTTTTTAAAATAAAAGGGGTGTAATTTTTTATTATTCTCTTGGTAATTCTAAAGTTTAGTTTTTTCGAAAGTTTTTTCTTCGAAGCGAGCACGCTGCAAAAGGTTTTTCAAATTTATTTTTTCTATTTGATTTCTGAATTGGACTAACAGGGATTCCACTAGTTGAGGAAAAAGTCGGGCCGGGTTTTGGAAGGTTTCTCAGGATTCGGGTCGAAATTAAGTCCGGGTTTCATGTAACCCGTGACATCCCTGCCCTATAGTGGAAAAGGTGTGACACTTGATTTAAGGTTGACGTTTCCTGTTATCTAGAACCGAAAAGGTCCGGATATTCGGACATTTTCGGGTTGGAAAAAATGTCTCTCTTTCCTGATACATATCTGGACATTTCTCACGAACTTCCAACATTAATTGAGCTGCCATTTTATTTTATTCAATATTTTACAGATTTGTTCACCTGCATAACATAATGAGCATCATCATCCAAATTGATCCACTCCTTGGATTCCATATGTTCAACCATTGCCTCGGCCAACTTTATTCCATCGGTATCAGAAATCTTTTTTTTTATTATTTTATCAAATTTTAGAAAACAGCAATAATTCACCTTGGTTCCTGTCACTCCTTCAATGACTGTTTCTGAGGGCCCACCACTGTCAATAACAATAACTGGACGACGTTGCTCTAAGGCTTCAATTGGGACAATACCAAAATGTTCATTGGGTGGTGTGTAGATTACAGAATCGCATTGGCTGTACAATTCGAATTTTTTCTCATCGTTTGGATCAGGTATAAACTAATAATATTAATTTTTATTTAAAATTGGGATTAGGCGATGTTTTATTCATTTTTTTAAAATAAAAGGGGTGTAATTTTTTATTATTCTCTTGGTAATTCTAAAGTTTAGTTTTTTCGAAAGTTTTTTCTATTTTCTCATACCCTTATAGTTTCAATCTAATCAGTTTCTTCTAAAAATTCAAAATAAGAATCTACCTTCGAAATTTGTATCCCACCTTGAATTATCTTTTATTATCTACCCTTTCTTCGATTTACCTCCCTTCGATTCATCTCCCTTTCTTCAAAATATTTCTTTGAACTATCCTCCTTATCTTCCCTTTCTAAATATCTCCCCTCTTGAATTAATTTCAACAATTTACATAATTTTCCTCTTAAGCTTTCTCTCAGTTTTCTTGAAGAAAAAATTTAAAAAACCCGTACTTCAATAATGTCCTCCAAATTGTATTTTTTACATTGTTCCTTCAACAATTCGTAGTAAATCTTAGACTCCGGAATGTGCGGCATTACAGACCCAGCCATTTGTATAAGTGGATTAAGTCCAAAGCTTTTCAATTGAACTGAAAGTGAGAGGGATAAGTTTTTCAAAGTTCATATTTTTGTACTTTTCTTTCTCTTTTTTGTCTGTCAAACTTTCATTTATTTAATTATCTTAAGTAAGGATCTATATCCACGCATCTTATAGGATATTTGCTTCAACAAATATTCCTGGATGTGAATGAGAGAAAATTTTCTTAAAACAATTCATAGATAAGAATCAATCGCTTAGGAATAAAACTCCGAGAATATTTATTATACGCTTTTTAAACGGGTAAAATTTTCTGTTTTTATGGAAATTAAGTTAAATATTCATTGGATAATCGGGAAAGTAAAGTTTGGGGAGATTGGAAAGTACAGGGGAAAGTAGAGGGAAAGTTATGTAGTTTATGTATGTAAAAGTGAATTCTCTAGTAGAGAGGGGATTAGAGATTTTACGTTATTTGAATTAAACAAAAGAAAAATAGGGGGCTGACCAAGCTTAAAAATAATTTGAACAAACCAGCTGCGTCCAAAATTATGTCCAAACGCTTTTCTGGCCAGAAACGATTCATTGAAAGAAATAGGTAGCGTTCATTAGGCATCCGATGTTTGCGTGAAATTGGACGTGACACAACGCTCAGTGAATCAACATCACAAGGAGGATAAATCACGCGCAGTTTCTCTTTGGGTATGCTGGGCATTACAGTTTGAAAGTTTTTGGCTGTAAAAAATATTTTTTATCATAGAATTTTTAAGCAAAGGGTTTCTATTAAAAATTTACACGTAAATTCACTGTTCACAATGATCATATCTAAAAATTTTTTTGTCTCTTCGTATAAGCTTCGACTATTAAATTACCTGCATATTCACACATGTGAGCTTCAATAAGGCCCATACATGCCGAGTACCAACGATACAGAAAAAAGCGATTTGGTGTTACCTGTAAGAGTGAATTTAAGTATTTTTTAATTGTGAGATTTCGAACCAATTGTTGGGGAAAATGGCAGTAGAACATTACGTGTACCTTAAAGTTTTTGAGATTTTATTTAATTTAAAAAGCGCGCTCTTACCTTTGGAAACCACCATTTTAATATCGGAACGCACGACGCACTGTGATCAGCAACAATTAAATCTGGTTTCAGTTTCGTGCGAAAAATTATGTGATACGCAAGTGCTGTTAAGATTAGTTATTTTCTAGAGGAAGCCTTTGAATATTACCTATATTTTGTGAAAACCAATCTCCAGGATGTAGCGGGAGACGAACTTCATGAATTTCTACTCCTTTGAATTCCTCATCTGCCCAATAATCATCAATCATTGTTGTTAACCAAGCGACCTGATGTCCGGCTTGGACGAAATGTCGAAGAAACCCGATCTTTTAATGAAATTTTTTTAAATTTTAAGCTTTAGTTTGCTTACAGTGCAGCGGTCCGACCCGCCATTCCATTGTTCTGGGTGGATGATGATAACACGCATGACTGTTTAATTATAAGTATAATGTAACTATACAAATATAACTACCCCTGCAACTTTTGTTTCTTTGAATAAACGACGTCTAACGAACCAAATTAACAATGAAGTCGGTATACAAATTACAAGTCCGAACAAATAAATTGCAAGAAACGCTGTAAAAGACACTGCTGATGGTTTTAGTTGTTGTTGTTGATTTTTTTCTGGTTTTTCTTGAAGCTGCATACACTTTGAAGTTGTGTTTATTTATAAATTAGGGAACAAGCTTAAGGATTATTTTTATTTTAACCTTAATTATTTAATTTATTTCTTAAGGAAAATTTGAGAAAAAAAATTTCTCTATGATATGTATCGAAGGATAAAATTAATATTGGATATATATTCCTTGATATTTTTACCAAAATTTACTTATATAACTTGTTTACCCAGTCAGTTTTTTGAATATAAGGAGGAACGGAATGCGGATGATTTTTAATTTATGCTGTCCAAGCTTGGGGGAATGCAAGATTGGGATTGAGATATAATAAAGGGGGGTTTAACTAGTAGTAGAAAGGGTGAGGGTTTAAGTACCGGATAGCGATTACATGCGCATCATTGCGCATGCATATAAGCATATTTTTTATTGAAAAGTGAGGGACGTATAAAGTGGGGGGGGGGGGGTTTACAAAAAACGTTTTATTTATAATAAGCTTTTTTAAAAATAAGAATGCGTAGGAAAGGGCGAAAGTAGTGACGACAATGTTTTATATATCCAAGCCTCCTTAATATCCACACATTTTTATATCCCTTTTACTGAATGTGAATGGCGATCCTCAAAAGCTTTTAAAAGCGTGATCAAAAGGGAGATAAGATTTTAAAAATATGAGCTTTTTTGGGAGTGTTTTATCCTTTTCTTCTAATAAATTTGGGGGATGTAACATGAATGATCATCGGTTATTGGTCAATGTTTTCTATTTTTAGAGAATTTAAATTATTAGAAAATAAATTTATAAATAACTGTTTTTGAGATGTTGATATTATCGTTTGAACCGCAACCGGTATTTTTATGGGGGATAACTAGAAGACGGAACGGATAAAAAAGTACACAGTGAAACGATTTATCTTTGTTTTAGTGAAAGCAACAATTTTTGAATGCTTGAATGCCCTAAGCTAGACAGCTTTCTTGTAGACGAGATTGAAACTGTTGCTGTTAAAAAAATGACAAAGATGATTGGGGGGAGGGGGATATTTTTTGTATTAAAAAATTTTATAAAGATTTTAAAGGCACTATTAATGATTGAGGTGAATTTCTGCCTGTTTCCTCTTGGCTAAAATTATTCTTTTCTTTTTTTCTAGTTTAAAAATCATTTTCTATTTTTCAACAAATTTTAAAAGCTGGACAATTTTTCAATCCTTTTTTCTTTCCCAAAATTGCCAAAAAAGTCTTCTCTTCCTCTAGAAATTCTTTTTTCATTTACTTTTCTTTTCTTGAAAAGATATGCATAAGACTCGTGTAAATACAAAATAGTTAAGGAATAAAGGAATATTTGGCAATATATGACACAGAAGAAGCTCCTGCAGAGAGAAGTAAAAAGTGCCTTAAACTTACTACTGATTGAGTGAATGTTTTTAGCTTGTTAGATTGTCGGAAGCTTCTTTTTTGCTATTTCGAGAGTTAAACTGAAAAAGAAAGACCAAAACAAATTAGGACACATTTGGCCAAGGGAACCGCATAAATGACTGGATATGTAGAGAGTGAAGACCACTGGCCTTGTAAAAATGCCAAAGGCCTTGCATGCTTTTCTCTCCTTTGTTAGTCTATAAAACTGCTGGCATAGTAAGTAAATGGCCAAGTGCATTTCTTCTATGCATGTGCATTTCTTTCTTATCTCTGCCTTTTCCCTTAAGCGACTTCGTTTTTGGACTTTATAAAAATTTTAGTTACTTTTCATCCATTCTTAAAAATTGTATTTAATTTAATATGTATGAACAATTGAACAGACTGTTCCTTCTAAAAGTTAATTCTTGCTTTTAAAAAAGTTAATTCTTGTTAATTCTTGCTTAAGTTTATTATTATTTTTGTAAATTTTTGAATTTATTTTCTTCCTGTCCATAGAAAGGATACACCCCAACGTACCGCCGAGCTATAACTTCATCCAAAATTATCGGACGTCCTGATATGGTTCAATTCAGCTTCCGGATGATGATTTTTAACGAAATCATAACTAGGCGATATAATGACCTCGCGGTACGTTGGCCTGACTCCAAAGAAATATATTAAGCTTTTATTAATTTAGTGTGAATTGTACTATCTTCATTTTCTTTATTATATATTTCTCTTGGGAACAAAACTATATTGGGCTATATTTGGGGGCATACTTCTTCAATAATAATATTTTTATTTACCTCTAATATTAGGTTGATAAAAATAAAAAAAAAGTATTCCATAGGGAGAGGTTTCAGTTTGTATATTTTTAAGCACATTTTTTTTATCCACTAGTATACTAATCAGAATATGAAGTGCCAATTTGCTCATATTTACTAACTCAAGCACAAAAAATATTACCAATTTTGGATATTTTTTTATTTTATTAAAAAAATTTAAAAATAAAAAAACTTAAAAAAGCTAAGCTTCTTTCCTTTTTATTTTCACATTTGCTACTACATACCTATTTATTATTTGAACTTTTTTTTCTTTTTTGAGATCTTTCGTATTATAATATTATTTGTAGTAATATTTAGAAGTTTGTCAAAATACATCTATTTATTTATTTTCTTGTGCGACTCATTTTAAGGCAATCTAAATATTTTTTTGCTTTGTTTTTTTGGCACAAATATTTACTGCTATAAACAAGAGAACATTCTCGCATTCCCAATGGATTTAAAAAAACTTTAAAGGGGTTAAAAAGTTTTTAAAAAAATATTTGTTTGTAGAACATAAAATATGACACTTGTTTTTATTTGACATGTTTGTCATAAATATTTTTAGATAAGCTTGAATGATAAGGCTACTTACAATTTTATATGTTACTCTGGAGATTTTGTTTTTTGTTAAGATTTTTTATTTTTATTTAAAATTTTCAAAAAAATTCCGTTTATCGTTTCTAAGAAATTTTCAATTGTTTTATTTTTCATATACACTAGGGACCGGATCGAGACGAGATTTTGGACAAAAATCTAGGTGATCGAGATCAAGTTTTGTCGAGATTCTCGTACGATTATAATACAACAAAATGGTATCCTTCGGTTATCTTTTCTTCTTTAAAAATCGTTAAATGTTAATAATGGTCAGACTGGGTTGAATGCCACCAAGTCAATGTTGTAATTTTGTTTTTCCGAGATATCTCATGCTTCTTGTACGCCCCTCCCATTCCGGTTTCTAATATCCACCTTTGATATAAAACCACATTTTTATTCCTAGATTATATAATATTGCAATATTGCACTTTTTAATAGGTTCATGAGTAATCCTGGGGAACAACTGTTGTTGTTTTGTTTTTTATACTTTTTAATTACATTTTGGATTAGAGCAAAAGCCACCTTGCGATCAAATTCGATCAATTTTCCTCTATTTTTCTTTAATTTAAAATATTTTATTTTTACGAATTTAAAAATTTTTTGTTCCATATTTCTTTTAATCTAAAACATTTTAATATTTTTTAGATGCTGATACTGAACATTTTTGTTACTAAAACGGGTGAATATTTTTGAATGTTATTTTGTCACATCTTATGCAAAAGCCGGTGTCATCACAGATTCCTCGTGGCGTGGTAATTGAGTTTTATACCAACTTTTTGGATAATGCCCTATGAGAAACCCTCTCTAATAAAAGCCTTGGGCTTCTATTTTTCAGTTTTTTAGTGGGCTTCTACAAGGATATGGGTTTTCGCTCCTATTTTTTAATGAGTCTCATTGAGAGGGTTTCTCATAGGACTTGGGCTTCTAAAAGGGCATGGGCTTCTATTGGTTCATTTGATTTATTTTATAATTTCAGGGTTGTCCTCCTCCACCCGGTATGGATCCTCGAAAAGGAAAAGGAAGGCTAATGTGCATTAAAGTAAATTAATACAAATTTATTAAAAAATTTATTTCTTCTTAATTTAGGTTCGAATGCTTGATGATAGTGTAGGAGTCTTTCATCTCGGGGTAAATTTCGTTTCGAACATTTTTAAATTTCAATTTTATAATTTTTTAGCATAAAGCACTTGGCCAAGCTCTTTTTGATGAAGTTTGCAGACATTTAAATTTGTTGGAATCTGATTATTTTGGACTTGAATTTATTTCTTTTGGAAATAGGGTTTGGTTTTTGTTGAGAAATTATTTCTTCTTATTTTTCTAGTGTTGGCTAGACAAAGATAAAAGTATCTTGCGTCAAATCATGGCTGCTCAATCCGACGCTCGTTTCTTTTTTACTGTTAAATTTTATACTCCTAATCCTGCGGAACTTGAAGAGGAATATACACGGTATTATTTTTAAATTAACGTGCGGATCCGAATATTTGATCAGAAAAAATAACGGATATACGAAAATTTTTCGGTTCGGATATCAGGTCCGGTTGTTTGCTAGAATCGTGGATTTCTGAAGATTTCCCGTGTCCAGCCAACTTTGGCAAAAATCCCTACTATTACATTATTTTGTTTTTAAAGTTACTTGTTCGCCTTACAATTACGTCGTGATTTGGCTCGTGGCGAGTTGTTATGTAATGAGAGTACTGCAGCATTGCTTGTTTCTTTTATTGTTTGTTTTTTCTTTTTTATCAAAATTTTCAATCGAATATTTTTCAGATTCAATCAGAATGTGGTGATTACTCTCCATTGGACTATCCTGACTACAGATATGTTTCTTCTGGCAATGTACAATTTGTACCCAATCAAAGCCCTGCATTCCAGAAAGAAGTTATGGAGCAACACAAAAAGGTTATTTTTGTGAATTTTTTTTAATTTTGTTGGTTTGTTCAGCTTATTGGTATGAGTCCGGCTGAAGCTGATTTTAATTTGCTTGAAACTGCAAGACGTTGTGACTTTTATGGAATACGTCTTCACAATGCAAGGGATTTGGAAGGCGTTGAGGTTAGAAATTAGTTTTTGAAATCTTAGCTATTTTTGAATATTTATTTAATTAATTTTTAGGTGGCTCTTTCTGTTGCTCACATGGGAATAAAGGTACTATTTTATAAGAAATTTATTGGGAGAGGTTATTTTATTTATTAGAGACGTCCAAAACTCTTTGTCTTGAGTCCTCAGGAATTTTCTTTGTTTTTTTTCTATCTTTCTTGAGTCTCAAGGTCCAGTCTAGGTCTAGGAAAATTCTCGTTTTAGACATCTCTAGTATTTATGATTAATACATTCAGTCATGTGGCACTTTAATTTATAATATTAACTTTTAGATGTTCCATCAACTAAATTGTATGATGACTTTTTCTTGGGCAAAAATACGAAAATTGTGTTTTAAACGGAAAAGGCTTATGATTAAAATTCATCCAGATAGCGCTGTATTTTTTCTCTAATTTTGATTAAACTTTACATTTTTCTTTCAGCAACAATACAAAGAAACTGTAGAATTTATTTTTGATAATCGAGATGATTGCAAAAATTTTTGGAAGAAATGCGTTGAACATCACAGTATTTTTAAAAAAAATTTGTTTAGAGTTTCCCTATTTCTTTAAGGTTTCTTCCGCTGCCCTGAACCTGTTGAATCGCGAGAATCTCGAAAGCTCTTCCACCGTGGCTCAAACTTTCATTATCAAGGCAGAACTCAGAAACAATTAATGGACTATGTACGTGAACATAGGAAGCGCCGAGAGCCTTTTAAACGGTAGGAACAAGAATTTGAATTTTTTGATAATTTCTGTTAGCTCTTTACAATTTCTAATGAGCGAACTAAATTCACAGATCCTGCCATTGACTATTTTTCATAAAAAGTCTATTAGAATTTCAACGAACGGATTCGAACCCGTGACCTACCTAAAATTACCCCCACTTAACCATAGTAACAAAAAACTAAAACTAATCAGGATAAGAAGCTTTAAATTGCCAAGTTTTTTTTTAAATTTATCTTTTAGACCTTTACAACGAAGTTTTATTCATCCATTAAATACAAAAGCACCAATTTTCCCTCCAATTTATGGGAATCAACAACAATTTCAACAACCACAACCACAACAACATTATTTTATCTCAAACAGATTATCAGAAAACAACAAAAATAGACAGGCTGTGGAAAATACACAAAAATTAATAATGAATATTACATCAATGGCTAGTCAAAATGGCGGAAATCTTATTGGAAATTCTATAAATAATACTAAACGTTCATCTGGCGAAGAAATAATAACAAGAGAAAATGGTGAAAGAAAAACAAGGCCAAAGGTATTAATTTTTTAATCTTGAATAAGTTTGTAAACTTAGAATTCTAAGTTTAAATATAAATTGGGTAAATTAATTAAACTTATATGTTAACAAGTTTGTGAACTTTAAAATTTAAGTTTAAATTTAAATAAACTTGTCTTATTCTTAAATAAGTTTGTAATCTGACGATTTAAGTTCATACTTGATTTAAAAATAAACTTTGTTAATCTTGAACAAGTTTGCAAACCTGAAAATTCTAATTTGAATAAACTTATTTCATTCTTTAACAAGCATGTAAACTTAAAATTTTAAGTTTAAATTTAAATAAACTTGTTTTATTCTTTAACAAGCTTGCAAACTTAAAATTTTAAGTTTAAACTTAAATAACCTTGTTTTATTCTTTAACAAGTTTGTAAACTTAAAATTTTGAGTTTAAATTTAAATAAACTTGTTTAAGTTTTGAATAAGTTTGTAAACTTAGAATTTTAAGTTTAAACTTAAATAAACTTGTTTAAGTTTGAATAAGTTTGTAAGCTTGAAAGTTTAAACTTAAATAAACCTGTCAAGTTTTGAATAAGTTTGTAAACTTAGAATTTTAAGTTTAAACTTAAATAAACTTGTTTAAGTTTGAATAAGTTTGTAAGCTTGAAAGTTTAAACTTAAATAAACCTGTCAAGTTTTGAATAAGTTTCTAAACTTAGAATTTTAAGTTTAAACTTAAATAAACTTGTTTAAGTTTTGAATAAGTTTGTAAGCTTGAAAGTTTAAACTTAAATAAACTTGTCAAGTTTTGAATAAGTTTGTAAACTTAGAATTTTAAGTTTAAACTTAAATAAACTTGTTTAAGTTTTGAATAAGTTTGTAAGCTTGAAAGTTTAAACTTAAATAAACTTGCCAAGTTTTGAATAAGTTTGTAAACTTAGAATTTTAAGTTTAAACTTAAATAAACTTGTTTAAGTTTTGAATAAGTTTGTAAGCTTGAAAGTTTAAACTTAAATAAACTTGCCAAGTTTTGAGTAAGTTTGTAAACTTAGAATTTTAAGTTTAAACTTAAATAAACTTGTTTAAGTTTTGAATAAGTTTGTAAGCTTGAAAGTTTAAACTTAAATAAACTTGCTAAGTTTTGAATAAGTTTGTAAACTTAGAATTTTAAGTTTAAACTTAAATAAACTTGTTTAAGTTTTGAATAAGTTTGTAAGCTTGAAAGTTTAAACTTAAATAAACTTGCCAAGTTTTGAATAAGTTTGTAAACTTAGAATCTCAAGTTTAAACTTAAATTATGTCAAATTAAATAAACTTGATGTTTAGTTCATACTTGATTTAAAAATAAACTTGTTTTATTCATAAAGAAGTTTTTTTATTGTTAAAGTTTGTCTTAAATAAGTTTGTAGTCTTGAATTTTATGTTTAACTTCTAAAAATTATTTTTTAATTTTTAAGAGTAGTCTAGCTTGTGATAGCCAACAACATAATCACCATCATCATCATAAAAAACATAATCATCACCATCATCGTCACCAAAAAAGAGAAGCAAACAATAACAATAATAGTCATTATCAGTTGCCAATGCAACGTTCTTGTTATGGCGATATTTTGTCTGATAAAATAAAAGAAAATGGTCATCTTAAGAAAGAAGTGTCTATTCCTTTGGATAATTCTTTTCGTCAACAAATTGACCCTGTTAGAAATTTTCTTAGTTAAAAAATATTTTTATCCTCAACTTTTTACTAGATGTCCGTTTCTTTACCAAATGTCTTGGCTCCATCATCTTTACAAACTGATGGATATGAATTTTATGCACCAATTAAATCCTTAAGTGGAGAGAATTTTAATAAATTTCCTCAACATTTGAATGATACAGACAATAATTCTGAAGGTTTTTTTAGTTAAATTTGTGGAAAATTTTAATTTTTTCTATTAAATTTTTTAGGTTCATACAGATTAAGTAAACGGCTTAATAATGGAGTAAATGACAGTGATCAACAAAATTCTTCTCGTTCTGATATTTATTCTTCCTCATCGTCAACTGTCGCTGCTGGCAGCAATTATGTTGATCCAAGAGTTTATCAAACAACTTTTACAACTAAAAGAGTTGGAAATGTTATTGTTAAAAAAGTTACTTTGCCTGAAAGTACTTCAGGTTTTTTTCAATTAAATTTCAAATATTTTTTTAAAAATTATTTTTAGAGCCGTTACAATGTTCTGATAATTTTTCAATTGCTTCTACCTCAGCAACAACTACAACAACAGCAATGCGTCGTCAACAGCTTCAAAATACCAAAGCTTCAGCAGTTGTTCATTCGCCTAGTCCTATTATTGAAGGAAATAAAATAAAATCTTCCATCCCATCGGTAATCCATGACGGAGGAACGTCAACAAAAACTTTTGGTTTATTTTTTTGTTTATTTTTTAATTTGCTTTAAATTTCTAGGCCAACAACCTGGTAGTGAATTTACTTCATCCTCCGCTTGTTGTTCCGATTATTCTATAGCTTCTTCATCTGCCCCAGCTTCAACTCGTAGTTCTGATGGACAACGAAGGATACGTTATGCACCTTCAGCAAGTTGTGGTTCTTCTGACTTTAAAAATCGACTAAGGTTTTCAAAAAATTTTTTGATTAGTTTTTGTGGTTTTTTCTAGAAATGAAATTCCTGTTGCTATAGATTATCCTCCTCCAAATAACATTTATTCGTCTTGTGGTGGTGGTGGACTTCCTTCAATTATCCGCCCAGTTTTAATTTCTTCTACACGTGGAAGTACTTCAACACCTTCTAATTTTGGACATTTAGGAAATAGAAAACCTTTAGTGATTAGAACACCAACTATAGGAGATAAAGGTTTTCTTTAACTTTTTAGATTTTTTGAAAATTTTCCCTTCAAGTGCCAATTACAAAATCGGATAGTGATGCCACCAATGCTGCCAATAATGACAAAACTGAAAATAAAAATGAAGAGGAAATTGATGCTTCAAATCGTGTTGGTCCTCTTCCTGGTCGTGTTATTTGTAAAGAAGATTTGGTAATAACAATAGACGGAATTGATATTAAACAACAACCAACAACCTTATCTGCAAAATCAAAAATGGAAGGAACACGGCCCGTAATTGGTCCAAAACCGACTGGTTTAATTAACAAGGTTTTTATAATTTCTTAAAAATATTTTACATATCACTGTTGAATATTTTTTATTCTTACTATACCGGGGATGTCATGGGTTAACCCTGGTCTTCTTTTCGGCTCAAAACCCGATACGATGAATTTTCGAAAACTTTTTCTCTTCCTAATTCCTTCAACTAACTCACCTGAAACCCATCGACCTGAAACTCAATCAGATTTTTTTCTCAGCCCTTAACATTTCTATTTTATTCAGAAAGAACCCGAAGCAACAACAGAAAATATTAACAAATTATTGGATCCACTTGATAGTATTTTAAAAGATGTTCTTTCATTAAATGAGACATTAAACTACAATAGTGGCATTGCTCAACCAGCAACTTCAAATACAAATAGAAGACGTTTACCGACAGCAATTTCTATTGAAAGCGAAGAAAGACCAGATTTACGAACTGTACATTTATTTAATGGCGAGGAAGAAGGCGATGATAATGATGCTGGAAATGTTCCGTATACTTTAACTGTAAGAGAAGTTGAAAGTGTAGGAAGTTGTTGTCAAGCTGAAACAAGTCAACAACAACCAGATGGAACAATAACTAAAGAACGATTACCAAAATGTGAACATAAAGGAAGACATGTAAATAAACAAATTGAATTGGTATGGGATTTTTAAAGATTAAATTAACTTGGGTTGTACTCCAAACGTTCGGGGACGGGTGTTAGGGGTACGGAGTTCACCCCTGAAGACCTAAAACTTTTGAAAGGAAATATCGAGGGATTTGGAGGGATTAGGGTGATATGGATGGATTTGGGATAATTGAAGGGGATAGGATCTCTACTCACTCAGAGTTATAAGAGACCCGGAGTTATGCACCGGGTCGAGGTACAACACTATTAACGTTTCACAAATATTTCTCAAGGTTCATCGTCGCAGACTTCCATCACAAGATTCATATTCGTCCCAAGATCATTCCATTTCTCCAACAAATCCAGATTCAAATATCCTTGAATATATGATGAGAAAAAGATCAAAAAGTCAATCAATTGAACAACAAAATCAGAAACATGTAGCAGTAACTACTCGAACAAATCGGACAGATGAACGGCGATTTACACAACCAGTCACTAAACAAGCCGATCAGGAAAGAATAACTGAAGAATTAAAAGAACAATGTCCAGATACGTCAAATAAATGCCTTTTGGAGACAGATTTTTAAAAATACCTCTTGATTATACCGTTAAAAACAAGGTTTTAATATTTTGTTATATTTTCTTTTTTAATTTTTCGATTAAAAATTTTTTAAATATTTATTTTTTACAAAACTCAAATCTGATATACAATTCTATTATTAAAGGTAGGGCCTTATAGTTAGAGAAACAACGGGATGGAAATAGTGTGGTTTAGAGATGAAAAGTAAATCAGATTTAAAAATACACGTGAAGTTTGGCGTAATGTAATTTAAAATAAAAGACATTTTATCCTCAAAGTTAGAGAAAAACAAAAAAGAAATAGTGTAGTTAGAGAAGCAAACAAATTCAGCGAAGTTTGGTCAGTTCAGTACTGCCTGTTGAGAGCGAGATGGGGGAATTCTTAAAAGAGCGAGTTGAGAGCGGCCTTTTGAGAGCGACCTTTGAAAAATCGATACTAATCGATATCAATCGATAAAATCAATACTAATCGATAATAATTTTAAAAAATTATTATTTTTCAAAAAATCGATACTAATCGATAGAATCAATACTTTTCGAAATTACATTCCAAAAATCAATAAAATCGCTCTAATATATCAAAATTCTCTTAACTCAACTTTCAAATCTTTATTTTACATTTCAATAAATTTAGCAAGTCTTTAAATAAGCAAATTAACATCAGAGTGAATAAGCATAATTTAAAAGCAAAAATTTAAAAAGAAAAAAATCAAAA